TGAAATTGTATGTAGTCCCCTCGATCCCTTTTAAAGAGTTGGATTAGAATTGTCTTGCATAGAAACTTCGACGAGTTTTTTTTTCGTAAACTAACAACATTGAAGTAATCAAAATAGAAAAGATTTGTCAGGTCACGTATAAAAGTAAAACTTCATTAGAAAATTTAAAATCCTTGGAAATCTAAACCTTCCAGTTCATTTTTCCGAGAATCGTAACTTTTTTAAATCTTGAGTATATTGAGTTATTCTTTTACCAATACTCAAAAACAATTTTCAGCAAAAAAGTCGACTAGAAAATTACTTTGACTTGCCAAACTTGAAACAAATATCATGAAGACTTTCAATCGTTGTGTCCCCTGAAAATGTTGTTCACAATTTTTCAGAAATAAAAACGTGCAAAACCGCGAGGTCAAATGAAAAACTCATTTAGCACGATCATGATACTTTTCCTTTTTCTTTTCGCAACTTATAAATTAATAACCTTGCAAAAAAAAGTAACGGAATTCCGAATGTATTAATTTTAGACATTAGTTGAAATAATTACAGGTTTCATCATTTTTGTTATTCTCACGTTGATTATAATTTTTTGTCTCGCCTTGTCTGTTATTTCCTATTTCTGATATTAGCATATTCTTTGTCAATCGAAAACTGAAAACCAAATTTCAAATTTGAACAATTATACTGTTTATTTTTCTGAAAATAATAGAAAAAAGCTTCCGTTGAATTCAAAATTTGCTTCAGTGACAGTGATAATATTTATCTTCTTATCGGATTTTAAAAGATAATGAACTTTCCTAGAATAAATCTTCCGAATGTCTATAGGCTAGATTCTTCTCGATTCATAAAATCAAATTTCCAGTTAAATAGTTACGACATCATATTCTAGTTTTTAATTACAATGAGTTAATTTTACATAAGTGCTCATACACTTTTCTATCCAGGAAGTTCCGAACTATTTTCATTTTCATTTTTCATATTTTCTAGGGCAATTTTCTAGTCTCAAAAAATATACCCATTTTTTGATCTACGTGTTTTCTAACAGACAAAAAGTTTATAACTTTGTTATTGGTGAAGTTTGTTATTTCCTCCTTTTTCTGAAGAAATTTTAATTCAATGAGAAATTTTTGCTGCTGAAAATCGAGAAGATTTTTTTGAGTAAATTGTTAGTTTTGAAAAAAAAACATAGATCAAAAGGTTTTTGGATTTTCAACAAAAAAAGAAACGCGGTTTTTGAGAGAAAAATGTTTGAAAAAATAATTGCACAATGTACTATGCAATTTTTGAATTGAATTGAAATATGTTTTTCTTTCTGTGTTCAGGAATCTAGACATTTTTTTAAGAAAAAAATATGATATTTTAGTCTTCATAGCGGGGGTGATATGTGACGTGGCAGTTTTAAAGATAATATCGAAAATCCGTAAAATTGTTTAGAAGCCCTACATAGTTTCATAGTTTTGCGGCCAAACCAATTAGAAGACTTGGAGTTCTAATTAGGGGCACAGTATAGTCTGATAAGTTTGCCTTGTTTGTTCTATGTGCGGTTTCGAATTTTGGAGAAAAATGTTATTTCAAAGATGAGCAATGTTAGAAACTACTTTATAGTTTCGTGTTTATAGCTTTAAGCTTTCAATGCTGAAGAATCAAAAAAAGATCAACTTTGTTTTCAATTATTAAGAATTTTCAAATGTTTTAACCCAGAAAAATTCTGAACGCTTAGTAATTTCAGTCGTTAAGTAAACAATTCAGATTTCTCGCATAACTTGTTAGAATCTGATATCTTTTTATGTGCCTCCTACATGTGTTAATTGAATTTCGAGTAAAGTCAAAGATGATGCACCCTTCATTTTTGTCTCTCTGTCTTCTTCCTTCTCTAGATACATATATTTTGTATCAAATTTCTTTGTTTGTAACTTTTTTCTGCCATCAAGATGTATCTTGTTTTTTATTTTTTTTCCGAAATTTCATTTCATTTCAGTTCTCAATTGATATTGTTATTTTTATTTATTTTTATACACCGTGTCATATTTTCTATTCCTAATCTCTAGGCAAATGATAAATGAATAATAACAATGGATTTAATATTAATTCTGTGAGCAACTATTATTCCTCATTTTTTTTTGTTTTCTGGTCTGTTTTTTGGCTGACTTTTGCTCAAAATCGTTCTTTTTGTAATTTAATTGTGTTTCGTTTTTTTTCTGCATATGATTGAAAAGAAAAAAGAACAAACTTCCTTTTTTCTGCTGGTGGTAACGGAAATTTGATGAGATCTTACAGAATTATGTATTTCAACATACAAATATATTTTTTGTATTCAAATTTTTCGAGACAAATTAGTCATATTCTTTCGACGAGATTTTTTTCAATGAACTTCTGGAATATCTAGACTTTTTTTCAGAAATGCACTCGAAAAATTCCTTGTTGGTCGATGATTTTCGTTTTTCTTACATATATTTTTAACTTTCTTTCTTTTCTTCTTTTTTTCCTCATTCTGAGGAAGTGAGATTTTATTGTTAGTACATTCTCAGATCCCGATTCAAACACCATTTTTCTTTGAGAAAAAACAAGTAAACATTATGTGTCAGAGAATACTTTTGTGACTTTTTGACCATAAAAAATAAAAAATCTCGGATATTTTTGTTGTTGTCTAGAATTTTTCGAAACCATGACTAACATATTTGAAATTCTAGAGAGAGAGTGAGTGAAATTTTGTACTTTCAGTCTGCCTTTGGGTATTTTTCGGGAAAACAAAAACACAGAGCACTAATTTTAAAAGGGTTTTTGAAGAGATTTTAAACTAATGTGAAAAAAAATTACTTTTTTTGATTTTTTGATTTAAAATTGAACTAAGGTTAATTTCTATTATCAAATGCTCAATAATTTCCAATCGAATCCCTCTAGTTTTTAAAATTCAATGACTTATCAACCTGTCGAATAACCCTTCTTTATAATAAAATGATGTTGACTTTTATCTGAAATCAAAAACATCCCTCAAAAAACCAAAAAAAAATACACCAGAGAATAATTAGAATTCTAATTTTATAGTAGAAAAGCAAAAATCAATTACATTCCTCCCCCATTTTTCCTAACATTCAAGGAGTTCTTAAAGTAGGCGGAGCTTTCTTGGATAGAATAATACTAGTTCATGTTCGTCTTCGTTTTTTTTTGTTACGTTTGGACGATTTTTTTTCTTTTCACGATTCTTATTTGATTTTGTGTGCCTAATTTTTGGTTTGTGTTCTAATCTAATGATTTTTTCATTCAAGACAACACATCGTGTTTTCAATGACCTTTTTTGATTGACTATAGTGAAATAAATCAGCTGCCAAGATTTTTGATGCATTTTCCATTGTTAGTAAAATATTTTGCACCTTTGTTCAATTTTTCTTGCAGATTGAAAAATTCCCAAGTAATTTTTTGTGAAATTGAAAAAAAAAACCCGGAATAATTTGCATAATCTTTTTCCCACCAAAGAGGATGTAGGTTCTTTTGAACTCCCTTTTCTGTATATTTGTTAGTTCAGAGGGTCTGAAAATGTGTGATGTTTTTCAATCTGAAATCCCTAGAACTTGCGTGCGATCTTTGTAACTTTTTTCAGTTAGCCGGAAAAATATTTTTCAACTTTTTTCTGACATGAATGTACAATTTTAATGAGCTAGATTTCCATGTTTTTCCTTCTCGATTTGATTTTTAAGTTATTTTTCATTCATTTTCTCAATAAAAAATTAAAAAAGATGTGCCAATTCCAGAAAAACATAGAACAAAACATATTTTTCCGCATTTTCTTCTTTTTTTTTGAAAAATGATGTTTGATTTTTTATAATTTACTCGAGTAGCTTTATTTACAATGAAGATTCTCCAATTGGTTTGAGTACAATAACGTGTCCTTTATTCCACGCTTTTTCAAAAACAACTTTTCTCTCATTATGTCATTTTTTTTGAACTCTTTAAATATAGACTTCTTCAAAGTACTCTCAATTAATCCAGAAAAATAACATCTTTCTCTTTTCTTTCTCTTTGCACTTTTTTTACTCTATTCATTTGATAATTAAAAAATAGTGTAGGGTGCAGTGCATTAATTTTGAGTAAGTAATAATTGAAAAATATTTTTTTTATTTAATTAGGCTGAAAAAAAGTCCACAATTTCTTCATTGTAAATTTGTCCATTTTGTGAAGTTTTCTGTTTTTGGACAACTTCTAGACTTTTTTAATTGTAGATTTCTGCAAAATGTTCGAATAACTTTTTTTTTTCAATTTCCTGTGATTTAGAAATACATGGAACTATTTTCCACTTCTTCATTATCATTTTCAGTTTATTTTTCAGAAGTCGACCAGTCTTGATTAAATTTTTGTCTAGTGATTTACGTGTTTGTGACATTTTTCTGTTTTTTCGGATCACCCATAGATTTTTGCTCGGTTTTCAACGGAAATTCAATCATAATCATAATTATTTTTATTTTTTCATTTTTTTCACATATTTCTCACAAAAAATATTGTAACCTCATTCTTTTGGTTCCTTCTTGCCTTTGGCGTTTTTCCAAATATGTAAATGTTCTTGTAGAAAACACACTACTAGTAATAAACAAGCAGCACTTTTTCTGTCTATTTTTTTTTCAATTGTTTGGTTTTTTTGTGAATATTCCTTTTCTCCATATATCTTTTTTTTTCTGGAAAAGAAAGAAAAACAATCCAAATTTTTGCACTTTCCGACCATTGTTTAATTTTTTCACTAGCCTTTTGCTATCCTATCAAATGACGTTTCAACTATTTAATATTCATAACTATCTCTTCTATTTCTACGAGTAAAAGATCAAAAGAATGTTTTTCTTCAATTTTTTTGCCTCTAAAAGGTGCAAAAGAATCTTTCTTTTAATTATTTACTACCAAATGTGTGTCGACAAATTTTATTGCTTTTTTCGCTACATTTCAAATACAAATCCTTTTTTTATTATTTCTAACCAATCGCCTTTTTTGCCTAAATTACTATGTTGTTTTTGCAGATAATGGCAGAAGATTGCGAGTATTTTGGATGTTATATTCTTGTATTCGCAGCCGTAAGTTACCTTAAATTTGAAAATGTATAGGTTTTATTTGTGTTTTTTTAGTATTACGACGAGGTTCATATCCCACTTTCCATTGGTATCTGCCTTTTTGGTGCAGCCTCAAATGTATTCAATATTATTGTTTTAACAAGGTTGGTAGAAAGAAATGTTATTATTAATAAATAAAAAATTCTTTCTGCAAAATGAAAAAAAATAAATAAATTGTTCTTCAGAAAACGGATGCGAACACCAATTAACGTGTTATTTACGGGACTCTCGGCTGCGCAATGGTTGTTAGCTACTAATTATTTGCTTTTTCTCATTTTGGAATATTATCGAATGCAATGGTAAGAAGATTTTTAAAAAACTTTTTTTTTCAATGCGTTTTTTTTCAGTGTGAGTTTTCTATGGTCCAAGTCATTCACATATTATCGGTTTTTGAATGTCAATTTGAATACGGTTTTTCACACAAGTGAGTTTGGGACTTGTAAGGGAAGGTATTGTAAAATATGTTTCAGTTGCATTTGCGACAACAATTGCTCTTGCCATCTTCCGATACTGTGCTCTGAAATTCCCAATCCGTGCAAACAGGTTTATATACAAAGTGAAACCTGCGGTCGCCGTCAACATTTTTATCTGGTTCATTGTGCCAATCATTAGTTTGCCAGTCTTCTTCATCTCCGAAGTTAAAGAACTCGACGGCGAACAGCTGCAATATAATATGAATTGCTCAATGTCAGGACCATTGTATGATTTGAGTTATCAGGGAAATCCCACCATGGTTTCTGCGGTATTTTGGACTTTTGGAATTGTTTTCAAACTATTACCATCGATTATTCTCGCTGTGATGACTATCGGGTTAATAAGGTTGGTTAAAAAATAATTCGAACCAATTTCAAAATCCAAATTCTAGATCTTTGAAAAGTGTGGAGCGACGCCGTACACATTGGAAACGCAATCAAGGGGGTGCTCAATTTTGCACAAGTTCTGAACGAAAAGCTAAAAAAAAGTTGACAACTCGACCAAGAACTACACGAATGCTTGTTATTATTTTGTCACTATGTTTATCAGTAGAGTTCCCAATGGGAATTTTGAATCTATGCGTGGCGATATTTGGTGAACATTTTGGTGAAGTTGTTTATGATCCACTGGGGAATTTGATGGAAATGCTCACATTATCATATAGTTGTGTCAGCTTCGTTTTATATTGTCTTATGAGTAATGATTTCCTATCAACATTTCGAGCATTGTTTTGCCCATGGGCTGAGAAAAACCCATTTCCGCTTACCGTTGGTGGTGAGTATTATTTGATTAGTTTTGGTTGTTTATTATCATTATTATACAAAAATGAAATCAAATGATCAATTTTTTCAGGTAGTTGGAAAGGTCGTCGAGATGATGATCAGAAATCACCAAGAAGTTGTCTTATCAATTATACCGGACCTAACTCATATGTTGGAACAACTACACCAGTGCCTCCATTATAATAAGAATATTTTCATTATGCTTTCTTTTTGTTCAAGAAAAAATATGCTCTTTTTTGTTTTTTGAAAACAAAAAGTTCATTATTGTTTGTATAAAGAATGTATTTTTCATAAAGTATCGTTTTTTTTGTTTTCCTTGGCTGGAATTTGTTATTATCTTTTCTTTTGAAATTACTACGGTAGTTCAGAAAACAGATTTTTTTGCAGAGTTCAATTAGATTCTTGAATATTATTATTTTCAGACATAATATTATTAATATTGTAAAATAATCCGTGTGATCAAAAACCAACCGATTTAAAATGGAGGGTGTTTTGTTATATTAATATTATCATCATATATTTTTTTCATAGAAAAAGTTCACATGGATTAGAGTATACTCACTTTATTTTTGCAAACACAATTTATTTAACTAATGAGATTAGTATATAATTGTATACATATTTTTGACTTCGTAAAACATTGTGACCAGACGTTTTTTTTTCTGTTGAAAGGAAAATGAAGTGAGGGTGTTTAACGAAAATTTCCATAAAACATAGCACGAAGAATAATGTTCTTGGAATTTATTTTCAAAAGTTGGCGTACAAATTGCTAGACACTACCATAGTACACTCAACTACAAACTAACGTCAGATCCTTGATTTTTTTGCTCTCAAAAATTTTAAAACACTCACGTCGACTAGAAAGTGTCAATTTTCTTTCATGAACTAATTGGAGAAAAAAAGGTTCGATTCTGTGTATCCACATTTATTTTTATGATGATGAGAAAAAACACGAACTCTCATCTTTGATTAAATAAAAAAACGGTCTCGTAGACAAATAATTTGACACATTGGAAGAATGAGAAAAAACAGTTCATTCACAATGCTCCTTTTTTCTTCAATATTCTTCTGTTTTTCCATTTTGGTGACTTTTATAAAGTCTGAAGAGACAAAAGGTTAGATTTTCTGGAAATAAAGATTAGCTTAAAAATAGGGATTGTTTTAGTTGGAGTTCCTGGAACTGAATGTTTGTTTGGTGGAATTTGTTCGGGTGGTTCGGTTTGCATTGATATTTTATGTTTATGTGTGGATGGACAACGAGAGTGGAATTATGAATGTGTTGAGAATGATGTTTATGAAAAATTCGAAAAAGGTGATTGAAAAATTTGTGTTTTTTCAAATATTTGGTGCGAAACTAGACAATCTCTTCAGAAATTTTTCAAAATAATCAAATCTGAATAGAAATATGAGCAATTGATTAGAAAAAGTTTTTTGAAACTCCCACTTTAATGCGAATTATTCTTTTTAGAGTTACAACATATTGCTTTATAGAAAACTAGAAGGGCTTCGCTGGCTAACGCCATCTACAGTAGAAATGACTAAAAATATTCGACTATGAGAGAAATTAGAACGATCAGATAAGAAACGTGGCCTAATAATTTTTTCGAATAAAAACGTGATCATTCTTTTTTGCATGAAAAAAGTTTTGATTTTTCACGTGAAAACACGCGCATTCTTTGAAAAATCGAATATTAGCGCCTCGATGGGAAAGAATTTGAGATCAAATGGTGAAGGTCCCATCAAAAATGATCTTCTGGAAATTGAGAAAAGTCGAGCGACACATTTTAAATCCGAAAAATACATTGAGATTTTCAATCTTTTCATTCTCCGCGCACTCACAGACATTTTGAGAAAGAATGAATAGGAAGCGCATCGAGCTGCCAACATTTAGAAACTTTTTCTTTTTTTGATCATCACTTTTTATGCGCACAGTTTTGAGAACGGGACCCGGACACACTATTGCCAAAAAAATTTTCCCAATTAGTATATTATTATAGAAAATTTAAATATTTTTTTTTCATATTCAGAACACCAAGCAACAACAAATGTGGTGACATCAAGTTTGGCAACAATTGGTTTAGCTGGACACGCGTGCGGAATGGGTGGAGTATGTCGTCCATCAACAAAATGCATTGATGGAACTTGCAAATGTAGTCAAGGATATAATCCATCATTTGGTGAATGTGTACGCGATTTGTCTGGTTGGTTAAAAAATGAGAAATTGCTCTTAAATCAAAGAATTTTTTCAGTGCCCAGACAACTGCCACGCGAGTTCAAACCAGATTTTAAGTCATTATTGAGATTTCCTTCTTGAATATGAAAATTTTTTGATTTTAATGTGTTTTTTATACAAGCTGAAAAAATATTAGAATTGTGATCGTAGTAAAGAATTTTTCAAAGTTCGAACAGGTGGAAAATGAATACTGGATTATTTGCAAATATCACAATGAATCCAACATCAAGAAAAGTGAAGTTGGAATGAAAAAAAATGTTTTTGAATTCGAAGGAAAAGGGGATTGGAAGAATGAAAAATCCAACATGAAATTAATCAAAATTGTTTATTCAAAAAAAAGAAAGATTATTTATAGTATTATGTAACCGTCGAAGAGCAAAAATGGCATCACTTCAAATGAAAAAATGAGTACAAAGAGTGCAAATACCCTAAATTCGAAAAAAAATAACTATACAAAACTAGAATTAGAGTATTCAAAAATGTTTTTGGCAAGAAAAATATTTGTTTTTTTTATTGTTTGTTGGTCCCAATTGATGTTTAACTGTAGAGTTTATCGAGTTGTTTGCGGAATGCATTTTCAATATTTTTACGCTTCAATTTGAGGGCTTCAGTCAAAAGTCCTGAAGCTGGTGTCCAAGCTTCAGAGCAGAGGTAGATTTTTTGGGGTTGTTCGACACGTTGTAATTTTGCTGAACAAAAAAGTTATATTTGGAAAAGTTCTTTTCGAAAAACAACTTACAAGCAGTATATGAAGCCAATTCCTTTTGCACGGCTGCCACAACTTTAGGATCTTGGCACACTTTTTCATAATCACTTGTATCAACTTCCAATTTTTCAGCAAGAGCAGTCAAATTTTTCTGATTTGGAACAATAAGAGCGACAAGGAAGCTTTTTTCAGAATCACCATATACACACACATTTTCAACGATTGCGTTTGTCAAAAGATTTGTTTCAACTTTTCCAAGGGAAATGTATTCACCATGAGCCAATTTCAATAAATCCTTTTTACGATCTGAAAATAATGAAAATTATGTTTCTTGTTTCCAAAACAAGTTTACTACAAAAAACGCGCTGCCTAACCAGCCATGCCCTGAATCCACTCAATTTAAATCCCCACCCAAACTCACCAATAATTTTCAATGAACCATCTTCTCTGAATTCTCCAATATCACCAGTTGCAAAGAATCGTTTTCCATCAATAATCAAAAATTCTTCTCTTGTCTTCTCCTCATTTTTATAATAACCTTGTGCCACATTTGGACCATTGATCAAAATTTCACCCTGTGGTGGATTATTCTTTGGTGAATAACCAGCTTCTGACCATTCGCGAAGCAAAATTTTTGTGCATGGAAGTGGAGGCCCAACAGTTCCTGTCGATAAATCATGAACATCAGCCAAAGTTCCACCTCCACAAGTTTCTGTCAAACCGTAACCTTGGACAACTGGACAGCAGAAGCAGATATTCATGAAACGTTGAGTTTCTGGTGACAAAGGAGCACCACCGGAAAGAATTTGACGAACATGTCCGCCGAGAAGTTTGCCAATTTTGTTGAAAACTAATTTATTGAGAATTACACTGGTGTATCCATCTTCATATCTTGCTCGTTTTCTTTCATAACAGGTTTTGAACAATTCACGGAACATTTCGGAATTTGAATTAACTTCATCGATGACTGCTTTGAAAATTCTATCCATAACAGCCTGAAAATGAAGAATTTTATGAATGATTGTAGAATCAAGAATTGGTTGCAATTTTGAAATAACAAAAAACCTACTGGAACACACGCCATCAAAGTAGGTTGAAGTGCCCAGCAATCACCATGTTCGCCCTTCAAAATCTTTGGAGCTCTGTCAAACAAAGTTTGCGCAGATGAATATCCAATTCTGACACCCTTTGAAAACACAACCATTTCAGCGCAAACTTCGAGAATATGTGCAAGTGGAAGATATCCAATATATCTATCATCGTCGCTGAAAAAAATTTGCATTAAAAATATTGAAGATGAAAAAAAAATCGAAAAATTATACTTCAAATTGATATTGTAGGCTTGTCCAGCTGTGACGGCGACAATATTTTCATGTGAGATCATAACACCCTTTGGATTTCCAGTTGTTCCAGATGTATACATAATTAAAGCCAAATCATCTTTATGGCTTCGGATTGGGATTGGAGATGCTGGAAAGATATCACTTGAAGTTAAAATGTTTTTATCTATAAGTATCACAGAAAATTAACACACTTCTATCATCTACAAATTTTAGAGATCCTGAAAACGTGTTTTGAAACTTGTGAAAATAATGATATTTCTTTTCACTTCAGATTTCCACTAGCTTAGACAAAATATATTCCGGGACTCCAAATACTTTTTTGTAAATCAATCAAACAAACATAGGAGAAAAACAACAGAAAATGTGTTAACTTTCAAAAAACTCCAAACATTAGGTAAAAAACACATACAGTACTCACGTTCCCCTTTATTCAAGAGTTGATCGAATGACAGAAGTGTGAATGACAAATCAACATCAATCGATTCTCCGCGAGATGCTGGATCAACACTATCGAAATAAATGATATTTTCAATTGGAGCACCATTGCTCATCGCTTTTTTGACTTTTGAGATAAGAGCTTCTGATGTGAAGATTGTTTTTGCGCCAACTTCATTGATTGCATATTCGACGGCTTCATCTCCAAGGGTGGCATACATGGTGGCAACTGGAATTTTTTTTGTGTTTCGTAGTTTCCGATTATTTTCAATTTAATCACTTTGAAAATTTTTGGAAATCAGGAAATAATTTGCTGATTGAATTAGTAGGGCTAATTGTGAATGTGTATTTTGGAAGGAGAAACAATATGTTTCATTTTTTGATCTCAAAAACTGTGGGAAATTTAAAAATAAATATATGGAACAATTTTGAAAAACTTATTTTGAATTTTATTAAAAAGATAGAAATAAAGTTTGATTTCTATACTTCATGAAAAGTTCAGAAGTTTCCACCTTTCACTTTCCAACTTCCAACATTATCTACTCACTTGGAAAGTTCATTTTGAAACATGCCAACGCGGTTGTCATCCATTCTTCACGTGTTTCAGCAAACAAAATCACCGGTTCTTTTTCTTTCTGTCCCAAACTCTCTAAACCAGACGCAATTAAATTGATACGTTTATCAACTTGTGCATATGTTCGCCAATTGTAATTTCCCATTTGCCATTTTTCGAAAATCTTCCCGTTTGGTTGTTTTTCTTTATGCACTTTGAGGACTTCACGGGTTCCCATACATTCTTTGTTGCCATATCTCCTAAAATACATTTATTTTTTTTATTTTTTCTTCAAAAGTTCGAATCACAAACTTGACACATTCTTCCCATTGTCTTCCGAGATCGTGGATTCCATCAAAGGAAGTATGAATAAGCCCATCTTTAGCCTCAACATTGCTCCAAGCTTGTTCTGGATCACTATGCTCTGGCTCGGCTTTGATTCGTTTCGAAAGCTCAAGTTTTTGCGCGGGATCAGCAAAAATTTTGAATGGAATGTATGTGACTACATCAAAAACGAAGAACAATGCCTGAAAATTTTCAAATAATTTTTTTTCAAAAAGTATATATTTTTTCTCTCGTAACAATTTTTTCAATTAAACCCACCTTCAGAATTGTGATTGCCACTGTGATTGAAATTGGTCTCTCATTACCATTTAACGCTTGTTTAAGATCAGTTTCGTCAACCATCACAAATCTGAAAAAAACACCTATGCTATTTTTAAGTTAAAAAAATATAACGGAGCACAACAGAAAATTTTTCGCTGTAATAATATGAAAGTGCTGTTGTTTTTAGGTTTCAAATTGCAGAGAGATGGAAAAACAAAACAAAACAACAAAATATTTCAGATCACCTGATGTTTTTTGAAGTCAGGTAATTGAATTAGAAAAGGAAAGAGATGGAAAGAAAGAAAACCTTGAAACAGTAGATTTGTTCAAATTATTTATGAAGATGATTTTTTTTTCTCACTAAACATTTTATCGTCAAGTAAACAGAAAAAAAGGTAGGAAGGGTACAAAGTTTGTCTAGTAGAAAATAAAGAGACAAAAAAATAACCAATCAAGATTATTATTATTATATCTATAAGAAAATCTAGATATTTTTGACAAAGGTCATATATGTATATTAGGGTTAAGAAATATTTTTATTAGCAAACCAGTTTGATGCTTGAAAATTTCTCGAAAAAGAACTTTGTATCCATTTCAAATTGTACTAATTCTGATTACATATAAAAAATTTTGAAAGTAGAACCAATTGCCTTTTTAAACCAGTTCTCTTTGAGAATTTTTACGAAGTGAAGGAAAAGACTTCAAGAAAAAAACAAAAAATATACTTAACTACTGTTGAGTGAGACAAATAAAAGAAAAGAAAAAAATGAAGAAGCACAACGTGACGGTAAAATAAACAAAACAAAATTTCAAGGTTATTTATTTATAGGAATAGCAAAAAAAGTGAAAAAAAACTTATTGATCTTTGAATTACATTACTATAGAGGACTTATTCAAACACTTTGAACAGTTTGTGGTGTTTATGATCTACTAATCAAAATCAAAAAGTCAATACTTCCTGATTTGGAAAATAATGTAGGAATTTCGTTTTTTGCACTGATTCTGAATATTAAATTTTTCACTCATTATGGATTTTTTTAAAATTAGAATCACTAAAGAAGACCAAACAATCTAAATAAATGTGGGAAGAATGATAAAACAATAGTGATTTTATTTAGACACGAAAAAATGAAGTATACAGTCCTAGATTTTTGTTCTCAGACTTCTAAGAGTGGTTCGAGAATTTTAAGCCAAAACATTTATGACGTCATTGGGTATTTTCAGGTGTGTGATCAGCAGATATTGACAACAACATCGTGATCAGCAATCGACAGAAAACAAAAAAATGAGGACTTTTGCTTGAAATACTCAGGATTCAATCATGAGAAATTTAAAAATGTGGAGTATATAGGTTCAGAAACTGTTTTTATAACTTCAAGAAAAATTAAAAGAACTCAAAAAACCTCCATTTTAGTATCGCAACACAGCAAAAAGCTATGAGCAGATGGTGAAAACAGGGAGAAGATGATGTTGTTTTTGCTCATCATCATCCTCTATCTAGCCTAGCATGTGCTTTTTCTTTTCCATCTCCTTCCCGTAACAATCAGTGAGTTTACGTGTTGTAATATTGAACGTAATGACATATCACGTCAGTAGAGAAAAACGAGCAGAGAAAACGACGCAGGAAGCATGGTGTTCTCTTCTTCTTCTTATTTTTGTTGCAGGCAAACAACTAGAAAAAAAAGAGAAATGAAAAAAAATATAACATAACTACTTTGGTGGTGGTGAGATGATATTGATAAAAACACGTAATTTATCATTTTGATGACATTTTTGATCGATTTCATTCGCCCGATTTGTTGCGATTTTTGTTTTTTTTCTCTCTATGTTTTGGTTTGGTTTCGGTGTTCGATAAAAATTTGAGACCAACAATTTTAAACTGAAGAGAAAAACTGAACAAGAAAACGTTTTCAGACAAACTTCAAAAAATCCAATCATCTTTGATTTTTTGAGAGAAGTCATTAATCTCATCTGAAAAATCAGACCACTTTAACGAAATAGTGAAAATGTTTTATGTCTGAATGGGACCACTCTCAGAAAGTCGCCCGATTGAACTATAGACCCGGCTGGAAATTCAGGCAAAATTGATTCATCAGGACTGATTCAAACTATGAAATTTCACAATAATAAAATATAAAGCTGAAAATTACAGACAAGTTGTTTCAAAATGAATTTGTCTAAAGCAAAGTGTCTTTTCTGAAATCTACAACAGTAAAATTAACTGTGTAATTTTCATTAAATACCTATTTTCAGAAATCAAAAAAACAACGCAGAAAATATCAAATTATATGTAGAAACAAAAAAAAGAAGATACACATTAGCGTATTTTAAGTGTATACAATAAAATGATTATAATTAGACATATGAAATCATTGTGGGCGTGGCTTAGAGATACACTACAAACCGTAAAATAGGCTACATTGTAGTGAGTTCTGGGAAAATGATCAGATGAGCAATGGGACCATTGTAGCTCAGGAGTGAGAGAAAACCTTTGAAAATTGAATTTTTTAAGTGGAGTGTTATTTTTTCCTATTAACTACTAGAAAAATAAAATCGAGATTTGTATTTTAAAACTCTCTAGCTATAGATCACTCAAATAGTTGAAGATAAAGCTAAAATCTTGTGAAAAAAAAAACAAAAAGAAAATTATAAAATTCGGAAAAGTCTCATTAAAGTTCAAAAAACAGTATGTAAAAAAAGTACCCAAAATGTTTTTCCATTTCTCGAAAGGTGTAAAATGGTAATATAACATTGCTAGACTAAAAACATCAAAAGAATGGCGCAGTGACTGATATGATTCATATTAGACACATAGACAGACAAAGATCAGAAAAATAGGGTATTTCGGGTTTCAAACATCTGGTGAGGAAAATTTACAATCTTGGAGAGGTCAGACAAAAGTTTATAAATCATTGAGCAAGGCTCCAAACAACAGTAAATGTTCTGCGCAGAATCAAATTATCAAAAAATATCTTCGAAAAATAGTTTTTCTCAATATTTATTTATAGATTGGAAGATAGAGATTTTCAAAATATTTTTTAAAAGAAAAAGCTATTAAAATCTGATAAAACTACAGTTTAAAACTACAAACACATTTTATTTATCTATGAATTTCAAAATCGAAAATTCCCGATATGATTTTCCTAGAATAGGACATTATTTTTCCTACGGTATATGTTTTCTAATGGGGCTATTCATGTATTCTCTCAGCATGTTGAGAAAACAGGAGAAATGCGGAGGAAATACATTTTCTCCGCTTTTTTCGTATTTTCTCAGCCTACCTGAATAGGTTTTCTCCGCTTTTCTCCCGTTTTCTCAGCGTTGAAAAAAAACATGAATAGCCCCATAAGTAAAAATTGTCAAGAGGTACTAAAAATTTGAAAAAAAAAACAATTCTGGTTTTATTTCAATATGAATGATTTTCTGGAAACCGAAAAAAAAAAGGGTGTGTCACATAAAAATCATAAGATTTTTTTTCAGAATTGTGAGTGAAAAAAACGTACTGAGTCATTTTTATTTAAATTTTTTTTACTAAAAATCTGGCAAGAAAATCCCTGACAAAAAAAAACTATTTGAATAAATGAGCCCACATAAATAAATTCATCCAAATTGTCATAATCATGTGTGTCAACTGACCAAGAGAAGAGCAACTGCTAAGGGTACAAAGAGCCCGTGAGATCTGCCAGGTACAAAGTACATGCGCACGCATGTATGTACTATAAAATCATATGATAAATCCATAGGTAACAGGACGAAAAAAAAAGAAAAAAAGCCTCAAAAGAAAATGCCGATAATAAAAAATAAACATCGCATTTTATTACACTTGTTTTTTCTCTAAATTTTTTGAAAAGAAATAATTTTGTTCTCCCAACAAAAAAAAACTGTTGAACAAAATCGTTTTTTATGACATCTGATAGGCATCACGAGACGAACACAAAAAGCAATTGGGCGGAGCCAAACACACCATTTGGAACAAGAATGAAATAAATTTATTTATTGCACGAAAAAATTGAAAAACTCCTAATTACATCACAATTAATAAATTATTACCCGTTATCAATAAAGGCCTTTTTATAGAACAAATTAGGCAAGACTTTCTAAAAATGAAGATGACGTGCGATTCTCCTTCAGAAGCTTATAAGAATATGATGTGCGTGATAAACCTCGTCGTTTTTCATTGCTGAAACATAGCAGTGAATGTTCTTTGGTGAAAATTATAACGAATAGAGCAAATATTCCAATCAATAAAAATAGAGGTACATAAACAGATTCAGCTGCAGAATGGGTTTTCTTGACGGTTAGATTGCGAGAGCTGTCGCGGAGTGGAAAGAATCTCATGTGATAAATCATTGCGCCGAGGGCCCATTGAACTTCTTGACCAGCGATTGTTGAGACACTCTGAAAAACAGATTTTTTATTCACTTCAAATTTGTTTGACCAAAGCTGTTCTGTATTTTCTTCAGAAAAAAGTTACCCACCTGGAAATTATTGTGTTGCTTATCAACAGCGAAACCATCGTGAAGCACAGACGAAACCCAAGCTGATTTGAAACACTGCGATTGCAAGCGTTCTTCATCTGCTCTCGGATACAACGATTTCTTGGCAGATGCCTGAATTGTTGACCAACGTTGACCACAAAATTGATTCGATTTCTTCGCAATCATTGTTGCATTATATTGACCACCTAATCCCAAAACATCGTGTGTAGAATACCAATATTCAGAAAATCCATACAATTCAACATTTGACAATGGAATGTTTGGAGCAGGAACAGCTCCGAAATAGCATTTCGATATTTCTGGTCGTGTGCAGAGCTCTGATTTTTGCTCAGGATCTAATAATGTGCTCACTTCTTTCACACATTCATTCCAGTTTCCAGTACCCTGAAAATTGAATATTTTTAATAAAATACAATGATATGATAAATTACCCTTCGCACAAAATTATCACCATTCTCCAATTTCACAGTCTTATGAAAATTGAGAGGTAAACAATCATCTTGAATAACTGTTCCATTTTGATCTTTCAACTTTCTCTCAAGTTTTGTCTCATATTTCCGATTTCCCTCATTTACACCATATCCCAAAAATGTGGTCACAAACAACTTGTACTTGAAAGAACTATCATCTTCGCGACATCCAAGATTAATCTAAAAATGAATGATTAGAAAAGCAAACATCAGAAAAATGCTCACATTTTCAACACTACTACTTCGAAAACTTTCAGTTTGATCGAGTTCGAAAGCAATTTGCATACTTGCTCCACCCATATCAATCATTCCCACAGTTTTTTGACGCGGCGAAATTGTGATACCATTTTGTCCCGGAAATGTGACTTGCTCTGGTGTAGTTTTGTTGAATTTTCCTGGAAAAATAAAGATTTTCAATAGTTTCCGTTAAAATCTTGTGATATGAAATTCTCTAGTGTTTTTCTGAGATCTACAATTGGACTTCTAAAATTCTATGAACAAGATGTTTCAGTCATCACAATATGCAAATACGGTCCCCAATATTTTCAGTTTTTTTTTCAAAATATAAAACCATCATAGTTTTTGAGTAATCGGATTTACAATTCAAAATGACGTATCAATTTTTCAAAGATCTACATCACTTTCCTTTGGTTGGAAATTAAATTAGCCTTTTAGCTCATCAAAAAACATACCTAAAGCATAATTGACAGCTATCCAACTATAAATTCCCTCCCATTTTCCCTCAATAACTCGAATATGTTCTTTCATCACTTGCATTTTTGTCATCGCTGGTAATTTGGTTTGCAAGTTTGTCAAAACTGCTTCTTTCTGCCTGTAAAATAGAATCACATATAAAAATTAATTCCAACAAAAAACTTACTCATCAGGTAGAAGTCTCATTCCAGCAGTTGCGAAAATAAAAACCGGTGTAAATGGCAATTTGTCTTCAGGAATATGTTGTTCCGCAAGATCCATCAAAGGTTTGATATATTCGGCAGCTTGGTCAGGTTTTGTTCCAAACGTGCTCAATCCTGGGCTGATTTTTCGCATAACTGGTTTTTGCTCATACATAACTGGTTCAATTTCAATCAATCGATTGTCTGAAGTGCTGATCCAACTATAAACAAAAACACGGGTACCCGTTGAACCCGCATCACAAATTACACCATATGCTCGTTCGTGCTCTGAAAATAGTTGTTCAGATACTGAATTCGAGTGAAAGTAAAATGTACCTGTGCTAATAGCAGCCGAAATTGGACCGGCTTGAAGAAAATAGATAAAAATGATGATGGGTAGCATAACAATAGCCAAAACGGCACAAATGAGAAAACGAAAAGTCATACGCATGGATCAGCTCATTCGGAACCTGTAAAAATTTGATAAGAAATTGGCGTGGACAGACGCGAGTATTTTTTTTGATTTAGTGAACCATATGATCGTTATCAGTAGAAAAAATTGAGTTTTTTTTTTGAAAAAGTACACATATTCACTATTTGTAGTTGTATAGTGCACATATAAAAAACCAAAAAAAATATGGAAGAAATAGAGATTCTCTTACTGAAAAATCGAAAAAAACGTGTATTTTTTTTCAAAAAAAAATCATAAAAATTCCAGAATAAAACATCCTATGTGAAAACTATTATCGAATTAGGAAAAATCTAAAATTCCGAAAAAAAATGAAAAATTACATTTATATCAATAATAATTCGGTACCTGCAATATAATAATAAAAATAATGTGGACGTTTGCCAACACGATTGTGAAAGGGACTCGTTGCGAGACACATAAGAGCAGTGGCATTAGGCGGAGTGTCGTTGTACTTTTTACTTTTTTTTATATGTAAGAAAAGGTTTCGCTATGATTTTAATGCTTTTTGAATGGGAATAAGGATAAAAAATTAGTGTTATAAATAGCGATCTGAAAATAGCCGGAAGAGAGAGAATTTTCTGTAAATATAACTGAAATATCATCTACCTGGATTATTTTGTGCTTCTTCAATTTTACCAAACAACCTCTTAATAAATCTTCATTTGACAAGGAATTAAAAACAATCAGCTGCAAAACGCGTAAAGAGATCATATAAACCGGCATTTTCAAAAACGGGGTTTCAAATTCTATTATAAAAAAACAATTATATTTTTGGTCAGGTGAAAGTTATGAAATGTAAGGGTCCAACAAAGCTTATAAATAATATGGTAATTGATCAAAAAATGTGGCATGATTGTAGATCTCCTCAACAAGATGACGATGCAAACCATAACTTTGATCGCGCAACACATCTGCAAATTGTACAGCATAATCCGGATTTTGTGAAGTTTGCACAATTTCGTGAAGACCAGCCACTTCTTTTTCAAACAATCCTCTTCTTTCTGGAAGTTTTCGAAGAGCTCGAACCAAACGATTGATGTTTGCAGAGACAGCTTCACTGTTATAGCTGATTGGCTCTGAAAATTTTTGAAATCATTATACACAAATTGAAAATTCTCTAACCATCTGTATTCTGATCAACTTCAATTGGTTCATCAGTATCAATTTTGGCAATAATCATCTCTGCAACACGATATCTTTCAGGAAGATATTCTGGCTGATCATCAAATTCAAGAGGAACCGCTTCAATATCCGGCGAATTCACATAAAACTCATCCGTATCATCTTCCTCATATTGTCTGTCAGCATCTTCTTCGCTAGAATCAGTCGGTTTTTCTTCTGCCACTTCTTCCTCAATTTTAACCTCTTCAATGCAAGTTTCCTCCTTTTTCGGTTCAGGCTCACTGAAGAAATCGATATTGTCCAATCGATTGCAGATACTGAATTTGCCATCGATATAATTGAAATATTTAACACGTAGGAAAACATAACATTCTCCTTTGTCAGTTTCACCAAGAGCTACACTAATTGTTTCCTCGTTGTCTGGATCTTTGTTGAGATCATAAATAGCATCAAGCATACAATCGTGAACTATGGTATTTCTGACCATGTCAACTGAAAAACATTAATTTTCAAGGTGTTTTTCTTTAAATACAAAATCTCACTTTTTGGATAAACCAGCTCATCGTCGGCATCATCATCGTCATTCGGATAATAAAACAATTCTCTAGTTTTAATGTTGCAACATCTTTGAGGAATGAAATAACAGCGTCCGCTGACTTGATAATCTTCAATTGATGAAACTGGAACACTATGTATAAGTGAGAGCTTCTTGATTTTATAATCGTTGTTGACATTGTTATCGAGAGGACAAAGAGTTCCACGAATCAATCCTAAACCACTCTCAAAATATGTCCAATGATCTGACATTATAGTATAATGCAAATGTGCAGCGTAAAATCGAACATCTTTTTTGGCCACGGGAATTACTTGCTCGTCTGTTGGAATCTAAAAAATAATGAATAAAAATAATAGTTTTTTCATAAAAAAATAAAATTATAAACTCACTTTCTCGGCAAATTTTCTCGCATTATAAATACCATCAACAAAATCAAAAATCGTGATCGATGGAAAAAGTTTCAACAATTCTGTAGTTAACAACGGATAAATTGTCAAAAACAGCAACAGATCTTCTTCCTCGCATTGTTTCGAGATTTCCAGCCATTTTTCAAAACAATGTGTGGTGATATTACGATTTTCGCGCAAATCTCCAATCGTTTTTTTCACATCAATCAAATTTTCTGATGTTTTTGATATTTCTACTTGCTCTGATCCACGGTACTGAAAGTTTATTTCATTGGTTCATTGAAGAATAAAACAAAAACGACGTACCAATTGAATCTTCTCACTATAAAGATCCTCAAAATTAGCCAAATTCAAAAATGCCTCAACCAAATCTAAAGCCACGTCGTATGCTCCAATTGTGATGAACAATGGTCCAATATCAATGTAAAGACGAATTGTTTTCAAATCGGTCATCTGAAAGATGTTTTTATATAAATTAAATATTATTGCAAAGAAAACACAAAAACGATAACAAAAAAGGTTCCTAACTTGAAGGATAATTCAAAAAACTTCAATTCAATAAGAAAAAACCAACGAAAACCCGTAAAAAATAAAAAATAATATAAAACTTACCGACGCTAGTGTCTGTTTGAATATTTATCAATGGAGCAGATTTGCCGCAACAAACAAACAACTTCTTGCAGGGAAGAAAAAAAGGAAAGAAAACTTATGAAATATTATTTTGAGAATATTAGGACGAAAGTAGGGGCAAACTAATCGGGAACTTCTTTAGGAAGAGTTGACAAAAGACAGTGTTTTTGATTCTAGCTCGTGAGGTCAAGCCTTTATATAGAAAAAACCACTTGAATTTTGAAAAATAATGCGAGTTCAGACAAAAATTTGGAAAAGTTTTCTTTGCAGATGTAGTTTATGTTGAAGATATCATATTCACTAAATTTAATTTGTGACAGAAGATTTCCTGAGCCAATGATTTCGAGAACGCGAACACTATTCGGTGAAATAGAAGATTTATTAATAAATACCATATCTCCCAAGAATTCAACTAGAAAATCAGAAAGCAACAACAAGACAGTTATTTTTGTTCAAAACTCCCTGGCGTTTTTGTTTGATTTATTATTTGTCATTCAATTTGTAAATATATGATCGGAAATTAGTCTTGCTTTCTATTTCTATGACAACTTTACTCGATTTTCTCATACCATACGTGTATTTTTTTCTTCTTTAAAAATAGAAACAATTCATTTTTTTTATCCAAAAAGGGTCGTCATATTTTTGCACATTCTTGTCCCTATCATAAAAAGCTTGAGTCATAAATGATGAGTGAGGGAAAAACGAAACCTTTTTGTATCGCGTCCGACTTTTTTGACGGGCTTAATTGTGATTTCATTAATTATTGGTCATATTGAGTAAGCCTCAAACTTTCTTTTCTCCTCTCTTTTTTTTTCTTCGCGAGTTTTTATTTTTTTTCAGCCAGAAAGACGAAGAAAACTTGTTTTACTGCAATTCAAAAAACCTTATTCTTTTTTTAATCCTGGGTTTTTGTAAGCGAACAAAAACCAAAAGTGCAATCAAGAGAGTTTCAACTCTGTTAATTAACCTATTCAGTAGTTTATGTATGATATCATTTTTTTTTAAAGTTGTTTTCCAAAACAAGTTTGGCTTAAAACAAACATCAAAGATTTTTTCAAATAATTAGAACCTGTATTTTATATTATCACTGAAAAAATGGATGTATATATATCCCAATGTAAAAATCCCAAGCTCGAGAAATAATGATTTTGTCCAAAGTATTTTTCTTGGAAAACCGTTTATCAAATACTCATAAAAAATTTTTTTCGAAAAATTCAAGCAAAAATTTATTTTTTCCAGGAATTTTCAGATCTAATGTGACAAACACGCAATTTCTCCATTTATTTGAAAGTTTTCAGAATTTCCTTGATTTTTTAAAAAATTTCTTCAACTTCTCAAAAAAAAAAATAATTTTTTAAAAATTACATCAAGTATAATTATGCTTTGTAATTGGGGCCACTGGATTCACTGGATTTTTGTACAATGTGAACGCTGAAAACATTTTCCTTATTTTTTTTTAGATAAACGAGTTAAGTCATCGTATTCGAAAGATCAAAATATATCCTCGTAGGCGGTTCAATAGAAGTTAATTTGAAAATTATACTTTGACACGAACTTCCAGGGTTTAAGTTATAATAACAGCATTTTTCAATCATTTCTAGACCCTTCTGAATGTTTCAATGAAGTTTTTCGTTAAATGTTTTTCAATATTTTTGAGCTCACCCTTGATGCTTCGATTTTTTGTTGGCGCAAATGTGTGAATAGTTTAGACACCTTTCTGCGCCAACGACCGCGATCAAAGTCGAGTCGTGAATTAGCGTTAAGGATGCAAATATTTTCCCCAGTATTTTCAAATTTAATTTGTAATTATTCACTTCTCAATTTTGAAAAACCTGATGATTCTGTCCAAAAATGACATCAGATTCATGTTTTGAACTTTTCCAAGGTTTCCGAAGAATTGCATGCTTTGTTAACAAAATCTCTGCGCAAAAAATATTCCGTGCATGCAACAAAAAACCCACTTTTTATTATTGAATCACAAAGAATCAACAAGTAAAAACTTTTTTCTTTATCCAATGTTTTTTCTATGAATGAATGTATATTTTATGTATATCCTCATAATTGAGAACAAAAATAAAAATAGCATATTTTTTTCTTATAAAAATGATGATTTACATAAATGAGACTACACTACTCGAATTCACAAAGCTCGTTAGATTTTTCGTATATTTTTACTTACATTAATGTAAATAAAAACATTATTTTTTTCTTGAAAAATAACATTCGATGTTCTTCCAAAGTTTCCTATTACCAGTCGAAAAACAATAAGAGCAACAATCTGCATTTAATTAATGAAATTGAAATTGGATAAAATCTCATGATGTTTTATTTGTTTTTTTTATTTTTGTTATGGGAAAATGTGATTTCTCTCTACCTACAAAATTAATAATTTCTCAGGAGAAAAAGCTGGCCAAAAATTTATTTCGGTTGTTTTTCATCGAATTCCTTCTTTCAAAACCTATAATTTTCTTTTTTAAGTGTATTTTTTCATAAATGAAATATTGAAGATTCAAACACAAAACATATATTTATAATAAGCAAAATTTCGATGAACCTAGCAAAAAATAGAAATATAAATTTTTGCGTGTCCAGAATTTTCAATTGACAATTTAAACAATTTTAGTTATAAACGAAGTTAATTAGTGAAGTATGCAAATATACTATTTTCACACGTACCTTTTTCACACTTTTCATTTATTTCCCTTCATTTTTTTCTCGTTATTTATGTCTTTTGATGTTAGAAAACATTGTGGCCCATGAAAAAGCAACGAAGATCAAATCAAATTTTCTCTGATTTGACCGGAAGACAAATCTGAGCAATTATTCATCGTTTGTCTCAACTTTTCGTTTTGTTTTTTTCTTCTTTTTTGTTATGTGTTTTTCGAAAAATACTCATCTTCTCATCGGATGAAAAATATTTATGTACTGAAATTGCTCTCTAGCAGAAGCAGAAGGGTTATAAATATAAAATATCGATTTCGTCTCCTTGTTTTGTTTACCAGAGCCCCAAGAAAATTTGTGTGTTTTCAGATATCATTATGAAATCGAAACGATCATTGATTCGAGCCATTTTGTTTGTTCTTCGATTACAGAAAAATGTGAATGTGAGAAGAAATGAATCGAGGCGGAACACGATTTTTGCATCGAGGAATATTGTTCGGTGAGGAAGAGAGAAGAATCAGAAATGATTTGATTCTTTTGTTTCATTTCTGATTGTAAATATCCATCAAAACTTGTTAAGGTGCGAATCAACCAAACATCGACGTCGATCATCTCATAAATGCTCGCAAAGACATCGAAACAGTGCACCAAGCAGTTCATATCCACTCAGGTTAGGAGACAAATCAAAAAATTTGTTTCATCAAAGTCAATCATCAAAGAAATTCACTAAATCAGAAATAACAGCAATGAAAAACTGAAAATGAGAGATTTCCATTTTCTACCGCAAAAAATATAATTTCTATCACCAAAGATACATTTTCCTAATAATCTCTAAAAATGTAGATGAATGTTTCTAAAAATAAATTGCAATATTTTCGTTGACAGAGTTATTTATCAGTTTGATCTGATATTGAAAGTTTCTAAAAATACACATTTTATTGAGTTTGACACGACAGAAGTTGGAAAAAAAAAACTAAAATCATTTTCAGATCTCCGAGTGTTCTTCGTTCATCAGTTTTTGATAGTCACGGTCACCAAAATGAAAATGGCTGTGATTTTGGTGAGTTTTCAAAAAACATATTTGTTTTCCCACAAGATTTCTTCTTCAAAAAATCCATATGGATGATTTTTTTCAAGATTTTTTGTTGTTTGAAAAATTAATTGTTTGTTTATTTATCTCCTTCTTCTCTAGTTTTTTCATATGGTTTAATTTGAAAACGAAGGCAACATCTTTTTTTCAATTTTCCATTTTTTTTCAATTTCACAAAGGTTCTTGTTCCAAATTGATATTTTGATTTCGGTCAACCTATCAAATTTTATCAACGTAAAAGACTGGACATTTTTTAGAAAGCACTAACTGATAACCAAAACGGAATATTATTATTTTTTATTCCCATTTTTTTCCTTTTCCTGCTCTCATTTTTCCCTTTTTGCTTTTGCACATTTTCAGTTAATTAATTAATAATGAGCAATTTTGATAATTGCAAAACGCATTTATTTTTTATGAATGAAAAAACTCTTTGTTTTGATGATCATATTGATCTTCTTTTTCTTAAAAATTAGCTTCATTTTCAGAAAATGCGAGTTCCTTTTACCTCATCATGTGAAACTGAAAAATGTGATTTTTTTGCGTTTGCCAATAAGTACTGACAGGAAATTACTTTAGTTTTTCATATTCTCGGTTTTCTGCTTCTTACATTCAGTTCAAAAAAAATTCATATTTTTTTTCGTGAATTTTGACCTCATTCGTTATTTATCAGGAAACAATCAACATGAAAGAGCAGAGTTGATTTTTTATCTTTCATGATTTTTGATGAAGGTTTTTTTTTCTTTTTTTCTGTAAAAATTATGTAGTTTCATCTTTCTCCTTCTCAAATTTTCGTTGATAAGAATATTTTTGAACATAGGAGAGTCCTTGCTGAAAACCCATTCAGTTTTCAGAAAAAATGGGGGCAGGAAGGTAACGGAAATTTGAAATATTTTTTTTGAACTTTGTTAAATCGAATTCCGATTTTTTATGTCTAGATTTTTTTCTAAAGAAAAACAAAATAAAAATCAAATGTTTATGCTAAGAGGTGGGATGAAATTCTTAAGAAACCCACGCATTTTTAGAGCCTGGCACGGCGAAGATATTCGAAAAACAAAACAAGAATCTCTGGTCTACCGTAATAATAAAAATTAATTCATAATTTCGGAATTCGTGTCATTCTGCAATGTGTGAGGGTCTAAATACGTTATGACGTGGCGAAGTCCACCGTATTCTAGATATATCAGAATATTAACTTTGCAGAAGTTTCGGAAAATTCCAAAACTGTATAGTTTTTAAAATGAAAAACAAACCCTAGAAATGGAGAATTGAATAATTTCAATGAAATTTCAAACATATTTATCTCTCTAAAAATCCTAATTTGCCACGTCATCCATTTTCTCCATCAGATATTGAGTTTTGAAATCCTCATTACTTGGTCATTTATTTTTTTTCAAAAAAGTTCAAAGAATAACCAAAAACAGTAGCCAAAGCAGCAAAAAAATTGACTTTCTAATTGTTTTCCCAGAGTTTGCTTGTTTCATGATTCATTCTCTTTTTTTCCAACAACAATCAATTTTAATTTCCGAAAAAAGTCATCATTTTTAACAATTTTTGTTGAAGTTTCATTATGTATAAAATCCTGCCTTAAAAAATCAAAGCTAAATTTCAATTAAAACAATGATTGTTTTAGGCGCATTTTCGGCAATGTCTCAACCATATTTGGTTGGGCTTGATGATTCGAGAGGTCGACCATTATTGAGTGTTTGTGCTGGAGCAGCACACACTTTGGCCTCCACAGCTTTACTTTGTAGACAACAAAGTTTGGATGAACCTGCTACACGGTGAGTCATTCTAGATTGAGGAATTATGTCATTTTGTTTTGAAAAAAAAATTTTATTTATGTGTAAATTCATTTTTTTTTCAAAAAAAAAAACATTGATTGTTTTTCAGGGCATTGGAAAAAAGTTGCATCAGGTCCACTTATGAGAGGTTAGTTTTTATTCAATGTTTCTTTTAAAATGTAAAAACAATTCTTGTCCGTACATAGAAAAGATAATTAATTCTATTTACATAAAAGTGACCTGATTTTCGATTATTTCCAACTGTTTCATTTATCTTCTCCTTTTCTCACTTCTTTTTTTTTTGAATATTCTTTTGGTGTTTTTTAAGGTGTTTCTGTTCAACGGCAATCGAGTATTGAATTGCTTGAACGACGAAAAACTGAAGATGGTAATCGATTGCAGAAAAAGGCTATAAAAACAAATATGATTAGTATGTACGGTAAGTTGCGGGGATTTTCGAAATTACTCATACTTGGGTAGAAATTAGACAATGATTTTTTCTTATGGATTACGAGTTTTAAGTTCATAAACTCTTTATAAGATTTTCCTCGACATCTCCATTTTTGAATGTGAAATAGAACAGTTTTTTTTTAGAAATTTAGCCTAACCTCAACTCTGAAATTGAAATTAGAGATGTTTTTAGAGATTTCGGTTAATTTGCTGAAATTAGAGATTTGTTTTTCTCCGTTGTATATTGGGGAAAACTACACATTTTGAGCTACTAGGTTGATAGTTCAAAAATTAATGATTTTCCAAATATTTTTGTTAATTTTCTGACAAGTCTACATTGTATTAAAATTAAAAAAAAAAACATTTGCTTTCGAAAACAAGATGACTCTCACATGTTCTTATTTTCGATAATAATATCTCTAACTCAATCTGAAACATTGTGAATTTTCAGAAATAAAAATATTTTGCAAAACCTGCATTTACAGTCACAAGATTCTGAGCTTTTCTCAATGATAAGAGAAAAGTGTGACACAAAAACATGTTTCGTACAGCTTTGATGTCAAGAATTGGCACAAATCAAAACAAAATAGCTTTTTTTTCAAAGAAAAATATGAAAAGTAAGGATGATGAAAATCATAAGTTTTAACACAAAAAATTAGCGATTTCAAAAACTTGTTATACATTTATGAAAATAACATAACACTGAATTTTTGAATATTTCCAGGAGCACTTTTGGCAGTAGAGCAAAACGACAAAGAAGCTCTAAATGTAGTCCTTGACAAAAACCAGATAGATGTTAACGCTCCAATTTCAAGTGGAAGTTACGAGAAATATTCGACAAACTGGACCCTTTTGGATGTTGCTATCAACTTGAATCATGCTGAATGTGTTTATTTATTGCAACAACATAATGCTATCGAAAATCATCAAAGTGAGTCACTTTTTCATTTTTTTTTTTCTCTCATTTTTTTTCCAATGTTTCCAAGTTTCATTTGTACAATTTTTAATAAATGAAATCATAAAAATTCTTTCGCTATCAATCTTGCACTTTTCAGTGAACACACTTGAAAAACGAAAACGAGCGATTCGTGAAGCTGTTCTTTATACAACACAGGAGATTGGTGTTTTAAAAAAGGCGGGGCATTCGAAAGAGAATGATAAACATCTGAACGCGATGAATGCTCACATTCACATTCTTAAAAGAATGGAAGACACGCTAGAATGCGATATTCGACCAACTCCACCAATTTGTGCTATTGTTGAAGCAACTTCAAAAGCGAGAGCAATTATTAGAATCACATTAGCTGATAATGTTCAAGATGTTGTGCTCAGATATAAAGGTATCAATCCTTTAAAAAATTCTTCCCAAAAACCGCATTTTTCATTTTTTCAGTTGAATGGTCAGTATACCCTAATTTCGAGAAAGTATTCGGAGAATGTATTGAAACGAGAACACTGAATGATGTTTTGACAATCAATGGCTTGGAGAATGGAATGTCTTTTATATTTCGAGTTTCATCCATCGGAGCAATTGGAGAATCTGAGCCAAAAATTTGTAGCCCTGGAATGATTGAGATTTCAAGTTGGGATGACGATCATAAAAAAGAAGGATGGCAGGAAAAAGTTGAGCAGATGAAGGAATTGACTGCTGAAGTTATGAAGCATCGATCAAGTTTGGTTTGGCAAAGAATTTTTCCGATTTCGGAAAATACTGGAAAACGCAAGAAAAATGGATTGAAAGAATTATTCACTGCCAGTTCAAAATTCTCGAAACATGCTTCAAGGTTTGTAGTAGTATACAAAAGGTTGACGCTGGCGCACATTTTTTGCCCAAATGCGATTTTTGCAGATTTTCAACATTTTAAAAACAATTTTTATTGAAAATCATACTTTCGCCAAAATGTGTCATTTTTGAAAAATGACCAACATTTGTGTGGCGCACTGCGTACCCATTTTGCCCAATTTCAATTTTTCACTTGTATTTATTGTTTTTATTGCTGTTAAATGAGATTTTTCCAAAATCTTAAACCTCTGGCAATTTATGATCTCTTTGCTTTAGTAGAATTCCTTTCTATATGAATTTTATTTGAGTGTTCGGACAGGATCGGTAGTTTAGTCACAGAAAATTCGCATTCCAGTCAGTAACCGGTCAGTAACCGACCAACTCACCACCGTTCGCAACCGACCAGTTACGGTTCTGAAAACCATTCAAAAACTGGTGTCGAAACCGGTGTGAAACCAGCCAGTAATCAGTAAACGAAGTTTTTTCTGGGTTCTATGAAATTTTGTTCTGCCGTAATTGAAATCATACAAAATTGTAATAAGACGTTTTTATTTCTTTAAAAACACTTAAAATCCATTGAAGTCGAAGAAGTTAACTGGGGAGGCGGAGTCTTTTCTAATGATTCTAGGAGAATGTTGAGTTGAGCCGACCTTTTCCGTTTATGTAAATATCGAAAAATAATTGGAGAACACCGGTAGTTTGAAATTCAAGAGAATTTTTTTCAGAAGAGAAAATTTTCCAGAGTCCATGAAAATGATGGGACCCCCTCAAACTCGTGTTGTATTCCCCTGGATTCTAAAAACTCCCAAATTTCTAGTGCCGCGTCTTGGAGCTCTTTTTTCAAAGAACCGCCTTGCAAAATCCTAATTGCTGCTTGATTGTCGTTTCAAATCAAAAGTGATTTCACGTTAGGCTGCACTAAGTCGCGCAAGTTTGTTATATTTTACTTGTAATGAATATCATACATGTAGTTGTGTTACTATCTATGATCGGAATGGATATCAGAGATGACTGGGAGGTCATCTACAATTACACATGGAAACTTCGAAATATATCAATAATGAGTTCATTTTCAACAAAAAGAAAAAAACCCAGCTTTTATCACCCAAAAACCATGACTTCGATTTATTTCATGCACTGCTGAATACAGTCGGCAACATTTTTACAGATGGAACTAAAGTAACGAGCATAGCGTTGGCTTGCCATGCATGAAATGTTTTTACTTTTGAGAAATGTTTTTGTATCAATAAATGCATCATCTGTGTCGTGGAGAGCTTTTGGGAAATTCCAGTCCATCAAAATCTCTCTAATAATCTTCAGCTTTTCGGGTTGATGTTTGTAGTTTTCCCAAACTATGCGGTTTGTTGAGTCAAATGAGTGGCCTGAAATCTAAAAGTTATGAAGTTTTTTTTTAAATATACTAAACTGAACGTACTCTGAAATCAATTACTGAAAGATTTCCATTATTGTCGATCCCGAAGTTGTCCCCATGAAGATCACTGACATTAAACAGCCTTTTGATTAAATCCAGTTCCATTTCTGCTCTCAATGTAAGCTTCGTTTTGTGCGATGGTACAAAATTGGATACTAAATACTTGTTTTAAATTGTTACATTATAACAGCTATTTACCTTCTAAAGTGGCAATATAAACTCCAGTAACGGAAGTATGCGTGTTGGGTATTATGTGAACTGGGGGTCCAACATTGATATGTGCCAATAATAAATACATATAAATCTCACACATGTCGACATTTTGGTGTGATGACATTGCTGAATGTCCTTTTACATAATATCGTTGAACAGTCTCACCACAGATCACGTTGCATATGAATCCGGCCTAGGAAAAATACGAGTATGTTCATATTATAAATATAACATACCTGAATTCCAATAACTGGTTTCTCTGAATATTCGAAAGTTAATGTTGGATTAATAGGATTCTTCTCTAACAGTGTAGAAAAATAGCGTTCAACAGCCATTTTTATGAAACCTCCGTGATCATCAATAAACTCCGAATAGGCGCGAATGAATTTTATGCGACGTATTGCGAATTCTGCGTAAGAAGAAAAAAAGCCTTCTGTGTACAAACGCGTTAATATATGGGAAGCTTCCAACACTTGTTTCTTCTTTGCATCACGTGGCGCATTTTTCGGAATATCTGATGCAATCAGAAACACTGCCCACTCCGGCAGAGAGGAATGTTTCTGAAAATTAACAATTTTATTCAACTCGGGGGCAATTTTACAGAATTCACTAGCTGTAAAATGATTGTTCGATTCAATTTTTAAGCGCTATTAGAAACCTTGAAGTCTGCACAAATAAAATTTTACATCCTGACAATATAAAGTGAATTCTAAATTCAAAAATTCAACTTACTATTATAAGTTCATCGAAATCTTTTGCTGTTAAAAGAGGTTGAAGGGCGTCGGGAAGGTCTTCTCCTTTAAATTGAATATGTTGATAATTTGTTGGAACTTTTGTTATTGTTTCAATCTGCTTCTTTAGGTCAACATACGAAATCTGAAAATATAAAAATAAAATATGTCAATAAGAATAAATTATCAAAGTAAAACCTTATTTTCTATTTCGATCCCCTTGTGCAAGCGATGGTCTTTTTCACCAACTACGCGAATGTGGATCAATGGCATAACTGAAACCAAAGAATCAATTAACAAAGTGAACTTTTCTATTCATAAAAGTTAAAGAAAGAGTGCAATGATAGCAACACCCCGTGTTAATAATGATAATGATAATAAGAATAAGAATAATAATAATAATAATAATTTATTGGAGAATAAAAATAATAGAGAATTCCTCTGCAAAGTGTTCCTCTGCGTCTCTGTTCATGCGTCACTCTCATCCCCTCCCACTGTAGCTCAACGCGTTTGTGCGTTTAGTTCAACCGGGCAAGGACAGAGAAGGAAGAGCAAAGAAAGTCACACAAAGAGAAAGAGAAATCGCCAGAGTGAAGGTAGCACATCAAAGGAAAGAACTGAAGAAAAAAAAAGAGAGAGTGTTCAATCTGCAAGATCTAGAAATCGACGAGTTTGGTCACACTCTAAATCTTCTCGAAGGTGCTGACAAACAGGCATGAAATAACGAAGTGTTTCGTTTGAGAACAATTTGCGTCGCAGTTTTCTTCAGTTTTTGTGTTGTTATCTATTTCATTTTCAAGATGTTTTTCTCGTAGAAAGATTCCCTACGCGGAAGAAAATAAAGGCTATAGATATCTTCTAACAATCATAGATTGTTTCAGTAATTTTGATTTTTTTATTAGAAAAGCAAAATAAAATAGAACAATATTAAACTCGAGGAAAATGGGTGCGCGGTGCGCCAGACAAATTGTGGTCTATTTTATTAGAAAAGCAAAATAAAATAGAACAATATTAAACTCGAGGAAAATGGGTGCGCGGTGCGCCAGACAAATTGTGGTCTATTCTCAAAAATGACACATTTTGGCGAAATTAAGTATGATTTTCCATTAAAAAATGTTTTTAAAATGTTGAAAATCTGCAAAAATCGCATTTGGGCAGAAAAGGTGCGCCAGTGTCAACCTGTTTGTATTTCGTTTTGGCTTGGAAAATTAACAATAAAATGTTTTGAAATTCGTTCAGAGGAATATATTTGGCTTCTCTGGTCTATACAGAAGGAAAAGTGTTGTGCACGGTGGATGATTGTTTGCCAATTTTACAAATTGATGAAAATGTAACATCAATCTCTAAAGATGATCATCACTGGCTTATTAAAATGTCAATGTGTTGGGATAGAAAGAATAATTTGATGGAAACAAATCCCAGTGCTTTTTCAAATAATATTGCGTTGAGGTATGCGGATATTTTCGAGCAGACAAACAATGAAAAATTGATTCTTGATTTACAAAAATATTGACAACAACATTTTTTTGTGAAAAATCATGAAACAGTGACGTTTTCGTATCAAGCTAAATTCTGCGGGAAACACCTAGACTTGTTTTTTCACGATGAGAATGTCACTTGTCTGGAATTCAGAAAGGAAACTAGGGGTTCTTTGATGATTTTTGAAAAATCATGGAGTTAGGGTATTGGTCTTTTGACGGTGTTGGGGAAAAAATAGGTCTGAAAAAAGAATGAATAAAGTCAAATACTGAAATAAGAAATTCATCTTTTTGCAAAAGCTCTTGAAGCAAAAAATACTAAAACAATTATCATGTTGAATTTCTCAAAATCGACATTCTACTAAAAAAAACTTCAGCTTCCGTACAAAACTGATCAATGCGACCGCAGCCATGCAAGCTGCACTTGGAATGGAAAACATTGGACATGTGCATTATCTCCCAATCGTCCATGAAAACTGTATATTTCTTCTAACCGTTCGATTCGTCGATTCAAATTCACAAGTTCAAGTAAATTTATTTTATTCATATTTCCAAAAAAACAATTTCTGATATTTTTTCAGTGCCTTACACTTCGCTGGGTGACATTTGACAAACTGTTACGGAAAAGAATGCCAACGCCTGCCATTGACACGTTGACAAAAGAAACTGTCAATATTCTCAATTTCTTTGAAAGCAGTCAAATTCCATTGAAACGGTATTTATATATATTTTTTGCTATTCTCGACTAAAACCAATAATTGGAAAATTTTCAGGGGATTGTATCTTTGCTATTTGAAACTTCACTCTTCTTTGAATTCCATTAGAGTTGTAGTACCGGATAATTTACCATCAATTCTTCCATTTGTTCATGTTCGAGATAATCCACATTTGACAAAAGAAGAGTGGCAATGGATCAAGGTATTTTGATGCTTAAAAATTTGGTTGTAAAACAAACACAATTTTTTACAGAGCACCGACTTGAATGAAGATTTTCGAGCATCAAGAAGTCAAGTAGCAATTCATTCAATGTTATCAACTGCAATTTCAACATTGCTACATGATTTGGATATTGATAATGATTTGATGCCGGGACATCGATTTTATCATGCTGAAATTATTCAACCTGATGATAATGTTTCGATTGTGTTGGTAAGTGAAAATAGTGTGATAGTTGAGAAAACATAGTTTTTGAATAACAATTTCACAGATTCCTGAAATTTTGATTTATTCTCATTCATTTCAATATTTTATTTTTCTCAGATTCTTCCAAGATCGGACGAAGTTTGTTCAGCACCAACCGGATCAACAAAAAACACTGACTACTTTGAACAAAAACGTGGATGCTCGAGCATCCCAATCCCCGTTTTTGAAATGAGTATGTTTTCAATTCTCCTGAACCCTCAATTTCCAAAAAAAAAATCAAAATTTTCAGTTCATCTTAACACCTATCAACCAATGTTTCTCACACTTTATTGTCGATTATCAATTTTCTTGGAGCATTTCGTCATGATTTCTCAATATGAGCAACGTAAATGTCTTTTGGAAAATGACACCAAAATTTACAAAAATCAAACAGAAATTCTTCATGAGTTCCAGGTACATTTTATCATCTGAATTTATTTCTCAAGTTTAGGAAAAATATTTTTTTAAACTGTTTTTTGCAGAAACGACTTGATGAAATTTGGCAGAATTCACGTTGGATTAGTCGAGTAGCTTTAGAAGCACGTGATAAACATGTCAAGTAAGAAACTAAGAAAACATAATGTAGAATGAAATTGAAAAATGAATATTATAGGGTTTCACGAAATGCAGTGCCACTTGGAAGATTGATGGCGCCATTGTTTAATAAACTTGATGACGAAAGCGGATATCAAAGTGATAAGGATTTGAAAACCAACAATTTGCGCGTACAAAACATTCTTACTACTCGACCAAAATCGTTGTTGAATTCGCCACAAGAAAGTTATCGTGATCTTGACAGGTTAGTTAGGCAAAATGGAAAAAATATAACATTTGATTCAGTTTTGTATGTAGTTTGTTACAATGTTATTTGTTTACATTTTATTATTTAACCTTTTACTTTTTTTTGAAAACAAAATGAAATGACTTGCAGTTTTCATTTAATTTTAAATTAGGTTAGAAAGGTTTTTTTTCAACACCTCAAAATAATTTTCAGTGAACTCAAATGTATTTCTCTCATTTTTGAAAAAAAAAACTCTAATTTTAGCATGGAAATATGATTTTGAAAATATAATGTGATTTTTTCTGTAAATCAAAAATTAGAAAATATTTTGAATAATTTAATCAGCTAGCTAGCGAAAAAGATTATTGGGATAATCAAATCTTGTCATTTTTTAGAATTTAATTTGGATAAATTAGTTTCAATGAAGACAAAAATAACTTTTTGATTATCTGAAATTTGAGAAACCGAATAAAGAGTTGTTACAGTCATGCTTTTAAAAATATATGTTCCAAAATTTTTTATAAATAAATCCAAAAACTCAAATATGCATTGAACAATCCCTTTTGAATTTCAGTATGTATCGCCGTCGAAAAATATCAGTTGATGGTTCACAAATTCCATCAAGTAGTAATGGAATTGATAAAAACTTGGTTCCTGATCGACCAATCACCAAAGAAGAAACAAATTCCAGAGGAACTGTGAATGTAACAGTTGGCTATGAATGTCCATTAACAAAAGGAACAAAAATTGCACTATCGGTTTCTGGAAACACCACTGCTCAGGAGGTTTGATTTATTTCTTCAAACATCAAACTCAAAAACTATTTTTCCAGGTTGTGAGTCTAGTTTTGGAGCAAGTTGCAAAATCATCAGCTGGTGTTGAGCAAGATATTATTCCTGCAGACATCAATGATTTCTGTTTGATTTCAGTGCTTGGTCAACGTGAAAGACGTCTCAAAAACGAGACATCGGTTTTGAAAATTCACCCAAATTGGGCGAAAGGCAATATTCTTATTCGAAGAATTGACGATTATTTGGATGACGATTCCGATCTTGGTAATGAATCACTTGTCTAATATTTTACCAAATATTCATTATATATTTTACTCATAATCATTCCATGTTGAAATGCGTGTAAATTTCCTAATTTTTTAAAAATTATTTTGTCTGAAAATGAATCTTTTCAAATTTTAATGGATGATTTGAAGCGAACAAATCTATCTAAATTGGATTGCATTTGACCTCACAATTTGCATAGGATTCTGACCAGCACTCTCCAAACTATCAGAAATGTCTGATCTCAATACAAAATCATTTTTTAGCTTGATAAAGTTCTCTTGTAACATAAACGAATCGCAATTTGTTCAACATGTTATTTTTTGTAACACAAATTTCAATTACATTTCATTCCAGACAAAAGTTTTCTACATTTTTTTGTGTTGAAAATAGGGGGGGAGAAAAGATGAAGAGAAAATGGGGGAGTAAAGATTGATAGAATAAAATTATAATATATAAATGATGAATAAGCATTCTCTTATAAAATTATATATGTTACATATTATTGTGGACAAGAATTGGCATTAACTATATAGAAAAATAAAAGAGAGACTACTTTGTTTGGAGAGAAAAGAACATATGGAAAAAGTTTTGAAATATTTTGAATGAATGAATGAATGAAGTAAAGCTACGATGACAAAAAATGATGGGGGAAGTTTTTGGGTGAAAAATAATGTGAGAGAAAGAAGAAGGAGAAAAGAGAGAGAGAGAGAAATGAAATTACTAGACAAATTAAATCTACTGACTAGATAAATTATAACTTTTGGGATGAGAAAACTATAAATAATTACTTTGTAAGGGGCAAAAAAGTTTTTGTTTCTTGGACAGATCTTCTTAATGATAAAGAAAAAGGAGAAAAAAAAAGAAAGAGAAATGAAGAAAATTGCAGATAGAGTAGTAGGGTCTCAGTTCTGTTTTAAGTCATCAATTTGACATACGAGTTGTAGTTGGAAACATCTCTTTTAAGAATCTCTCTGACTGGTCCCATGACACGTTCGAAACGATTGCGATCGAGTTTGATGCATTTGAGATGCGATTTGGCAACAACTGTAGCCGCACGTGGACGATCAAGAAGAAGAGCAATTTCTCCGAAATAGTCTGACATCCCAAGATGTCCAACAACATCAAATGGTGCATCATCTGATCGTTTTTGCAAAACATTTGCTTCACCTTCCAAAATGATGAAGAACTCGTCTCCTGGTTGTCCTTGCTCAACAACATGAGTTCCAGGCTCGAAATCGCATCTTTCCAAAGCATCAGCAACATTAGCACGTTCCCATTGATCCAAATCAGCGAGGATTTGAACTTTCGACAAGAATTCATCATACATCTTTCTCTTCTTGGTGACTGAACCCATAAGAATTCGTCGATAAGTCAAACGATCAATGGCCCAAAGTTTAACATCGGTTTTGGCAATAACTGTGGCCGCACGTGGAGTTCCGTAGATCAAAGCCAATTCTCCGAATGATCCACCTTCGTTGATTGTCAATACATATTCGTGATTAACGTAAACATCGACGGTCTAAAATTTAGAATTTTAATAGATGGCTAGAAAAATCATACAGGCTGTCAGGTCTCTAGAGTCCCGCTTTGAAAAACAACCCTTAAATCAAACTTACACCCTTATCAATGACATAGAAGTTGTCACCCTCTTCTCCTTGTTCGATGATTGTTTCGCCAGCTGATTTTTCGACTGGGAACATCGCATCATACATAGTCTTTTGTTCGTCTTCCTGAAAAATAGGTTTGATATTTTTTTGAAAAAAAGAACGTTTTTCTAGAAATTCAAACAAGAAGAGAAAAACAAACCTCCAAATGAGCGAAAAGCAAATTTTTGCGCATCGCCGATTCCAACGATTTTCGTGTAGCATCATCTTTGGGAATCACAACCTTCTTATATTCGGTATCATCCTCCTTGATTGGTTCAGCCGAAATTCCGGTTCGCCGACCACCGGAGCGCTTTGGTGGCTCAATTATAATATCATCATCATCGGCAGCATCTTGATGACCACCCTCCTGAAGCATTTTATTTTATTGATTATCGATTTTTTTTTTGAGGGGAAGGGTTTACCATCTTGAAACCAGTTTAATTAACTTAACTAGAGTTAATTCGGTGTTTTCTTGATTACTGAAAAACTGCAAAAGAAAAAGAAAAATACGTAGAGAGTACTAGTATTTTAAGTGGGGCGAATAGAAAAAAAGCGAGGGGGGAATGTTTACTCAAAAAAAAAGGAATTCTTTTTATTTTTCTTCTACATGTGTTTTTTTTGTATTGAGAATTTAATTTGAACCGAACCGTATCAAACAAGGTCGATTCGTAACAGAAAAATTCCTCGCTTATCAATAGCCGATCAAACTTCGCATATCAAAAACTAAGTTACATACCTCGGAGCTTGAAATCGTAGACATTTTACGGAGACAGCAATGATTTCTGATTTTTTTCATGACATTTCAAAGGCAGCGACTGAGAGGAGAGAAACTCTTTTAGAAAGCGAACGAATAAATCATCCTTTTTCAGCTGTCACTTTTTTTCTCGACAAAAAGCAGCACAAAAAAGTTGGGGAGAGAAAGGGGGCCGCCTGAATCTAATTTTTTCAGCTGTTTTCTCGCCACTAAAACAATTACAATTCGCACCTGCGCCGGTAAGTAACAAAGTATAACATTGATTTTCTTTAAGGTTACCTTGGGATTCGGAGGTTGGCTTGATGTTGGAGTTGATTTCGCTCCAACAGCTTGTGAATTACGACGATTGCTCAGCTGTTGCCCCATTACATTCCCTGGTGAAAAACACGAACGCTTGCTCTCTCAACAGAAAAATTTTTATTTTATTTTTTTTTTGAAAAAAAAAAAGAAAAAAAGTAAGCAACGGAGAGTTGAAACAGATGTTTTTATTATTTTTTTTTCCTTCTTCTTCTCACTTACTGATTTTTTGGTGAAACAAGGAGAAAAATGAGAAAAAACAAAAGAGGAAAATATAATCGGAGAAACAATTCCGCCCTTGGCATCAAATAAAATGTTGTTATGTATGTCGTGAGAAAATTTCTGTGGAAAAAGAAGAGACTGATGAAATTATCGATTTTTTCTTGGACAGGAGTATTTTATTTTTTAACAAAAAGAAAAATTGTTCTCGTTGAAAAATGAGAGATCAGATTGAAACAAAAAACACTGAAAGAGGAAACGAGTAAAACTAAAAAACATTTTGTGACGATATCAAATTTGCACCCTTCGTTACACTTTGATTTGTTGAAGTCTAATTGGCCACATTTTTTCTTTTTTGATTTCGTAAGCTCAAAAGTGAGAAAAACTAATAAAGAAAAAAATGATAGAAAAAAGAGGAGATTAAAAATTATTGATAAGCGTTGCATTCAACGAAAATTGTTTTATTTTATTTGAATGCAATTATTTTCCCGCGTGCATCTTTTCCGGCTCTAAGACGTGCATTTTTGATAAAAAAAAGAGTTGAACAAGAGGGTGATGTTTCAAGGGGGATACAATTTTTCATATAATATAATATCTACGAAAAATGTATTCTGAAGAAGAAGTCAAGTATATAGAAGAAGAAGAAGAAGAAATAAAGAAGGCGCAAAAATGGCGGGGAAAAAAGAAGAGAAAAAAGAAGAAATCTAGCCGGAGCTCACTCTTTCTTCTTCTTCTTCTCTTTTTTTTCTGCTCATTCTAGTCCCCTCGTTTTTTCTACTGTTCTTTTTTCCGTCATTTTTCTGCGACTCGACTCTTTTTTTTCCAAAAAAAACGAAAAAATTTGGGGCCTGCCTTACTGGCGCTTGGATGGTGCAAGGAATAAATGCAACTCGACATTTTTTTATGAGTGAGCATGAGAGGCACTGACTGACTGGTTTCAAGTGGCAATTTTTTCTTGGGTTTTGGTGAAAATGGAAAATATTAAGAAAACGGGACTGACCTGTGCGCGTTGTTCGTTGAGTTTTTCAAAATGTTCTTTCAAGAATAGTACCGGATTGTCTGGCTTGTGTATGCAGAGAACGACTGGAAAAATTGATTTTTGGATTTGAAAAGTCAAAAGTTGAATTTTGGGAATATGATAGATTTTTTAAATTTAGAAAGCCGGAATGAAAATTTCAGAAATTAGAATTTTGGAAACGAGAATGTGTAAATCTAAATAAATTGTTTGAAATGATAATTTTTTGTTTCGAATTTTGGAATCTGAAATGTTTCAACTGGAAAATTTTCTAATGAAATTTGAATTTTGAATTCTGAAACTTCAGATATTTTTATCTTGAAATTCAAAACTTTTGGATGTTCAATAAGGTTAAATATTTTATATTCCAGATTCTTAATTCAGAATTCGGTTCAAGACATTTAACGTTTCAAGACGTTAACCTAATTTCAATCATTGTGAAATTTTCTAAATTTTATGAAGATTTTCTTCAAAACCAAGAATTTGTTTTTGTTTGCGATGTTTTGAATTCTGCAAAACAACTGGAAAAACTGCAAAGATTTATGCTTAGTTTCGGGTCGGTTCACATGGATATATTTGCAAAATTTATGAGATTGCATAAAATTCCAAAATTTATGTTTTTTGTTTTGTTTTTTCCCCTCCAAAAAATCTCGAAAAATTCCAAACACGAGCGACAGAAAGAATAAAAATACATATGCAAATTTGCCCGCCTTTTGCATTTTCATTTTCGATTTTCATAATTCGCATTTATATATGCAAAAACAACTAACCGATCGCTTCTTTGACAAGTTGTTGAATGTTGTGCCTTTGAACATATGCTTGGCACTGTGCAAGCTGATCTTCTTCGTTTCCACCCGACATATGAACGAATTCAACTGGAAATATATAAATTTTTATATTTTGGTTGAAACAGCGAAAATATACGAAAATAACGAGAAAAAGAGGAAAAGAGAAAAAAAAACATAATTCTACTAGTTTTGGATCAATGTTTTTTTGATAAGAAAAAAAGAAACATACGAAAAAAATAAATAATATTTGATTGATGAGTGAAAAAATAAAAGAAAACAATTCGGAAAAATCTCTGTTTCAATTGAAAACAGAGACTGATAACTAACTCTCAACAAAAATTAGAACAACCCACCCAGCAAAGAGAAATCGTTTCTCTTTTTTCCCTTTGAACCCTCTGAATCAATCAATAATCGAACAAATAACACAACACGTGTCGTTTTAGAGAAGAGTCGGGGTGTTTTTTGAAAATGATATAATGAACTTGGTTGAATAACTTTGCAAAAATGTTAATCCCGGAAATTTGAATCGGAAAAATGATGTGAGAAAATCACAAGTTTTTTTCGATATCAAAACATCTAATTTTTTCAACTGTTTGAAGAAAACTTTTAGATGCGTTAAAAATTTCAGAATACTTGACATTTCCCACGAAACATAACATGTGAGAAAAAGAAAATATTAAATAGATTTTTGAATTGTTTTTTTTCTTTCATAAGCCAGTTGAAAAATACCCTTGTAAAAAAAATTTTCTATTTTTGTCGAATTTCAATCGGCTGACGTCAGATAATCCGAAAATTGAACTTTACAAAAACGAAAAGAATCGTTGAAGCAAAAGGAAATTTGACATACATGAAAAAAAACCAAAATTTCGCCGAAAAAAAAACATATTTTTTTTCAAGAGAGCTGAAAAGAAAAGGGAAAACGACGAAATAAGAGCCAATGAATCATGGGAAATTGTTTTTTCTCTTTTTTTGGCAAGCAGAAAAAAGAAAAGGCGTTTTGTATAATAATGCTAATTTTTCTCTATACATTCATACTGTAAGAGCTCTTCTTGTTGCTCTTCAGAGATCAGAAATGATATCATTTCTCTTTTCTGAATCGATAAAGAATATATACAAGTTTTTTCGACAACAACTAAAGTTTTGCATATATATTTGTTTTCGAGAATTCATGTACATAAATATCAATTTTTCACCCGCCTAGCGAAAAAAACACGTATTTTTGCTTGCGGAAATTAAATTCTATTCTATTCTATAATTATATAAATTTTTATAGTAACACAAATAATGATTGACGTCAAAAAAAAAGAGGAAATTTAATTTTTTTTTTTCGAGGAAAAAAAATGAAATTTCAGTTTTTTGGAGTAGAAGAGTAAGATAAATGTTCTTGAAGGCGAAAAATATGAGGGATGAAAAAGAGGAGAAAAAGACAAGATTGATGATCAGAGATCAGAACAAGCATTCTAGAAAAATGTGTAATGAAATTTTGGCGGCGGCAAAATATGTTTTATCAAAAATTGAATATTCGATGAGGAGGAAGAGAAGAAAGAAAAGTGTAGTGGAGATTTTTATTTTCGAACATTTTTTCAGTGTTTTATGGAAAAAATATGTTGAATTTTGACGTGAACAGTGGGCGGAATCAAAATATATTATGATTGGTTCACGTTTCGAAATTATGAAATTTTCGATAAGTTCAGGAATTTTCTTTATTCGTATAAAATTTCAAAAAACCTGCAAATTTTTGGCTTAAACCACCAAAACAAGTTCAATAAAACACCAAAATAATTAGAGATTCAGCCTAATCCCGAAGGTGATTCCTAAATAATTGGTGGTTCAAAATAACAACCTGAAAGTTCATCCGAACTACAAAAATTCTGAAAAATATTCCCAGACCAGAAATATTTTGAAATCCTCGCAGACTTTTTAATGGCAATCCAAATGAATTTGTTCATTACAAAATCCTAACGATGTTAGACAGAACTCCATAAAGAATAATGAGTTCATCAAAACAGAGAACTAAAATTAGGAATCCCAAAAGAGTTGGAGGATAGATTATTAGCGAAAAGAGCATCCAAAATAATTAGTGAAGAACATTGGAAAATAATTATTTTTATTTTTCAAAATAAGTGGAATAGTTCAAGAGATGTTTGATTTTTTGATTGAACTTAAAAGGCTGGAAATAGAAAATGAGATTCGAAGTTTTGAGAGGTTTCAGAAACGTTCAAAAGTTTATAGGATTTGCTGAATGATCTACGGATTTTGAAGTGGTTTTTAAATCACAGATTTTCTAAGAATGCGAGTCTGAAGAGATTTTTTTTACCTTCTAGAACAAAGTGAGCTTTTGGAACTTCACGGCACACTTTTCAGGAAAAAAATAGATCTAGAACTGAAGAAGTTGAGTTGTTCATGGGATTTTACTAATATAATGATTTTCATGAAGGTGTGGATATTATAGATATTCCGAAGTATCTGCTCTAAAAATTGTATCTTTTGAAGTTCGTTAGTATTTTTATCTACAGAATTTTAAAGGAGCTAAAAATTAAAAAAAAACTGAGTTCTTGAGCTCCATCGAGATACCTTTTTCCAAATATTCGAATCGTTTCAAAATATTCCGCGAATTCGAAATGTTTATGTGTTGATTCTTGACGTGTCATAATGTCTCATGCAAATAAAATTTCAGCATCATCGTCGACACAAAAAGCAACAAAAACACACACACAACAATGCAATAAAAATGTCCTAACGATGATCATCATTATTTCGCTCAAAAAACAACACGAAGAAAAAAGTCATATAAGGAGACGAGAAAAAAAAAGAAGAGAAGAAGAAAAAAAAAAGAACTCGTGACTGACTCTTGGTAGTAGTGACGACAGGAAAAAAGGAAGAAAAAAGAAGGCTTTCGAGATTCAAGCTGCCGAGGAGCAAGAAGACGCAGCAGTAGAAGAAGAAGAAGAAGCTCATCGTCTTGTTCCTTTTACCAAAAAAAAACGAGGGGTGAAGACAGAGAAATAGAAAAAAAGAGGAGCTCTGACTGGTGCGCAGCTTGTTGAGCAAATCGAAAATAAGGAGGAGGAGAAAAAGAAGACGTGTATATACAACACAAATATATATTTATTTTATATATGTATATTTTCTCATCAACATACATATAACAAATATGAATTCGGAGAAACAATTGGCTGAAAAAAAGGGGATGCGAAAAAATTGAGAAAGATTTGTTGGAGCATTGGGATTTCATTTCAAAAACCAAAAAAACCGTTTTTCAAGAAAGAAAGAAAGTGATTTTTTGACAAGTTCACAAGAAAAATGAAAAAGTTCGAAATATTGGTACCTTGAGAATTCTTTGTCTTGGGTGGTCTTAAAATTTAAGCCTGTTCAAATGATTTTTGGTTTCAGTTTCAGTGTCAGTTTCAGAGTCTCAAGAGCTCAGTTTTTTAAACAGAAAACAAATGAGAAATGTTTGGGAACTTTTTTGAGAAAATGGAATTCCGGAAAAAGCAGGACTTGAAAAATGGGGGAAGAAGTTTGAATAGAATATTTTAGTGGGTTCTGAAATGAAGTTGAAAGGAGATTGATTTTTAGTTTGGAAAATGGCATAGGAAGGTTCTAAATAAGGTTTTGTGAATGATTGTTGAATTCTCCAGAAATTCTGAAATTAAGATCTAAATAATCGGATGAGAAAAAGGTGGTACCGAGTTATTTTTCAAAATTTCTAGTATATTTTCAGGTCAGTTTTGAAATTTTCTCAGTGTCTTTCGAAAAATTATTTTTTCTAGAACGTCAAAAAATCACAAATTCTTGAAACAAGTTCCAGTTTTTCAAAAGTTTTGAAACTATCTAGACACTTTTCCAGTTTTCCGAAGTTTTTTCAGAAAAAAAATCATCAATGTCACAGAAATATGGAAAATTTAGAGTCTAACATTAAATATCTGGCTAAAAAACTACATAGAAAATACCACTAAGGTTCACTATGATATGAAAAAATGTAGAGATCCTCCTGAGTCAAACCTAATGTTTTATTCAAACTCTTCCAAATGCAAGTTTCAGAGAAAAAATTCAAAAAAACTCCTCTCAAAAATTTTTATAAGCTTTAAGCTAACGGCTAGATCTTTTTTATGAAAGAGAAACGGTGAGTTTTTCACATAATTATCTGTTTCAAAAACTAATAAATTTTCTCATATTATTAAAAATAATTTCTCTTTTCTTTTCACCAGATCATTTTTTTCGAATATCAAAATAAGTGATATTTTTCATTTTATATAATCTCACGTCCTTTCCGGATAATATTAATATTCATTAAAAAAATTATAATCAAAACGGACGGATAAAGAAAATTCTAACATAAGCTCATCAGATTTGTTTCAATTCAATTCAAAAGAAATACTGAGAAAACTGGGGGATAAAAAACGAAAAAAAAAACAAAGTTCACAACTTTTGCTCTTTCCAATGAATAATTGATGAGTTTCGAGAGCCCCAACCACAAAATAAATATATACACATTTTTATTTTTTCTTACCATATTCTAGAAATGTGTAAATTTTAGCATGCTAGTCTATAATTATTTATATTATATGTTTTCACATAAAAATATGAGTCAGGGGTGCAATTTATTTTATTTTTCGAAAAAAAAAATCGAGAAAATTTTCATTTCGTACAGCGGAACAGAAAAAATTGATTTTTTCTTTCTGTATGTTTTTGTCTTTTTTTTCTTCTTCTTGAAAAATTTGTTTAGAACAAGAAAAAGGAAAAGCAGGGAAAACGAAAAAAAAAGAGAAAGATGTCGTTGGCGCAATTCAATTTTTCTCGTTTTGGTTAGGAAAAAGGAAAAAAACGAGGAAAAGGAAAAAACCTGCGAACAAACACAACTCACAAAATATACTGCAAACAAATCAAGTTAAGTCAAGTCAGAATCAGCGAAAATTGATATGAAAAAAAATAAATATTAACGCACATCAAAAAGTTGATCTCAATTATATTTTGCAAAGAAATTTATGACGTGGCAAAATCAGAACACAAAGAATATCAAAATGACTTTTGATTTGATATATGTATTATAGATATCAGTTATGACGCAGTGACACTTCTAACTGTCATCAGCGGAAAATTGAAAAGATTCAGTACAAAAATTTCGCAAAATCATATTGATTTTGTGAGGTAACTGAAAATCTGAATTCGACGTAGGATGAGATTTCAAATTCTAAAAACTCCGAAAATTATCACTCAAAACTCATGACGCACTGAGAGTTTTACTTTTAATCAGAGCAATTGAATCATTCAAGAATCATCATTCAATTTACGTAACTGAAAATTAGAGTTCTGATCTTGATGATATTTGAAAATCTAAAAATTAAGTAAACCTTATGACGCAGTGAAAGTTCAGATTCTGGTTGTATTTTTAGGAAAATAATCTTCTAAAAATGCCGAGGATTTAGAAATTGGATACCAAAAGTTGGGAAAATGTGAAAGTTTTGGGTGGTCTGAGGAACTTTTAAGCAGTTTTTTTGCCAATCACTGATTGGAGCTGAAACAAAAACATAATTTGGTTTTTGTTGGTTTTTTGTTTCAGATCCAATCAGTAGGTTGAAAACTTTGAGGACGAGTCTAATTTTCAGCTTTTTCGAAAAAAAAACTGAAAAAAATGGTTCGTTAGAGCAAAGATCTTCGAGCGGAGCAAATTGGTTTTTGTTTTCTCAAAAAATGTCAACTTTTCACGTCATAAGTTGTTTCTGGTCGAGTCACAATCAGAGGTTCAAAAGTTTGAGAGCAAACTTAATTTTCGGATAGCTTATGAGATTTTCAACAAAAAAAAACTGGCTGGAAAATTAGATTTTCACAGAACCTAGGATTTTTGGATTTTCCGGAAGTTTGACTGGTTCCCTAAGATCTTTGATCTCAGAAAATTAGTTTTTTGAAAGTAATTTTCTAACGTTTCACGTCATAGGGTTTTCTGTGTTTTTTCTTTAGGATTAGAAAATACGATGTTATAAAATTCAACATTTTTGAAATTCTAAATAATTGATTTCAATTCAAAAAATATTTAAATCAACGTTTTAGTCCTAACAAGAATTATGAAAATGTCCGAAAAATAAACTGGAATGTTTACCAAATACGTTTATAGTTTATCAAAAACCGAACTAAATTTCAGAAAAATCAATGAAAATGAGAAGGTTTAAAACATAAACTATACGTATATCATATAATAAAATAAAATAAACATATCGCATATCATTTGTGAACCTCTATTACACATTGTTAAAAAAAGCAAGTTATAAAGAGAAGAAGAAGAAGAAGAAAATGAAGAAGAAATGTTTAGATCAATAAAAAAGATGAACAAAACCGAACCGAAAAGTCGTTTTCCAGTAAAAAAAATTGAAAGGAGCTAAATAAAATTAAATAAAAAAAAGAGAGAAAAAGTTAGTTTGAAAAGTTCAATTTGCTTGATTAGAAACACTTTAAACAATTAAATTAAATTAATTTCAAAAAACCAAATGTTTTTTTTTGGGAAAAAAGATAGTGGAATGTTATCTGTCAACCAACCTGACAGAAAATGAGAAAACAGTAATCTATCATGTTGATTGAGAATAATTTGTTGTACAATATAAACTTCCGGAAAACCCTTTTTTGATAGAATTTTTTCGAAATAAAAAACTCACAATTTTATGGGCAAATGAAATAACTCACTGACAATCACGAAAAAACTGGAAATTCAGAAATATAGAAAAATAATTCTACAAAATATATATATATTTATATATATTGAACCTTTTTCTCGTTCTCTTCTCCCTCCTTCTCCTCTCTCTTTTTATTCAAAATGCAAAATCAACAAAAACAGCGATAAACAAGAAGAGACGCAGAGACATTGAGTCAATCAAACGTTTTTGCTATTTGCTGATGCGATGCGTGCGAGGCGTCGCGGTCGATAAATGCCTTGCGGCAATTTGAATTTATTTAGTTTGAGTTTTCGAGGGAAAAAGTTTGTTCGCGGTGTTGCCTGGTAACCAAATTCTAGATTCTTATTATTAGAATTTCGAAGCATATGTATTTAGAGAGATGTGTATATAAAAAAGAAGTGGGAAAAAGAATAGAGAAATAGAGTTTTCTTTGGTTTTTTATTTTTTATTTTTTGCTTAAAGACGAAGTGCGATAGAAGGGCTGCCATAGCAGTTTCCGATTCGATTCTTCATATATATTTGTGCTGTTTCATTTTAAATGAACCAACTACAATTACAGTGATATTCTGAAAAAGAAATGCAAAAGCAACAATTGACGGTTAGTTTATATGAAATTTTAGATGTTGAAAATGATATCGCATTGCGTTGACACAATTTTTCGCGGTTAGAACTTTGGTCTGATGTAAAAAAATGTTTGATTGATTTGACTTTTTTGGACTTCCTTCCGGTTGAGAAATAAAATTTTGCAGAATTTTTTTTGTAGAATTCTGGAACAGGTTGTGGATATAAATTTCGGATTATACAAAATTGCAGTTTTTTTCTAGAAGTAGAATTTTTTCCTATCTTGTTGAGCTCTGGGGAATCCTAAATCAAGAATAATTTTGATTAAATTCATATAGAGCACCTTTTTTGTTTTCTGAATTCCAGAAAATTTCGCAACTTGCGAAAAGACACGTCATTTTTTTGACAATCTAGCGTTGCTAGAAAACATTCTTTTCATATTCAACAACATATTTCAATTTTCAAGATTGTTTGAATCTGACGCTATAGAGTTTTTTGACATGAGAACTTGTTTGAAATATCAAACATTTTCAATTTCCCAACTTTTTTGTTCAATTTAAGAATGAAATTTTTCTGCAAGTCTTGATTTCTGATTCCCAGTTTTTGCCCTAATGATATACTTTCAAATGTCAACCAGCTGTACGATTATGAAATCTTATGAAATCACCTGAAATTTGATTACTCCTGCTCAAAAGTCAGAAACCATTGCATTTCCAATTGAAGTCTACAAAAATTGTTATTATCAAAATAACACAGGCGTAATTTGTTTTCGTTTTGTCTCATACCAATTTATATAAAAAAAAATAGATTTCTGAAGCCTTAGTCATTTTTTATATATTTCCAAAATCCAGGACTTGAGACAAATCAAGACCACTTAGGTTTTTTTAATACTAGTACGTTTCCGTTTTATGCACTTATTCCTATTCTTTTTGGAAAGTGCGAAAAGCCAATTTTAGTTTTTTTTTTTGCCTTCTGGTTCAATTATATGTATTCATATTATAAGAAAAAGTGTATAGTTTTGTTGAGAGTCTTTTTTTGCTTTTTGAATAACGAGGAAGTAAATATGAATCATTGAAATTCTCAGTCAGTTAGTTAGTTAGTTAGTAATTTTGAGTTACACACTCAAATAGTAAACAACTAATTAAGGGGGGGTAAGAATAGATTTTTGATCGTTGGTGTTGGATTTGCGTGGAATAAAATTGAAATCGGATATAGAGTACGTCAAGCATGAAAGTTTCAATAATTTTCGGGATTTCTTTTTATTTGGAAGATACAAAGGGAAAAAGTTACCACTTTGTCTGGGTAGAAAATATGAATTCTTTCAAATTGTTCAATATCTGATTTGAATTTTAACTCGGGCTGGAACAAAATTCTGAAAGAATCTTCATGATCAAAACTTTTTTAGACATCGTTTGTATAAAATTCAAAAATTCTGAAAAACAAAATGTTCCAATAAACAAAAAAAAAATTGAAAAAAAACAAAGTATGAGCATAGGAGACTAAAATCTGCAACCAATCGCGTTTTCCAAAGAACTCGCGTATTTAATTTGAAAGTCATTTTTTCAACAAAAACTATTTCTATCAAAAATCCCAATTTTTCAGGTTGTTGTCCGAGTTCGACCGTTGAACAACGCTGAAAAAGGCCCGAAAAGCATTTCAATGTGTGTTCCCGCTTGACAAAAAGGTAAATATGAAAATTATCTTCCTCTTTTCAAATAATTTCAAAATTTTTAAGAGAGTTCTACTCGTTGATCCGGAAAAAGTTCGAAAACAACATATTGCGACAAAATCGGCAACATGAGCGGAAATTTGAATTTGACGGGTCATTTGGTCCTACATCATTGCAGGTAGACATTTTTCAAAGATCCTAGATTGATTAGATTTTTAATTAGGAAGATGTTCATGAAACCACAACTGGTCCGATCATTGATTCAGTGATAAATGGATATAATGCGACTGTTTTTGCGTATGGACCAACTGGATCAGGAAAAACTTATACAATGATTGGAACTAAGGATCGACCCGGTTTGATGACTTTGATGACAAAAACACTCTATGAAAAATTGGATAGTCAATACCAAGTTCTATTATCTTATATGGAAATATATAACGAGGTTATAAGAGATCTTCTCGATCCAAATGTTAGAGATCTTGATTTACTAGAAGATGAAAATGGAAATATTCGAGTTCCTGGATTATCATCAGTTAGAGCTCCAAATTTATCACGGGTTGGTTTTATTTACTGCTAGTATCTGTGGAAATTTTTTAAATAGTTTTGAACTTGCCTCTTTTCCGCAAGTTCAGAAGCAGCAGCAGCACATAAATTCCCATTTTCAGATAATGCAAATTCTGCAAGAAGGCAATCTACGACGCACTCAAGAAGCAACAATGGCAAATAAGACGAGCTCAAGAAGTCACGCATTGCTTCAGGCAAGGATTTTCTTTTTGGTCACGCCCTTGAACGACGTTCACGGTCCAAATCCACCGTGGAAAAATAGAAAAAGAACAAAGTTCACAAGATTTTTGATTTTTTGAACTGTCACTACACAGTAAATTAAAATTATTTTCAGGTTATGATTGTCAAAAATAATAGTCTACACAGTAAATTATTCATGATTGATTTGGCTGGTTCGGAAAGAGCATCAAATACACATAATCGAGGGATTCGATTGAAAGAAGGTGCTGCGATTAATCGATCGTTGCTTGCATTGGGAAATGTTATCAATAGTTTGGCTTCGAGTAATTTGTTTTTTTTTTCGAAAAATAATAGTTTCTGATGGTTTTTCAGAAACTACAAAATACGTGAATTACCGAGATAGCAAATTGACAAGATTGTTGAAAGATTCATTGGGTGGAACTGCTAGAACTTGTATGATTGCTCATGTTACACCATCAAGTTTGAATTTTGAGGAGACTTATAACACATTGATGTATGCGTCAAGAGCTATGAATATAACAAATAAGGTAGGCTTGATCGAGTTTCGAAAAAAAAAAAGTTTCAATTTTACAGATATCAAGAAATCGGCCAGCTTCAGCAGATCAAGTATATGATGAAACGATGGCTAAAATCCGCAAAGAACTAGGAAGCCGAATGAAAAACTCATCATCAGTCACTGCTTGTGAGTTACTCCACTACCCACCTTCTTTTTATAATTCTACTCGCCTCAAACCAACTTTTCTCTTTACAGTATCAATAAAAAGCACGGAGCCCAAAAATGGCAATGGAATTCTACGAACTCGACCCAAATCAATGTCTCGAAATAGTAGTTTAAATCGAAGTTCGACTCAAATCGAAAAGAAAGGTGTTAGTCTTTTCAGTCAATTGAAAGAGCAATTTATGACGTTGAATGACAAACAGAAGAGATTACGGTTTGTTTGATCTTTTTTCTAAAAAAAATTAGACGGAATAATTCAGAGAGAAGTTAATGCAAGTGAATCAAGAGGCATATTCAATTGAGATGTCAATGATTTCAAAAAACGCAATAATTTCTGCTTGGGAAAAACATAATCAGAATAAACAAGCTGAAAGTATCGAGAGGTTGAAACAGGATGGAGAGCAATTGGTAAGAGAATTAAAAAAAAGGGTTTTGGTTTTATTTATTAAAATGCAGATCTCTTCCGAGTTTCGAGAAGAATTTCATACCTCAAAAAAGTGTTCTCTTTTAAAACTCAACAGTAGAAATTCACTTTGAAATTTTCAGAAATTGAGATTGGTCGACCTCTCCGAATCAAGAACAAAAGTGGAAAAAGCGCTCAAAAAAGGAGATGAGACAGCAATTTCATTGGAAAACCGAATGAGATCTCTAGCATCTTCAACCGAGCAAAAAGAAATGGTTAAATTGATGGTGAAGATGGCGGAAATTGAAGCTCAGAGTGAGTGGTAGCGGCGGCCAAAATTGGATTTTTCGATTGTTTATTTGTTTTTTTTCTTCCAGAAATTTCCGCGTTGAGCGATTTGGCAATAAAAGGGATTATCATGGATAGAACCGATACATCTATTGCGAAATTGCAGAAATATGAATTGATTGCTGATAAATTAATTGATGGGAATCTGGATGAAGAAGATCGGAAGAAATTAGAAGAAGAGTATCGAGTTATCAAAAATCAATTTCATTATCATTTGTTGCCATTGAAAAATATTCAGTCAACAGTTTCATGGAATTCGTTATTACTTCCAAGGATCAATAATAACAATAATGACGAAAAAATGCTTCCAACAATTCGTAAAAAACGAGACTCGGTGGTCTTACCAATTATCGCTAATGGAAGGGAGAAATTCGCTACAACTGATTCAAATGAGGGTATGTTTTTTTTTCCATTTTTTTTAATTCAATTTTTATAATTCAATTTCAAACATTTACAGAAGACAACCGAGCACAAAGCGATCGTTTGCCAAGTATTTGATAAAAATGTGTGATTTTGCAATGTTCTTTCAATTATTTTTCTTTCGTTGTATTTTTCAATCGAGTATCGAGAAAATGTGATATTTATTTATCAAGAACAAAAAACTGTTAGATGGAAAATTTTAGTGAAATGAATGTGTTTTATTTTGAAATTTTGTGAAACTGGAAATTAAGAGATAAATTTGAAAACAAAAGGGAAATCGAAATTTTGGATAAAATAATTCATTCAATATCAAAAAATGGGCTGAAGATCTCTAATCTCTGTTTGATTAGACAACAGTATCAAGCCAGACGAATCCTTCGACAAATCCGCATTGAGTCATATTCTCATCAAAAATCTCAATAAAACGATCGCCATTCTCCCCGCAAGTAATAGAAAGTGTGAAACTTCCAGTGAGCTCAATTGGCAAACGAATTCTCTCAATTTCGGTGAGTGTTCGGAGTTTCAAATTTGTAGTGAGCCGAATCATCGCATCCATCAATTTGGTGATTTGCTCGGTGAGCACGACCTGAAAATTTATTTCAAAAACTCAGTTAATACAAAAATGTTTCTGATAGTTTTAACATACTTGAGTGCATTCTCTATCCACAATTATGAAGAATGTTTTCTCATCCTTGGTTTTTCCCAAAGTGAGAACTGTATCCTCTCCAAGAACTTCGTTGAAAACTTTGGAAGTTAGTGGAACTTTTTCAGTTTGATTGAACAGAATGGAGCATTTCTTTTGCTTGTTGTTTGGAATCTATAAAAAACAATTTTCTCGATGATATAAAATATTAAAAAACCTGAATAACATTAGCGCAATAGCTAATCCCATCAACCATAGTTTCAACAGGATTTGGTCCAACAGCAACTGGAAGAGTTCCCTTTCTAACATGCTCCAATTGTTGGAAAAGTGAGTTTTCGAGAAATCTTGGTCTTGAGAATTGAATCAAGTCAGGAATAACAACAGTAAGAATTTCCATGTTGTTGCGAGTTGTTTATGAATGTCATTCTCGAAAAATATTCTTCTTTTATAGTTGGAAAGTTCAGAAAAAGTTCCATTTTTTAGAGAAAAAAATTAGAATTACAGCCAATTTGATAAAGACTCTTCTCTTCAATTTTTGTTTGTTCAGACAACTCAAAGAAAAAAGAAAATATAATATGATATAAAACTTTTGCCGATGATACAGATTAATTCACACTTTTCGTAGGGTTAAAGGCTTCTGTTATTTTAATAAAACACACAAACTTTGCTTTCTATATTTTTCACTCAATTTTTCAAATAAAATAGGTTAGTTTGATTTTAATACGTGAAAAAATCCTGATTATAAATTGTTGAAGGGCCTACACCGTTTTCCTAACCTAAACCAAAATTCTTGAGTTTTTGAGTAACTTGATCGTATCTTGTCAAACCACTTATCAATTGTTTCTTGGTGTCGTCATTACCGCCACCACGACCACTCCAAAAGAAATGAAACAAACGAAAAACACCGAAATTCTTCAATATTTATATCTTTATCTATCTAAATCAAGTGTGCAATGCAAATAGTATCAAAATCAAATGGCAACGCGTCGCAAAAGTAAAATAAAAAAATACGAATGTAGATGAAATGTTTGCTCCTTTAATCCAAACATTGGATATCAAGATATCTTTCATTTTTTACTTTTTTTTATTTCACAACCCCGCAATCTCATTCATTTACTTTACTGTTTCATTTTTAGATGTTTTTGATGTCGGCGATATGTTTTTGATGTTTTGTAGTCCCGGAAACTTGAGATAATTAATACACTAATATTCAGAGTAGAATAAAATAATTGGCGGCGGAGGTTTTTTTGGGAGAACAGTTGTTCACCAGAACCAAGAGTTGCGAAAAATATGATTTAGGATTAGCTGGTAGTTTGATAAATGTGCAATATGTGATTTATAGTAGAGCAGAGCAGGTAGATAATTTTTAATAAAAAAAACTTAGAAAAACTATTTTCACCCATTCCCATAATTTAAATTGTGATCAAAAAATGATTCATTCCTATTTTCATCATTTTTTCCTTCTCATGCCGACTAATTGAATAAACACAGCTCTCATTCTTTATTACCTCCCAAACCAAATTTGGTCAATAAAAATAACACTCATCATTTTATGACACTCTTAATAACAATAAGAAGAACAATAACACATTTGCTGGCCAAATAATCAATAAGAGGCTCAATTCATGTTTGGTACAGGCACATAAATATTTTTGTTGTTTGTTTGTCACACATATCACCGCCCTTTGAGTTTTTGGAAAACTTGAGATAAAACATTTGAGAACGACGAGATTTGATATTTGCATTGTTTTTGAGATAGAAATTTATTTTGTTTGGTTTGTTAAAGTATCTTTTGTATACATTACATTTGATATCAAATTAACAGAGTTCGCAGAGAAAAATCTCGGGTTTTTTTTTTGAATTGGAAGGAAAAGATTGCGAAGTGGGTGATGCAAGATTCATGATGCAATTTTTGTTGAACAAAGAGGATGAATAGAATCTGCTCCAGGTGTTCCAAAAGCAAAAGGAAGTATCCAAATAAATTGTTGAGTAAACGAGGAAATTCAATATTTCAATTTTGTTCCACTCTTCAGTTAATGGCCTTCCTTCTGCTCATAAAGAGGTCAAATCTTAACAAAACATTTTATACTGAATGTGAATGTGAGGTTATGGTTATGAAAACCGGAGCCGGGTTTGAAGTTATTGAAAACAAGAAATTGGAAGTACTGAAACTAGCGTCTAAATGTGAATATAGTTTTTTTCTGGTTTTGAAGAAATCAAATTGAGCCTTTTGAAAACAAACAGTTCACTTGTTCAAAAAACCTTCATACCGTATTCCCCCGATAATTTCCTTTCTCCATAAATCAAAAAATCAATGTACCGATAGGCATCAAATGACCTTTTAACACATACTCATCATATAAACTATCAATCTAACTGTATATGTATGTATAGTATAATGAGTGCGTGAGAAAATGCATCATTTTAATTTTATGCGAAATTAATTCAACATCTGGCTCAAATACAAACACCTTTCGCTCCCATTCCATATGTATGATTATTCATTTTCATTTTTTTTCGACTAGAGCCCAACTTTTTTGCGATAATCCAAACCAATTGACCTACCCCGGTTGTTTTTTCTTCCCGTGCATGATCACAACACCAAACAAGACAAGACACGCCGTTGTATTTGTATGCGTATGCAAGGACCAATAAGAAACGTGCATTCTCCATAAGAGGTCAGCGATTGACCTCTCTCTAGTCTCTCCTATTTTTGCATATTCTCTATTTTGAACCCACCCGCTTACTTTTCCCAAACTGCCGCATAACGCGTTGGCATATGGATAAAGGTCGGGGGTAAGGGAGGAGGGGGGAGGGATGGTATGCATACTAGTCGTATTCATTTGCGCGTTGTGCTCACCATATGTCTTCTATTGATTAGAACCTTGCTTTTTTGATTTTTGCTTTCTTGTTTGACTCTTTTCGTAACTATTTTTCTGTAGGTTCCAGGTTTTTTTTCAGAATCTATTGTAACATTGTTGAAGATTTTTTTCTGGGGAGAACTTTAGATTATTTAGTACTAATATTTTCAGATTGAATTCCTTATGGGAGGCATTTCCGACCAGTTTTCCATAGGGTTTCAGAATCCAAAGTACAACCTTACGATAATGAATCTTCGTGACTATAATTAGAAAGCTTTCCCAGTTGAATTAATCGCTCGTGACTTTTTCATATCTGACCAGTAGAGTACCTAAATTTCAAGTTATCTTTCTACCTTGGGCCTAATACAGTGAAGGTTTTGTTACCACTTTTAATAATAGAACCCCATTTTATTGTTAGAGAAGGTCAACCACCTAGATTAACATAAACCGGGAAAGGTCTTCTATTCAAATCGAGAATCTAATACTCATTGTTTTTTTTTTTGCACAACCCCTTCTCAATCTGGATGAGAATAATCTTCTTCCACACTGTTGTTATTCATTGTCTTTACTAATCGAAATCTCTAATTGGTTGAACTTTCAACTTGGATTCTATTTGATTATTGTATTTTTTAATCTGTTCTTGTTTCTCTTTGGTGAATCTTAACAATTTCTAATTTCCAGAAGCAAAATGTTGGGTATACCATTCATTGATCGATGGCTATCCAATACATTTAAACCAAAAACCTTCGACGACGCTGTTGATCGTCTCAGCTATGTCACAACTGCAACCCTTCTCACCTTCTTCTCTATTATGGTTTCTTGCAAACAGTAAGTTTTGGTTTTGGTGTCAAAAACCTGTCATGGTCTAGAGACTTTTTGAATCTATATATATTTGTATATTTTCATTATATAAATATATCAAATAAAATAGAATAAGATGACTCGGGTCATTTTGTTTGCTCATCTTCCCGCTCGAATGGTTTTTCGCGCGTAGATATGCAGAGTAAAGAGAGGGTTTTGGGGTAACAATTTGAATATTTAGAATTTCGAATTTTCATATTGAAAAACAGCACAAAGGAATTCAATGTTGGGAAAAGTAGCAGTGAACTTATATCAGATATATTTTTTCCAGATATGTTGGATCAGCGATCCAGTGTTGGATGCCAATGGAATTTAAAGGAGGATGGGAGCAATACGCGGAAGATTATTGTTTCATTCAAAATACATTCTTCATCCCTGAAAAAGAAGAAATCCCCGGTGCAGTTGAAGATCGTCAAAGAGCCGAAATCGGCTACTATCAGTGGGTACCCATTGTGTTAGCAATCCAAGCTTTCATGTTCTACTTACCATCATACATTTGGACATCTTTGTATAAACAATGTGGTCTTGATTTCCCATCAGTTATCACTGAAGCTGAAGCATTGCGTTGTAAAGAGTCGGAGGATCGTAGAAGAGGTGTGCAGAAACTTGTCGCATTCATTGAAGATATTTTGACAACACGCGAAAAGAATGAATATGGAAGATTCTATTGTTATCGTTTTGGTAAAGGACTTGGATCAATGACATCGGTTCTTTATATTTTCATCAAATTGATGTATTTGGCAAATGTTCTTTGCCAATTCTTGATTTTGAATCAATTTCTTGGAAATGAATATCTTCTTTGGGGATTCCATGTAAGTGAAATTTCAAGGCAACTTGAAAACACAAAAAAATATATAATTTTGTGGCTCCAGGCTTTGGGATTTTGAAAGTTTTAATATCAGTCATGTTTCAAATCTCTCAAAAAGTTTCTATAAATCTAGGTCTCGCCGGTTTTAATTTGGCGAAGACCAATTTTACAACCGATTGTACTATTTTTCCACAATCTAAATTCTACCCATTTCTGAAAAAAATTAGAATCGCTACATATTTCACAGCTTCAACAAGCCAGAGGTCTCTAAAAATCAACCAAAAAATATATATATATCAAGTTCAAAAAAATCATTTTTCAGACCTTCATCGATCTCTACAATGGACGTGAATGGCAAGATTCTGGTGTATTCCCACGTGTCACATTGTGCGATTTCTCGGTTCGTAAATTGGCCAACACTCATAGATATACAGTTCAATGCGTTTTGATGATCAACATGTTCAACGAAAAAATCTACCTCTTCATCTGGTTCTGGTTCTTGTTTGTTCTCATCACAACAGGAATCAATGCGATTTGCACAATTTATCGATTGAGCATCTCAAGCTCTCGCAACAATTATATTCGATCATTGCTCAGCGGACCAGGGCATCAATTCAAAGATGACTCGTCGAAACTTCCAATCAGAAAATTCACCTACTATGGTTTGAAACAAGACGGTGTTCTTTTGATGAGATTTATTGATGATCACGCAGGAGCTATTGTTACCAAAGAAATTTGCGAAGCATTGTTCCAGAATTATTTGGAGACTGTAAGTTTTCATTTCATTTTCAGTTCCTGATTTTTCATCTAATTACGTTGATTTTAGAATCTATACATTCAACAACAAATTCATCATCACGGACAATCCACCAAATCAGTAACACCGGCTGGAGACGATGGCCATCACGAACATCTTTATACACAAGAAAAAATTGGTCTCATGGCCTAAGCCTTAACAAAATTCTCAACACAATTCTGTAACGAATCTCATTCACTTGTTTTTTTTTCTTCTTATTATCGATTCACTGCCCAACTCAATTCATGTCACTTGTTTCATTTTTTCCGCAATATTGCATAATCAAATTATCAAACCCTTTATGTATCATCGAGGAGTTTTATCAACTTTCAACAATTTTATATGAATTACGAGTTTTTCCCCTACAATCAATTTTGTCTTCAAGTTTTATATATGAAGTTTATTTGAAGTTTAACTTTTCTATATTTGAATAAATAAATGGTTTTGAAACACAAGAGAAATATTTCGGAAAAATGAGAGAAGAATGATATGAAAGATGAGATAGGGCGCGTTTGCCGCGTCCCTGTGAAGCTATGGCCTAGAAATTCTATAATTTCTCGACCACTGAGTTTTCTGATTGTGGTAAAATCAAATTCAGAAATTATGACTTTTCATGGAAAATATTTCGTAAACTTTTGTTTCTGAATTTTTCAAATGCAGAGAATCATAGATTTCAAGTGGCAAACACTTGGTTTTTGCTACGAAAATCGATATTTATCAAAATGCAAAGAATGGCCTAGGAAACCAAACTGCTCGTAAATCTACACACACTTTTTTCACTGGAAACTCTCGATTTTCAGCACTGTTTTGTTTTTTCTCAATGTATTGATTGTTTCGAAATGGTATTCAATACGGAAATAACAACTTATTACATAATTTTGGTGTGTTTTGAATGATAAACAAGTATTGTGACAATAGTTCCATTTGACACGTGTGCGCTATTATGTCAGTCGCAGTGGATTCAAATTTGCAAACATTCATCTAGTAGTTTTTGTATATATATGAAAAGATGAAAATACAATTTATTAGCATAGTATTTCCCAAATCCGTATTTCCCAGAAGCTTATCTTACAATTCAAAAAGATTGATGGAAAAATATCCGATGTTTCTGGTGATTTAGAAAACTCTTCTTTTCAGATTGTTTCAATTCTTATATCCAATTTCAAACTTTTCAGTTTGTGAAAACGTTATTATTCATCAAAAATCCCCAGTATTAATTGCGCAGTTTATTTCAACTCTCTGAAATTTACATCAAACAAAACTTGTCCCCGATTCCCTTACAATTATAACTCTAAAAAAAATAACTGTTAGATTTGACACTCATATTTTTTGCCTTTGAATAATTCTTATATTACAACTCTTCATTAGTCTAATTGAATAAAATGAAACATAATCTTCATGTTTATGTCGTACAATAACATATTTATAATTATTAGTTTCAAAAAGACATTACATTATACTAATTAATGGATATTTCTCATTAGCCAATTGTTCGAAATGTTCGACATATTCCAGTGTTTGTGTCACACAATGTTCCAGAGGGGCATGATGTTGAACAAGATATTGAAGTTGGACCTGTGAAGGCTTGGCGGAAGTTTCGACAAATTCCTTAAAAATGCACAGTTTCATTTAAGCCTCAAGGAAACAAATATGAAAAAAACATTTCGATTATGATTAACATTCACTTTTTTTTTGGTTCAGAACCTTGTTTACTGTGTAGATCACAGTGTGTATCACTATTCCTGAGCCACCCTGTAGCGTTTTCCAAAATAATTATATTTTTATCGAACCAACCATAATATAAACAATCAGAAGTGAGAGATGAAATTCGACACTTTCGATCATTTATGTTTGTTTATGGAAATAATTGTTTGATATACCGAAAAATTGAAAATATAGTGAAAATTGTGGGTGGTCCTGGCAAGAGCTTTTCAAATGTTTATAAAAATTATAAACAATAAAAAAGAGAATGTAATTTGAAACTTTCAAAAATTCGCAACAGTAAAATGATGACAATAGCCGAAAATAGCTTTTCAAATTTTTTTATATGGCTTCTGATTTTTTTTGTACATACAATGTAAGGTTTCCGTATCAAACGTAGCATAGAATGCTAGGATTTAATTGGAAAATACTTCATTTGCAATACAGTTTTCACTAACATGAAATTCGTGAGAGATGTTATTTCTGTAAGAAATCTAGATTAGTGCAGTATTGTTAGAAAAATAACAACTTTGTTGGTGGTCTTTTTTGTGAATACGCGTTTACGGAAACAACTTCTTTATTTTGATTTTCAAAAAACAAAAACTTTATGTGATAATGAAATACAACGAAAATTTTCCTTCGAAAAAATCCCTTGGTAAAAGTTTCTGTATTTTTTTTCGTCATCAACCCCTTGCTGCTTCTCATATAATTTCTGTGACGTCAATATGCATTAATTCTCACTATACGATTCCAGCAAAAAAAAATCTCAGAAAGACTCATAAATCTTCCAAAATTTCCATAAAATTTTGATTGAATTCTCGTCAAAAAACCTTTCAATGAAAAATGTGTTTTGTACATACATAGACACAGAAATTTTTAATATTATTCAATTTCCCATAGCATTCCACGAATAGTTTATTTTAATATTGAAATAAAGTCACTGTCTGTTTCGTGGAAAATGAATAGTATACCACCCATGTTTTATTCATGTGCAGCAAATATTTTTTTTTGGAAAAAGATTGATAATATTTTGACAGGTTTATTGTGTCAACGAAAATATACATACCTGTATTAAAATCGCAAATCTGAGGAGAAATACAATTTGTTTGGCAGTTAATTTGTTGAGATTCCGAGTGAAATATAAAATCCAAAAATATAAAAACTATGATGAAAATCGATTTCATTTCACGTAACCAACAAATAAATAAAATAAAATGAAAATCTTTTGTGTTCAGTTGGCAAATATTTGGTACATAAATACAGTTATAGTTTTTTTTTATTCGATTCCAATTCCGATTCAAATTCCCATTTTTTATTTTATGTTTTTTATGTCATCAAAAACCTACCAGAAGCCATCGGTTTTTATGACATTGAGATGAGGTGAGATCATTGCTATACACAAAAAAACGACGAGCGAGTGAGAAAAAAGCAATTACTGGGAGCTTTGGGCACGCCAGACCCAGGCTAGCATACATTTGCACTTTTCAATAGGTCAGCTCTTTTCTTGTCTCCAATTTTTCTGTATGTACGGATGAAATATGAGAAAAAACTTATAAACACTGAAGAAAAAGCATCATTTTTCATCCATTAGTTTTTTCTGTGCGTTCATCGAAGGGATAAAGAACAGCTGGAACAAATATGAATTATTATACATATTAATATTTTTTTTTGGTATTTCCCCCCACTAATAACTTTTTTCGCGCGCAAAAAAGCACATTAAATTAATGGTTATTAGTCGGCGAAAAGTACGAGTTTTATTACACTCCAGCTATTTTTTCTCCGTTCATTTCATTTCCATGAAACAGTGTGTATGTGATAAAAATAAGATGATAACAACGAATATATTACACTGGATTTTTTTTCTGGAAAAAAATGATTGGGGGGTACTGTAGACGTTTTTTGGCCGAATTGTTTGCTGTGACCGAATGGGAATCGTTGAAATGGGAATTGTTTCGAAAAAATTAGATGGTGGTGTGACGGAGTGAAGGTTTGGTATACTGTTAAAACAACGAAGTATTCAAATTTAGGATCTTTAAACCCTTCTGACCTCCAGAAAATCCGTCTGGACCAACGTTCATAAAAAGCTCTTAAACTTTTGTCTGAAGTCAGATATCGCAGAAGATCCCCCGGCATCAGAAAATAGCGCCCTAAAACTTCAAATCTTTAAAAATGAAACCAGACACTGCTGATCTAAACAGTCTTCTATTTAGATCCTTTAATTGACGTCAAACTTCAGTGAATCATGAAATATTGACAAATCTGAGTTTCTACATCAAAACCAGAAATCAGCAAAGAACCCTCATCAATTATTTTCTCCTGAAAATTTATGATAATTTATGTGCATAAAGTTTAGTATCAAAAATTTTATTTCAATATTCAATTTTCTTCAACATTACAAACAACTCAGAAAAAACTCCAAAGTCTCACATCAAAATCAAAATTTGCAAAAAAAATACAATAAAGGGCATTTTCACAAATTTCCGAGAAAATCTGGAAAAGGGGGAGTTGGGTATCGGGACTGTACAATCTTATGACCACTCAAGCGGATCTGATTGTTTTTTCAATAAAAAAACACAAAAATCTTGGGGGAGGATGGTAATTTGGGGACGGGGGGATAGCCGAATTGCCGAATGGGCCAATTCTGACAGAATGAGGATTTCTTCGGTTCTGATTCTATCTATTATGACGTTGGGCATTAGAGCAAAAAATGACGGTTACTTAACTAGACGACAACTAACAGAAAAAGAATAATGACAACCTGAATGACGGTATTGAGTTTGAATCGTGGAGCCATTATAGCGCCATGTATTCTATGACAAAATGCAAATTACGGTGGCTAAAAGTAATTTGATTACTCTCGCACACATACAAAAGAAAAAAAGACAAACAAATATGACAAAATAAAAAAAAACACAAAATAAAATACGAATCTTCCTATTTGGTAGGGGACAAGATGTTTCTACGACCTGCGCATTTGACATTTTTGGGGGAGTTCGGGACGATTTGCAAATTCTTCATCCAATGTTTGACCCGTTGCTTTTACTGAATTGTTTGCAATGTTGTTGATTACTGAATATTGTCATAAAATTGTGGCTTGATACCTTAAAAAAATCAATTATTTCTTTTTCCCTAAATCTTAGAGCTTACATTTCTGCGAACCGTTGATAATATACTGGCCCTGCTCGTACCCAACGAAATGAGATCTGTAAAATTGTTATTCTAAGATTACTCTTTTAATCCCTTGAGAGTACCTCTGACAGATGGTGGATTACGACGAATTTGATGGTATAGGTGCCATAACCAGATCTGAAAAATATATTTTTTATTATTTTTCGATGATATGAAACATTACAAGACTTTAGAAAACATTCAATTTCTTATTTACAACAAAAAGGGCGCGAAAACGTCAATGAACATGTGCGTGCGTGTGTGTGTGTCTTCAAATCGATTCTTATTTTCTAGGTGGCCTAGTTCAATTCGTATAGTATTAAATCGCTTGAAACTTATATGTCAATTGAGACCGCTTCTAGTACTACAACATAGTGTTAGCCCCACATTACAAGGATTAACTAGCGAGCCTAGAAAAATCAAGAAAGTCGGCGAAGAAAGCCTAAAAATGAACACATCGAATGAGGCACAGAAGGGGCGGGTACCAATTGAGAAAAAGAAGGGAGGTCGACGACGAGAGAAAAGAGAGGTGGTAGAGAAAGACACCGTCAGACATGCAGATGTGTTGTGTTCTGTCGGCGATGACAGGGTCGGATAATAAAATGATGGGCAAATGCGCCCTGTTGAGATGGATGGGGAAGACCGCACACGAAGAAAATGGCGAAATATTTTGCCCGAGGGCCTAAAAAATGTCAAACGAAAGGGATTTTGACGTGGGAATTGGGAGATTGACAATTTATTAGCCCCCTAGGCTGGATTGTTGAGAAATTATGAAGGTCAAAAACTGGTAATTGAAAAAAATTTGGAAATTTTCACAAGTTTTAGAAAAATTGAAAATTTCTTGGGAATGTTGAGTACAAATTTTGACTTTAGAAAGTCCTAATCCATTCGTAGATTTTGAGAGAACAAAAAACGAAAACTAGACAAATTTTTAGAAAATGAAACTCAAGAATATATTAAGTTACAGACAGAATAAGATCTGGTTTCAATTTTGAACAAAATTTGGAAATATGTGGGAGAACTTTGAGAATTTTGAAAAAAAAGTGATTTGATTTTGCCACTTCACAATTTTTTTTCCTTATTTTTTTTCCACGAAATCTTCAGAATGTTTATTTTTCATTCTAGTTAATCCAGTAACATGGTTTTGAACTTCTGAATTCCTCGAAACTTATTTTTTTCCATTTTCATGTCAGAAAACCAGTTTCAGACAAGCAAAATCCACCAGACCAGAAAATTTCCAACCAATGTTTTTTTCTGATAAAAATCTTCAAATCAAAAAAGTCTTATTCAGTTTTTCAATGTTTGCCTTCAACTTTTAATTTAGAATCGAATCAAATTGTAAAAGTTTGGGATGAAAATAAAAATAAAAGTGCAATTTAATTTCGTATTATTCACCATCACATGAGCTCAAAATTATATATTTTTTCTGTCTGGAAAAACAATTTTAATTTCGTAGGAAAATGATGACAAAGTTTCGCTAAAAGTGCAATTTCTGATTAATGTAATTTTTCTTGTTGATGAATGTTTTGCCAGGGATTTTTCGTACTCTCCGGGAAACGTTTTTTTTCCATCTCAATCTTGTGTGTTATCAAGATTCTTCCTTCACCGAACAATGTTTTTTTTTTTTGTGTGTGTGTGATGGATCGCATCCGAGAAGAATCATAAAATGTTCGTTTTTTTCCTTGCACTTTTGAGAGATGAGGGCAGCCAAAAAGACGAAAACGAAGACGAAGAAAAAAAAACTAGGAGGATGGATGAAAAAAGAGAAGAAAGAAAGAAAAGTCGTTTGAGGAAGGAATTGAGAAATTTTATAGGGCTTTTTATCGCGAATAAATTAAGACGCTGGTGTTTTTTCACAAAGGAGGTCTGGTTGTGAACTTTCACAACTATTTTTCAAGTGAGCGAGTGATTTGGTGAGTGTGAGTGGAGTGAGTGTGAACATTTTGACAAAAAACATCTTTTTCTCACACTTTACTGTTGTCTAGGGAAAAATATTTTAAATTGATTCGAAAATATTAAAAACAAATATTTCCTCAAAAAAAAATAATTTCTAAAAGTTCAAAAATATTAGATTCCCTCCAAAATGTTTTGTATCAAATTTCAAAGAAATGCGCAGCTGTGGTGCCATCGTGCGCCCCTGTTCAACTGGAGTTCGTTTGCTGAGACAAAAACAAATGTATAATCGTATAGTACACCACAGGTGGGCTGAATTTGTATCCTATCGACGCTATACAATCTACATTTTTCAATTTTTGGAGAAAAAAATGGTGTTTTTTCGTGACAGCTAGCACGACACGAAAAAGTGCATCGTGTTCGAGAAGCTGTAAAGATTAGGGGCGAACAAAAAAGGGTTGAGTGTTCGAGGGGAAATTGATAAGACCACACAATTATATAATATATGGGTTTTGAAGAGACAGCAAATTTTCTATAGACTAACATTAAAAAAATAATAATACTAATAATGTTGATAAACAATAACAAAATTTGTCTTTGTGTTCAAAAATTAATTTCAAAATATCATTCGTTAAAAATTTACAATACGTTTGAAAAAATATTCAATTTTTGATTAGAGTTAAGAAATCTGGAGATTTTCAAAAGATGTTTGGTCTTTTACCGTAATTTGGGTTTTGAGAATAACAGTAAATAACAAATTCAAAAATTTGTATCATAATGAATACGAATTAGTTAAAAAATACTACAGTAGTCAACACCCGTGTTGATATTTTTAGTAGTCAACACCCGTGTTGATATTTTCCCAAAATTTCCAAAACAAGTTTTCAATTTGATCAGAATAATCACAGCTTCAAAGTAACTTCATCGACGTAAAATTTGAAAAAAAATATTATTTTCATACTAATCAATAACTTAAACTCAATTCTGGACAAAAAAATAAATAAATAAATGAAAAGTTTTGAAATACGTGTGACTTATATTAATATATTCATTCATAAAAATGATATTCAAAAAAGATACCCACTTTAAAGAGCAAAAATCATTTTCTTGACTTTTGAAGTGTATTTCTATGTAGAAAAAGTTTGTGAACTATGACAGAATAATTGAAAAATATCGAATATAAAACTGAAATTTTTTTACATGGACGGATTTAAAAATCAAAAAACAAATGAACTATTGAATTCCAAACTTTTAGTCGGTTTTTCAGATTTGTTTTGATTGAGTTGAGCACCCATTTATTCTGAAATCTGCACAGTCTATCTCGAAATCTTCAACCCCCTAAAAATCTCCAACCTTCCCAATTTTTTTTCCGCTTCACCCAACAAACTATTTATGTATGTATCAAATCAATCTCGAAAAACATATCTATTCGTTGCCTTTCTACGAGATAGCAATCATTTTCATCTTCAATTTCTTATCAATCTTTTTCGAGACAACAATAGGATGAATTTTTGAAAAGAGATGAAGAAAAGAATAAGCTGAACCGAACTGGATTTTTTGAATCGAGGTATGGGGAGGATGGCTTTCTTCTCTTCCTTTTTTGTGGGTCATTCACCTGCTTATCTCGATTATTGTTAGCTGCTACGCGATTATTGCTACAAGCTAGACAGGTGAAAATGACCTGTCGGATACTTTTTTCCGTTTTGCTGATATTTTCTGCTGTAAATGCTGAGGACACTACACAATCTCCTGGTGAAGAAAGTGAGTTTTCAATATTTGAAATTAGGTGCATAATGTTAATTAATTCGCAAATTTTTCTGTATTTCTTGTATCTTGTAAAACTGGTCTCCAATTATTCTGAAATTTAATTTCAGTGGTCGACAGACTTGCGGTAAATCTAGCCGGAGCTTTTGTAAAAAGCATGTTCCCCGAGATGGACCGAAAACCGACAAGTGCACCAGAAGCCTCTACTCCAGCCCCAGTGCCTCAACAACAACAAGGATTCCCAGTGTCTCAAAATAATATCCGAAGAGCACCAATCAACCCATTGCTTATGGATATGAATAATTATTCACGTAAGGAATTTTTGAAAAAATCTGGAAAAAACAAAGATTTTTCAGCACAAATGGCAGCATCTGAGTTCAATGCTATTCCACAAATGGGACAAATGAGTGATACTCCAAAAAATCCGTTCAGCTATCAAGCACAACAACCTAGCCAATATTCTTTGATGCCAGAGGTGAAAAATAACAGGGGAAAAGTGTGAAAATGACATAGGAAGATTGAAAATATTATTTTTAATAATTTTTGAAGTTCCTTTATTGAAAATTTAAAAAGTTTTGAACAAAAAAATATTATCAAAAATTCAGAAAAGTGCCGAATAAAGTCATGAAATTACTCAAAGTTTATAATTACGGGTGTCTTTTTAAATTTCTAGTAATAACTCACATTTCAGACAAGTCGCACAAGAATGTCGCAAACCGCTGGAATGGATGGTGGAGCTCTTGGCGCAATGGCAATGCAAGGAATAACCAATCCAGATATCGCATCAATGATGGGAGGTCAAGGTGGAAGTCCCGAAGCTATCAATGCTGTGAGAAATCAAGCATATCTTGCGGAGTTGTCGAAACATCAATCAGAATTGAATGCATATAGCGCGAAGCAAATGGAATATTTGGATCAACAAAGAAGATATCAACAAGCAATGATTGATCATCAAGCTGGTGCAGCTCTTCTTATGCAAAAACAACAACAAGATGTGATTGCTGAGCAAATGAAGAAATTGAAACAATCTTATGGAATGGAAGAAGCTAATAATGGTCCAGCAGAGGATAATTCACCAGGATCTGTGAGTTTGACATATCCCCTCAATAGTAATTTGTTCCCCAAATTTCACTCCATCTTCATCTCTCTCTCTGTATATTTTCACATCATTTTTTCTAGTTCATGACAGCTCGGGCCCGTGGCGCAAAAACTATGAAAGTACCAACTAACAGAAGTAAGTAATTTTTTTTCTGAAAATTCACAAACAGTTTTTTTTCAGAACTCGAAGATGATGACGTCATTGCTAATGATGAATATTTAAAAGAATATTTCAAACAAAAATACAATATTGATATACCTGATGATGTTAGTCAATTGACCGCTGATGAAAAAGCAACCTTGCGAGCCTTGAAACGAGAACTCACCCGCCAAAAAGACAAAGTTAAAGATACTGGTGTTTTCAAAACTATGGATGGATTGAAGGGAAAAATGACAAGAGAAAGAGCACCAGCTAAACAATCAGTGGCTGGAGAAGCTTGTGATCAGTGCATTCCATTAAATATGAAGATGTTGAGAGGAGCATGGACACAGGTAATTTTTACTAAAAAATAATCTGACAAAAGATGATTTTCTAGATCTATGGAAATCCAAAAGTTGTCAACAAAGTTTTCGGAACTGTCATGAGTTTGGAGAATTTGAAGAGCACAGAGGGAAACGCTAGAATGACTAGAAAGAAGACTGCTTGCGTTGGAATGGAAGTTGGAGCAACTAGCAGCTCGAGAAAATCAACAAAGGTCAACCTTTTCTTCAGAGATACTGAAGAGGGTAATGAACTTCACGAGGTTAGTGAGATCTGATTTTCTGGTGACTTATGGGAGATTCAATGATTTCAGATGCGTGGAACTGTCGCTGTTCGTGACAATATTCTCAACATTGAAACAAACCTATACAGAACTCAAAGTATGTTTTTTTCTCAAATTTCGCAATATTTTTCATTTGTTTCAGTGTGTTTGGTGAAGGCTGGACCATCAGAAGCTAATCGTTTTGAATATATTGTTTTGGCTGAAACATCTGGAAAGAATGCTTGTAGATCTTACCATGTGTTTGCCAGAGATACTGATGAATTCAATCGGCGACACTTTGATCATATTTCAGAATTTATGACTAGCGAGATTGAGGTATCTAAAAATCTTGAAACTGAAAAACATTATTCCAAATTTTTACAGAATAATAATGTATTGCCAGTCGGAGCTTTGCCAAAATCATCATATTGTCAATTGAACTCACCATAATTCATCAAAAAAAAATCAGCGGAAAAACAGAACTAATCATTTATTATTACATTTCACAAAATATGATATAATAATTTTAATAATGTATAAACACGTCAAATGTACACGTCAAAAAATGTGACCAAAAAAGTCAGCTAAATTAATTAATCATTTTGAATGTAGAAAAAAAAAATTTTGTAAAAAAGAAAGGAAGGGGATTTTAGAACATTTAGAGTGATGAAAATTGATCTTCAACTTGAATTTGTGATGCGCATAATTCACTATTTCTTCTTGTGACAACATTATCTGTTGAAAGACGGCAATCATTCAGTGTGACTTTGGTTGATGTTGCATTTTCATAATTGTGTTCATGACGGTAATCAAGGCTAGCAATAGAACAATTGTCTGGAATATCGCTGTGCTCAGATTTTGGTTGATGGCTGTTCTCCGAATCGATGCTGCGACGACGACGTTCACCGTTTTCAAGAACAAAGTCATCATTGTTGACAGTTACGCTGGAATTTTATGGTTTTGTTTGGTTCCGAACTTATCTTTGAAGTTTTTGAGATTCGTGAATTTTTTGTACAATTATATCCTATAATTTCTCAACATAAAAAAACTGCAATCCCAAAAATTTCATAAAACTTGAGATGATATCATAAACTTTGTCAGGCGTTTTTTTGATGTTGGTTATTGGGATTATGATTTTATTTACTGTGTGGTTGGTCAAATTAACAAATGTTTTTTTTACTTTAACAATAAGGAACTTTTAATGATCTATGAAACTTGATTGATTTGAAAATAAATGTTCAATTTTTTGAAACCCTAAAAATAAAAAAACCATATTTCATGTTTCGAAAAAAAGCAAAGTTTTATGCTTTTTTTTGTCAAAAATTTCCCTCAACCATACTCACGCTGGTTTTTGCTCTAAATCAACGGGAAAAGTCTTTCGATTTCTGAAATTCTTTGTGTAATAAAACACAAAGAAACAAACGGTGGAAGCAGTTACAAGCATACAGATTGCAAGAATCGCATACATCCATCTGAAAAAAAACACATGTTTTCTGTTTAAAAACTACTGTGAAAATTTACTTTGGAATAGGAAGTTCAGGATTGGCAATAGTTGTAGTTTCAAATGTTGTATTGGTGAGATTTTCAGTGGTTTCCTCTGGTGCACTTGTTGTTGAATATTCCTTATATGGATCGAGGAGAAGTGAACTGATTTCATCAACAATTTTATTCAAACCTTCCATGTAGTTTCGCTCTGTGAACAAGTTTTTGTATTGAGCCAGAGAGTTATCAAGTTGTTCTTTTGGAATAGCCAAATCAGAACCAGTCTGAAACAGAACATGTAATTCCTATGCTTGAAAATTTTATAGTTACCCAAAGGTAGATTTGCTTGGCAAGTTCGACTCCCAAAACTAGAATATAGTTTTTGCATGGCATGTGATCTAAACCAAATGCTTCTCGAATACCGTGACCAAATTGAGTCTAAAAATAACAATTTTTTGAAATCAAAAACCCCCTTCACTCACTAAATCAGCACTTGTTATCGATTGGTTGCTTGCTGTATGAATGCGTTTTGCGAGAATAATAAAAATCTGAACAGGTTCTGTTGAATTTGACGAACACTCGGGACTCGCATCTTCAATGTATTGTATTTTTGCGTCTTGAAGTTCTACAAAAACAAAATTATAATCGTGTTAAAAATTTTTTTATTACTTGTTAGATGTTGTTGAACATTGTCGAGAATTGTTTGGCGCCAAGTGTCGGTTAGAATATGATCAGGATCGCAGAGAGTTCCATCGTGTGGAACATTGCATTCAGTTGCGTTTGTACGCGGATCCGGGTAAGTTGATGGTTCCCAAAGCTGCAAAGGGGTTTGTGTTTTAATTTTTTTGTGTTTATTTGTATAGATCCTTTTTTTCCCGAATCCCAATTTGAAAATTAGGTAAAAATTATTTGTTTTTGAGAAAGTCCTATGAAATCACTCAAAATCTATATAGCTACATTTTTCATAAAATACAATTTCATTTTGATATTTTTCAAAACAACTATAGAAAACGCGTAAATATACACTTTCCATTTATTATCATCATCTATGTGCTCGAAAAATTCATGAACAGCCACTTGATAAATGAGCTCGTTTCCAAATATCTCACTCTCCTCTCTATCTCTTCACAGTTTTTATGATCAACACAAAATAGCCACAGGTCAACAAAGTGGCACAAATAAACAAATGGTAACATATCAAATGTATCACTGTTTTCTTCAACTTTGAACAAGTATAGAGAAAAAAATGAACGGATAAACACGAAAATATCTCGAGTATTTGATGTTCCTTTTTTGGTTTTTTTATTCCGAACATCAACACAAAAAATGTCACACTCTTGAAAATTGAGATTTGATCAAACATACCTCGGTATCAGCTCGTAACACAGTTCCAGATGCAATTATCAGCGATAGTAGAGATAACATGATCTGTAAAAATGAAACAATTAGAGGAAGAGATCTTTAAAAATCATGTAAGTGAAGTGGAACAAAAAGAAACGTCATGTCTGTGAGCATGATGAGATATAACAAATAACATTGTTAGGCTTGACAAGAAATCCGGTTATATTTTTGAGGATATTTGGTTTTGATGAACTTTTCAAATCAATCGATAAATTCTCGGGGCTTAAGGAAACTGTAGTAATTTTGTCTAACGCAAGAAACATATAGGGATCTTTGAAAGACGGCGAAAAATATATACATACACTGCTCAAAAGGTAACAGAATATACGATAAATCTAACTGAATGTGAGTAAAGTAAAATTATTTCTTTTTATATTGAGATGATGATGACACCTTAGACATACATCATTTTGAGTGAGCCAATTTTTTATTAGGGACAAACAAAACTAATTTAAAGAAAAACTTTGAATGTTTATTTTTAGAATATTTTTGATTACTGTAGTTATTTGAATTCTTTACTTGATTTCGAATAAGCCGAAAAAAACTGACTAAAGGTTTCTAGAACTTGGATGTTTTTCAGTTATCATAACTTTTGATGTAATTTAGAAGCTTAAACTTCAAATCAGTTGTTCAATTCAACTGATTTTTTTTTTGAAAAACCCTGATGTTCACTGTTTGAGTGAAATAGTATCAAAAGTAGCTTAACTAGAATATAGGCAAACCATATCCATTTGTGGAACTCATCAGAAATATGAAAGAACAGCAGGTTTTTCACATAGTTTTCTAAAAATTTCTGATACTCATCAAGTAAACCTGAAATCTGAAACAGGAAGAAAACAATCGTAATGATTATTTTGCTGACAAATAACAATTTTACTATCAAGATTGCGTGTTCGGAAAATGTGTTTTTTCCAGACACAATTCATGAATTTTTTATCAAAATATGCCAAAAATGTTCACCAAAAAATCATCACTGAAATCTTTTTGACCAATGGAATGTGCAACATCACAAAATAAAAAATGAAAAAAGGAACTGATTATTGTGTTAACTTCCTTACCTTTAATCAAATAATGATCATCAGACAAGAGAAAAAATATTAGCTAACACAAATTGTCCAAGATTACAAACAGACAAGAGGAGCCAAGCAAGAAGAAGGAGAAAAACGAAAAAAGGATGGTCAAAATGTTGACCGTTTCTATCCACTTGATATTTGACTCACTTTATTCTTCGTCTTTTCTCTATCTATTTTTCCAAAAAATATTGCGCATTCCCGTTCGTTTTTGCTTCTTCTGCTCGGCATTGATTTGATCCCGCCCAGAGCAGCGAAAACGAGAGGATGTTTTTTTTTGCCTTGCTTTCTTCATATTCACATTTGTGAGCTCGGTGTGTGTTTTGTTCTAAAAGCGCGCGAAACAACAAAAATTTGTGTACGATAATAGAGTGCATCATGAAAAAGAGAAGAGGAAATGTAACATGAGATGCGCTTTATTCGTGCCTATTTGAATTGCGGTGGCGGCGACGCGATAGAATACTGTGATTTGGTTTTGATTGAATGGAATTGAAAAAGAAAACTGAGAGCAAAAATCGAAATTTGTGGAAAAACATAAATTCACAAAAATTCTTGTAGAGCTTCAGAATCGGAATGGAAAGACATCAAGAAATATTGAATCAATTTTACCTAATTCTCCCGAAGATCAAAAAAAAGTGCAGTTTTTGATGTTTCCGATAAACTTCCAAAATTCAAGCAATCATGCTTTCAGGAAAAGAATAAACCGATGGGAAAAATTTGAAAGAAAAACTTCAGAAAAGGCAGAAAAAGAAATCAATTTTACTATAGCAGGAAAATCTGGAAAAGCTTATCAAACTTTCGAGAAATTTTGGGATACAATTTCTCAAAAAAAAATTACCAGGGAGATTTTGAACCAAGTCCGGATGAAGAAACCTCATAATTTTCCAATTTACAACATATCCAAACTGATCTGTGGAAAATTGAAAAAGGTAAACTTGCAACATGATTATCGAATTGATAATTCTCAACATTTTTTCACATCACTGTTTCAAAATCCACTCTTAACTTCAGAACAAATATATTCACCATTATTATCATTGTTTATCATTATTATTATTATTGTCAAATTTTTCAAATATAAAATTGATGTTTTCCATCAACATCCATCGGTCAAAGTTTCCATCTCATTGTCAAGATTCAAAAAAATATATTTATTATTTTCTCACTGTCTCCAACCAAACATTAAAAATAAAACAGGTTCTCTGTTCCTCCAAATGACAAAAAATAACCTTTTTCAATTTCAAAAATGTCATATGTATGTACATTTTTTGAAGGCGTTTATTTTCAATTACGACATAATATTTATGAAAAAGTTTAATTTCTCAAAATATATGAATATGTTGCTTTTGTTTTGTTTTTTTTTATTGTTGAATTTTTTCCGACTGATTTTTTTTCGTTTTTTTTTTGATTTTGGAAGAAGAATGGAAATTTTTATTGATTTTTTTTTTCTGTGAACTTATGAACAGGTGAAAAAAGTTATCATATGTTTCAGCCATATTTTTTCCGATCTTTATGTTTTTGTTCTTACTGTAGTTTAATTATATATGCATAGCTAATAAAAAAGTGATAAAATTATAGAAAAACTAATAAATCTTACGATTATTTGTCTCGCCAATCCCACGTACAAAAAACAAAAAATTATAGTCATCCCAAAATTTTTTTTATATATTTTTCTCCAACCAAAACCATTTCAATGCATTTTACGTTTGTTTTAAAGCTATAAAAATAATATTTTTATCACGATCAAAAATTTTTAATATTTTTTCTGCCCACTTTTTTGTCTCATGACGTACATTATGATCTGAATTTTTTAACAGGTCATATAATAATCAAATGTCTTTTTTGTGTGTTTTTCATGATTTTTTCATTGACGTACATATATGTATGTACAGAGAAAAAGAACACAAGAACAATGAAATTGAACATCGATTTTTTGCCTTTCTTATTATTAATTTTTTTCATTTTTTTTCATAATAATAATGATAGTAATTGTTGCATTTTATCATTTTTTTTCGTTATTTTTTTATCAATAAGTTTAAGCTGGCCTGATACGAAACTATTCAGTGAAAGTTAAGTTCAATCTCACTTTTTTTCACTTACTCAAAAAAATGTTTATCATGTTCTTGTGGTAAGTAAATAACTCGAAATCACATATTTTTATCTTGATTTTTTTGTAGCAAACACTCTTTACATCGAAAAATCTCTAATTCTCACCGAACATGACAAAAATGTGACATAATCCGTACCTAGAATTGATTAAACCCGAAATTCTTATCAGCCCAGACCCTTCTCGAATTTTTTTTTGCAATTCAATTCTTGGAAAAAAGTGCACGTCAAGGACACATAATTGTTTTCTTATTCTTATTTTCTCTGTGTTTTTCAACACAAAAAAATAATTATACATCGTCTTGTTGAATTAATCTTCGATCAATTATCCAAGCACATCTGAAACCTATTTTTCTTTTCATTTTATTTAGAATCGGGAAAAAAACTAAGAGAACATAAGAAGAGCGAGGTATGTATTGAAGTGAGAAAAACAACATGAACCTCGAGCCAACTTACAGATCTTCAAAGTGCTCAAAAAAGTGTAATCAGAAAGCATTAAATGAGACAAAATACAGTTCCTCTATAATCGGATTTTTCATCATTTTTCAGACAATTGTAGTTCCAAAAAAGTTATGATCAAATTGTGTATATATTTTCACTCATTTGAAAAAGTGTAAGAAAAAAACCAGTTGAATAGATTTTCCAAAGATGAGAGAAAAAAGAAGATTACTGTTGTTCATGAAAAAATTATCGATTTTTGCCCCCAATAAGAAAGTATTTCTTGTCTCCAATTTTGTCGTCCTCAAATTTCAAAATACATATCATGCAAGACTACTTATTATTTGTTATCAGTTTTTCCTATAGTGATTTGAAAATTTTTTCGCCTTTCCTATTGATCTTTTTCTCGCCTACACATACCGAAAAAGGTTGGAGCTTTTTTCAATTTTGAATATTCATGATGTGACAATCGATTTTCATTTTTCATGTTTTTCCCATCATCATATATAAAAAAGTATTATTTTTTGTTCATCAATCATTTCGGATGTGGTGAAAAAATAAGACAGCAAGAAAAAAGAGAGAAGAAAATGAAGGCAAGTCTTTTCATTTTCAGATTGTCGAAAAATCTTTTTCTTCTTCTTCTTTGTCGTTTTTTATTGTTTTTCGTTTCACAGATCTAATGATTTTCATTCTCATTTTTGCTGATCTTTGTTGTCGTTTCCGATTGGATTTTTGGTTGATTGATTCACTCAACAATCTTATCAATCTTCGAAAATTAAATACTTTTATTAGATTTTTCTGATTGTTATATACAAATATTCACACTTTTCTCGTATTTTGTGTCCTAGGTCTTTACGGCAAAAATTATCTGATGATACCGAGAAATGCCTATCAGATATCAATTCACGAAATGATTACATTATTATTTGATTTTTGATTGAGGCTTGCTACCTTTTTCTCGGATTATTTTTATATGATTTGTGAGTTGAAAGATTGTGTTTATTGGAATTTGAACTTCTTTTTGCTATCGATCAGAACATATTTTTTAACACAATTGAATAGAATTTAAGAATTTCAGAAACCCCAGTGAATGTTTGTGGTATTGAAGTCTGAAAGTCCAGATTTCTCATTCAAGTTCAGAATAGTTGGTTTTTCAAAAAAGTACTCGAGTACTTCAAACCATATTGAGAGCAAATTTTGAAAAGTTTGACAATGTTATTACTTGTGTCAATATTAATTCAACATAGACCCACACACACAAAAAAATTCTTGTCATTTTTTCAGACTTTTTAAAACAAAAAAAAACTTATAGAAAATTTGAAACAATTATCATCAACCTAAACACATTTTCCTATCATTTTTGTATTTCATTGTTTTATATATGTCTATCTTATGTAAATCATGTCATGAATTTTTCAACATTTTTTCTTTCCTCGACCCGTCGTGTTATCTTTTTTTCACCACATCATTTTCTCGCCGTTGTCAGTCCAAAAAACGCTCTAATCTTCTTTGCTACGAAGTCGACAAAATTTTTTTGTGATTCGATTCAAAATGAATAATCAAACAAATTTTGCCGACATTTGATCTACAAAAAAATCCCGCCCATTTTCATGTTCATTACTTTTTCTACAAGGAAACCATGTTTCCAAAAAAAATATTTCTTTTTATTTTTGTTATATCTTAGTTTGTGTATGTATTGTGTGTATTTATATGTGTATGTGTGCTCAGGCTCTTTTCCTCATTCTCTCCTACTCAAAATCCCTCACTCTCTCCCTCTCTCTTTTCTCTCTTTTTTTTTCTTCAGAATTTGTACATCTCTATTCTATTTTTTTTCATTTTTGATATTTTAGAATAATTTGAATAATGTTTTTTGAAACCTGAGAGAAGATTGAGTTTCATAGCAGGTGTTTTAAGTTCTTCTCACTTGCTCGAAGAGCAAAAGCAGTTTTATTTTATTTGTTTCCCCCTCGCCCACATTTTTTTTATTTTAAGTCGATTCAATTCGATTTGCTTCATCTTTTTTTCAATTGTTTTTTGCCATTCCTTGTTTTTTCTTGACTCGTTTTATAGTTTTTATTGAAAAAAAAAATATTGCAGAGCCATGGCTCGGTTTGTTTTAATAACTGCAAATGTTGGATCATTATTTGAACCAGATGGTCGATTGCACGATCCATGGGTCAAATCAGTGTCAGACAAAATACAATCGGAAGATCCAGATTTTCTTATTCTTCATATGCAAGAGACCGGCGGAAAAAAGTGAGGGTTTTATGAATTTTTGGGTTTTTTTTAACAGCATACAGAAAAATTTCGAAGGTTGTATGAATATTGGAAGTTTTCATCAGTCCAAATCCGAAATCTTATGAATCTCTATGTGTTTTTGTGGAAAAAAATTCCTAAAATATTTGAAATTCTTCATTTTTTTTCAGCAAAACGACCCTAAACGTATTTTTTTCAGGTTCGCTGAATGCTCTCAACAAGTTCCAACAATAATAAATAGACTAACTAGTATCCTAACAAAATTTGATCTCCTTCGAGCTTACTGTGACCTCGATTATGAAGCCATTGAATACACGGCCCTCGGAATTTTAACATTCATCAAAAAATCAATTTGGTCTCAAGTCTATCAATTCAATTTCCACACAAAAACTTATGAACAAGTGATCAAGCCAAAAGAAATTGTGACACACGGTCTTGAAAACTATCCATACGTGATAAAACACAAATTTCCAAAAGAATTTTGGCCATCAATTAAATGGGGAAGAAAAGGTTATATGCAAACGAGATGGCGAATTTTGAACCGGTAAGTGGATCTTGGAATTTTCTCAAGGTTAATTTCAATGTTTTTTTAGTGTGTTTGATTTTGTTAATGCTCATTTATTCCACGATGAATCTAATTTAGCACTCATTCATGAGGTATGTCTGTTTTTGGCAAAAAAAATTATATCATTTTTTTGCAGAATCCCGAACTCTATAGTCAGAATCGTAAACGAGCACTAGATTTTGTTTTGGAGCAAACAACCCAACTTGAAAATGGCTGCACCCCACTTTTATTCATCTTCGGAGATTTGAATTTCAGATTGGACTCGAGATCTTTCCTAAATGTAAACACTAAAAACTAAAAACAAACACAGAAATCAGAAGTCGCAACATTTTTGCAGAGAATCACAGAGAAATTAGAACCTCATCAAGTAGACGAGCAAATGGGATCATTAGCTGAGGGTTTACAAGTTGAGACAACAACAAATACGAATAGTTTGACACCTTGCACAGCACATCCATCAGAACTTTTGAGAAGAACTGTTTCAGCTATTGAATTCAGAAGAGAATCAGAGAATGAGGAGAACAGAAGGTAAAGAATGTTCTATTGGTTTTATTTTGGAGAAGTATTTTAAAGATAGTAATTTTTTGAAAAAATGATGTGAAGCTGAATACTTCAAACATTCAAGAGCTTTGGAAATTATATCTTTCTATTTTTTGAAGAAAGGATATTGATTTCATTTGTTAAAATTTCATTTGTAAAAAAAACAAAACCTTTTTAAGAACAACATGATAGCCTTTTCAAAATTCTGAACACTTGACTTGTGGATTCAACAATTTGTTTTTTTGAAAAAACAGAATCTTGGGGCTTCTGAATATGGAATGTTGAAATTATTTATAATTCATATTTTTTTTCAATATTACAAAACCTGAAGTTCAGATGAAAAACTATTTATTTCCAGCTGTGTCCTCCGCATCGAAAAAAAGAAATTTGAATACTTCAATCACAAAAAGCTCCTAGACGATTGGGAATCATATCTCGATGATGATAAAGAAGCACAAAACTTCAAAAACATGTTCGAATTACCAATTGCATTTGCACCAACATATCCGTGGAGTGAAGATCCCGAAAATTCAGAAACTCTTATGAAAACCAGAGCACCCGCTTGGTGTGATCGTATTTTGATGAACTCAAATGCATTCACTGTTGTCGAACAATCAAATCCATTGTATACTTCATTCGGTATGGAAACTTGTACCGGTGATCACAAGGTATATATTTGTCCCATTTGATTTCTTGGTAAAAAAAATTAATTCTTCAGCCCGTCATGTTGTCTTTCATCATCTAATCAAAAATTGTTTTGTCAAGTTATCACCCTCGGATTATCTCATTCGATTTACGGATAATTTTTAAATAACACCCCACCCCTTACAAATATTCCAATTTTCTTTTTTTTTCACAGATACATTCATAATCTTTCCTTTTTCCATTTTTATTTTTACTACAAACATTGTGATGAGATTGAAGAAAAGTTTTCCGAAAAAATTTATTCTTCACAAAAAAAGCCATTATGATATGATAACATTGTTTTTGTCGTTTTTGAATTTTTTTTTTTGAAAAATTGGGGGAATACAACCAGGAATTTGATCTACTTGCAATCAGAAGAAATATAAGGCCAGAGAGAAAAAATAATTATCTACTGCGAATTAGACGAATTTATTTTGATTTCGCAAGTGTCTTTTAGTGTTGAATAGCGAGTTGTGGAAGTGGAGCTTCAACAGTCAAAACTCCATCAGTGGATAAAGTTGATGAAATTTGTTCCGGGTTTGTGCCACGTGGCAACAAGAATTCCTAAAAACAGTTTTTTTTTATATTTGAGAAAAAACCTCTAATCCTTTTTGGATTATCTTTTTGTTGAATGCGTCATAAAATAGAAAATTTTCAGAAAAAAATTAATTATTTTTTTGAAGGGATTTTTTCAAAAAAAAAAATATCAAAAATTACCTGATTGTACTCTCTGTAGACGGTTCTTTGTGGGGTTTTCTCCTCGTGAATTGCGTGAACCAAAAGACGATTGTCAATGGTTTTGACAGTGACTTCTTCTGGTTTGTAATGAGCGACATCAAATCTGGAACAATTTGGAGTTTCGAAAAGGATATGTATGAAAATTTTTGAAAAGGTTTCATCAAATGTAATTCGGAATTTATAGTATTGTGGAGTTGCGGTAACTCTGGTGAAAAATCTTAGGAAGAATTTATAAATTTCCCATTGAAAAAATAACAAAGTATTTATTTTTGTTTCGACTTCAATTAAAAAAGTTGTTGTTTTGAAATGTTTGAAACTTTATAACCCTAGTACCCCGAAAAACACCAACCTCAATCGCAAAGTTTTTCCATCGGATTCATCCTTGATGAGTGGACTCTTAAGATTGTCCAAATATGGATCGTAAGTTGGTCGATGTGCCATCAAATCTCCTGAAAATAATGTTTTTCCAAATATATTTCTCATATTTATATATTTTTTCTAATAGATATCTATACTAATTTCCTGAGGAAATCCCAATTTTATACAAAAATGAAAAGGAAAATAGCATTCTAAAAATGGCTAAAAATTCAGATCTTGGCAACAATAAATAAAATAACTATTGGCAACGATGAAGAAAACAAAGAAAATGTTGAAAAATAATAATAATAATGTTGCTAGGATTCTTCTTCTTTTTGTCAAAATGTACATTTGCTTGCATAAAAAGGTGTAATAATTCAAAACATTTGTAAATGTCGTCGAGTCATTCAAAAACACAATCAAATTGAATTCATATAACATTATTAACATTCATGTGGTATTGTATAGTAATTCATAAAAAATCGGATAAAGAAATTCGAATACAAAAAAAACCTTGTTAGAAAAAAGCTGTTGAGCCATGAAAAAACATGTTTTTTGCGTTTGAAAAAAGGAGAAAAATGGAATTTTCTCATCTAAAAAAGGAACAGCAGCATTAGAAAAGTGCTCTTCTTTATGTTGTTTTCTATTTTTTTCCTTTTGAAAAGATAAAAAGGAAAGTTCTAGATTTTCAAAATGAAAATAGAAAACACTTGTTGAGAGGTTATCTTGGTTTGGAAACTCAAGGTCAATTTTTTTGCAATTTTTGATTCGATTATATTTTTAGAAAGTTTTTTCTGGAATCTGGAGACAGTTTTTCTGAAAATGGACAATTTGTTGCTTGAAAACATTAGCACCTAATTTTGTTCTTCGTTTGGGGACAGCTTTTTCAAGTTAATTAAAAAGTGCATGTTTTTTGTTGACATGTGGTTTAAAGGTTGTGTTCTTTTTTTTCAGAATTTAGGATAAAACTCAAAGTGAGACAGAAAAATCTAACAACTTTTTCAGAATCATTAGTTGATACAAATTTTTAGAGTACTGATTTTTATCAGGAAAACACTATTCAAAATTTAATCAAAAGTATGTAATTCGAAATCTCTCAAATAACGTTATCAAAAAAATATATAATGTAGCCTGAAGTTAGTACTTACTGAAATTCTGAAAATATAGTTGGATGTTTTTTTTTGAGTTTTCAGATGTTCAATAATTACTGAAACATTTTGATGATAATAAATTCATGAAATTCTTAGATTTGAGAACCTACAAATAAAAGTATGTTAATGTAGCCAATAATTCAAGTTCAGAGTACAAATAAAGTGAGTTTTTCATTATCATTCAATGTTGTTTTTTCTAATGATATGTTTTATTTATCACCAAAATCAGAAAATAAGTAGGACGAAACATTTTTTCTCGAAGTTAGACCCCTTTCCTCCTTCCCTCAAAAATCTTAAAACTAACCGTGGAAAGAAGGTGGTGGAATTCCAAAGTTTCCTCGATTTGAAGTTTCGTTGTGCGACGAAGTTGTCGAATAGCTGCTATTATTGAATGGAGCGTTCGAAATTGCTGCTGGAGCTGGTCCTCCGTTTGGTCGATAGCCTGCAACAAAAAATTTGTTGAAAGATTTTTTCATCACAAAAATAATATTCAACGTTTCATTTTTCTTGGGAAAATGTTTTCACAACAAAAAAGTTGTTGAAAAGGTAGCTGCTTTTTATTTTTTGTGTTGTGTTGTTGACCAAAAAAAAAGAAAAGAAAAAGAAGGGAAGAACGAGAAAAAGGGCCTAGTCATGTCTTTTTTGTGCATCACATCACAAAAAAATGTTGTTCGTTTTCTTTATGAAAATTTTTTTCATCACGCTAATGATGAAAAATGAGTGTGGATGGGAAAAAAAGTGTGAAAAAATAGTAAACATTTTTTCGTTTTTTTGGCGGTTTTTTGGAATAAATAAATAAATAAATAAACAAAATGGTTTTGGAATTTTTGAAAAATGTTTTGAAATAATTACAAATGGGAAATGAAGACATTTTATAATCCTATCCAGAAATGAAAAACTGATGGTGTTCCGAGATAGTGAAAGAAAGACCTTTTCAGCGGCCGAATTTCTTGATGAGGTCGTAAATATCTTTGCAATTTTTCGGAGGGTAAAACGGCAGTGAAAACAGATATGAGAAGTTTTCAAGGACTCTCCTGGGAACGCAACAAAAAATCAGAGTTTTTTTTTTCAAAAAAAGGCGACATGATTGCTTTTCGCTTTGCTTGAAACATAATTTTTCTAACATAAGAAAAATAAAGAAATGTTGTGGGCGGTTGTTATTTCCGGTATGAATGTTTTTTTTTCAGAAAATATGGAAATATTCCTAATAATTATTTAGAACTTATGATAAAAATAAAAGATTTGATATGCAAAATAATATAATTTTTACAATGTACGTATGTGTAAAATGATTTTTTTCGTCAATTATAGATAATATAAAACAAAGAGGATTTAGAGAAAAATCACGATTGTTTCAAATGGTTTTTTAATTGAATTTCTATGTGTCATCAAAAAACAATTAAAGGAAATCTTTGAGAGAAAAAAGAGAAATTCCCACGTGAAAAATGATATTTGAGGGGATTTTCATTTTTTCTTCAAAACAAAGTCTGAAATTTTTCTTCAGAATGTGTTTTGAATATTCCTATGGGTATTTTTTCGAAATACTGTCATTTAAGTTTTTGAGAAAAACATTTGATATATCCATGAAAAATACTGATCTGATTTCTAACAAAGTTCAAAACTGATAATAGTTAGAAGTTTTCAGTTCAAAACATTATTCATATGAACTTTTTTGAGAAAAAATTTATCAAAACAATTCAGTACTTTATTTTTCAACTTTTTTTTGGAATTTGAAATTAAAGTATATTTGAATCATGATTTGCTTATTACAGATTTTTCTCAACCTCACGAAATCATGAAAAATGTGACAAAACTAGAAGAACAATCCACAAATCTATGGATTTTTGAAAACAATTCAAAGTGTCATGAAAAAGTACACCTATAATTATCCATTGTTCTCTTTTTTTCTGTTGCCCAATAGTATGTATATTTTGAAAATTCAACCAACCTTCAAATTCAGATCTCAATCTTCTCATTTCATCCTCAACTCTTCTCATTTCTTGTTCAAATCGGTCTCTCATATTTCCAAATTCATTGTCAATGACTGAATAATCACTGCGATTTACATCAATTCGACGTTCCGACATTTCACTGGAAAATATTTGTAATTTTAAAATCAAAAATATTTGCAAAATATGAAAAAAGGACAGAAATGTAAATCAATTCGATTTCGAAATCGATAAATAAAATTTTTTGAAACGAACACAAAACTGGTCAAGGACAAATAGTGCACTCACCTTTTTGAATAATACATCTTATTTTTTATTTTTGAAAAAAAGACAGTTTCACAGTTTTTTCATGAATGAAATATTTCTGGGGAATGTTTTGTTTTTAAAGAAACAATAAAATAAATAAAAATTTAATAACAACAAAAGAAATGAATTTTTCTCATTCGTTTTTTTTTCAAAATGATGAAAAGAGGATCGAAAAACATTTGATACTATGTAAACGAATTTAGAAAATATAAATATATGACAAAAAATAAAGAAGAATTGGCACAGATGTGTTCAGCAAAAAAAATTAATATAAATTTCTATGTATATTTATTATTTTGGTGATGTCACAGATTTTTTAATCAAAAAATGACAAATATTTTTGTATTTTGTATGTATTCGGAATGTTCTAGAAACAACAAAAACTTTATGATTACGAAACACTAAAAATAAAAAGTTTTGAAACACAAAAGAAGAAGAAGAAAAGAGGATCGATCCTGTAAACTTCAAATATTTGTTTTTATGTTAGTTATGTGGGTGTTGATGATCGCAGGCAGCAAAAAGAAGAAGAAAAGCTGAGCCAAGTGCCAGCTGACAACAAAAAATTTGGATAAAATATTTTGGAAAATTTTCTGCTTTGCTTTGCTGTAACAACACAGCTGCATTCAATCATCTTTGAAAAAATGAAAAATAAATAATTTTTTAATTCTAGAGAACCAGAACCTTATCAATTTACTATTAAAAAATAAAATGAAATTAGATGATAAGAAAGAACGTTCCAGAAATAAAGAAAAAATGGTATTTATTCTATTTTATTTATTTTTAGAAAGGGGAAAAGATAAACGGTTGTTCAAATATTGTATTTCGAAATTAACGTTTTTTTGTGTTTTAGTTTTAGTTTACTAACAGAAATTGAGGAAACTTCTGATTAAAAAGAAACCTTGAAGACAACAAGAGGGAAAAAATGATCAGGATGAACCTGAAAATCTTACATTACACAAAAAGTGCACATCTCTTATTTTTCTTGAACTATGGATGATAAACATAAACAAAAATGAGAAAGAGAAAGAAAATAAGAAAAATAAAACAAGAGAAAAAAGATAAAGAAGTCTTGTCACATCTTCTTGATTCATTCAATCATGGCCTTCCCGTTCGTTCGTCTTTTTCCCATTCATTTTTCTCAACTTCTTTTCCATCTCCATCTTGAATGAATTAATTGTGTATGTGTATGTTTTCTCTGCCCCCGGCCGCTTATCTCTTGTTTCATTCCATTCTTTTTTGTGTCTGGCGGGCGGCAACGCAGGTAAACAGTGGTGAGAAATTTTTCGAATTTTTTTCCAAATTGAAAAAGCTTGGGAAACATTGGATAGGTTGAATGTGAGGAAAATGGATGAACAGAAAAATTATATGACAATAAAAGGAAACAGCTTGGTTTTGATCTACAAAATGGATCCATTTTCACAAAAGTTGGAGTTGATCTACTTGAAACAAATGATTCACATCATGTTTGCCAATAATAAAAAAAAATAACCTTTCGGTGATATCAAAATGATACCTTTACTTCCCATATTATCAAATGCGGAAGTCGTTTTTTTCCGGAATACTGTCTCGAAATAGTTCTGGGGGAACTAATGAGATTGAAAAAAAAACGTCTGAAACATTGATAAGAATCAGAACTGACTGGAAAAATCAGTGAAACGAATTGTATTATTGTGAGATCGTTGAAATCAAAAGTTTGATTTTTTCATGTTGAAAAATCCAGATTGCGTTCAGTGAAATTTATCAGAAAATCACAAAAAAATGAGTCAAAGATGTTTGATTATCGAAATTTTTCCGATCTTTTGAGCCACTTATTTTGAACGAAAAACAACAAAAAGAAATATTTAACAAGAAACACATGTTTTAAAAAACTGAAAACTCTGCTAATTCTGAAAAGTGGGATCTTTGGAGCTTTACCTATGTCATGAAATCGCAAAAGAACAACAATAAAACTATCATAAATCATCAAAAAAATATTTTGATAGGATTTGAAAATGCAAACTGAAAACAAATATTGAAAAGAGAAAGGAAATTTGAATATTTGCCCGCATGAAAATAAAAAGGGCACACGAGACTTTAATTGTGTTCAAACAAACAAAACAAACTTTTTCGTTTCGTTTTGAAAACCGGCGTGAAATCGACACCAAAAATTGAAAAATAATATAAGTCCAAGAAAATCGGTTTGTTTGATGAAAATATAAATAAATAAATAAATAAATAATCCGATGTAGTTTTAAAATAAGTATATTTATCGAAAAAAAAGAAAAATACACAGTCATGTTAAAAGAGAAGAAGACTAAAACAAAAAAATTCTTCTCGGCAAAAGTAAAATAAATAAGAAAAAGACAAAAAAAAAAGAAAAACCGAAGCGTGTTGTGGATTAATTAGAATCATTGTAAGTGAAATCAATTAAATAATAATAATAACGAGAAATAAAAAAAAAGAGAAGAGAAATTTTCGGGGAAAAGGCTAACAAATTTTCTTACACGTCAAAGTTCCAATTTTCAAAAATTACGAAACTGATATTGAAAAAAAAAACAGGAAAAGAAGAGAAAACTATATTATGAATATATGTAAATTGTGACGTTAGTTTCAGGAATTATTGCGAAGATTTTTTTGGTATCGATCGAAAATTATGACGAACTGGCTTCTGCGATACTTCGTTTCGCAGCAACAATCAAATAATATAAAGTTGCCAATGGTTTGGCACATCGTAAAAATGGATGGGTCAAAAGTTGACTGGCTGACCAACGATTATCAACTGAGACTTCCAAAGCGGAATCGATAAAATCCTGAAAAAAATACAAATTGACTACTCAATTAACAATCAACAACAAATACCTTGAAAATTGGTGTTAATCCATCTCTTCCCGGAAAATCTGGTTTTCCATTAGTTGCAATCAGATAAATAGCTCTCAACGGATTCTCATTCAAATATGGCGGTTCGCCTTCGACCATCTCAATTGCCATAATTCCCAATGACCATACGTCGACTTTTGGACCGTATTGTTTTCTTGTCACGACTTCGGGTGCCATCCAATATGGTGTGCCGACCATTGTGGTGCGTTTGCGTTGTTCTGGCGAGAGTTGAGCGCAGAAACCAAAATCGGCTGAAAAAAATGGGTTATTGGAGAGTCAAAACTTCAGAACATCATGTTAGGTTCAAAATTATTTGAAATTATCAAGGTGAACATCAAATTTTCTCTATTTGAAGCTGAGTTTTCTCCTCTCCGAAGAAATTTCAAAGATATCTTTATTTTAAATATTTTTCGGCCAAAAATTAATCATTGCTATATTTCCGTATTCATTAAAAAACGTAATCATCACTCACTCAATTTCACCGATCCATCCATGCCAAGAAGAATATTGTCCGACTTGATATCACGATGAATAACATGTCGACTATGAAGAAACTCCAAAGCTTGAAGTACCTCACGACACACTGCCGCAATCATTCCCTCTTCCATCTGACATTCAGTTACCACATCAGTCAATGATCCACCGGCTAAATATTCCATGACAACCCATAATTCTTCACCGACAAGATACGAATCCAAATAATTGACAATATTTGCGTGCTTATTCTCACGCATCACAAGAATCTCATTGATGATCAACTCCTTCTTCGGCTGATCTTTCAAATTCATCTGCTTGATAGCGACTTCAGCTTCAGTGCTCATCTCAATCGCAGTGTAAACAGATCCTGAAGCTCCAGAACCAATCTTGTCCACTTTTTTGTACTTTCGATCGGGGTTTCCAATCGAAACAATTGTTCGAAGTTTGGCAAGAACTTCAGCATCAGTCATTTTTCTCTTTGCTTTTGCTCCTCTCGATTGAACACCAAATTGACCCTTTGACAAATCTGGTATCTTTTCTTCCTCCTCTTTGGGTTTTGTGTACTGAAACGGTTTGATTGATGTTGAAATAGAAGGGATGTGAAAAGACTTACAATGCTCAATGTTCTAGCCGGTCTATCTGGAATTGGTGGCGGGAGAGCATCAGCTGGCTCTTCATCACGCGGAATTGGCGGAGGCGCGTAGTTCTGGAAAAAAACAGAAAGGCTTTAGTAGCTCTAAATGAAACCGAATGTTTTTATTATGGAATTATTCACTTTTTAGTATGTAACCCCAAAAATCTGACTCACTTTTTACTCCCCAGACATATAAATCAAGTGTGTGGGTGTAAAAAAATAACTTTGAACTTTTATCATGTTCCTTTTTATCAATGCACTTTGAAATGTGTCAACAAAAAAATGTTGAAAGAAAAACTAACTGGTGGCATACTCGACCGATTCTCATTCATACTTGATGATTGTTGAATACCCGATGGATAATTGAGCTTATTCGATGAGCAAACTGGACCCATTTTTGGATAACCCTGAAGTTTTGAGCCATGATACGGCAATGAAGATGTGCTATATGGTTGTGGCTTCATATTTGATGACACATTGCGTGATGGCGCGTCATCTATAAACACTGTAGAAGAATAAGAATAATTAAAGAAATTCTTTGAACAATAATAGATGTTTGATAGAAACGACTTACTCATATCGTATTGTAGCCATTTTTGTCCACTCGATTCGCCTTGTGTATAGTATTTGAGTGCGTCAAGTACCGCTTGCGGATTTTGCTGTTGCTCTTGTTTTGAAATTTGCGAGTCGGTTAAAAGACGCGCCCAAGCTTCAGGCATTCCCTATAAAAATTATTTAATTTTTTTTTTCAAATTTCACTGGAACATGTATATTCAAAAAATGGAATAGATAGATAGGTATTATTTTGTAGCAGGCACACAGTTAATCCTTTTGTTTATAAAATAATATATGCGTATCAGACAGAATAAAAAAAAGTTGAGACTCACTGTGAATTCTCCAGTTATTGGATCGTAGCCAACATGAATTGTGTGTTCGAAATTGCTTGGTCGAGAAATCACCGGCTTTTCGGCTGCCTCTTTTTTCTCCTTATTCTCTGGAAAATTAGAGGGTTAGGTTTAGAATGATTGATTAGGACGAGATTACTTTTCAAAAATGGGTTAGACATTGTTTTCTTCTTCTTTGTTACTTCGGTTGGTTCTTTGGGCAGAGGTTTCAAGCCAACAACCTGAAATATTATTATTTATTATTTTTGGTTGACGTTCGGGAATTTGTTTTAAAAACATGAAATGGGAGGGAGGCTAATCATTTTCTCCGATGCAGGGTAATTGGGCAAATTGTACCCACAGATCGAAAATTTTCTGAAGAAGCTTGATCGGTTTTGATCCCCAGCTTTCCCAGAAACTGGTTAAAAATTTAATAAAGTTCGGGATACTTTAGAAAAACTTCTTTAGAAAAGAACTTCCACAAAATGTTCGGTAAATTCCATTCTTACTCAATTTGAAATCTCAACTTTGATCGCATCCAAATCAAATTCCCTTAATTTTTTCAAAATTACCAACCTGACTCTCTTTGCTCGACGAGCTGCTGAACCGAATTGGCGGCGCTGGCGGTTTTTCATCATACGATGAAAAACCCTTCATTGTTTGTGATTTCTGAAAAACAAAACCAAATTTTTGAGGAAAAAAGTGGGCGAGACGAGAAAAACACAAGAACAGAAAAAAAGATAAGTGGAAAAATCATATAATAAATACAATGTGTTTATAATGTAAGGCAATTTATTTTTTCTTTTGTGCATATGACTAAGAAAAATGATAGCACATGTTGAGGGTGTTCGGAGCAGAGACAGACAAACAACCATCAGGTTGGTTTTGGTTGTTGTAATAAAAAAAGAAAAAAATGTGGCAGGGGTGGTGGGGATGGAAAAAATTTGTTGAAACACATAACACACACAACGCAAAAAAACAAGAAGACAAATATAAAAGGACGATAATGACCAATCGTTGATGAAATGTAATCAGGGAATGAGAGAGAGAGATATAGAGCTAAGATAAAATCAATCGATATTGCGGTCGAATTGAAGAAAATTGCGGAAGAGACGATGAGAGATACTATGATGATATTTTTCATTATGGGTGGTTTTTACTAATTTTTGTTTTCGTAATAAATAATTTCAACGTAAAAACAACAAAACAAAAAATGACTCATTTCTCAGTTTTTCTTTCTTGAACAAAATATATATCAAATTTCTTTGTTTTTTCCGCCAAAAATATATACTTTTTGCAAAAAAAAGTCGAAAAAAAATCGATAAACTTTGAAGCGTTCACAATTGACATAAGAACATGGCAAACAATTGGGAAAAGTTCAGGCTCAACTTGATTTTTTGAAGAAAAAAATGTATATTTTATAGGATAAAAGATATATGATATCAATTTTCACTTTTTTTCATTTCTCTATTAAAAAAAAGAAGAGAAATCCCGTTTCAGGCAGGTTATAAACAACAATTAATGATGATTAATAAGATTTATTATTAATTTATTTTAAGGAAATCTAAACCTAACCCATGTTTAGGCTTAAACCTAAAAAAAACCAAGAAAACAACAAAAATACGAGAAAAATATAACAGCAGTGGCATCGTAAACAAATTGCATAAAGTGTGTAGTGAACATGTGTGCAAACAACATATCTGACGACACTTTTTCCTAGCCTTTTTTTCATCGATTTTTTCTTTTTTTAGAGGATTTCAACTTATCTGATATATGAAAAAAGATGAATTTTCTGAAACTTGCTACCTCGAAAGAGGCTATGGATTTGTTCAATGCGGCTCGGAATACGGTTGCACAAATGACAGCTAGAGCAACACCGCAAAGAGATAAGGTAAATCAATTTGTGTTACTTTAGCTATGGAAAAAAGCGAATATTGGCTTTATCACTTTGAATTTATTGAAATTCACGGCTTGTATATTCAAACAAAAATTAGAAACCTTCAATTTCAAAAAACTAACAGAACAGAAGATCTTATAATTAGAAAATAGTTTCTCGAAATTATGCAAAAAGTATTTTTGAAAATGACAAAAGTTGAAAAGCTCCTCTCACAAAAGTACAATCCCATTTCAAAATATAACTTTTTCAGTTCCCAAAAGCTTTTGACAAAAAATATATGAAACGTGTGGTTACTGAACATTCCAATTTATGGTTCACTTGTGAAATGAAAGATGGTGGATTTGCTTTCGTTTATAAACCTGGAGACTGGTTGGCCTTTTACAGTCCACAACTATCAGATTTGGATGTTATGAAAATATTCTACACTGATTTTGTTGAAATATCAGAAAGAAAAGGTATCAAAGACCACGATAAAAATGATTTGAAAAAAACATAAATATACTACAGACGCTGTGAATATCATTAATAAAATTGTGGAGATGATTGTAGCAAACCCGGAAAGTGATCCATTATACTATGCAGTTGCAACAGGGCTCAATAAATATGTTGGGCAACGTGTAAAACAATCAAATGGTAAAATATTGAATGATTTTTTGACTAAAAATGATGAGACTCCTGCACACATTGCCGCGATTCATAATCAGGATATTATTAGAATTCTAGTTGGAAATGGTTTTGATTTGACAAAACAAACCAAGGATGGGAATAATATTGCACATTGTGCTGCACAAAATTTACTGGCTATCAAGGTGAGTTTTACAAATGTGGAATTCGCGATTTTTAGACCACCCAATCGGGATTTTATTAAAAAGGTAGATAAAAACACGAGCTATTTGAAAAAAGGCCTAGTGAACCAACATTTTTTCTAGCCTGCACTTAAAATTCCAGTTGGGTTAATTGAATTTTCAGTCGAACAAATTTCATGAGAACTATTTAGAAAATGAAAAATGTATGGAATCAAAACTCACAAAATTTAACGGAAAAAAAATATTTTGATTCAGGCGATCCGAGAATCAATTCAAGACGAAGAATTTCTGAAATTGATAACAACAGAAAACAAGAAAAAAGAAACAGCAATTCATCTTATGATACAATATGATAATGTATTCGAATATGTGCTTCGTAAGTTATATGTTAATTTAAAACTAGTTTTTGTTCTGTTTTATGTTATTTTATTGCATACAAGCACCTTCTAGCTATTTACATAACGATTAATAAAAATGAGCAAAGTAAAAAGACAATTTTTGCAGAATATTGCCCTCAAGCATTTGCGAAAAAATACGATTTACCATTGATCGGAATTTTGGAAAGTTATCAATTGGAAGATATCAAACAAGTGAAAGAGTTGGGTTTTGTTTGCTCACATTTTTTATAAAATGTTGCGTTCTTTTTTTGCAGAATTTGTCAAAAGTTGAAAGTGTTTGATCCGCAATTCGCTGATCGTCCGATTAAATCCGATGGGTCAACAATTTTACATGTTGCATTAAAAGCAAAGGTTTAGGTTTTCATAGAGGATTATTATTAGGAAATATGGATTTTTATAGGTATTGAAAACGATTCTAAACGAAATTCCGGAAGCTTCGATTGATATCAAAGATTTTAATGGAAAGAGCCCTCTTCATGCTGCAGGTTTGTTTTGAGAATTGTCAAATCCTATTGCAAAAATATTCAACTCACTTTGAAATTTTGAAGCTCACAGATAATTTTCAGTTCTCCGTGCTGATCTGGAAGATATTATTGCTCTCATTTCATATGGAGCAAACTTGAATTCTCGAGATTCTTCTGGACAAACACCTTTGGAATATGCTGTTAAGAAGGATGATGAAAAATCAGTAAAAGCTTTGCTTCTTTTCAATGCTGAAACTGATGGAATGGATAAAGTTGCTAGATCACAGTATGTAATAGACTTCCGTAAGACAAAACAACTATTTTTGTTTCAGAAAAATCAGAAGACTTTTGGAATCTGGATCTATCAAATACTATGAAAATGAAACAAGAGCTTTTAAATGGCAAGAAGGTAATTGCCGCGAAAATATTTACAAATCCAAAAAATTCTTTCAGATAGCCTTGATCATATTGCGCTGAAAAAAACTGTTGAAAAATTGGCATCAGCTGATAGCTTGACTCAATTTTATAATGCGATTTCTTTCGATGGTGGCGGTATTCGCGGATTGGTTTCTCTTCAAATTTTGAGAGAATTGAGTAATCGTTTTGGTGATAGTTTTTTACAATCATTCCGAACATTGGGTGGAACTTCTACTGGGTCAATTGTGATTTTGGCTATTGCAAAATATCAGAATATTGACAAAGTTATGAAATTGTATTTGAGATTGAAGGATGATATCTTCAGTGGAACTAGGCCTTATAATGGACAAGTTTTGGAAGAAAAATTGCTGGCAGAATTGGGAAATTTAACGCTTTCCGATATTGGAAAACACAAAGAAATGAGGTTTGTGACTTATTCTTGTATATAGAAGAATTATAAAATTCCCTGATGATTTTAGGCTTGCAATAACTGTAACTCGAGTTGACGTAAGTCCCCCAAAACTCGAGGTATTCCGAAGTTTCTCAATTCCTCCGAACATTAGAGATGATCGATTCACAAAACTCGAAAATTGGACAGCAGCCAAAGTGGCGCGTTGCTCAAGTGCTGCTCCAACATATTTCCCGTCAGTTGATGGAAAATATATGGATGGAGGAATTATTGCCAATAATCCGACGTGTGAAATTTTGTGCGATCAACAAGCAATCACTTTGTTATTGGTTAGTTGTTTATTCAAAACTACATAGATATCTGATAAAATCAATGATTTTCAGCCGGAAGCAAAGTCAAGAATGAAAATAATATTATCAGTGGGAACTGGAAAAACGCCAACCAAGAAAGCTGAAAATGTTGATTTGTCGCTGGGACAAAATTCGATTGCTGGAATTGTTTCGTCGCTAAATTCCATTGTTCATATGAAAAATGTGTTTGTTGATCAGGTGAGATATTAGACAACATATTAAAATTAGCTTTGAAATCAAAGCGAAAAAGTCACCAGATAATTGTTAATCTTTCTACTGAGCCTAATTTTTTTTGTTTCAGCTAACATCAGCTGATGGTGTAAATGTGGATCGTGCTCGAATGATGTCATCCTCAATGGATATCGCATTTTTCCGCTTCTCTCCCCAACTTTCTCAAGAATATGAACTCGATGAAGTTCGAGCCGAAAATTTGATCGAAATGATGTGGGAAACCAAACTGTATATGCATACCCGTCATAATGACATAAATATTCTTTTGAGTCTAATGAACTAATCTGTGATATTTTTCCCTAACTGGTTTTTGTTTTGTCATAATAGCAAGTCTCGCCATAATAAAAGATTCTTTTAGAATGCATTCAAGTTTTTCAATCAAATCATATCAAAAAGTGTTATTTATTGCACAAACAAAAAATATCTATGCTTCTTTGAACTCTGATTTTTGTATTATATTGAAAATTCAAACATTCTCTCACTCACATGCACGCCTTGTACGCTACGCACATATAAAAAAACCCAACCAAATTTTTTTTTTCCTTTCCGTCATTTTTTTTTCAATTTTGACCTGACGCACTGCCTCTTCTTTGCGCTCTCTTTGTTCTTTGCACTCTCTCGTCGCACCTAACCATCATCACTTCTTATATTATTTTTTTTCGTTCAATTTGAGTTTTTGACTTTTGCTGTTTTAGTTGTTTGATTTTGGAATATGTCGCGACTCGGCAAAGGTCTCAAAAGGAAGTATGAGAGTGAGTTTTTTCTTGGTTTCTCTTTGTTTTTCTTTTATATGATTAATTATGATTTCTAGAAATTGGCGCGTTGCAACAACTTCACGAAAAGTACATGTCACTAGATCAGAACAAAAATGTCCAGGTAAATCAAACAGTCTTTTTTTGATTGATTTTCAAAGATATTCATTTCAAGGTCATGTACATTTGGATTGATGCGACTGGCGAAAATTTGCGAGGGAAAACCAAAACTTTTGATTTTGAACCGAGAGAAGCATCAGGTACTTGAGATAAAGACTTGAGACAAATTGATGATGCAATTTTTTCTTAGAACTACCTATTTGGAACTTTGATGGAACTTCAACTGGACAACAAGTTGGGGAAGGATCAGATGTCTATATTCGACCAATTGCTTTATACAGAGATCCATTCCGTCCAGGGCCTAATAAAATTGCTTTGTGTGAAACATTGGATCACGATTATAAACCACATCGTAAGTTTTTTTGAGAACAAAAGGATGTTCTAAAAACTTGTCAGTTTGGTTGAAAGTAACATAATGATCAACGGAAATTCCCCTATTTTGTTCAAAACAGGGGTTTATGTGGGAAACAAAAATATGTTTTGAAAAACATAAAAACATTGGCAAAGTTCCAATACTTGTAAACAACTGTGTTTCACCAGTTTGTTTTTCAGTATCTGGAAAAAAAACCATGTAGTTCATAGATCAACACCGACTACCAAGAGAAAATCTGGGAGACAGTTCAAAATAATAAATACCCTCAAATTTACAGCAACCAACACTAGACAACAATGTTTGGAAGTGATGAACAAAGCAAAAGAATTTGTACCCTGGTTTGGAATGGAACAAGAATACACGCTTCTCGATTTAGATCGACATCCTTATGGTTGGCCTAAACACGGATATCCGGGACCACAAGGTCCCTATTATTGTGCAGTCGGATCAGATAAAATATACGGGCGAGAAATTGTTGAGGCACATTATAGAGCTTGTATGTATGCGGGAATTAAAATCAGTGGCACAAATGCGGAAAGTATGCCTTCACAATGGGAATATCAAGTTGGACCGTGTGAAGGAATTGAAATGGGTGATCAATTATGGGTGGCTAGATATATTTTGAATAGGTTAGCTGGGTGTAAATTTTTGATCGTTCTTTGAAAAAGCAAGATAAAAACGGCAACAAAATACAAGATGATAGTAGGAAAAAAAAGTTGTCAACGAATTGAAATTTTTGATAATTTTTTTCTAGAGTTTGTGAAGATTATGGCGTGGTGAGCAGTTTGGACCCTAAGCCGATTTTGGGAGATTGGAATGGTGCTGGGTGTCATCTCAATTTCTCAACAGAAGTTATGCGAACTCCAAGTATAGATGGGGCTGGGTATAGGTAAGATAATTTTTTTTTTCTATTGGGAAAGCAAAAAAAAAACAGAGAAAAATTAGGAACGCGCCAAAAAAAAGTATGTTTTTTTTGAAAATGATTCAGACATCTGTTTTACTCAAAAGCGCCACCCCCTATGCACACAAAACGCGTCAGCTTTTGCCGGCCTGACGCGTTTTTTGGTCCCTGTGATATCTTATAATTTGGTTTTTTTTCTAGGGCGATTGAGGAAGCCATTCAAAAGTTGTCAAAAGTTCACCTTGAACATATTGCATATTATGATCCTCATGGTATGTTTTTCGCATTGAATTATCTTTTTTTATTCGAATTGGTTTTTAGGAGGCCGTGATAATGAGCGTCGATTGATTGGTGCAAATGAGACGGAGACAATTGATGCGTTTTCATCGGGTGTAGCGAATCGCGAGTGTAGTGTTAGAATTCCGCGACAAGTGTATAATGATCAGTACGTGAGTGCTTTTGAGTGAATTGAAACAAAAATATTCCAAATATTTTTTAATGATTTTTTTGGTAAAATATTACGAGCTCAAGAACTCAAAAATGGCTCAAAAATTCAGATGTTTCAACATCTAGGCAAACCTAAAATGATAAATTTATAAAAAGTAGAGAATTAGATAAATTTTGTTGATGAATGTAGATGTTCAAGGTTTTTTTTGAAAAACAGTTCTGCAAAAAACATTTTTCAATGCTACGTCTACCCTTTCACAAACATTGGTTCCATATTTTCTAGGAACTTTCTTTCCAAATTTTTCTGTTCCAAGGACAGTTACAGTAACTCACAACACCTAATTGTCAGCTGTCACAGCTGCAACTCTTGTATTTGAAAACATCTAATTTCAATTTGATGTATTTTATCAGGACACTATGAACTTGTGCACCTGATTGCCAGATGTTCATTTTCTAACACAGCTGCAACTTTTTTGATTCAAAAAATACTTCAGAAAACTATTATATCACAATAATAGATTGTAGATTTTGAGAATGAACTTGTGCACCTGATTGTCAGCTGGTACAGCTGCAATTTTTGTGATTTGAACATTTAAAATACTCCGATGAAAAACGGAAAAAACCCGGAAAATTAGGGAAATGAAAAAATCTTTCTGATATCTCTCACTTATTTCAGGGGTATTTCGAAGATCGTCGTCCATCATCAAACTGTGATCCATATACAGTAACTGCTGCTATGGTCAAAACGTGTTGTTTGACTGGCGAGGATAGCAGATTGACTATGAAATATGTTCCGAAATTCTAGTTTAGCCTTTTCAATACGTATTATATTATTATTATTATCTTCTCCGGTATTACAATGATCTTTCGTTTTGTCAAATGGTTTTATTATTATTCAATTTCAGTGATACATATATAAAAATCAATAAATATTTGGAAAAATGAACAATTGAGCTGTCATAAAGCCAGTTTCAGAAGAAAAGGACAAGTTTAATGTATTCAAAAAATAAAATAAAAACACGTTTTCAGTGAAATAATCAAACAAAAGGCACATTTAGTGTACTGAGATGGCTAAAGGTTTTGATTCTTGATCGCGAATTCGCAATGGAACACGTTCACATGGATCCAATGCCGAAATCAATTGTGGTAACCAGACCAATGCGTGGAACAAACCAATAATATTGACAAGATAAACAGTTTGGAAGAAGACTCTGACAAGATAAGCTGGCACAAGAATTGTGCATGCTAAACCACACAATGTTGAGAGCACAGCTTGAGTGATTGGCCAAGCAACAGATGCCAAAGTATCAGCTACTTTTTCTTCAGATGTTGTGTATTCAGATCTATGGTATCTATAGCAAATATGCACTGAATAATCGACAGCTAAACCGATCGCCATAACAATACATCCCATACTAACAGAATCCAAATCCGAGCCAAGAAGCGCAAGTCCTCCACAAACACCCATGGAAATTGATAAGAGTGAGAATGTCATCAAAAATACAGAAAGCTGAAAAATGTCTTGTTATGTGGAAGAATGTTATCGGGAAAACTTACAGCATCTGGCAAGAAGAAGAATGAGATGATTGCCATCATAGCCAACGCTGAACCAATTGTTTGCATTGAAGATGGAGCAATTGTATGACGTTGATCAATCAAGAAAGGACTGAAAATTCCAGACAAGAACATATCGTATTCAGGATATTCTTTTTCAATGTCTCTCCAATGGAACAACTCAGCTTGACGCTTATCCCAACTGTCTAAGCCGTAGAATGAAGTTTGGAAAGAGAACGCAGAAATACATGGCTCTCCGTTTGTTACATTGTCAAGAATCTTGACCTTGTCTGAAAATATTATTTTAAGAATGTGTTGGAATTGGAGACCCACTAACCTCTGTATTGTGAATAATCCATTTGAGAGAAAAACTCGCGCAAGTTTTTACGATCATAAAAATCAGTGGTATAGTTAATATTCGGGAAATCATTCAAATATTGTTGATATTGCCAAACCCAAAGATTTGTTGACACACGTCCAATCGAATAATCAGTATGTTCCAATCGGAATACAAGTTCATTCAATTTTGCACGAGCTCCAGCATCACGAAGATCTGGTGGATTCATAATATGGAAAGTTGGCATAACATTATCAGCCCAAATGTATTTGTCAGCAAGTGCGACAAATGTTTGGATTGGTGAATTATCTCGAATATATTTGACTGGTGAGATATCTACACGGAGGATTGAGCAACCATAGATAAATAGAGCTGTGTAAATTGGGAATGTGATGAGTGATGAGATTCGAACTGATTTCTTCATTATGAATGGTGCAAATTTGTCGCGGAAGAATTTGTGCATATATGGGACTGAAAAAGAGAAGTTTAGGCTTCAAGGTTTTTGCTTTTCATTTTTCACAGATCTGAAGGTTTACGGTAAAACATTTTTTCTTCAGAAGCCAGAAAATATATTTTGTGAATATTCCGAATTCTACTAGATATTTTCACTTTTTCAAAAACTGCCACAATTAAAAGTTGGGGTAACTCACGATCTTCAGTTTTCTCGTGATGTTGATAATTAATATGCTCTTCATCGATTGTTGGTTCCCTTGGTTGAACAGGATCATCTCCATCAGTCTTCTTATAACAACACGATGATAATCCTCCAGTCTCTTCTTTATCTCCAGAGAATTTCAAAACCGCAGCGAAAAATGTGATTTGCATGAGGTAATCGAAAATAACACCAACAGCGGTGATAATACAGAAATCAGCGACAGCTGGAGTTGAGCACATCAACCATCCCAAGAAGAAACAGAAGAAATTTGTGAATGAGGTAACAGTGATTGATGCACCAGCATCTCCCATAACCAACGCTAATCTTGTTGCTGGTGATAGTTTTCTATCACATTCTCTCCAAGCAGCGACCATTAAAAAGTCATCATCTACACCTACAGCAAGAATAAGGAAGGGCATAGTTGAAGTAACTGGATTGAATTTGGCTCCGAAGAAGAAGAAAAGTCCAAAAGTGATAATGAGTGCGAAAATAATACACCAAACTCCAAGATACATTTCCATTGGTTTTGATTTTGCTTTGTTTTTACTGTAATTTGCACTAACTACAAATAACATAAGAGCAATTGTTGCAGGAACTGCAAAAGGTACGGTAGTTTTAATGATCTCTAACATCTCATCATCCATAGCTTTGTCACTGAAAAAAATCATGATTTGCTTTCTAATTAAAGTTAATTAAACGAGTTTCTCACTTGTGTGGAATAAATTGCAAATCACTGTTTTCTGAAACAGATTCCCAGAACTCGTTCAAGCTTTGACGATATGAATAATACGCGGCATTATTTTCAGCTGTAGCTGGATAGTTAACAAACCAATGAAGTGTTAGAACTCGAGCACCTTGAATCTCATTTTTCTCGCCGGTCACATCAACACCATAAATGACGTTTCCGATATCCTTTGGTCTATTGAACAAATATAAAACAGGATAGGAAAGTTGAAGGTTTGGATTCGTCTTGATTTTTCCGTCCTTGAACAATACATCAGCATGTTTAATCCAAAGATTGAGATTATTGTTGCAGTGCTTTGATGAACCTTCTTTCACGCAGAAGTCTTCTAAATCCCAGGTTTCTCCTTGGAAGTCGTGTTTCACCAACATCATCTGAAATATTGTGATTCTTTATAATTTTGGTTGAAGTGTTGAATTTTTGAAATGTCTATCCGCTTTTTCTATTAATTGAAAAAAAATATGATTAAATATGCTGAACATTGTCAGAAATCAAAATCAAATATTTTAGAGCTCAAACTTTGGCTTAATATTCAAAAATTCCAGTTTTCAATGATTTTCGTGATAATAAAAACTACCCACTTTTTAACCTCACTTAAAAAGTCTAGAAGCTTTGATGTTTTTGTTAGCCGTTTTTTTTTCATTATCTCAATATTAAAATGTAAAATGATTTCGTTGATGTATAACTTTAGTAACCCCTTGCCCTAAATCAGTGTCAAAATCTCCAATCTGATTTTGATCCCCAAATCTTCTTACATCTTGTGTATGTTTGAACAATGGTCCCAAATATTTTGATTGCAACAAATTTTCAAACTGTCGATGAACCACATAAAATCGAAGAATATCACTCTTGGCCGCAACTGTAAGAAACAACATAAACTTTCAATTTCTCGGGTTTTTTTTGTTGTCATGGTCAATTGCAATCAGATAGATTTTTTGGTCGTCGGATTATTGGCGTAACCAATGAATGACGCTATTTGACCCCATTTTTTTCGAAAAAAAAGAAAGAAAGAAAGGTGCGATATTTTTACCTGTTTTACGTTCCCGCTCTTTCTTTTCTACATTTTTGTTCACATCTCTTCGAGTTCTAGAAATTTCGAAATCATCTTGATCGTCTTCATGTTCGCTTTGAAGGGCTTCTAAATCTCTTCGAAGCCTTTCCATTTCAACATCAGGAAATGAGCAATGCAAATCGTTACAATCAAATTCTCTTCGTTGACGTTTCGGAATCAAATTCAAATCTCCAAGTGGCAATTTATCAAACTCTTGTGTTCTCTCGAATTCATATCGCACCTAAAACATTTTCCTCATTTATTTTCAAAAACATTTCTCAAAAATTGTAAAGTTATCTTACTGGTGCATCAAGCGGTACAAAAAGTCGATATAAATCAAGATTAATTTGCAAATAAAACAATCCCGGAATACAAGCTACAGTAATTGCGAGCGGGGTCAAAAGAAACCACCATTGATATCTGGCGATGAATAAACCATAATTGTAGAAAACCTGCGGGAAATAGAAATGAAATTTGAATTTTTTAATTATAAATTCACTTACTTTCACCATCCAATCTTCAAATTGTTTTCCATAATTGGAAAGTTGCGAGGGCATGATTGCCCACGAAGTCCAACTACTGCAAGAATAAGAATTGAGTAGAAGAAATCCACAAAACTGATGGCGGAAAACAAGAAAAACAAGTTAGGATAAGTCACACTTATATTAGTGATAAATAATTTTTTACTCCAAAAATTTTCGAGAATAAATGTAAGACCAATGTGAGACCAAGAACGGATTCAGTTAAGATGAAAAGTGAAACTAAAAGCAACTTAATGAAACAAAAATTAGAGCACTTGAAAAAGTTTTGAATACAAAATTCATTCATTCCCAGAAACCAGACCGTTTATCGAGAAAAAAAGAAAATGAAGAAAAAGAAGAGAGAAAAAAAAGAGGACAATGACCCATATTTGACGGCCGACGGACGGCGGAATGATGAACGAAGGCGGGCAGCGCGGCCAACAACAGATCTAGGAATAAGAATGTATAAAATGAGAGAAATACTGTACATATTGTTAAATGAGAGAACAACTTCTTCTACTATTACTAATATCATAGTATCTGACAAGATACTTGACCATAAATATACAAGAAGAAAAGAATGAAAAGAGAATTTCTTCATGTTTGACCTGGAAGAAAGATGAATTTGTTATCGAGAAGGTGAAAATGTATTGTACTTTGCGGATTATTTGTTTCGATTTTTCTGGGAATAAAAAGGGAAAGAGGGTTTTAGAATGATTTGGGTTCGGGATTTCGAGAAAAATATTGACTGTAAATATGGATTCGAGAAAGCAACTTATTTTTTTCTGAATCCCAATCTGAATTTGAGAAACCATATATCTTATAATTTTTCTTCTAGAACTTTTTTTTCTAGGTTTTTTGAACAATAATCTGAAATTTTGAAAAAGAACCATTAGGAAATTATAATTAATATCCAAGGAACAACGTTTTCCGATATTCTCTATGCATATATGTAGATGTTTTTTTTATTCATTAAGTTTTCACAAAAAAATTCTAATAACTTTCATTAACAAAACCTTGTAAAAAGAAAGCCGACAATTTTGAGGAAAAAACTGAAATGAACTTTCTCCGTCTCGGAATGAATAATAAACCAACAAAACAGGTTTGTTTTCATTCAATTTCATCTAATTACGTGAAGTTAAAATCTATCTCATAAAACTACTTTTCCCCTTCTCAAATAAAACAAAAATAAAGATGAAAACTTTGCAATATTTTTAATAAATAAAAATTTTCTAGTTTTCCTATATTTTTTCGTCTCTCTCTTTTTTTTTCATTTCAGATCTTTTGAACTTCAGATTTTGCCTCAAGACACAAAAAAAAGAAGCTTGCCAATTTTGGGTCGAAAATCGCAAAATCTTCATGAAATTTTAATCGCAATAAAAAGTTGTTATTCCGTTTTTCTCTCTTTTTTGCTCTTGATTTATCAAACAACACATTTTTTCTACTTGAAATTTTTTGGCCATTCCGCAAAATACTTCCGGTTTTTTTGTTGTTCATACCGATTATTATCCCCAATTTTTTTGTTCCAATCGAACATTTTTTCGTTTCTTTAAAAAATTCTGCTATAATTTCGACAAACACAAAAAACGAGTTGAGAGAGTAAAAATGAAGAGCTCGCATGTTTATTCCTGTGTGTGTGTCTGTCTGCCTGAAAATTTATAATGAAAAAATGAAAAAATTCAGATTCATTCAAAATTCTGTTGTTTTTTCAATTTATAGCCATGAATTTTATTTTATTTTATTTTATTTTTGGAATTTGAAAAATGGCTACGGTAAATTATGGAGGAAAGTGCAATTTTCAAGCGGTTCCGAGTCAAGATTGAAACTTGAAAATAAATCAAAAATATGGAATAAATCAAAAAAAAAAGAGGAAAAGGAAAATTATTGTTTACTTGATTGGAAAATAGTAGTTTTTGGTTTTTCTTGGTAAGTTACAATAATTCTAGGTTCGGAGATTTATCGGCTTACATGGAATTTTTGAGTAATGTTTTCTGAACAAAACAACATCTGAATTTGGTTCCAATACAGAAACCTGTCGGATAAATTACCTGATTCTAAAGTTCTGCAACTTTATTACTCTCTTAAATCAAAACCCATATTTTTCGAATTATTTTCCAAGACATCTGGAAACTTTTTTATTTTTCAGACATTCTTCGATTGAAGATTTTTTTTAGCTATGGCGTGGAAAAAATGTATTTCAATGTGATAGAATACTGTTTTATTGGAATTCTTAAACATTTTGGAGTTGCCTAGTTCTAGGAACTTTCGAAAAACTTCACAATTTTCAAAAACCTTACCTGAATCCTTATGCTCAAAAATCACAACTTCCTTGTCAAAACTCAAAACTCAAAACTCAAACTTCTAACATCTATTTTGAGTTTTTTTCCGGAATTCGAAAGAAAAGTCAAAATCCAACGCAAGGTCAGAATTAAAAATTCACTACTTTTCTATTGTTATATGCACTTCTTTTTTCTATTTCCTACCCAATTTTTTTTCAAAAGTTGCCAACTTTTTTTTCTCCTTTTCAACTTGTCACAAATATTTTCAGTTGATTTGTGTGCTCTATGAAGCTTTGATGAATTAGTACACGTCCATCTAATTATTTTTTCAAAAAAAGAAAACAAAATGTAGTTTTGGTTCAATGGTATTGAAATGAATGAAAACATGGAAAATAAAAGAGCAAAACATAGACATTTATTTCATTTAATGTGATCTACAAAAAAAATTTCCGGCAGAGATCAAAATGAATTTTTTTCATTAAAACGATTTATCTTATATAAAATATGGCTTTTAAAATTGAATTTTTTCAACAAAGAGCATTTTTTTCTTAAGCTAAAATAAGAGTTCACATTATTTTTGGCAACATAATCCTTTCGTTTTTCCAACATTTCAAAAAAAAATATTTTTCGATTTTTTCTCAAGCACATTTCGATAATAATGGGAGCCAAAAAGATGTGTATATTTTATGATTATTGTCTGAGTGGATCATCTCATAGTGTTTTTGCATTCAAGTGTGTTTTTCAAGAGTTTTTTTTTCCATTTTTATTGCACAAAAAATCAGTTTTTCTTTTGTAAACCGAAAACATTAATTTTTATTTTATTTTATTAAATTTGTTTCACAAAAAAACCACCTGGGCAAATAATAAAATAAATTACTTTGATTGTTGTACTACCCTAATAATTCTCTTTTTTTTCAATTTGTTGAATTTTTTTGTGGCTGCATAGGACACGCCCACAATTCTCGAGGTCCATCTCAGTTTATTTTTTTTTTCTAGGCACACACGCAAAGCAGAGCATTTTTGTTGTTGTTTTTTCAAGAAAGCGGGCTGCTGATATGTTGTTGATTTGCTCGATTTTTTTATTGCTCTATAGGTAAGTTAGGGTAATTTGATTGTCAAAGTGGAGGGTCACATGAGTTCGGGAACCTTTGAAGCCCTCAAGATATAACCTTTGGTAAAGGTAGCTTCATAAGAGAAGTAGACTTCACTATTCCAAAATAGCCTTCATTTTGGAAAATTTTGCTATTGACCCGTTCTCCCTCTTTACAATTATAATCAATTTTAATTATAAAGACAATGCTGTGGAAGTCGAAGCGATCCGGTCCCAATTTACATGGATGAAAAATTGAATGCCGGCCGACATGTGTATGATAATCAATCACCTCCAGTACAAAACCAAGGATTGGGTGAGAAACATTTTCATAAAACACATTAAAACTCAAATGGGATTTTGCTAACAAAAAATGCACTTTTCTCTGAATTTTTCCCCAAACAAATAAACCCAGAAAAAACACAAGAATTGTTCTCTCATAAATTAGTTAGACTTCAAATAGAACGCCGCTCCCAATTCAATTCAATTTCACTCCGTTCTTTTTCGAGAAAATCCCATCTTATGCAAATAATCAAGTTCCAGAAACCTTTAAAAAAATATATTCAGATATATCCAACCTTATAGAATAGAGAATAAATTGAGCTTGTTTCCGATGTTGTTTCATTCCTTATAGACAAATTGTTCCGCACTTATTGTTTGAACTATAATAGTTTCAAGACACATTTTTGTGGGGGAACGAACGAATAACGTCAGAAATTTCAACGAAATTTCTGCATGCTTCATTTGATTTTTTTATTTTGAAAAAAATGTTCAGCAATGTTTCAAGGAAAATGCAAAAAAAGTGGAATGGGATTAGGTGTTTTGTAATTAGAAAATGTGGGTTCAAAGGTTAGGATTAGAAAAAAGATTTTCTGAAGGAGAGTTATGTCTAATGTTATTTTTTTTGATTTTAGATATACATCCATAAATTTGAAAAAAAAAATGATCTCGACCAAAAATCCAATTTCGCTAGAAAACATAATTTGAAAAACCAAGGAGACCATAAAGCATTAGCTTTAAATGTTTCCAATTTTCAGAATCGCTTCTCTCATTTTTTTCTGGAAAAAACCCTGAAGTTCTCCATTTCAAGATAATTTCCTGTCTATTTTTTTCATCTTCCCGTCAAAAAGTCAATTTTCCACCAAAAAAAAATAATTTATTCACAAAAAAACTTGGGAAACTCATTTAGAATCTTCGAAATAATGGTGAAATTTATCCGTGGAAGAAAAAAAAGTTCAACAAAAAAAGCAAAAAAGAGTCTATTTTTAACCACATGTGATTTCACACGTTTTCTTTTCAAAATTCAATTGTGTTTTGATTCTGATTTTATTCAATTTTACACCCACCACACACATACAAGAAATAACAAACAAGTCTGACCTTTTTTCCAGCAAATGAAGAGGTCACAGTTGTTGAATTGGCTATGTATATTGAGGGAATGTCATCATTTCGAACACAAACTATGGATTTTCAATTAGATGTTTATTTTCAACAATTTTGGCGGGATCCACGTTTAGCACATAATGAAAGTCGCCGAGTTTTGGTGAAAGACAAAAAAGTTTTGCACAAAATGTGGCATCCTGATGTATATTTTGCAAATGCTCGAATTGCAGAATTCCATGAAGTTACCCAGCCAAATTTTCTGATCTGGATTCAGCCTGATGGCTCAATTTTATATGATACTAGAATATCAATGGTTGTTGTATGCACGTTGAATCTCGAAAAATGGCCGCTAGATTCACAAAAGTGTAACTTGAGGATTTTAAGTTGTAAGTTGAGGATAGGATGAAAACAAATAGTTTGCTCTAGATGTTTTTCAATCTCAAAAAATGCTATGCATACTAAAAATATGGAAGTGTGTTTGTAAATCTGAAAATCTGTTCGAAACAGGAGGGATGAATTGAGAATTATTTTTTTTTCTGAAAAAAAAACCAAAAATTCATGGCTTTCTAAAAGTAAAAGCTGATATTTTCTTCATGAAAAATTCAAATTTAATTTTCAAGAACTTTTAGAACCTCTGGAAACAAAAAGAACATTAACTGAAATATACTAATTCAGCCTAACCCCCTCCCAAATTCCCAATTTCTAGATGCTTACACCACTGAACAACTAATAATCCGCTGGAAAAAAGACGAACCAATTTCTCGAAATATGGCGATAGCAATGTCTGATATGCACATCACCGCACTTTTCCCAGGCTTATGTGATGGAAATTATTCCACAGGTTAGTCTCGCATTTTGAAAAAACACACACACAATAGAAATATTTGTTGAATAGGTAATCTTGTGTGAATAATTGTAGCAAGCACACTCTTTTGAATACTTTTCATGAACAGAAAAAATGGGGGTTTTCAGGAATTTGGAGTTGTGTCACGGCGGAATTCCATGTAAAGCGAGAAATCACTCATCATATTATGCAATCATATGTTCCAACAACTCTTATTGTTGTTATTTCATGGTAAAAGCACATGCTAGCATTGAAATTGAATTCAACGAAAAACAACAAATTCAATTTTTAGGTTCAGTTTTTGGCTTGACGTAGAAGCTGTTCCGGCAAGAGTCTCTTTAGCTATCACAACACTTTTGACATTATCAACTCAAGCGAGTGCTGCTAGAATGGCTTTACCGGAAGTCAGTTATATGAAAGCAATTGATGTATGGATGGGAGCTTGCATGATGTAAGTTTTGAAAAAAATACAATAAAAATATCGGATAGTGAGTAAGAAAGTAGACAATTGAATTGAAGTGTCAACTTTTTTTTGCTTTTTTGTCTTTTTTATTTCGGAACAGATTTCTCGAAATAGAAAAAAGAGAAAGAAGGGTTTTGCAAAAAAGTGTAGAAGCAGAAAAATCGCTTTGAAATAGTGTTCCTATAATTTCTTGTTAGTTCAAAAGTCATAACTAATAAAAACAACTATAAAATTCATTAATGATACTAGAAGGGCTTCGCTGGCTAACGCCATCTACAGTAGTTTGACTTACTTTTTCTGATTAATTTTCCGGTTAGGGAAAGAGAAAAATTGAGAAATGCCCAAAAATTGTTGACTTTTTCAGAGAATAGAAAGATCAGATAAGAAACGTGTCCTTTAATTTTTTTGGAATAAAAACGTGATCATTCTTTTTTACATGAAAAAAGTTTTGATTTTTCACGTGAAAACTCGCGCATTTTTTGAAAAATCGAATATTAGCGCCTCGATGGGAACGAATTTGATATCGAATGGTGAAAGTCCCATCAAAAATGGTATTCTGGAAATTGAGAAGTCGAGCGACACATTTTAAATCCGAAAAATACATTGAGATTTTCAAACTTTTCATTCTCCGCGCACTCACAGACATTTTGAGAAAGAATGAATAGGAAGCGCACCGAGCTGCCAACATTTAGAAACTTTTTCTTTTTTTGATCATCAATTTTTATGCGCACAGTTTTGAGAACGGGTCCCGGACATACTATTGCCAAAAAAATTTTCCCAATTAATTGTTAAATAGAGTAAACTAACAGTTGTCATTTTTGCTATTCCAACTAAAATTACCAGAAAAAACGTCATAGCAAAATACATATGTATCAAATACACAAAATTTACAGGTTCGTTTTTGGTGTGATGATCGAATTCACAATTGTAAATTATGCCCAAAGACAAGGTATGTTTTAATTTTCTCGACTTTTCCAAAATTAAAACTGGGGTTTTCTTATTCTAACAATTTTTGAGTGAGCTTCGGCACATTTTGTGTGATAGATAATTTTCCAATTTTCTCGAAAACAAATCCATCATAATTCACAAATATAGGCAGAAAATGGCACCGAACAGATGCAGAAATTGGTAGGTTTTTCAGAAAGAATCATTTTTTCGACAATGTTGTCATTTCTTTTCCAATTTTTTCTTGTCGTGGTTTCATTAAATACCTTACCACCTTTTTTCTTGCCAACTTCTTTTTTCACTAACTAATTATTTTTTATGCATGGATTTTTTTGGGGTGTGAGTTTTGAAAGAAAAACAGAAAACTGCCCTATTTTTGGTCCGGTTCGCAAATTTTTGTTTTTCACCAGCTTCTCTCATTAATTTTTATTTCCAAAAAATCAATTTTCTTCTTGAATGACGAAAAATAGCAACTTTTCAAAAATAAATATCCAGAATTCCATTAAAATATTTCAGTTATGGCGTCATCTTTGGAATCTGTCAAAAACTGTGATAAAAAACAATCTCGCCCGGATATTGGGACTCACGCAAGACAATTATTTTCAAAATTCCGACAAGCTGATAGAAGTCCAAGTAATTTGGCAGAGGTAAGAGAATCTTTAATTTTTTTTGAAAAAAAAATACGTGTGCTTCACCTTTGTCACTAAATTAATCCGATTCACAATTTCACAAAAAATTAGCAGGTAGATCAAATGATTTTTAGGAGCAAAATGAGCAAATTGCGATGAGTGTTGCGTACGATGATATCAGTCATGCATACAGTAACAGTTTTTCAGATGAAGAGGTATAAAATGTATCAAAAACTTGTGACTTTTTTGTCGTTTTATATGCATGTGCACCCAGTCCGAATATCTTTTTTTCTGATTCTATTGATATTGCACATTGATTGAACAATCAATAATTTTCAGGCACAATCAGATCCAAGATCACGAGTAACTGAAGGAACTCGAGAACACGATGATCAAAGAGAAACTTGTATGAATAATGATGTTTGGAAAGATCGAGACGCTGAAACGGCTGAAAGATTGGCGAAATGGAGCGATCGAGATGTTGATGCTAGTTCGCCACTTGTGCCAAATGGAAAAACAACAGGTTTGTTTTCAAGTGTTTTCTTTATCGGGAAAAATGCTTTTGAACTTTGATTGGCTAGATGACCAAAAATATGAGAAATGTATGTGTTAAAAGCCTTTAGGCGATGATGTTTATTGAAATTTTGTAAATTGTTTTTCAATAACCAGAAAACATTTTTGAAAGAAAAGAAGAAGAAGGGAATCTGCACATGGAATTATTCAAATAAATTTTTCCATTTCTGATCTAGAAGATATAATTTTCACATCAATTTTTTCAAAAACAAATCATTAGTTTTCCAGTAATCACTTATGGAACATCTGAAACTCAACCACGACAAAGAAAAAGCAACGACAGTCGGAAAAAGGATAAATGGTCTTCTGCAATCAAACAAATCCAAAAACACAAGTGAGTTCAAAATCTTTTACAATTTCTATCAAACTTTCCAGAAAACCAAGAAGAAGCAGTTCAGTAACAGGGTAATTCACACATTTTCATTTTCAATGTTCATTTTTTTCATCATTTTTTACGTTGCAAATTTTTAATTTTTTAATTTTTGCATTTCGGTTCCCAGCTTGCACCCGACACACAATTCAATTTTTTTTTCAATTTTTTCAAATTAATTAAAAAATACAAATTTGAAAACTTCCAGAAAAATCGCTGGAAGAAATCGTGCAAAAAAGATTGATCAGCGAAGTCGATGGATATTTCCAGCAACATTTATCGTTTTCAATATTATTTACTGGTATTATTATCTTTATTGGAAAGAGTGAAATGTTTGCTAATCATCAAAGTATCTTTTAATTTTGTATTATGGGTTGTTTAATAAATTATGATTCATTTATATAGTATTATTGCAACAGCAACAAGGCAGAATATATGTAGTTTATCAATCATTGGACACGATCTTTTGAACAAATTAAGACAAAATAAATTTATCTAATTGGATAAAAACGATAAATAGGAAGTTCAGCGGGAAAAAAATTATCGCAATCAAAAAACGGAAAGATAAAGATAACACCCGTGGTCTGTGTTTTAACAGAGGTTAAGCTATAGAAAAGTTTATTTTTTTATACCGAAAATAATTATTGATTAAAGGAAACTATGAGAGCATCAAAAGTTAACCAGCAAAAAATTTATGTTGATTGCTATACTGAATGTGAAAAAATTAAAATAGCAGTTCAAAATTTGATCTAAAGTTGGATCAGAAATATTTGTAGATTGACAACAACTTGTTTTTTTTTCAACCAAAAATTGAGTTTTTGATGTTGTTGGTAGAACAATCCAAAAGGATTCTGAACTTCTTGAGTTCTTGAGCCATCCAGTTTTTAAATTCCAACGTTTTTCTCAGGTGAGGCAATAAAAAGTTGTCTCAATACGACATCAACCGAAAGTCAAATATTTTTATTTCAAAACTTGCACTTTTGAAAAGAATGCACTTCCACAGAAAAACCTGAAAATTTTCACACAAAAACCTGAAATATCCTATTTTGTTTAATCAAAAAACACTATTTCCGTTCCAATATTATTTTCATGACATCATAATGAAACATTCACCCTTTTCAAACTGAACAAAAAACCCATGTTTTTGAATTCGATGAACTTTATTGTAATGAACTTCTGATTTTTCATTGACAAAAACAGCAAGCCAAAAAAAGATGAAGATGATAACAAAGATCTTTACCAAAATGCGAAAAAAAAGATGATTTTTGCTTGGTCAATTCATAGCAATGACACCGTAGGTTACAAAACAAGGGGCGGTATTTGATAAAATCGAAAAGTATAAAAGCCAGAAAAAGTCCACCGAGATTATCATCGAAAAATGAACGCAATTGCTATTATTCTTGCTTTGGCTTGCCTTTTCGCCTCAACCTTGGCTCAAAACAGATACGGATGGCCAAGCTCGTACGAACGATACTTGGAGAGAGTGAGTTGCAAATTAACTTGGAAAACCATTTTAAAATCAATGAAAATTTTCAGCAAGGAGTCTGGGATTACAATCGTCACGAGGCAAAGGCTAACTACAGAAACAGAAAGAGCTACGAAAGAGATTTGCGTGATTTGTATGAGGACTGGAAAAGACAAACCAGATGGGGAAAGCCAGACTACAGATCTAACAGATTCGGACAACCAACCGGTGGATTATCTAGATACGGATTCCAAGGTTAAATATTTTTTTTTCTGATAATTAAATTGTATTTCTTTAAAATAAATGTTTTTTCTTATAAAAACCTTTCTGAATTGTGAACCATGAAAAATTTGAAAGCTATTCATTTTTACAGAATTGTTACAGCTAGGTAAGCATGAAATCTTTCTGTGAAAATGTTAAAATATGAAATTTTAAAAATAAAATTTTTCAAAAAATTTGGAACGCTTCACGAATTTGCGTGTCATCCTTGCGCAGGGGCCATGCTAATCTTCTCTGTATTGTTCCAATTTTAGTATATGTTCTCGGAAGAACGAAAACTTATCTAACACATTTTCTTATATAAGTAGGGTGAAATATGCGACCGACGGTTTACGGGGTAGGCAAATCGATATAACAAAAGAACGAAGGTGTGAAAATTCTAATTTTCTGAATTTGGGATATGCTTAAAAAACATTGACTCAACAAAAATTGTTGAAAATTACTGAAAACTGCTATTATTGAAAATTGTTTATTTAAAAAATTAAAAATGTTCAAGTTTACAAGTGATCATGCAAATTGTCAAAATTGATATGAAACGTTTGCAAAGAAATTATTGAATTTGCATGGAACTCCGCGAAAAATAATATTTTGAAAAACGGAAATTGAACAAAAAAAGATATAAAATAATATTTTGTGCATTAACTATTTCTGTTTTTTTAACCAAATATTCAACTTTTCTGCAATAAAACACACAAATGAATTTCAAAGTTATATGAAGTCAGAATAGCCACAAATAGTATGAATAATCGTGTTATCACGCTTCACATCAATTTGGCTAAAAAATAGATATTCTTCTTATTATTTTCTTTATAAAAAATGTTTGAATCGCACATTTCGCCATGGAGTCTAATCATTTTTGGATCTATAATTGCCGTTTTAGTTATAATTTCAAATGCAAGAACAATCAGTTTGATGATGTGAGTACAGTACCTCAAAACCAAAACATTATTGATTTTAGAAAATCGAACAGTCTGAAAAAAATCGAATTCAAGTCTATGTTTTTCCGAACTATTGTTGATATCACTTTAGGAGTAGCGAGTTTGTTTATATCCTGTTTTTTTTTGTGAAAAATCATAAGTTTTCAAGATATTCTGTTTTTCATCTCGTGCGTACCAGTGTTTCTTGAAAATTATAAATATTTTAAAATGTTCGTGATTACTGGATTGTTTTTGGGAAGTGTTATGACTGTTCGATCGGTTTTGGCGGCATTCATCGCAATTGAACGATGTTTTGTGAGTTTGTTTCTGATTAATACGAAACGTTTTGAGAAAACATAACGGAAAATCGAAAACTCCCAATATTTTTCAGGCGACCTACTTTCCAGTTTTATTTTATAATTATCGCTGGAGATGTTCAAGTTCTATATTTATCATTTGTATTATCCTTATTGCTCTTACAGAACCACTTTTATTTTTTGCAATGTTAAATTTCAAATTTCCCAGAATTTCAAACTGCAAATCATTTATATGTGTGGCTCCAGAAGGTTACAAATTATATTCTGCAACTTTGACATCTTTCTATGGAGTATTAAATTATGTATTTTCATTTTTTCTTTGTTGGAAACTTATTGTTATTTATTATAAAAATCGACCAAGTTACACAGATTTAAAAAAGGTACAGTAATTTTGTGACAGAATTTGAGCCCCATTTCTTATTTCAGGCCAACATTTTATCAATGACTGATGGTTTATCTTCCTTCATTTTTGAACTATTGCCAAGTATTGTGCTTCGATTGAATTTTGTTGAATTCGCGGTGATTTTGCATCTATCGAAAAAGAAAAATTTGTTCATTTTACAGAATTTCGGTCCAATTTTAACAATAATTCGACTTGTCGGGAAACTTTTTGAAAGTTGTATAATGCTCTATGTAATGAGACAGAAGAAAAGAAAAAGTGTTGTAGCTTATGGTATACAACCACATATAACTGCCACTAATGTTATTGAATGAATTGAACTATTTTTGTTTGTATCAAAATTTGAGATAATAAATTATTTGGAATGCATTGTATATGATTTTGTTTGTGTTTTCAGGCCGACAGCAGATTTTTTGAATTTATTTGACCAATTTCTGATGTGTGAATATTTTTACACGTTTTTCACGTCTAGATTTTATAAATTTATTTCATCCAGAACTTCTGGGATGAGATTGAAACTCTCAACACCAAACATTTTTTAACTCCCAGATGATAAAAAAATTAAAATTAGTGTCATAAGGGTGTCGTTAAACGAATTGTGGAACTCTGACGAACTTCCCCTCAAATAAATCAAAAAATTTGGAACGCTTCACGAATTTGCGTGTCATCCTTGCGCAGGGGCCATGCTAATCTTCTCTGTATTGTTCCAATTTTAGTATATGTTCTCGGAAGAACGAAAACTTATCTAACACATTTTCTTATATAAGTAGGGTGAAATATGCGACCGACGGTTTACGGGGTAGGCAAATCGATATAACAAAAGAACGAAGGTGTGAAAATTCTAATTTTCTGAATTTGGGATATGCTTAAAAAACATTGACTCAACAAAAATTGTTGAAAATTACTGAAAACTGCTATTATTGAAAATTGTTTATTTAAAAAATTAAAAATGTTCAAGTTTACAAGTGATCATGCAAATTGTCAAAATTGATATGAAACGTTTGCAAAGAAATTATTGAATTTGCATGGAACTCCGCGAAAAATAATATTTTGAAAAACGGAAATTGAACAAAAAAAGATATAAAATAATATTTTGTGCATTAACTATTTCTGTTTTTTTAACCAAATATTCAACTTTTCTGCAATAAAACACACAAATGAATTTCAAAGTTATATGAAGTCAGAATAGCCACAAATAGTATGAATAATCGTGTTATCACGCTTCACATCAATTTGGCTAAAAAATAGATATTCTTCTTATTATTTTCTTTATAAAAAATGTTTGAATCGCACATTTCGCCATGGAGTCTAATCATTTTTGGATCTATAATTGCCGTTTTAGTTATAATTTCAAATGCAAGAACAATCAGTTTGATGATGTGAGTACAGTACCTCAAAACCAAAACATTATTGATTTTAGAAAATCGAACAGTCTGAAAAAAATCGAATTCAAGTCTATGTTTTTCCGAACTATTGTTGATATCACTTTAGGAGTAGCGAGTTTGTTTATATCCTGTTTTTTTTTGTGAAAAATCATAAGTTTTCAAGATATTCTGTTTTTCATCTCGTGCGTACCAGTGTTTCTTGAAAATTATAAATATTTTAAAATGTTCGTGATTACTGGATTGTTTTTGGGAAGTGTTATGACTGTTCGATCGGTTTTGGCGGCATTCATCGCAATTGAACGATGTTTTGTGAGTTTGTTTCTGATTAATACGAAACGTTTTGAGAAAACATAACGGAAAATCGAAAACTCCCAATATTTTTCAGGCGACCTACTTTCCAGTTTTATTTTATAATTATCGCTGGAGATGTTCAAGTTCTATATTTATTATTTGTATTATCCTTATTGCTCTTACAGAACCACTTTTATTTTTTGCAATGTTAAATTTCAAATTTCCCAGAATTTCAAACTGCAAATCATTTATATGTGTGGCTCCAGAAGGTTACAAATTATATTCTGCAACTTTGACATCTTTCTATGGAGTATTAAATTATGTATTTTCATTTTTTCTTTGTTGGAAACTTATTGTTATTTATTATAAAAATCGACCAAGTTACACAGATTTAAAAAAGGTACAGTAATTTTGTGACAGAATTTGAGCCCCATTTCTTATTTCAGGCCAACATTTTATCAATGACTGATGGTTTATCTTCCTTCATTTTTGAACTATTGCCAAGTATTGTGCTTCGATTGAATTTTGTTGAATTCGCGGTGATTTTGCATCTATCGAAAAAGAAAAATTTGTTCATTTTACAGAATTTCGGTCCAATTTTAACAATAATTCGACTTGTCGGGAAACTTTTTGAAAGTTGTATAATGCTCTATGTAATGAGACAGAAGAAAAGAAAAAGTGTTGTAGCTTATGGTATACAACCACATATAACTGCCACTAATGTTATTGAATGAATTGAACTATTTTTGTTTGTATCAAAATTTGAGATAATAAATTATTTGGAATGCATTGTATATGATTTTGTTTGTGTTTTCAGGCCGACAGCAGATTTTTTTGAATTTATTTGACCAATTTCTGATGTGTGAATATTTTTACACGTTTTTCACGTCTAGATTTTATAAATTTATTTCATCCAGAACTTCTGGGATGAGATTGAAACTCTCAACACCAAACATTTTTTAACTCCCAGATGATAAAAAAATTAAAATTAGTGTCATAAGGGTGTCGTTAAACGAATTGTGGAACTCTGACGAACTTCCCCTCAAATAAATCAAAAAATTTGGAACGCTTCACGAATTTGCGTGTCATCCTTGCGCAGGGGCCATGCTAATCTTCTCTGTATTGTTCCAATTTTAGTATATGTTCTCGGAAGAACGAACACTAATCTAACACATTTTCTTATATAGGTAGGGTGAAAAATGTGACCGACGTTTCACGGGGTAGGCAAATTGCTATTACAAAAGAACAGTTTTGAAGGTGCGAAAATTCTAATTTTGGGAAACTGCATATGGGAAGTTTCCAACTGTATGTACTTGATTGAAGAATTCACAACTGCAAGAAAGTGTCATTTTTCGCACATCCCCAAGTTTTTCATCTCAAATTTGTTATCAATTTCTCTAATTGTGGATGAACTTGGAAGTTTGGAAGGTTGAATATTTTCTACCAAAATGTAACTTCTAGATAAGTTCAAGAAAATATATAAATGCACCATCACAAAAATTCATTTTTTTTTGTTACAGATTTATCAAAAATACAATGCTTTATTTCTTCAATACCCCAGTATTCCTCCATGCTTCTCGTTCCCATAACCTTGAAAGAAAAAATACTTCTGGTTGTGTTTCTCATAGACCTGTCCATATAAAATCTAAAAGTGCAACTCTTTTGTTTATGTAACAAAACAATGTGAACCGGGAATGTATCAACACTTTTTGGAATAAAGTGTCAATAATCACAACAGAGGACGAATTCTTTTTAGCTTATTTTTTTTTGTATGAGATCCTGAAACTTGGAAAAAATCTCTTATCTGAATTAATTTTCAAATACAACATAAATTTTCTTGGAAAACTTCCCTCGCGTGGCATGAAAAAATAGTTACCAAAATCCATAGCGTTGCGTTCCCATGAAAACTTCACATAAAATCTAAACGTGGGAGTATTTTTCTAAAAAAAAGTTTTGAATCAAAACAGTTTTTTATCAAGGGACCCGAGAAAATATGTAGTTTCCCAAATTCAGAAAATTATAATTTTCACACCCTATTCGTTTTGCTAGCAGTTACCCTACCCCCTGAAACGTCGGTCAGATATTTCACCCTACCTATATAAGCAAATGTGTTAGATTAGTTTTCGTTCTTCCGAGAACATATACTAAAATTGGAACAATACAGAGAAGATTAGCATGGCCCCTGCGCAAGGATGACACGCAAATTCGTGAAGCGTTCCAAATTTTTTGAAAAATTTCAGACAACCTTCAAAAATTCATACACTTTTTTCTCGAAGTTCATTCGTTCCGAGTATAGGATCCCTGCTATGAGGTTCCCTTGTGAAAAGATTAAAAAATAAAATAATTGTTTTCTTGCTATGATTCATATTTTGAATTGATACATCTATGTTGTTTTTCTGAAATGATATGCAATAAAATTGATGGGATGATTCAGTTTTTCAGCTATATGAGCAAATGAAAAATAATGTATTTTTTACCAGTTTTTGGAACAAATTCATTTTTTATTGGTTTTATGATTGCCCCAATTGAAAATTGATTATTTAAAAAAAATAGAGGGGGGGGGGTGAAGTTGCTCAGTGGTGGTGGCCTCTGGCAATTTTAGGGTCGCTGGTTCGATCCCCGGTGTCCTCCTCGATTCACCGAGTCGTGATTGGATTCATCACGGAAGGTAAATCTGTCCTCTGCGGCACAGGGTGACCTAAATTATCAATGGCTAAGTGTCCGTACTCCGTTTTCGAATCGACAAATTCTTTTATATTGTTTTTCAGAAAATTAACACGTTTTTTAGGTATAAACGTTGGAATCCTCTCGAATTTTGTTTTTTTGCACCAAATATGATTCACTCAAATTCATTTTTTCAACCTATAAGTTAGGTTCATGAACACGTTGTTACTAAACTTTGAAAGTGCATGGCTATAAGAAATTTCGACATAAGAATCGATTTTTTTTCCTTTTTTTTCGCGCCAACCGCGGCAAATCCGATGAATCATGTGCCTGTCCGAAGCTCCGCCCGAAGCTCCGCCCCTTTTTCCTCGGCTGTCTCTGTTCCCTCATTTTTTCAGATTTCGAAAAAAAATTTTCATTCTGATTTTATTCATTCTTACCTCTTCCCCCTTATCTCATTTTTTGATTTTAAATTTTCTCTGAAAATATATTTATCAAAGACAATCTTTCTAGATGGCTCAATTGATACATCTCCTACTTGGCATTTGTGCTCTATCAATCTGCTCAGAAGCAAAACAGTTTTGTCCCGCCTGTGTTGATCCAGAATTTGTAAGTTGCCTATTTTTTTGTAAGTAGATACAATAGAAATATCTGAGCTTTTCAGGTTGATTATGTTGTAAGCAATAAAGGATTGTTTTCGGATCGCTCGATGGCCTACCCACGTATGAAAGATGGAGAGCTTGCTTGTCGTTCGGAAGACTACACCAAGGAAACAACAGACACGGTGAGATTTCTTAGCGGGCGTGGGTGGGAAGTATAATTGGGAAGAACGCAATGGAAGACAGACTTCGGGAGTTTGGGGAGATTTATTAAGGAGAGCGGGGATAAGGAATCGCGGAGAGGGGGGAGTCTAGGAGGTGATTTTTTACTGAAATTCGATTCAAATCTTCAAAATACTCAAATTCAGTACAGAAGGAGATATCCAAAACTTCGTTGCAAATTAAAATTTCCATTTTTCCCTTTTCCAATTATCTTAACCACCCAGTTCCTTTTAAAGAATATTCACACGTGTTAAAATTGTCTTTTTCTCAATGTTTTTCACTCATTCAATATATTCAGGTGTTTCTAAAATTCAATGGAAAGAACATCGGGAAATATGCAGCTGTGAAGTACATTTTTGATACACAAAAATAATACAATACCCACAGATGTTCTTTATTTTTCAAAATGCAGTAGAGGTCACGATATTATTATAGATCCAAAAAAACAGAAATCTGATCATATGAAAGACTTATTCGAAATGCTTCATTCTAATTAGCAATGATCGGAAAAAAGTTTTGCAACATCACATAAATCAAAAGTGACGCCAAAAGTTTTCTATTCGGAATCTCAAAGCGTAGATCAAGCAAAAATTTGTAAACCGTTCCAAACCTTTTTGCATTTATGTGAGAAATTTCGAAATTTTAATAAAAAAATTTTTACACTGTTAAGAAAATGAAAATAATTTTTTTTCTACCAGTTTTCGAACCAACTTTTTTCTCGAAAAAATGTTTAAAATTATTCAAAAGAAAAATCACTAACACTGGTAAAATTTCCAATTTTTCGCACTCTATTCGTTTTGATACCAGTTACCCTACCCCGTAAAACGTCGGTCACATATTTCACCCTACCTATATAAGAAAATGTGTTAGATAAGTTTTCGTTCTTCCGAGAACATATACTAAAATTGGAACAATACAGAGAATATTAGCATGGCCCCTGCGCAAGGATGACACGCAAATTCGTGAAGCGTTCCAAATTTTTTGAAAAATTTCAGATAACTTTCAAAAATTCATACACTTTTTTCTCGATTTTCATTTTTTCCGAATAGATCCCATGTTATGAGGTTCCCTTGTAAAAAGAAAATATGTTTTTCTTGCTATGATTCATATTTTGAATTGATACATCTATGTCGTTTTTCTGAAATGATATGCAATAAAATTGATGGGATGATTCAGTTTTTCAGCTATATGAGCAAATGAAAAATAATGTATTTTTTACCAGTTTTTGGAACAAATTCATTTTTATTGGTTATATGATTGTCCCCATTGATTATCCAAAAAAATGGGGGAGGGGGGGTGAGGTTGCTCAGTGGCTAGCCGCTGGCGATCTCAGGGTCACCGGTTTGATCCCCGGTGCCCGCTTTTCCTCGATTCACCAAATTGTGAGTGGGTAGTATAGATGGGTTTTCGTAAAAATACGGGCGGCTTACAAACAAGCGCTCAAAACGCGCCCACAAGAAATGATCAGTGCCAAAATGCTCTCGGGAAAAGCTCCAATAACGAGCGCTCGAGTTATGCTTTTGCACATCAAAAGTTTCTTTACAATTCTGAAGCGCCGGTTCTAAAAAGGTGTCGTATTTTTCCGGAGTAATTTATGATGTGTGTAATGTTCAACAACTAATATAAAAGGTTATTTTTAGGAACCCTGTTCGGACTCCTGCTTGCGTATCCATTTGACAAAACTCGGCTTTTCCACCCAGCGAAAAACTATCGGTTAGTTAGAAAAGATAAACGTTAATCCATTCTCTAACTTTAGGATGGATGTTTTATTGTTCAACGGGAGTCTTGAAAGAGACACCGGCTTCCTTGAACATTCCTCACGATCTTAGTCATTTCAAAGAAGATTACAATTACACCGATCCGTTAAGTAAGTTTATCACGGAGAAAATCAAAAACACATATTTACAAACATAATTTTTCTATTTTCCAGCGTTCAGAGATCAAATCGAAGTATCGTTTTATAAGAATGCATCTCAAGTCGAACTTCCCAAAGATTATCATTCCAAAAGTGCACTTGATGATATTTTGAAAAAAATTGTATCTCGATCAAGCACTTTTTACCTGATTTTTGCTGGCATAGTGTTCTTCTCCATAATTTTCATCTGTTGTGCTTTCGTGAGTTTTCTTTGAAAATTGATCAAAAAAGTTGAATTTAGTTTATTGAACTTTTTTTTTCAAAAATACCGCCATTGTTGTGAAACTAATATAAATGAAAAACCTTTCAAAACTTGAACTCAATTTTTGTATTTCTACTACATATTTGATAAACCCTCAAATGAACTAATCAACATGCGATTCTCGAAAAAACTAAGATTTAGAGATTTCCCCAGATATTTCAGCGCTAGTTTTCCTTTTTACCTATTTCATTTCTAAAGCATCTCATTGATGTTTTGAAAATCAAAATTCTGTTCATTTTCAATAACGAAAAATCCTGATAAGTATATCACTCTCCCTTTTCATGCTAGTAGTTGTTGCCTTACTTATTTTTCCTCTCTTTTGAATATTGAGAATTACATCAAAGAAAATTGCCGCGGGTGTATGAGAATACTGCGCGGCAATTTCTGATTCAACAAATGCACTTGAACAGCAAAAACTTTTGATCAAGCTAAACATTCAAAAAACCAACACACATTTTGTCCTAGACATATCCAAGATTTTTTGTAAAACTAAGAAATTGATACATCATTTTTCGAGATATGATTTTCAGGATTGTTGTTGCCGCTGTGTGCGAAACAGATATCGTAGAAATTTTGCGCTCCATTCTGAAGCTTATAAACGTTATAGAAACAGCCATGAGCTGCTCTCTATTATCGAAGATGAAGAAACTGGAACACAATCAGTTCAAGGAAACAACGGAGATGGCGATTATGAAGAAATAAAGGATGCACTCGGAGAAATCGGCGATTTCTTTGACAAAAAATCTATCAATTATTCCGAAAATACCGACTATGGGCAAGTGCTCATCGAAACTCCAATTATGAACAAAAACAGCAGAGTATTTTTCAAAAATGGTCGTTAGATCGCCGCTAAATGTTCAAAACATTTGGGAAACTTCCCCATCCTTCGTGGTTCTCTTTTTCTCTTTTTTTCAAAATCTGCAACTATGTATGTTTCTTTTCAATTGCATTTTTTTCCAAAATTATTTTCTCTTATCATAATTTCAAAATAAAATCCTCAAAAAGTGTCTTTTTTTTCATTATCATTCCAAAGGTTGGTCAAATCCTCCTCTTGAATTATTTTTTGTGTAACAATTTTGTCTGATTTTTCAGGCGCTTTTTCAATCATTATCATTGTTTGGTTTTACAGATTTTTTTTATTTTATATATCTTGTAATTTTGAATTATTTGATATATAAAATAAAATACATCTGAACATTTTTTTTCACACAGGTAACGAGGGTTTTTCACACATTCAGTAGTGCGAACCAAGCAAGCAATAATGTTTTCTTCGCGCTCTTTGTCTGCTGTTGCGATGCTTTTGGTTTTGTGGCTCGCTTTTCTACCGTAAGTTTTCATTTTATGTTCACAATATTAAGATAATCAACAACAATAAATTAGTTTTTCAGAAGTCCAACCGATGCAAGCATCAAATGTCTCTTTTGCCTCGATCACCGTTATGTAAGTTTGACTTGAAATCTAACAATTAGAACAGAAAAAACAACTATTTTTTGAGAACCTACCCCGCCCTTACTCCCATTCATATTCAGATTCTGATAAGATTCCAGTATTTTAGAAATTTTGGGGTATATTTCTAGGAATAGTAGAAACTCCTGAAACTCAGTTTTTCATATCTAATTACTAATTCAAAATTGCCCTGAACCTCCCCACTTATTCACTCACAAGTCATTTAAATTTCAGCTCAATTATGTTCAACACAATACACACGCTGAAAACAATCGCCGAATGGGATATCCAACAAACATTATCAAGAGTCAATGCAAAGATATGATTTTTACATATGTGAGTATTTTATTGAAATCTTTGTTGAACCATTTTCTTAATCAATGTTCAATATTTCAGCGTGATTGCGAACATTCTTGCCTCAAAGTTCACCTTGCCAATGAAACCGAAAACGATGGTATTGTAACAGTTGGATATATTTATGCGTGCAGCTCAAGAATTATTGAAAGACCACCAAACAATCTCGACCTCCCAGAAAACTTGGACAAATTCAATGGAACTTTGGAGTATACTGATCAATTGGGTTAGTTAATTATTGTTAACAACAAACCCAAATGAAACCGAGCCATTTTCAGATGATCATATGTTTTTCGAAATCACTTTTTATCGAGAAGTCACTAAAGACATCTATCCAGTCTACCAAACTGCTGCGAAAAATGACGCCAATTTCTCACTCAAACTTATGACTGGTCTTTTTCTCATTGCAATCGCTGGAGCCATCTTTTTTGGTGTGGTGAGTTTAATAATTTTATGAAATTTCAATTGATTGAAACATCAGATGAAGCTCAAGAAAACCATTCACAAAACCGAATCGATCAATCTGCTTCAAGATAGTGATGATATGTAGAGTTCTTATTGAACATTCACTAACTTTTTTTGTGTAACCTTACATTTTCACTTTATTTTTTAAAAGTTTTTTTCCAGACTATCTTTTTTCTGCTTTTTGTTCAACTTATTATTTTTCATGAGCAATCTTCTATTTTCACTTATTATTCCGAGGTTTCTGTAACTCCCTCACAAGTTCAATTCAATTTACTCATTTTTTTCAACATTACTTTCGAATTATTACTTTTCACCTATAATCCTAGTTTTTCTCTTTTTCTATGTTTGGATGAGTTTTTTCTCGGTTTTTGTCTGATTTCAAATAAACACTTTTCTATATTATTTTCTCTCATTGTTCAGATGATTTTCACATACATTTACAGATAAAATACATAGAACCAAGAAATACAAAACCATATCAAATCCCTATCTAGTCTAATTACTTATCATTCAAAAAACTCATAGCTGCCAACACACACATTTTTCACAAGGCAAAGAGAAAAAGAGAGAGAGAGAGCACATAGATTTCAGAGGGTGCAAGACAGTGAGACACTTGTTGGTCCCTGCCGCGTATTGAAATTTATGGAAAAGAGTGCATATTTTGCTCGGAAATTTGCAACTTTAATAACCTAATCATTTTTTTTTGTTTAGAACTCAACGCATTTTTTTGGTTAACTGGGAAAATGATATAAAATCAAATGCTATATGGTAATCATCTTCAAAACTTCCTATTTGCGATCTGACCAGTGAATGTTTTTTGATTATCTCGAAAATTAGGAAATATTCAATAATTTATTGTATTCATCACAGCTTCTTTCATATTTATAAAGTAAAAATAATTAAAATATGATGCATTAATTACCGTTCAACAAAAACAGCAGATGTTCGCAAAAAATCGATAATAATTGCAACCTTCCCAAAAACCACGCTGTTTGTTGTGGTGAGAAAAGGTCCATAAGAGGAGAGTGCGTTTTTCCTTTTTTGCAAATATAGTTCGGAAATGTGTGCTATGTTGCAGAGATTTCTAATTTTGCTTTCGGTGATTTTTTTGAGGTAGGTTCAAATTTTAATTTCGTTGAAAAACAGAAAACCTTAAACTTTTTCGAAATTTTTTTTTACTAAATATTAAAAAATGAAGAAAAAAACTATTTAATTTTTATACTCGAAAAATGATTTATCATTTCAAAACCCTATATACAGTAGCGTGCAAAAAGATACGAACACCCTGCAATTGTATCGTTTCACGGGACCTAGTGGTCCAATCGTTCTGAAATTTTTTGGAGTGTTACTGGGGCCCCAAAAAGCTTTTTCTACAAGCGGGATATTGTAGTTACTAGCTGAAGAGTTCGAAGAACTCGGATATCAAACATCAATTTTTAGAAATTCTCACAAATTTTAAAACATCGTTGAAAAAATATTTTTTTAGTCTCAATTATCATCAACTTTCATTTTTTATGTCTTCAGGAAGAAGTTAGCTCTCGATTCCGACCTCAACTTAATGATTTCATTGCCTACAAGGCTCATTCTGAAGGTTCTAGGAAGACCATCCAGAGAACCTGAAAATGCACAAATCTGGATTTTTGATGATATTTTAGCGTTGAAATGTGTTCAAAACACTCTAAACTAGTCATTTGAACCATTCTACACAAAATTCCAATCAAATTCCGAAGTTTTAACTCAATTCGCACATCACTGCATTTTCGATGTTTTTCTAGATCTTTGATTGCACATCATCAACAACATCAAAATTGACTTTTCATTGATCGAACTTGTTTTTTAGATGACTGTTCATGTTTATCAAGTGCCATGAATGTGCTAGCAGTCGTAATTTGAGATTGCTAGAAGCTGAAAGCTGACCTCTATGAAAACTCTTCATTTTCAATTGGTTTCCTTTATAAAATTACCCTATTTTGGTAGTTCGATGTTTATCGATCTGCTACTGAGCCGATGGATTTTTTGAGTGGAATTGATGAACTTTTCAGTGTTTAGAACTTCTTTAAGAATTAGTTCGATCAATGAAAAGTCAATTTTGATGTTGTTGATGATGTGGAATCAAAGATCCAGAAAAACATCGAAAATGCAGTGATGTGCGAATTGAGTCAAAACTTCGGAATTTGATTGAAATTTTGTGTAGAATGGTTCAAATGACCAGTTTAGAGTGTTTTGAACATATTTCAACGATAAAATATCATCAAAAATCCAGATTTGTGAATTTTCAGATTCTCTGGATGGTCTTCCTAGAACCTTCAGAATGAGCCTTGTAGGCAATGAAATCATTAAGTTGAGGTCGGAATCGAGAGTTTATGTCTTCCTGAAGACATAAAAAATGAAAGTTGATGATAATTGAGACTAAAAAAATATTTTTTCAACGATGTTTTGAAATTTGTGAGAATTTCTAAAAATTGATGTTTGATATCCGAGTTCTTCAAACTCTTCAGATAGTAACTACAATATCCCGCTTGTAGAAAAAGCTTTTGGGGCCCCAGTAACACTCCCTAAAAATTTCAGAACGATTGGACCACTAGGTCCCGTGAAACGATACAATTGCAGGGTGTTCGTATCTTTTTGCACGCTACTGTATATATTCCATCGATGTGTAATATATATGTATATATATTTTGCAGGTATGTTCAATCGGAAAACATTTGTATTTTCTGCTACGAGGATGACTTGGTGAGTTGAAATTGCAAAAAAAAACAGATTATAAATAAAACTGATAATTTTCAGGTTAATAATATCAAAACCCTCAAACTCGATGTTGATCTTCAAATTCCGCCAGATTTTGTGGATGTAAAATGCAGAAACGAAGATCATATACGGGTTTGTTGTAAAAATAAAATAAACGTGTATAATAATACATTTTTTACAGATTCTTTGTCAAGATGCATGTATGATAGTACAACTTTTCAAATGGCCACACACAGCAATAAGTCAAGGTTCGTTATAATTTTTATTAGGGGGAACCTTTTTACCAAAAATGTTTGAAACTCCAAAGATTTACAGGTGTCATGTTCACATGCAGTACAGATGTCATGAGAAATTTCTATGTGGCGACTAATCAAACACAAAATTATTCAGAACTTCAAGATCAAGCTATAAAAATAAAAGGTGAGGTTTTCATTTGTTGTTGTCTAATTAACAATCATTTTCACAGACACTAATTATTACTTCAAAATAGCTCTATTGGATTCTCTTCCAAATAGAACAATCTATGATGACGATACTGGCACAACAACGTGCATACCCGAACAGGAACTTACGACATCAAAACCCAAACCAGAATATGAAAGAAGCGTTGTTGTCGATACATTCAGAGATTTAACTTTTCTTCTCATATTTGTGACCACATTCTTATTTTTATTGGTGAATGTGAGTTTTTTGTTGGAATTTTATAAAGTTGAATCGGGAATTATGACCACGGAGTATCGGAAAGAAAAAAAAAAACTTGAACGCCCAGTTTACTATTTTCGGGTTACTTAGCTCATTTCTTACATTTAGACTTTAACAAAATCAAATCTATGAGAAACTATTTCCTACGATTGAATTTACAGATACGATCGATCATCCATTATATCAAAAAAATGAGAAACAGAAGTTCGGTGAGATTAATGCTTGAACAAAGACGTGCATTCACTGGGAATTCGAAACCAGAACAACAACCAAAAATAGAAAGACAAATAATTCAAATTCAACCTGTGTAAATCAAATTCTGGAATTCACGAAACTCTGGAACTCACGAATGCTCAATTGTTTTCTGATACTTTTTTTCATCTTATGTTTTTTTTTTATTTTGAGAAAGAATTTGTACTGTTAAAAAAACAAAACATGGTATATTTGAAAATTTTTCTCTTTTTTGTGTTCAATCTATAACTTCAAAAATATATATTTTTTTAATTTTATAAAAATATATATTTTTTAAATTTTATCCGCAATAAGCATCGATTTTCGACATTTGACTTATAAAATTTTTTTTCGCCATTCATTATTCATTTTGTCGTATTCTCTTTTCGCTAGGAAACTTCTCGATGTACCGAACATTGTGTTATTTTTCAACTCCTTTTCTTTTTTTTTTTGATTTCTCATTTGACTCATTAATAAATATTCATCGAAAAATACGTCAAAATGATTTTTCCTGAAACGATAAAAATTATTCCAACAATAAAATATATTAATTTTATCTGAGTCAAAGTCTGCTCTAATGATAATCATTATAGTAAGACCCTCGCGAAGAGACGCAGACAAACATATTTCTTCGAGTCCCTGTCACTTTTTCGTTTTTTCTCGGTTTTCTTTATAATTTGTTGATAATAGCCAAATTACAGTGTTATGTCATTATTTTTCTTTGTGATTGGATTGAATTTCTTATACTATTACATTAAAAAATTAGGGATCATAATTTTTAATGGAAAACCTAAAAGTTTAGGACGAAATTTAGGACCTTAATTTTTTTAATTTAAATTTTATTCGAAAATGATGATGAGATATTTTAAAATTTTATTAGAAAATTGATAACTATTTAAAACGGAACACCAATTTTTGATATGCTTGTGGAAATTATAGGGACACTTTCTAAATATAAGAATTTACCAATATGCGTTTTCATACGCAACAAGAGAATACCCGTAAAGTGTGCCAGACACCCAAAGATATTTAGGTCCCTGTCATTTTTGTTGTTGTTGTGGTGCTCATAAGAAAATTTGGATCCCAATGTACTTTTAATTTACTTCTGAAAAGAGATCAGTTTCTAATTTGTGATTTCTCTGAAAAAAATAATAGCCCATTTTTCGTGAATTTATGAAACATAATTAAAGTTTCACGATCACAGATTGTTTTTTATAATACATTAAGATCAAAAACGTTTTCGCATTCCTGTCATCTAGAAGAGATTGTGAATTGCAAAGAGCACCAGACAAACAGAGATTCACAGTGCCTCTTGGTTTTTCACTAGCAGTTGTTTTCATCTTCTTCAATTTTTTCATCAGCTTAATGTAAGAAATTTCAAATATTTTTCCAAAAGCTTTCTCATTTGTGTCAGTTTGTACCATGGTTATCGTGTCTCCAAATAAGACACAGTCATCAAGTAAAGTCAAGAAAAATGAGGAACATGTATTTTCCCAGACGTATTCGTCATAACCACGACATTTGGATAGCTACCAAGATGTTACTTTTGTATTGTTTCTCTGATATTTGAATTTTGTACCAGGCTTTATGTGACTCCAAGATGTAACACTGTGTATGACTAATAAAAATGTAGAGTCGGTACCATTGGCCACGCCCACTTTTCTGGCGTATATAAAGTTACAAAAACAGCATTCATTATGTTTTTTTATGACAGACTCCATCAATGGATGGTCTAAATAAATCCGGATTCTTGTCAGATCAAATTTAATTGATTGTGTAACAGTATCTTTTGACCCTTCTAATTGGTGGTAAGACAATAGTGTTGAAACCGCTAGACAATGTTGATGTCTGTTCTTTTCTACGAGTTTTTGACCTCTTCTTTCTGACCTCTTCGATTCCTCATCCTGTCTATTGTTTTTTCATAAACAAAAACATATCACTTTAAACCGTGCTCTCCTAAAAGATGCACTATACAATTTGACCAACTTGTTTATTTTTACAATAAACCTTTTAACAACTTTTGCCGCATATTTTTTCTTCAAAAATAATTGTTTTTTGTGCCACCCCGTGACATCGTTCTTAAAATTGGGCGGAGATTGTTTTCTGACCGTTATATTTGTAGAAATGACTCATTCTTTTTGTTTCAGACTTGGTGTCAACTATGCGAATCTTTGCGATCTTCTGGTTTTTCATCATATTTCTGTGCATCAGGTTAGTTTTAAAAGTGTTTTAGAATTAGACATTAGTAAATACCTATGTTATGTTAATCAAAAGGGAAATTAAGAAGAACTAGAAAAAATATTTCAATTATGCAAATTTAGAACTTTTTTTTTTTTCACGAATATTTGATAATCTGAAAATTGACCTAGTCTGAAAACTGTGAAAATTCTGCCAAAGTAGCAAATGAGCTCTTCCGAAATTGTTCGCAATAGGGCGTATTTGTTGATTTCGCAAAGGGTTTTTCGAATATTGATTTTTTTTTTTTGAATCTTGAAATCAACCATAATTCAGAAAGTTTAGAACCAATTATCCAGTTAAATTATTTCCAGAAATGCAAACTGTGAAACAGACACTGGAGTTATGGCAGACACTGAAGCCGTGGAAGAAGGAAAAATGTGCCCTCGTTGCATGGACTTCAAATATGTGAGTTTATCTGAACATCTATTCTAGTAATTCTAAATTAAAAACAATATACATACATAATTCAGAAACAATTCGGCTTCTACAATCCACAATTTGTCAATGGTCAACATCGGCAATATTTGATTCATCCTGTTGCTGCTGAATATCCCTGTTGGCAATTCAATCACACAATGGTAGGTTTTTGGGTTCTATGGGATCATCTCTTTTCAAAAAAAAAAAAACAAAAAATGTTTCAGGTCAAATGTGAACACGCTTGCCTTCGCATGAGATTGGAATCCAGAGAAAATGGAGTGTACGAAGATATTGGTAAGCTAGCAAACATTCTAAAATTTACAGAACATCAAGAATTTTCAGGCTTTGCATATGATTGCAGTACTGATGTTATTCATAAAACACCAACATATCCCTGGGATATTACCAAATTGGATGATGACCTCAGACTTATCGATATTTTGAGTAAGTTTTTTTATTCTGAATTTCAATGTGTACAGTAAAATGCTTTTCAGATTATTCCGGAGATATTCGAGTTTTGTTCGAGATCACTTTCTACAAATACGCGTCGCAAGTTGAAACATTCAAAATGTACACTGAACGAGTTTATCAAGAAAATAAGTTGAGATTGGATCGAGAATACTGCAGAGAGCATCCAACAAAATGCGAAATCAAAAAGTTATTGGCACATCCTGTCGCCATGTTTTTCTTGATCTTCACATTCACTCTTCTGTTCACGGTTGGAGTTGTGAGTTTTCTTCTATGTTAACCAGAATTACTTAAGATCGTGTAGATTGTTTTTTCAAAATCCAGACCCATTGCTGCTGCGTCCCAAAAACTGTGGAAGGTGCACGTTTCAGTTTTGCTCGATACGGAGGAAGAGGACAATTTCACACCAGCAGTACCCAAACCGAAGAAACCATTCCAACTTTATCGAATCATCTAGTAACTGTTTGATTTTTTCATGCTATCTTCTTGTTTTTTTCTCATTTCTGTTTTTTTCTTATCATTTTCTAGCTTTAATTATTCTTCCGATACATTGCCGGATTACTTGACATTCATATAATCAAACACATTTTTTTACTTGTTCTATTGATTTCTCATACATAATCAAAAGCATATTGAAAATTCACTTTTTTTCGAGTGACAGGTACTTTTCCTATTTATTTTGCTTTTTTCGACATAAAGTTTTTAACCGACATTTGTGATAATGAAACAGTTTGTGAAAATTGAATTCAGAAATCAGATTCTGAATTTTTTTGAGAATTGTGGAAGGCAATTGAAAATATTTATGAGCAACTTTTTTATCCAAAAATTTTCTGATTTCCAAATATGTTTCACACATTCTGAATTTGAATGCACGTGAAATTGAAAATTATTTTTCTTCACCCAAATTTCTGATTTTCAATTCACAATACTGTAACACCAACGATCAAAAGCACAAAAACTACAATTTCCCTTTTTTTATCACACAACATGTAATAATGGTCCATTTGATCTACTGACTACTTGTTTACTGTTCAACCAAACAAAAAAACACACAATGGGCGGAGAATAATGGCAAGTGAGAGAGAAACTAAATTAGAGCCAAATATCAAATGGCCCCCGCTTGTCGACTGATAAGATATCAAATGAGAGTTTTCTATACCATTTTGTTCAATCATTTTCATATGATTGTTTTTGTTTTTTTTTTCTTCGTATTTTTACTTTTTAACTTGAAATATAATCAACAATTTTTACAGAATGAGAACATTACTATTATTCTTATTTGCAATCACAACTGTTTCTGCAATCCAATATTATTCATTGGCTGACACATTTCAAGCTGTTTTAGACACTGAAAAAGCGCTTGAAGAAGAGCTGAAAATCAATTTAGAAAATTCAAGAGCTACACGTGATCAAGTTCGTCAAGAAGTTCAAGCTCGTCTTGAACAAACTGTTGGAAAATTATCGGAAGCTGTTAAACAAAAAGCTGAAGAAATCAAACAAGCAAAAGCTGAAGAAGATGCTGCCAAACAACAAAAAATTGATGAAGTTCTAGCGAAATGGAAGGAAATTGGAACAGAGTTGAAAAATGTTGCTGATCAAGTGAATGCGAAAAGAGAAGCTGATAAAGCTGCTAAACAACAAGTAAGGGATAATATTTTTTAACTTAAAAACATTTTTTTTTCAGAAAATTGACGATCTTGTGAACCAAATCAAGACAGCCTTCCAAGAGAAAAAAGCAGAAAACGAGGCTGAAAAACAAAGACAAGCTGAACAATGGCAACAACTTTCAGAAAAATTGAAGCAACAAAAAGAAGAACTCACTCAACAACTTCAAGCAGCAAAGGCCAAATTTGACGAGCAAAAACAACAAAAACTTGAAGCTTTGAAAAAGGATCTTGGACAATTGAAGACTTTAATCACTCAAGAAGTTCAAAATCGTTTGGCACAAAGAGAAGAACGAGCTGCTAAACAACAAGCTCATATTGATGAATTGAAATCGCAAGTTGAGGTAAGAATTGAATTACATAAAGTTTTTGATTTCCGTGATTTTTATTTTCAAGATAATGGCGGAAAGTTCACATTTTTGTTTTGGAAAATGAATGATCTAAATTAAAACTGTGCTTCACAGTCAAACATATATATATATATTTTAATTTAAATATTTTTTCACAAAATGTTTTCAGGTCGGCAAACAACAATTAGACGAAGCCGCCAAAACTATCGGCACTACCTACGAACAATACACCGAGAAAAAAGACGAGCTCACAACTCTCATTCAAAATCTCTTGAGCCAAGGTGTCAAGGATCAACTTCACAACAAATTCGAGGATTCTATCCAATCCAATCTTGATAAACTTGCTTTGAAAGAAGTTTTGAATGAGAAGAAAAATGAGGCTGTTAATCAACTTACACCAAATGTTGTTGAAATTGCACCAAAAGCAACAATTCTTGATGAGTGAGTCGTTTTTTTTGTATATAGATTTTCTTCATCAATGTTTCAGAATCACCGGGAAAGCCGCTTGGGAAACTGTCACATGGGTTCTTCTTGCTCTTTGCATTTTGTTGTCAGTTGCCCTTATTATCATCATCATTTATCAGGTAAAAACATCTGAAATCATAATTTCTATGGGAAAAAAACTGAAATTTATCCTTGTAAATTTGCCAGATCAAGCAAAGAAATGCTTACGAACGTCTCGATGGTCATAACCAAGCTTCAAACGGACCATCTTCATCGCAATATAATGAAAAAGAACCACTTCTTCCACCAGCAGCCACACCAGTTACTGCTCCACCATTGGCACCAGCTAAAGAAGAACAACAATTTTAAATTTAATTGGTTAATATGTATTCAAATCTGATTAATCTTCATAAAATGTATTTTTTGATCAAATCATAATTATGACTTGTTGCCTTATCAATGATACTAAAATTTCCATAAGTGCACGTCTTATAAACTACATACTATAATTGTTGTGCTATCAAGGTATAATTTAGTCACATGTACATATGTTTTTGATTTCATCATCCAGGAGGAAAGATAAGATTTCATTTGTTCAGTCAACAAAAATCAAGAAACAGTAAAGTACAAATGTCTGGGGATTCCCTTGTTGTTAAAATTACATTGTGAAAAATGAGAGCTTCAATAGTCCTAAGATTACTGTTTCGAAAAAATTATGAGTCTGTTTTTTTCTGATAAAGCAGAAATCATAAGATGTTTCAAAATGTATAGATTATTATTGTCTATAATTCGTTTACTGTCACGCACTTTTCAGACAACAAAAATCAACTTATCAGTAAAAACTGTTTTTTTTCTAATTGTCTGGGAATTGAGGAAAAAATGTTTCTCGATTGATATCGAAAAAGTGAGAGGGCATGAAAATATTGAACTCTTGGGGAAGCCTATAAATTAAATAGCGAAGGAATATGAGAAGTCCTAAATTCACACTGAATTTAAATATGTGCTCTGTGAAAAACCCAACAATTATTAAAAATAATTATATTTGAATAATCAATGACCAATAATCAGTAAATGTAACAAGGAACTGTTTTTATGGTGATTGTGTTATTAAATCAATTTTTTGAGGTTTGTGCGGAGACTAGGTAGACGTTTAGTTGAACATGATCTTGAACAAGTGAAAAATAGTTTTGGAATATAGGTTTCCAGAACTCAACTTATTGGAAGATGTTGAATTCAGGTCTCATGGGTTTTATTCAGCTTTTACTAGGGGCTGTTAGTCTCCAGGCGTAACAGTCTTCTCATTCATTTCAGTTTCACTTTTTTTCTGTGGAAAATTGACTTACAATTGAATTCATGGAAAATTACAACCAAATTTAGCTATAGAATTTCAAATTGTTTGATCGAAAAATGTCTCGTGGCTAAATTAGGAATGGTTCCTAATTTTTCCAAGGATGAAGTCTTTCGATCAAAAAAATTGAAATTTTGAATAAATTTGACTTTTGAGTACATCCAATACAAAAAAAAGATTAAATAAGTTTTTCTGAAAAATTGATCGATGGCAAAATTAGAAACAAAACTTCCTGATTTACAAATTTTCACCAAAAAAAAAGTTGATAAAAAAATATAATTTTTTTAGACAGTACTCAATAAATGCTCAACAAATGAATTGCAATCATTTAAAGCCTAAAATCATGAAATTTGGTTCAATAATTATGGATTTGTAAAACTGGAAGACCTTCCAGATAGTTTGTTTTTCAATGAAATCTGGAAGCTGATCCTAAAGCTTCAAGTGTGTTTCAGAGCTTCATCTAATTATTTAAACATAGTAATTTATGAACAACTTTCCTCTAACATAAATAGTAATTATGAATTAAAAACTTTACCCAATAGTTTTCAATGAAGCTCTAATCTCACCTGTTAGTTTTGTTCCCACCCCCCCCCAAACCTCAAAATAAACTACTCTGGTCCGTTCCGTGAAAATTTGTTGATCTCTTCGAATATCCTGTCCAAACAAAATATCTTCTTGTTCGGAAGCCTAAAACTTCTACATTCTTTTTCTCAAAATTTTGGCCTATTCTTAAACTTACATCAGAAAATGACAAATGTGGATTTCCTGGGACCGCAGCATTCTGCGACTGTTGTCTCTGAAAAAAATAAGAAAATTAAGAGAGACTTTTTGTAAGAACGTAAATCGAGCTGTACAACAAAATGGATCGAAAATTTAGAATGAGCCAAATTTTTTTTTATTTGAAAGGTATGATGTTTGGGTGTTTTGTGCGCACAGTAGGACCTTATATAAAAAATTGGTTCACGGTGTATAGGTCGATGTTTGAATTTTGGTCTTATTTTTGAAAAAATCGTAACTAGGCTCAAAGTCAATATTTTTCGACGATCAAAAAATGATGTTTCTCCATTTTTCATTCCGAAGAAGCTGGAATTAACGAAAATTGGGTGAGATTTCGTCCTAACTTTTTCCGAAAAAAATTTTCAAAAAAACATTTTTTTTTAATTTGGGAGTAAAGAGCCCAGAAAATAAGTGTTTTTAAAAGATTCTCCATGCAATTTTACGTATTTTCGAACAATAAAATCAGAAATTCTCAGTACCCCTCGTTTTCAAAAAAATCACTTTAAAATGTTCACTTATTTTCTCCTCTTGGAAGGTTGAATGATTGATTTCAGCGCATTGATTCGTGATAAAATGTTGAGTTTTAACTTTTTCTAATCGTTCATATTTATTTCAAAACAGTTCTGATCGTTTATCTAGATTCTATGTCCCTGAATGCCTCAAAAACCTAAAATATGCATTTTTCAAAAAATGAACATACTTTTTTGACTAGTAAAAATTCTGAAACGACTACAAACTGTCTGAAACATTGAAATAACGTTTTTTAATAGTTATTAACAATATTTTGAACTCTCATAAACTTCAAAAACAGTTTAGAAAATCGTACGGAATCGATTACAAAAAAGTGTGAAATAATGAAAATATCGAAATTTTCATATTGACACTCAAAAATTGATGTTGTGATTGTTTGAATGGTAGAAATCATGTAAATCGTCTTTAAAAATGATTCAAATTCAGAATTGAGCAATTTCTAGCCGTTTCTACCATCTATTTCAGAAAAAATCTTTTTTGGCATTTTTTTAGTATAATTTTATGTGGTTTTTGGGCTTTTTTGAAGTTTAAATCTATTTGGAACGTTTCTAAGTGACTGTAATCGATCAGAAAAGTTAACAAATGAAAAAATGGACCCAAAAAAAGAACGTTTGAAAAATGTTAACTGTGCTTTTTCTCCAAAAAATACAGAAAAGTATGGGCATCTCAAAGTGATTTTTTTGAAAACGGGGGTACTGCGAATTTTTGATTTTATTGTTCGAAAATACGTAAAATTGCATGGAGAATCTTTTAAAAACACTTATTTTCTGGGCTCTTTACTCCCAAATTAAAAAAAAATTTTTTTTTGAAAATTTTTTCGGAAAAAAGTTAGGACGAAATCTCACCCAATTTTCGTTAATTCCAGCTTCTTCGGAATGAAAAATGGAGAAAAATCATTTTTTGATCGTCGAAAAATATTGACTTTGAGCCTAGTTACGATTTTTTCAATAACAAGACCAAAATTCGAACATCGACCTATACACCGTGAACCAATTTTTTATATAAGGTTCTACTGTGCGCAAAAAACCCGCAAGTATCATACCTTTCAAACAAAAAAAAGTTTGGCCAAATCAGAGAATATCACTTTTCTTGTACAGACCACCCCAGTTTTATTTACGTTCTTACAAAAAGTCTCTCTTAAAAAATGTACCAAATCACCTCTGAAAAAACCAGAAAAATGATTCAGTTCGAAAAAAAAAACGTTCAATCAATAATTTCTTTTCAAATAAAAAACATATCTCTCTCTCTCTAACCCTCTCTCCATTTCCCACACTCTCTCGTCTACCCTGCAAAAAAAAACAACAAAATAAACACGCTAAACAACACGCACGCGGAGTATCGTTGATTCGCATTTATTTTATTTTGTTTTTTTTCTGGTTTTTGAGTGGTTTTTTCAGGGCAGAAAACGTTAGTAACATTTGGCAATTTTCTCATTTTTTCAGAGACAACCGTAACAAAATGCAGCGGTCCCATAAAATCCACAATTGTCATCATTTTCTTATGTAAGTTTATTAAGAATAGGCGAAAATTTAGAGAAAAAGAATGTCGAAGTTTCAGGCTTCCGAACAAGAAGATGTTTAGTTTGGACAGGACATTCGAAGATATCAACAACTTCTCACGGAACGGGCGGCCAGTCAAGTTAGTTTATTTTGAGGTTTTGGGGGGAGGAGCAAAACTAACAGGTGAGATTTGAGCTTCATTGAAAAAGTTTTTAATTCATAATTACTATTGATGTTAAAGGAAAGTTGTTTATAAATTACTATATTTGAATCATTAGATGAAGCTTTGAATTACACTTGAAGCTATAGGATCAGCTTCCAGATTTTATTGAAAAACAAACTATGAAATATTTCATAGGTAGAAAGATTTTTTTTCTATTCCTGATTATCTGGGTCACGTGAAATTCTGATAAATATATATTCATCAAACATGCCTCATTTCTTATCTACACGCGTGGTGTAGTGGGGAAGAGCTCTGTCTTCTATTCAACCCGCCTTCGTAATTATTATATATCTTGTTTTGAGTTAATCATTGCTGGAAGTCTGAAATGATAGTTGTTAATTGATTTTATCAATCCAAATTTTCGGCTTTCCTGAAAATTTTCGATGTCTCAGAAGGATCAACTTCTCTATTTTCTTTTATCTGAAATTGTAGTCTCCTTAATTTTCAAATCACATATATTTTAACATCATTGTCATATATGAAACATTTCTAATTATAATTATTCTCCAATAATATTTTTCTTATATTTCAAAGTATGAATAATGATTGGAAACAAGTTTGTTTTTAATTCAATTCAAATAATTTCAATCCATTTCATTTCATTTTCCAATCAAAAAAAAACAACAAAACTATTTCTCCCACCAAAACGAAAAAAAGTACACCATTATTTCATCCCCTTTATTTTCCAGCCCATTAGATTTTGCTGTTTCGTTTCACCGACACAGGTACAAAATATGTTGCTAAAAACATTTTTGATCAATCTAGCAAAGTGCACAAATTTTTGTGTGTCTTTCCAGTTTTTTTTGTATCATTCCATCTCTTGCGATAAAAAAACATAGTAAGCAGTCAACAACGTTTGTTAGGTCCCCTAGTTTTTTGTATGTGTATGTGTGTCTTGTTACCCACCCCTAACTTCACATTCCAATCCAATTACTCTTTGAGAAGAAGAAGAAGAAAAAAACAAAAAAACCGTTTGTTCGACAAAGCAAAAACATAATAGCGGCCTTGAAATGTCTCAGGTCCGATCGAAGAAAAAAGTGGTATCAGTTTGACAACATCGGCAAAAAACGACATGAAACAAAAAAACGAGATTTTCATGGCAACCAAAAAACTTTTCGCCGCTGTTTTTTTCGAGAAAAGGACATCTACAAGTAGAATAAAAATTGAAAGAAAGTGAATTTATATTATTAATTCATATGTAAATTTGCTGTGACTTTGCCAATAATTTATGTATCCAATTTGCAAGTTGAGCAATTTTTGATCATGAAAATGGTGTTGTGTAACCTTGGAAAATGACAAACTGCCAATGGTTTTTTTTAGCGGTTTTGTTTGTTACCCTGAATTTGATAAGAATTTACTTTTTCAAGGTAAAAAAACTAATCTGATGCAAAATGAACAAGGAAGGAAGATTTTTTATAGATCGAATTAGGTTGTGTCTGAGATGGAGGTCTCAATGATCGGAATTTGGTTAGCTATGAAGATTCTAGATTTTAGCTGGAAGACTTGAGATTTATAGTTCTGTGAGATATAATTTTGGATCAGATTATTTCTATTATTATTTTTCGATTTGAAATGAGTCTTTTCATTTTTGAAATTTCCAGATTCATTTTTGCCAGTTTCTTGCCAGTAGCTTCACACTGTCCTAGAAAAATCTAACCCCTTCTCTTGTTTTCCTATAAAATGAAAATGAATTCGATACATAATTAAATTGGAATATTATGTTTTTGGCGGGCTAATTGAAGCACTTGTAATTTGGGTTTTGGTGATGTGTTTTTCCTCCCAAACATCATCGTCACTTTGCATATTTTTAATTTGGAGAAAGTTCGAAGATTAGCTTCATTTTTTCCACAACGCACGGTGTGAAACGAAAGTTTTGTGTTTCGAATCAATCTTGTTGAGATTACATTTTTGACAACAAATTCAAGATGTTTCTTTTTATATTTGTTCCTCTTTTCTTCTCGTGTGTGTGTGTGTGTTCAAAAAGCTTGATCTAATTGACACACTTCATGAGAAGTGTTCCTTAAGAAATTCAAAATAAATGATGTAAAAAAAAGTTGAATTCTTTGAGACATCAATCAATGTTATATTATTTTGAATGGAAAAGTATAACTTTTTAACAAAGTACAATAGACATCAAATCTGACGCTAAGAGTTCAAATAAACAACATTCCGAAGGCCAGATTTTATCGCCATAAACTTTTTTTTTACATCAATTCGAAAATGCCATCCTGCTGTGATCTAAAGGTAAAATTGCAAAAAATATGGTTAATTTATCTGTCAAATAAACTGATATATGCAAATTTTTGCTGTGAAATGACATTCTTTCTGTTTCTTCATAAAAAAAATTGTGAAAAAAATTGTGGACTTGTTTTTCCCCTGTCTTTCACAAGGGAATTCCCCAATTGTTTTTTTGCCCCAAAAAATGTGTCGGTTGAGTAAACAATCTTGCTGTGAAACCTGAAAAAACGTACTGTATCTATATGTCCTTAGCTTTGGACAATTTTTGAAAAAAAATCAATTGATAAACTAGAAAACAAAGATTACTACGATTGTATTTTATTTACAAAAAATAAAATGTACATTGATCAAGTTTTAACGAAAAAAAATCCCTGTGCCATTCATATGTTTTGTTTCTTTGATAATGCCAAAAACTTCTTAAGAAACAAGATTAGAAGAAGCAAAAAAATCACACAAAAAAAGATGAAAAACAATACTAATATGAATATTCGACCTTATGAAATAAAAAAAAACAAAAGGTTATATTACACTAAAATCGGCATTTTTCATCTTGTTAGGTAAAGCTATGTAGCTTCAGAAAAAAAACAATAAAAAATGAATAAATAAATTATAAATAACTTCCTTGTCACGTTTAGAAGAAAGGTTAGCTAGTTTTTTTTCTGCTACGTGTTTTTTGATGCGATGAATGAATTAGAGGATATTGTTATACAGTTCATATCTGGAGGCGAAATTGTTACAGCATATTTTTTGATAGATCGGATTAAACTTTTTTGGATTTGTAGAGGAAAAAAGTTTGTTTGAAAGGAACTTTTTTTTTGATGAATGAATATGAATGAGAAGATGTTTAGAACTTGAAATGTTCTAGATTTTTGTATGGAAAAAATTGATTTCACATTGATTTCTGAATACATTCATCTAGAAAAAATGTATTTTGAACTAAACTATTGGTTCAACTAACAATAATCGTTAAAGATGCCAAAACTTGAGTTTCTACAATTTTCCAAAAAGATTTATCATTTTATTCATGTTATGGACTGTATAATCTTCAAAATTGTTTCATCTCTCTCAAAACAACAAATTACGCAACAAAAATCCTCCAAACACTTTCACTATAATTCCATTCGGCAACTTTGTAGTTTTCTTCAACAAAAATCCATATTAATCATAAATAAGCAAAAACGATTTGTTCACGCCTAATTTCCTTAGTCAAACGTATTGCATTGCATTCATCGGAAATCCTGTTGTATTTTTTTATTATTCCGAAAAAAAAACGTGATCAGAATATTCCTTCTTCCCAAGTAAACATGGAAAATGAAAATAAATGACTCATTAATTTGTCGACAGTTAGTTCTTTTTTTGTAATAATTCCTCATTAATGCAGTAAAATGATTATACAAAATTTCACAAAGACCTCCTAATGAGAAAGAAAACAAAACGGAAGGAAGGAAGTTAGGTTTGTTATCACAGATAACATAACAAAAAAACAGAAACCCCCTATCGAGCTAAAGCAACAAGAAGCAAAGCAAAATCTGAAACGCCACGACCTTGGCATTTCTCTAAATCTCTTCATCTCTCACACTATTTCTCAAATTTGTTGTCTATTGCATATGTTTACTGTACACTGTCTTGTTGTCTCTCACCTTTTGCCAAATCGCCCGCCTACCTTCGCTATAAAAAGGCCCGCCTCAGGCAGTTGAAAAGCAGGTGGTGGGCATTCCACATTGAATACGGTAGCTTTTTCTGGTTTTTTTTTCTATTTTGTCTATTTCTTCTTATTTTTTACAATATTTTTTTGGGTTGATCATCACTGTAGCTTGTTTTTTTCTCAACGCTACTTTTATATTTTTGTTATCGCTGTTTTTTACTTTAGTATTTTGAACTTGAAAAAAAACAGTTTTGATTTTCTAGAGATGGTTGACGAGAAACAACTCGAGCTCGAAGCTCACTCTCTTCGCCGCGTCGCATTCTTCGGAGTCGCCGTTTCAACTGTCGCCACTTTGGTGTGCGTTTTGTCGGTGCCAATGTTGTACAACTACATGCAACATATGCAATCCGTTATGCAATCCGAAGTTGATTTCTGTCGCTCACGATCAGGAAACATCTGGAGAGAAGTTACTCGCACCCAAGTTTTGGCTAAGGTTACCGGAGGAGCTTTGAGATCCCGCCGTCAAGCTGGATACGAATCAGCTGGAGTTGAAGGAGGATTCTCTCAACAACAAGGAGGATGTTGCGGATGCGGAGTTTCAGCCGCTGGACCACCAGGAGCCCCAGGACCAGACGGAGAAGATGGATCTGATGGACAACCAGGAGCACCAGGAAACGATGGACCAGACGGACCAGCCGCCACTCCAGCCCCACAACACGAATTCTGCTTCGACTGCCCAGCCGGACCACCAGGACCAGCCGGACCAGCTGGACCAAAGGGACCATCAGGAAACCCAGGAGGTGACGGACAACCAGGAGCCCCAGGAAACGCCGGAGGATCAGGAGCCCCAGGAGCCCCAGGAAACGCCGGATCAGACGGACAACCAGGAAACGCCGGAGCTCCAGGAGCCCCAGGAAAGGTCGTCGAAGTTCCAGGCCCAGCCGGAGCCCCAGGAGCACCAGGACCAGACGGACCAGCCGGACCAGCCGGAGCTCCAGGAGCCCCAGGACAACCAGGAGGTCAAGGACCACAAGGACCAGCCGGAGACAACGGAGCCCCAGGAGCCCCAGGACAACCAGGAGGCAACGGAAACAACGGACCAGACGGAGAGACTGGACAACCAGGAGGTTGCGATCACTGCCCACCACCAAGAACCGCTCCAGGATATTAATTCAATTATCCACCTCCCACATTGTATCTCTCTTGTACGGATATTTTTTCGAGAAATATATAAAAATTTTATATACAAATTGTTTTCTTCTTCTTAATGTTAATATTTTCAGAAAAATAGTGTCTTCTGACCTTGTAAGCCTATGTACCTACTCAAATAGAATACATTTGCGCTTACGTAAGTGGCATTCCAGTGAAAGTGACATAAATTTTCTCATTTCATTTCATTATATTTTTAACGGGGTAGGTAGGGGGGTGTGTAATTTGGTAAAATGAAAATGTGTCGGCAAATTGAACCAGACCAAAATTATATTCTAAGCAAAACATAATACACCCATAATTACATATGGTGAAACACTTGTTCAACCTCTTCACACATTTCGTAATTCAGGAAAAATTTGTATACTTTTTTTTCTTGGAAAAAACAAAATAAAATAAAGAAAACCTGTACAAAAGTACATTGTATTTATGTTTTTTTTTCAAATTTTTTTCTAAAAAAGATAAATGGTAATCCTGTTTCGAACAGATGAAAGGCAAAACCTGACGGTTTCAATCATCATTCAAAAGAAGCAGAAAAAAAGGTTTCAATTTGAAGATTACATCGTGTACATATGCATGTATTTATCTGATGATGAATTATAGCAAGCGAGGGACAAAAAATTCAATCAAGAAAAAAGGGAATTAAAAAATAAATAAACAAAATGTTCAAGTGTTTGATGGTAAACACAATGGTAATTTTTTAGACCATTGACCTGGTGAAATACATATCAAAACATTGTCGGAACTCAATTTGTAGTTTGGCGAGGGACAGTAGAAAACGATTTTCTCGCCGATTGAATAATAGTCTTTAGCGGTTGTTGTTGTTGCACCATGATCTGGTCGACCCGGATGTCTACAGTAACCATCACCTAGAAAACATAAATTTTGTACGAAATAGTTTCTGAAACTTTTTCCTATTCAACTTACACCTTGTTTTCATCTCACTCCATTCTCCACTTGCTTGACAAATCGCAAAATCACCTCCTGTTAACATATAATTTGTTTGACATCCGAGTAAAACAATATCTCCCTTGGAGTATGACTTTTTGGGTTCGCCGATGAAATGTCCATTTTCAGGAGGTAGAATTTGTGGGCAGTTCACAACTGAAAATTTCTGTATTATAATTTGAATTTTCCAAAGTTGTTTAACTCACCATTACATTTTGGAATCTCCTGACTCCAGACTCCTTCATTAGTGCACATTAAGTTTTGCTCACCAATCAAAGTATATCTGAATTTTGAAAAAATTTAATTTTTTTCAAATCAAAATTTTGACCCACCCTTTATGACATTTGAAAATTGCAACTCCACCAGTTCTAAATGAAGTCACTGAAATCGAAGTGGTTGATCCGTTCACAAAAATAACTGGGCATTGAGCAGCTACACATTTTGGAATAGGATGACTCCAATTTGCATCTTCTAGGCAGGTGGAGATCAGATTTCCTTCGATCAAATAACCCGGAGAGCATGAAAATTGAGCAATTGTTCCGATGAATAAAGTTGCACTTGATAGATGAATTTGTAAGTTGGGAGATGTTGATAATAATGGGCAACGATTTTCTGTTAAAAAACTAATTTTACAAAGATTTTTTATTTTTAAAAGTTTACCATGGACAACAAGCTTTATAGAATTTCTAGCTCCATTGGGTAAAACACAGTGAAGCATTCCACTATCAAAAGGTTGAGCACTGGCGATTGAAACCTCAAAACCATCGATTTCTTCATATTCGGCGGTTCGAGCTTTTGTCCATTGTGTTGGATATGATCGATATGTTGAGGTAACTTTCTACAAATGTCACATGTATATTTGAATTTGTCCTAATTGTGAAAAAAAATGTTAACTCACCCACATCGGATCCGACGCCAGTTTCTCCGTCAAACAAGTGAGCAGAACATTTGAAGCTCTTGAAACTACCAATTCACCTTTTGAAGAAATTGCATGTGTTCCGTGAGACACGCTATATTTTATAGGGACCGATGACTCTTTAAAAAATAAAAATCTTTAAAACCACATGTTTTATTCAAACCTGTTGCTTGAATTGGCACACAATATGGAACAACATTACTCCACGAACCATTGTGACAAATTAATTCAGATTTTCCTTGAAGCCTCTCAATTCCAATGTTAGTACATCGAAATTGAACTTTGGCGCCACTTTGGAAATGTTGGTTGAAAACCACATTCTCTTTTTTCTGTGTGTGATAGATTACGGTATGCGAATTGATGTTCATATTCAACGTGCAAAGAGTCTCGACTAAAAAAAAATATTTTTTTCAATTAAAAATAATTTTTCATTTTTACAAACCTTTCGAACAATTCAATCGTTTTTTAAAGCTCCATTTTCCACGTCGACATTTGTGAGGAACACTTTCAGCAATATTTGTTGTGGATAAACAACCAATATATAAAGTTGTGCCATGTGCAAATTGGTGATCAGTGTTGGCGACATAATTTTCAATGTTGAATATTTTTTGATTTTTGTCTAGTGGGAATGGTGGACACATTTCTTCATTGTTTGGAGAATCCCAAACAGTTATGTTGGCGGTAACTGAAAACATACTTACAAATTCAAACCTTTTACCCAAAACTCACCACAAGAAAGTAAATTACTGACCCATTCACCATTCACACATTCAATCCCTCCAGCCTCTTCCTTATCATTGCACTGAAATTCCAAAATTGTTTCTCCCCACCTGTTCCACCCACTTACCTTAAATTGAAAAATAGTCCCATTTGGATAAGCCGATTGGAATCGATCAATATACGTTTTCTTCAATCCATGATATCGATAAATCAATGCTGGAGTCGTATCTTGTGGTGCTACACAAAACCTCGATTCATTTTCATAACAAGAAGGGTTTGGTGAAAGACTTCCTTTTGAGCAAGAAATTGTGATATTTGCACCAGTACACATTAATGTAACACTTTCACCATTTTTTATCGATTCTGCAGTTGTGTTATATTTTCCAACTACAAGTTCAGATAACACACATTCTTCTGAAAACCTATTGAAATAAAACATTCATTTTCGAAATCAAATCTCACGTGGAACACAATGTCCTAAAGGTTCTTTCATATTTCCTCGATAACACTCCAAATTTCCATTTCCCGCCAAATTAAAACCCCTCAAGCAAGCCATTTGTGCAATTGTTCCATCTTCAACAATATCATTTGATTGTAATATTTGCGATGTACCCGATTTCAAGAAAAATACATGTAAACGAACTGGAACCCGGCAAGATTCTGGAATTTTTCTATTTTAAATTTGTATTTTGACAAAAAGGGGAGTTACTTGGTATACATTCAGCAATATCTGGAAGCCATTTGCCGTTGAAGCAAGTCGATTTTCCGTCAATTTGCTCGCTGGAAAACTCGAAGCCGTCCCTGCAAATAACCTGAACACGCATACTGCTCCAATTTTTGATAATGATTTTGTACCTAGATTCTAGATGCATTTATGATTTGATTGTAAGAAAACATTGGGAGAACTTAAATAAATATATATAATCCTACGCATTTGCCAACATTTTTTGAGATTACATTTTTCTAAACAAAAAATCTACCTAACCCTGAATAACTTCCCAAATTTCTCATAACCCTACCCTTTTCAAAGCTGTCAAAACCAACCGTTATCGCATTTTCCGCATGTTGTGTCACAATTCTTTCTGCTTTTGGAACAATTGATCCGCAATTCCCCAACAACTTTCTTCCAATCTGATTTTCAGCATTCCGCCGATATCTGGAAATCTCAGCTTCACCCTCCAAAACTTCTCGCTTCTTTCGATCCCATAATGTTCCTTCATGTGGTGGATGAGTTTGTGATACACATTTTGGACTTATTTTTGGCATCCATTGACCATTCACACATGTGGCTTTTGGGGCGCCTAGAAATATAATAATAACAGTAAACAATTTCAAGATATATGCAAACCTATCAAATAATTCCCTTTGCTACATTGAAAATTGATAGTTCGACCCTCTTCAACTTTATTGATATAACTCTGAAACTCATAAGCTCCAAGAATTCCTTCAAGAAGCATTTGACCTCCAGGAAATGTGCCATAGGTTCTGCTCGGATGCTCACACCAACCTGAAAACTTATAATTGATAAAAATTCAAAAAAAACGATTTAGACAAACTTGGCAAGCATTTGAGAGGTGGTCCATCTCTTGTCCATTCGCCATACAAACATTTTATAATCCGATTATTTTGATCTGGATGATAGCCGTTTTGACATTCATATTTAGCCAATGATCCGTGAGATGATTTGGAAAATAAAATTCGAGCGTGGGCAACTCGTGGAGGCCAGTTATGACAACTCACTAGAAAATATTTTTATTGATTTTTTACAATTAAAGAAAATATATTTTCAGATTTTAGAAAAGAATTTGTGGTTTTTTTCTCAAAAATAGAGTAACCATAAAACTATTACTATTTTCAAAAGGGAAAACAGAGTGAAAAGTAAAGCGAGAGAAGAAAAACCACACACAGACACAAAAAATGTCTATCTCTTTTACGCTGTGTTTGTTGTGTGGGGGTATAGCTCAGGGGTAGAGCGCTCGCTTCGCATGTGAGAAGTCTGGGGTTCAATTCCCCATACCTCCAAATTTCTTTTTTTTTATTTTTTCAAATCAACTTACAAGGACTACAAACTGGTACGTGTGACCATGTTGAATTTTGGCAGATCAAATGTTCGTCAATATTTGCTTCGTGTTGTTTATTGCATTCCACAGTTACTTTGGAACTTGAAGCAATTAATTGCCCTTCAGATTTATCTCGAATTCTACCATTCTGAATTTGTGGAACTCTACAGGATGCTAGACATTTTGGCATTGGCGCACTCCATTGACCATCTTCCATACATTTTGCTTTGGAAGCTCCCTCGTGAGTCATTGTTTCAAGACATCTGAATTATAATTTGTTTCAGACATACATAATAAAAATGTATTACCTAAAAACTGAAACCGCTCCATAGGAAGTCTCACTGCCTTCGATATACCCATTTGGCAATGGTGGGAGCAAAGGACAACGAATCTCTTCACATCTTGGCTCATTTCCACCCCATATTCCTTCAGCTAAACAAATTCTTTGAACCTGGCCAACAAGTCGGAAACCATGATCGCAAGAATAGGAAACTATTGATTGATAGGTTAGAGAGCTTCCGACAACTTTTCCGTGGAGAGGAGATGTGGGGCGAGCACACTCGGTTGCTGCAAGTTTTGAAGGAGGTCAGTTTGAAATTTGAATGAAAACCAAAACTGCTACCTTTACAAACGGCTGGTTCACTAGTCCATTCTCCATTACTCGAACATTGTCTCGAAGTTGAACCAACAAGCAAAAAACCAGGATTGCAAGAATATCTTACATAATGTGGATATTCATAAATTTCACCTTCGCGCACACCATTTTCAATCTCTCCCGGGTCGGGGCAAGATCTTGCTGAAACAAAACAATAAACAAATTTTTAGTCAAACAATAATCCCTGAAAACCTTTGCATTTGAGTTCTGGACCAAACCATTGTGCAACATTTTGTCGATTCAATAAACATTTCGAAATTGATAAACCTTTTGTATTCAATTTATGATAACCAGGCATACAATTATAAGTCATTTCAGCGTCGATTTCATAAGATGTTGTATAAGGATCCGGGTCATGAAAAGCGTATGGAATTTCAGGTGGAGGTCCACATTTTACTAAAAAAAAAATACTTGAAAAAAACTTTGGTAAAAAATTACATTGAAGTCGACAAATTGGAGGAGAAGAGCTCCATTCTTTATTAGCTTGACATCTTCGTTGACTAGCTCCTATTAGAATATATCCTCTATCACATCCATATTCAGCATTTGAACCAAAACGTAAGTCTCCAGCTGTTCTTATGAATCCGTTTTCAATGGTTGGTAGAGGGTGACACATGGAAGCTGCAAAAATCTCTAATGGGCCTATGCAGAATAATATTTTCTATGAAAACATAAAAAACATATTTTTCTATGCTGAAAAATGTCGAAAAAACAAAATATGCAGTTTACTATTTTCGAGTGGAGACAACACGAAATTGAGAGAGTGCAGACAGACAAATTGATTTTGCGCAAAAAATACAAGAAACTATTTTTCTGCCTGCGCTCTCTCAATTTCGTGTTGTCTTCACTCGAAAATAGTAAACTGTATATTTTGTTTTTTCGACATTTTTCTGCATAGGGAAAATATGTTTTTTAATGTTTTTTTTATTACATAATATTATTTCCATATGCCTATAATTGATAATTTGAACATTTTTAAAATAAGATTTATTAGTGTTTTTCACCTGGTTTCATGAAAACCAGATGAATTTTTTCATATAAAATTTCTCTAAATTCTTTAAAATTTCATGAAATTTCCAAATATTGTAGAATTTTTGGCGCGAAAACTCTAATTTTCCTCATTTTCTCATTTCGATAGTATTTCGCAACATTTTTCCAAGAAAAAATTTCAAACTTTTCAACGACACTCCACGCGCCTCTTGTTTAGCACGACGAAAAAATTAATTCTTATTTTTTTTTCGGAAAAATCACGGTTTTCCCGAAAAAATGATGCAAATCTATGATGTCATAGTTTTTCCACTATATACATAAATTGATAATTTTTTATCAAAAAATTTGTCAACTGTTTCTAGTTTTCTACTAAATTAGTCTAGTCTAGCAATTAGCAATTTTTCTAGTTTTTTTTTAGAAATCCAGAGTATGCCACCAAAATTGCATGATATATCTGATGGAATCTTGGAGACTTTTGTGACTTGGGAAGATGTGGAAAATGAACTTAGACTTAGTTTCAAAACTGAATCGAGATTTGGTGAAAAGAAACAGGCAACTAATATCGGAGATATGAAGGTTTGTGGGATCTTTTATTTTTCATTTGAAAATTATCGTAGCTTTTTTCAGGGCTTCATGTCAAAAATTGCCCTGATCGAGCCCGATTGGCAACCAAAATCACCAAATTTGCCCGAAAAATTAGCGATAAAAATCAGCTCAAGTTTAGCATTCATAAACCTCTCGAAGTTACTCAAATTTGGTGGAGAAAATGGATTATCTGATGAGAAAATTGAAACATTCGATGAAATTTGTCAAGATTTTCATAATCGAGAATGTGAAACTTATCGATTTTTGAATGAAAATCTGAAAAATTCAAGTTTTCCAATGCTTAAAATCTATGGATCATTGAAGTTTGGACCCGAAAATCCAACAAAAAGCCTATATGATATTTGAGTATTTGGAAAATGTTAAAACTTTGCAACTTTGTGAAAATCTCGAAATCTCCGAAATTCTCCCAATTTTGAAGAATATTGCTCAATTTTCAGCATTAGGAATTCGAAAAAATGCTGAAAATCCAGAGAATCTCAAATTTGCTGGAGATTTAGATCTTTTACCACGAATTTTGAAGGATTTTGGTGATAGGAAATCGACTTATCAGAGTATTCGCCAGAATTTTCCAGAAAATCTGAAGTGTGATGTGGAAAAATTGATTGAGATTTATCAATTCTTGATGAAACCTGAACAAATTGAAAAACTTTCGGGGATTTGTGCATATTTTGGTAGGTTACCGGATGGGTTCTGTAAATTTCTAGCTCTCGAAATTTGGAGCACAAACTCTAGATTACAGTGGATTAATTTATATCATTTCAGGCTATCCTGCTCAACTTGTACATGGTGATTTATGGCCTGGAAATTTGCTTTTTTCCAAGGAATCTCCTTTGGAGCTCGGTGCAATTATCGATTTTCAAGCTGTCAGTTTTGGTTCGCCGGCTCAAGACTTAACGCGTTTATTCATATCAATTTTATCTGCCGAAAGTCGCCGCGGACAAAATCTCGATTCTTTGCTTGAATTTTTCTATGCGAATGTGACTGAAAATCTCGAAAAATCTGATCCAAAAATTAAAATACCGTACACTTTGGAACAGCTCCAAAAAAGTTATCGCTTATTTTTTCCAATGATGAGTTCGATGATTTTGCCGGGAATTTTGAGATTTTCCAATGATAAATTGAATTCGGATTTGGCGCGAGAAAAATCACGTGGAATTTTGGAGGATGTTTTAGAGATTCATCAGAGCAATTTGGAAAATTTCGCTGATTTTTTTGAATAAACTATTTTTCAAATTTTCTATTCCAAAATGTTTGGAAATTTCAAACAATTTAGAAAATCTTCTTAGAAAGTTTTGAAATATCTGGTTACTTTCGAAGTATAATTCATAATTTCCAAAAAATGTATGCTCACCTGGATTAACACAACTCAATCCACATTCCCCATCACACATACATCTTTTATGTTTTTTGCAATCATCATCAGTAACACACTCTTTTTTACAATGTTTTGGTCGTTGTAGAGCAGCAATTTCCGGACAAGACAACCCATAAATAATAGAAATTGGTAAAAATAACAAAAATAATATGAATATTCGCATTCTCTTGTAATAAATACAAGCCTTGATTTTTCTGCTTCTCTTTTTCGAAAAGAATATTTTTCACCAGCTGACACTTGCTTCTTTTCTTTGTCTTGTCTTATTGATTGATTGGAGGGCCCTGCGAAGAGTTCGCCACATTGTAATGTATGTGAGCACAAGTTTCATGCATAGAGATTAATCATAAAAATGGCTGGAAATGGAGAAAAAGTAGATTAAAGTGAAAAAAATTATTTTGAAGAAATATAAAACATCATTTTTCATAATTTTTTTTTATTTCTGCGAAAAAATTCAGAAATTAGATCACACAGTTAAAATTAAGTCACAGAATTTTTTTTTTGTATTTTGTAACAAATACTTTTTTTGTAATTTGAAAAAGAACTGAAAAACTTTCATTCAACACCTTCCTTGTTTTGATAGTGCATCTTCTCATCAAAACTTCTCACAAGTTTTGATTATCCCCTGATTTCTCACCAAAGAAGATCTATATTCTTGAATTTCTTAATGTTCAGGTTCAAAGGTGGTTTTTGATGTATAACGTATCACTCAAATATTTCAAGATTTTCCTCGCGATTTTTTGATCAAAAACAAATTAATCATTTTTTCTCATTATTCAATTTTCAATAAAATATTCCAACTTTTTTCTTCGTTTCGAATACAAAATATATTTACCGAGTAGCAATTTTTTTACTATAATCTAGTTCACATTTATTCTGTAAATAAACTTCTCCAGCTCCCAGGGCTCTCCAGTTCCCAAAAAAATATACTTTTATTGACCACTAAATCCGACTGGAATACCAAAAGTCCATCCATTTTCTATTTACATACATATTTATAGATTTCATCATCATAATTGTTTCTTCACATTCCCTCTTCTTTCCAAAACCCAACACACACACAGACAAAAAATAAAAAGACAAACATGTTCTTTTTCCTTCGCTGTCTACTCGTTCACACAACACAGACATTCGTTTTCTTTAAAATATCGGGGGGTATAGCTCAGGGGTAGAGCGCTCGCTTTGCATGCGAGAAGTCTGGGGTTCGATTCCCCATACCTCCAGTAATCTTTTTATTTTTTTTTGTTTTTCTCCTGCGCAGACTAGAGAGAAGAAAGTGCGCTCTAACGCACTGCCACAGGGTCAAGTCACGGTTCAAACAAAAAAAATAAACATTGTTGTGTTTTTTATTGCCCGCACTTTTCTTTCGTGTGTGTTTTTTCTTCTCTTTTCCTGTTTTTTCTCATTTTCTCTGTTGACCGCTATTTAAATTGAATAAATTTTTATTTTAGAATGGGTGATTCAGATGAAGATGTGATATATGGATATGATGAAGAGGAATATGGATTGGATGTGAATTTCAATGCGGCTGAATGTGCGATAGGAGTTTTGCAACAAACATCGAACAATTTGATTTATTTATTTGGCGCCGCTTTTCTTTGTCTCTTTTTGAGAAGTAAGTTTTTCTTTTTTTGTTTTTCGAAATTTTTTTTTGACTTCTCATAGAATACCTGGAACTAAAGAGCTTTGTTTTTGGTCCGCTGTTTTTCAGAACTGCCTTTTTGCTTTGAAAAATTCAATCACAATCTCCAATCACCCTATAACAACAACATTTTTTTTTAGAAATTCCACTTGTTTTCCGCGCAAATGCATATATGATCATCAGTCATTTTCTCATCTATCAATTCTCATCTGAATTTTGGGGAATTTTCCGATTCTTCAATATGGTCACATTTTCTGGAATTGTTATGGTCGGACTCAAAATCAGAGGAAATATTATTCTCTTCACACAAATTGCTATTATCATGATATTGTAAGTTTATGAAACCGTTTTGAATTTCAAAAACATTTTTGCAGCCAATTATTGCTGGGAACCGAATACATGCTAGGTGTTCGTGGAATTTTGATGCTTCACGCGATGCGAGTTATTGCGGTTGGATATGAACTTGAGAATTCAAATGGAGAGCCGTGCACTTTTTCAATTCTTGAATATTTGTATTTTCCACCGGTTTTGGTGATGGGGCCGTTTTTGACGCATCAGCAATTTGTGTCTTTTCAATATGGACAAGTTGGAGGATTTAAGGTAAGGATTTTTGAGAGAAAGATTAGCAAATGTGTCAGAAATATCTTGAAGATTGTTCGGAAATCTGGATAGAAAACTTTTGAAACTCTTTGGAAGGTTTTTATCCCAGAATCAATTTTTTTCAGCAAATTGTCAAGAACATCTCATTAGCCACTGTTTTATTGTGCGGATCTCTCACTGCTCTTTTAATTTCGTCATGTTATCTCAATATGTTGAAAGCTCCAAATGTTTGGGTTGAAGATTTCATCGTAGCTCTCTCATTCAGAACCAGCAATTATTTTGTCTGTTATCTATCGCAATGTAATCTTTTTTGAAATCTGAATTTATTGAAACAATTTTTTTCAGCCGTGATGCAGTTTCTCGGAACAGAAATCGTTGTGACAGAGTTTGGTGAAATTGAGTGGCCAAGATCAATGGCAACAATTGTCAGCTATTGGAATATTCCGATGCATATGTTTTTGCATACATGTGAGATTTATTTGAATCAAATTCAAAACAAAAATGAAACACATTTTCAGACATTTTCTCAAAAAACGTGTTCTCTACAGTTTGCTGCAATGCATTTTATACATTTGTAATCAGTTCGCTTTTACATGGTTATGATCCCCAAATTAGTATCACTTTATTGACACTTGGATTTATCACGTTTTCGGAAGCTAGATTTAGAAGAAAGTTGGCTAAACGATTTTCAATGTGTGTTAAAGCCAAGGAGTGTTATGAAGATTGTCAACATACGAATAATGGATTGGTGAGTTTTGGAACGAGTATAAAACGTTTTTTCTGCAATTGAAAAAAAATCAATTTCAAATTGTTTTCCAGATCTCAAGTCTTATCAACTTTACCTTCCGAATTTTATCATTATATCATTTGATTTTCACGGGTATGCCATTTGTCGACGAGTACGCATCAACGGGTTATCCATGGGAGCATACCTATGAGTCATACGAGAATCATAATTTTGCCAGTTTATACATATCTCTCGCCTTACTTCTTTTTTCATTCTTATTGTGAGTTTTAACATTTTCATTTATTTTTTTTATTCTTTTTGCAAAAAATCATAAAAACGTTTCATCTCATTACTACATTTTATTGTTATTTAGTTAGTTAGTTAGTGAAAAATACTTCCGGAATGGCAAAAAACAGTTGTTTATCATATCATCATAACGTTGTTCAGATGTTATGTTTTTATTTTGACATGCCAATTGTCTCTCATCAATAATAATAGTCTGAAATTTGATGAAAAGCTCAACTAACCAAAAAATGTGTAATAATTTGATAAAATAAAAGATGTGTTCTCAATTCAATTGAGTGCATTTGATTTTGTCATATCTTTCTCCACTTTGCTCATGTGCTTCTTCTTTTTTGAGCTGACTGAGATGAGCCAAACGGCAGTTGAAAAAGAAGTTGAAGAATCTATTGGTTGTAATCTTTGGGAAGGGAAAAAGACAATGAGATGAAAAAGAAATGAGAGAAGAAATTGGCGATTTTAAAAGAATCAGTGTCAATGTGCATTTTTATGCTTTGATTGAATTGTTGAATATTGAACTCATCATGTTTTTCTTCATTTGCTTTTTTTTTTAATTATATTGTTATAGGATTTTGATTTTTGTAGTTTTTTTCTGAAAATGTATGTGACATTTTTGAAAATTGAATAGAGTTTGGATGAACATAGCTTTATTGAATTTTTATACTTTGAATTATAATTTTCGAATCGGAAATTCCGATTGATTTCAAAATCAGCGGAAGTGTTTTAAAACTTAAAAGCTTAAAAGCATTTATTTTTCTAAGAAAGTGTATTTTTCAAGGATTTTTTTCCGAAACAAACATTATAATTGAAAAACTATTCTCGGATTTAATTAAAATAGTCTGGCCAGAGAATCAACTTTTTTCCTGTCTATCTAGCTTTTCTCAAAACATTTTCTAATTTTCAGGTTTTGGAAATTTATAAAAGGTTGTGTCTGTTTTATAACTCATTAATTTTTTTGAAGTTCAGAGCATTTCAAAGATGTTTATTTTTCCATGATTTATCCAGATGTTAATAATAATTCTCTCAAATTAATAATTTTGATGAACAACTTCAGTTTTTTCTATAGATCTGAAAATTTTTCATTCTTAAATTACTGATTTCTGAATCGTCGTTTCTCAATGACTCCAATTTCAGCTTTTTGCAAGTTTGTGAGAGCCCAGAATCAATATTCCATCGCCTTGAAAACCCGTGAATATGCATTTTTAATTGCAAAAATAATTTATTTTGTTCTGAATTTCTATTTATTGAAATTTTGCTTCTCTAATACGTGAAAAATCTCAAATCAGCTTTGATGTTCAATCTTTCTGAAAATACGTGATCAATTTTCAACAAACTTCCTCAACATAATGACCATAATTGCGCTCGTTATCCACAGCTCAACACAAAAAGCTCATTTTTTCTTCTGAAACAAATTTTTCTAACATAACTGTTCATTTCTCAGATCATGAGAATTTTACTATTCTCAATTCTCTTTGCATTGTGCGAATCTCAACGACTTGAAAAAGCGAGATCAGTTTGGGTAGAGCAAGGATTGGTGCGTGGAAATATTTTTGAAATTGAGGGAGTTCATATGCAAATGTTTCGTGGTATTCCATATGCTGAACCACCAATTAATGACCTGAGGTTTAAGGTGAGTAAAACTTTTTTTGGACTCATACAAACACTTCGAGTTTCTGGTGTTATTTTGCTGCACATGATGAAAAAGTCGCATAAATAAATGAGAATATGTTTCCAGAAACCTGTGAAAAAAGCTCGCTGGCATCAAGAACTATCAGCAACTGAATATGGACCACCCTGTTTACAATTTATGGATTTTCACAAAAATGATAAATTTGCCAAGGATAATATGGAAAAACAAAGTGAAGACTGTTTATATTTGAATGTTTTCAGTCCATATGTAAGTTTCCTCTAACCTTGTTCCCATTTTTTCACACTACTATTTCGCAATACCACTTTTTTTTTCTCTAACCTCTTGACACTCTCCCATCTCTCGCTCTCTTTTCGCTCGCTGCATTTTTCTCTTTTCTCCCCACTTTATATTTGAAAACACACAATGTGTATTCACTGGCCTCCTTAGCTCAGTTGGTAGAGCGTGAGACTTTTAATCTTAAGGTCAGGGGTTCGAGTCCCCTAGGTGGCTTGATTTTTTTGTAGGATAACGATGATGAATCGAAGACTTATCCGATCTTGGTTTGGATTCATGGTGGATCATTTTTAGCTGGATCTGGTGACACTGGAATTGATATCAATATTGTGGCGAAAAATTTGGTGAAAAGAGGAATTGCTTTTGTATCAATCAACTATCGGCTTGGACCATTGGGTTTTTTGAATTATCCGAATGGCGAGAAATTGGATGGAAATTTTGGAATTTGGGATATGGTTATGGCGTTGCAATGGATTCAAGCAAATATGAAACAGGTTTGAGATTTTCATAGAGATTAGAAAATATGTTAAATTGGTTTTCAGTTCAATGGAGATCCTTCAAATGTAACAATTATGGGAGAAAGTGCTGGTGGAGCTGCGTCGAGTTTGTTGGCATTGTCTCCAAAAACGCAAGGTATGAAACGACTATTGAAAAAAAAAATTATATTTTATGAAACTCAATTTCTCAGGTTTGGTTCATCGAGCGATTATCATGAGTGGTTCCTCTCTCGCCGGTTGGGCTGTTCATCGACACAGTCAACCAGCGTATGCAATTGATAACATTGTTCAATATTTAAGGTACAATTACAGAATTCGATTTTTTTCAACTTCGAATTTCTTCCAGATGTCAAAAATTCATCAGTGAATCCGATACCCGTGAAGTTGTCGGTGATGAATATCAAAATCTTATGAAAAAAGATGGAAAGGTTAAACTTTGCAATTACCAACATATGAAAATCAATTGTCTAACAGCTGATATGCAATTGGACACAAAATTAGACTGTCTTCGAAAAGAATTGAATTTCACAAATGCATTGTTCCGAAAAGCATTAGCAACTGAATTGGGTGTTTCAAAAATGGTGGTTGACGGCGATTTGATACCAAGCTCTGGTGTAACTTTGGCTGAACTTAATGCAAGAATTCCAATTATGACTGGAGTTGCCAGAAAGGAATGGGGGCATAAAAAACGTATGTTTTATTACAATGTGAACATTACTAATATATAGATTTCCAGCACTTTTCTATAACATGCATCAAAAAGGAGGATTGACTAGAAATGATGTTTCTGAACAGATTTATCGTATAATTGATAATAATTTTCATGAAACAACATCTGAAAAAATGTCAAATTCAACTGTTCAGTTATTAGCAAATGCGACACTTATCAGATATACTCCTTATTTATCAGAACCTTCGAAGGGATTCAATGCAAATCAAGTTGTTGGAGCACTTCAGAAAATTGAATCTGATATTGAATTTGTTGCGCCATGTCAAAGAGAAATTGAAGCATATGCGGAGAGAGGTGTCAAAGTTTTTGCGTATTCGTTTGATTATGTTCCGATGGATACTATTTATGAGACTGTAAGTGAGGTCTTACCCCTACGTTTTTCAGCTTCAAAGAATTTTATCTCATTCCCCCCTAGTGAAGCCCAATCTTTTTGTATGTCCAAAGTTTATAACACAACATCCTAATCTTCTCTAATTAAATTTTTGACTAATTCCAGGAGCGCAAAGTTTTTGCTCTTTTCGGTGACAAAGCTGTAGAGATCAAAAGAACGGAAAAGGAGAAAAACGGTAACATATTTTCCCCCTAATTTAATCAAAAAATTTTTTTGCAGATTTGAAAGAAGCATTCCACGGCCTTGATCATGCTTTCATTTTCACAAAAGGTTATACAAGTAATTTTGAAATTGAGCCATATAGCAAAAAAGACGAGAGAATGTCTCAACTTTTATGCTCGATGATAACGAATTTTGTGAAAACTGGAGATCCATCAACTCAACGATTTTCTTGGCCAGCATATACTGTGAATTCTACGCAACATGTTTCAATTAATATTCCTCCGAAATTGGTTGATGGAGATATTCACTGGCCTGATGCAAATTTCTGGAATGTTGAGGCTGAATTGATTAGTAAATATATTGCGATTGATGCTGAAACGGCTGTAAATCCTGATGCTGATTTAACAAATGAGGAAAGAGTTCAGGTAATTTTGTTATTTCAGAAGAAAAGAAAATCTGAATAATATTTGAAAAATTTGTTTCAGCTCTCTGCTTATCGTCGATCCTGGTATGCTCTTTGGGTAATTGTCATCGTTCTCTCACTTATTCTTTGGTCATTTGTTGGCTACTGTACTTATCACAAATCGAAAAGTGCTCGAAACAAACCATACGATAATATTCTACTCCCAAAATAATGTTATGCGCCAATGATTATGTATCAATGATTATTTTTATAACCCAATTCAAAGCATTCCTTCTCTTTTTCCTCAATGGAAAAAAAATAACATAACATAACATTTTTGCTTTTTGTCTGTTGTATAAAGTTTGATCATACCGGTTGATATATTTCTTGTTTCATATAATTATTTATAGAGACAGGGTATAATTTCGAGACATTGAAATTGTAAGAGTATATTCCTATTCTTAGAAAAAAAAAGACAATGATATTTTTTGTATGTAGTTTTGATAATCCCAAGTTCTCGAACTTTCGTTAATCTTGTTTTAGAAAAAAAACTGGAAGAGTTTTTTTGCAAAAAAATTTTTTAGTTTGTCTTATCATCACAGAGATTTGAATCACACATAGATTTTTATGATATTTTGGTGAGTCATCTGGAAAATCATCTCTTTGGATCATTTTTCTGTTCTATTTCTTAGGAAAATGACAATTTTTGTTTCGATTCCCTTTTTTAAAGATTTTTTTTGAAACTTTTTTTCTCAAAGTTTTCAGTTTTTTGGGTAGATCACAAGCATTACTCTCTGACTCTCTCAAATTTCCGTTGAAGACAAATCTCTAATTTTTTTCTGCAAAAAAATATTTGGGTTCTGATTTTTGTGATTCAAACTTTTCCATATAAATTTCCTGTTGTGGTTTTTTCATGTTTCCGTTTTTCTCAATTTTTTTTGGAAAAATTTGTTGTTTATTTTTTTTCGAGTATTTTTTTATTGCTCATTATAAACATTCTCTCATCAAACCAATTTCTGATGTTTTCACACTGATTTCCTGTGTTCTTAAAAGCTCAGTTTCTGATATCAGCTTATCTTGGAAGCCACACGTTTTATTATCAAACTAACTTTAATCTCCGGAAATTTCGCGAAAGGTTGCTCTAAAAATAAATGATAAGATTATTCAGCAGACTGAGATTAGTTTTATCTGACGTATAAAAGTTTAATTCAATTTTCCGTTTGATATTTGATTATTTTTTGAGCTCAATCTTGATTTAATGTAATTTTTTAAGACTCTGGAAATTAGGTGTTTTTTTTTGAATTCCAATAGTCATATTTTGAATCAATTGAAAAATAAAAATTTGAGCCAATTTCATCGATTTTCAAAATTTTAGAGTTTTGTTAACCTGGTTTTCGGCCGGTTCAAATTTTTGCATAAATTCAAATTTTCGATCTTAACTTGCAGGTGCTTTTTTGCTAATAAAAATGGAGAAAGCTCTTTTTCAACTCGCCAAAAAAGAAGGAAATAATACAAATTGCACATATTTGTCATTATTAATTTATTTAGATCTTCAAAAGAGATGAAACATTTTGTGCTTTTCCGATCTTTCTTTTTCATGAAAAAATATTGCTTGCGGTTTGTTTAAATAGGAAGAAATAGAAAAAAGAAAAACCAATAACGAAATGGGTTTCATTTGAATAGTGAATTCAAATTTTGACTAGTAAAATTTCGAAAAAAAATCAAGGCAAGTTGAATTCTTCTAATAGACAAAGTTTTCCTTGTAATTTGAGATTTGTTGGTGAAAATTTTCAAATCATGTCCGCCACAAGATGCCAAACAACTATTATTGGTTATGTATTTTTGCTTCATCTTTTAATGCACTCTCGCCCCCGGTTTCACTCTTTTTTTTGGCTTTTCTCAATTTCATTCTTCTACCATACATTTGTCTTGTCTTTGGTTGAAATTTGAGATTCTTCTCGATGCCTTTTTTGTTTTTCATGAATGTCATAATTTTAGCGAGATTATGGTAGTTTTTTTCTTATATGAGATGTCGGAAAAACTTTTTTTTATTTTCTTCTTCTTTTCATTATTTTTTATAATTTTATTCGTTGTTGTTTTTTTTCGAAAAATTCTAGTAATTTCTTTTTTCCTTGGAGAATTTTTTAATGAATGACATTTTGTATGAAAAAAATGATTTTTTTTGGAAAAAGTGGGCAGATAATTTGCAGATTTTTTGTTGTGGGAGAATCTTTGATTTTTCTCTGAAACACTTTTTGCCCTAGGGTTTTCATATGGAAACTTTTCAAATTAATAAAATAGTTCTTATGAATTTTATGAGGTAACTTTTTTGGGGGAGGGGAAAGATCTTGGAGTGTTCCTCCAAATAAATTCGAATGAACTTTTGGTTTTTTTCAAATAGTTTTGATATTAGATGTCTAAATAGCGTCATTATTTCAAAAATTTGGAAGAAGCTATATCCAGCTACTTCAATGGGAGTAAATTTTTTAAATGAAAAATCTAGAAAATCAATTTTCTATCGAGGTTTCCGTAATTATCTGTAATTCTGAATGACGTCCCTTTTGAATTTTTTGAAATCATTCAAGCTACAGCCACACACGAATCAAATAATTTTTGAACATTCAAAAAGCTTTCTTATGAAGCTCATAATTTTCCCATTATTAATCTGAATTCGAATTCCCAGCTGAAATTACCTCTAATAATGAGAAATCTGCAATTTTCCGACGTAATCTGATTTTCAGTATGCATAAATCTTTGATATCACAATAATTTTTGTTCGACTGAAAATTTCCCATTATTAGTCTAGGCTTTTTCGAAATAATTGTTTTCAAATTATGTATTGAGAATTTATTAGAACCAGAAATCAAGTTAAAAAATTTCGAATTTCGTGATTTTCCCAATTAAAAAAATTGCGGAACTAGAGAAATGCGGATTTTTCCACATATTTTTAAAAGATTCGCGTATTTTCAATGATTCAAACACAAAAATTTAAAATTCTTGGAAAAAAAACCGGGACAACCGTTTCCAACGAATAAAAATTCAAATTAATTTTTTGAACTTTTTTGCACAATAATCAGAAAACATCCCTGATTTTTGAAAATTCTGGATGTACAATTTGTTTTCAATGAGTTTTGAACCAGACAAAAAAAACACATATCGAATTTTTCTGTTTGGTTCCTACCTCCCAAGGTAGCTGTGATATTTGATACTTTAGGTCAATTCCATTGAATGTCAAACAATTTTTTTCAATTTCGAAAATTTTTTAATCCTTTTCAAGAAAACAAAAAAACCATGCCTAAAAAAATCTTCAAAAAAAGGTGATCTACCACCTGCTCAAAGTTATTTAATCAAACAATTTTCCTCATATTTATTTTTTTTTCAGCTGTCTGATTTCATTTTTCTTATTTTGTTGTTTTCCCCCACAATTTATTTTTTTTTTCTGAAAAAAACACCACACATATATGAATCAGAGTAATCATCCAAACCTTCCAATTATAATTCATTTCTGGTAAGAAATTAGTTTTTCATTCATTCATTTATTTTTTTCCTTCTTACTATTTTTTATTCATTTTTTTCTGTTCATTTATTTCTCATGACACACAACAAACACAAAAAAGCTTGAAATGCAACCTTCTACTCATTTTCTTCTTTAGTTCTTCTGATCCACTCGAAGGCCACCTTTTTTCAGTCTCATATGACCCGACCACACTCTATTATACACCCTCCGGCAACGTTTTTCTGCTTCTTTATTCACCACACCAACAAAATTCTACCAAGATCCAGAAATTTATTAGTTTTTTTTTTGCTTATTGGTGTTTGTATTTGTATAGCTCGTTTTTTTGAACTTTACAGATTTTTGCGGAAAAGTTCTTTCCGAAGAAAAAAGTGATTTTTTGTAGTCTATATCTTGAAAAATAGGCGGAGCTTATTGTGAACATTTTGAAAGTGTTGGAAAATAGTACTATTCAAAAGATCTACATCGTTTTTAAAGAATATCTTCATAGGTGGTCTTAGATCTTTGTGGGTGGTCTTTGACTTTTATTTACTCCTTGAATTTCGAGTTGTGTCTTTAGATAGAAATATACATTTCTTATTTTTTTTGTCTGGATTCTACAATCAAATTATGTGTGACTAAACTTAAGATATGAGTTAGGTTGTGAATTCAATTTTCTTGAATTTTATGATATGAAAGCTATAATCAAATATACTTTCCAAAAAACTATTTAACCATAGGTCTGTGATATGTTTCAGATTTTCTGTAATGAATCACACTTGCAAACAATCACTCGAGGAAAAAGCACAAAAAAAACTTTTTTTGGAATTTGAGCTGCCAGGTGTAAATATTGAGTTATAATTTCGAAATTCTGAACTCTGTATTGGTTTCGGGAGACTTTTTGCAATTTCAAGTAATTTTGGATTATCGCGAGTCCACAGAAAATAATGTTATTTCTCAACTTTGCAGATTAGTTGTGACGTGAAACAGTGATCTAGAATATATCCTTTTGATTTTATTTCAGAAACTTCCTGACTATTTGTATTTGTGCTAGACTAAGCAATTTTTGCGATTTTCAGATAAGCGAATGTTGATTCACTTCGCATTTATACAATATTTCAAAAAATCAAAATATTATAGCCCACATTATTCTACACCTCCACCTGGGAAATCAAATTTTCCAAAAATTAATTTTGCTCGTGATCAAAACAATGACTTAACAATTCATTCATTTATTTTTCATAAATATTAATGAAAAAACGAACCTCTAGAGCTTTGCAAAAGAAAACATTGATCTCAACCTCATTCAGAGTTCAGAACATCAAAAGAATATTTCTCATAATTTAATCCCATTTTCTTTAAAAATTCAAAACTCCGCCCATATTTCATTCACAATGATTATCATTTCAGATATTTTTGAAATGAACTTGGATATTTCCAAGTATTTGCAAATCCAAATAGTGACGCATAGAAACATAATAGTTCTATGCCAGTAACTTGACCTGAAGTTTGTTGCACGTGACATTATTTTTTTTTCCTTTCCTGAAAAAAATTTTCGCATGAATATGTGAAGAAAACACGAGACTAATTAATTATAAAAGCTCCGTTTTTTTAATGAAACATGTCCCAATTATTGCCTAGTGTCATGAGATTTTTCTAATTTGCAGTGAAATTTTTACTAATTTTTTGAAAGTACTTTTTAAAACTCTAAAAATTGAGTTTTTGATAATTAGAACAAAAACTTAACTCGTTTTTCTGCTGAAAATTTATGCTAGCAATTTGGGTGAGTAAAATGCTCGAAAAATCCAATTTGCAACATCTCTTATCTTCGCGCAATTTTTCTTCTATTTTAATTTCACCATTTTCACGTTTTCATCCTCATTTCCTCTCTTTTCCTCGTTCCTTTTTGAGTTTTATTTTATGTTTTTTCACATTTATGTTGGAGCAAAAAGAAATCAAACCTTTTTTTGACGTCAGTCTCCATAATTAATTTACTCGATGTTCTACACATTTTGCAATCAATTTATATGTAAAGTGTTTTTTTTTCAGATTGAAAAGAAAACTGAAAAATAATAAAGAGAAGAGAAAGAAATCTTTAAAAATCTGTAATCATGTTGGCCTATATCGAAGCATTTTGCGAATGGACATTTCCAATTCAAGCAGCTTTGGGAATAGGCGGAAATTCTATAACACTAATCGTACTGTTGAGCAGAAACATGAGAAGCAGGTTGGCTAAATTTCAAATTTTAGTTTAAAAATTTGCCTGATTGTGAATTATTTTCAGAACAAACACTATGCTTGCGATGGCTGCAATGTGCGATATTCTATACTTGATTTTTATGTGTCCACTTCAGTTGAGTCGATGGCCGAGTGCTATTTTTGTTCCTTGTACAGGTAATTTTTGAAATTCACAGCTTCCCAAAAATAATGTTTTCGTTAAGATTTGCAAGGGCAGCTCCGCAAATGTTTCTCACACTTTGCTCATTTCTACGTGGAGAACAAAACGCATTTTACATTTCTCGTCAACTGGTTTTCTGCCGCAAGCACATGGTGAGAATAAAACGACATTTTTTAGAATCTGTGTGATGAGTTTTGAACAAAAATAAAATATAAATTATTCCAATAAAATTCACGAACGCTCTCATCTGAATTCCTCACGTACAGAAATGATTTCTGTTCACAAAAATATGTCCTAATTTTTTTTTTGCAAAAAAGGAAGTATTTTATAAAATTCTGCAAATTCGATAGTAAACAATGATGTTTTATGTGAGAACTTTTATTAATTAGAGAATTTATGAATTCTCGAAGGGTTTTGTGATTGAACGTCAGAAGGAATTGGAAAAAAACCAGTGAAATTGTTGATTTTTCAATTGTTAACTTCATTTTTTTTCGGAAAAAAAAACTGAAAAAAAATCCAATTTCTTACATTCAGGACCACCACAATGGTACTTGAAGAAATATTTGACTGGATCAAACATTAAAAATGTTTGTTTTTTTAACCTAAATTTTTGAACCAACCCAGTGAATAGTTTTCTGATTTAATCAAATGTTTGGCTAGACAAAATGTTTCTTGTTAAAAAATCACACAAACCAATTTTTCCAGGTTAATCGTCGTTGTCTCATTCGATAGATTATGGGCAATCAAAGCACCATTTTTTGCTAGATCCAATTCGTAAGTTCAAAACAAAACACCCATATTTGCCTAAAAATTAAAGTCAATGTAAACAAACATGTTTATTTTCCAGAGGATGCACCAGAAAAGAATGCATAATTATCCCGCTCATTTTTCTTTTCACCGGTGGAATCAGCTTTCATATGAACTTTTCGTTTGGAGTTTCCAGTAATTCAACAGTATGTTTTTTTCTGGAAATGAAAATATAGGTTTTCCATATTTATTTCACAAAATTTTCAGGGCCCATCAACGATTGTTTCTACACAAAAACCTGTGTTTATTCATGTGTTAACTATTTTAAATTTGGTTATGCATATTTTAATCCCAATGTTTTTATTGATCTCTCTCAATTCTTGCTTGATATATTATCTGAAAAATCGTAGAACTGTAAGTTGATTTTTATTTCCCAATCAGCAAACAACCACATTTCTGAAAAAACAATATCACAAATTTCAGATCTTTGAGCCAAAAAGAAGTAGAGGATCAAGAAACTCAAATGATTTGCCAGCTCCACTTTTGAATGATAATAATGGGAATACGGATCGAAGTGATGTTGCCAGACATCATTCAGCAAATAGTGGAATCTGGTTCCGTCATGTTGGAAAAGCTGAGAGACACGTTACAGTTACAGTCACAGCTATTGTCACGTGTTATATTATCTCACACATTCCATCAGCCGGGATCTATGCCTATATGTAAGTTCTGGTTCGAAAATTTCAGAAAATAGATCTTGACCGACATTATATTTGAAAACGGAACCTCATTCATATTTTAGTATGAACTCTTCCTTAAAAAAACTTTTTTTTTTGAAAAAAAATCAGGTGACATTGAAAAAAAAAGATATCCGTGTGAAAAAATCAGAAAATATAACTCGAATGTAGTCTCTCTAGGAGCCAAGTCAAAAGAGCTAATTTTCAGGTATCTTTGGAGATATGACACATTTTACCAAGAAGGTTGGATGTATACAATGGTCGCTGTCTCAACTGCAGTTGTCACGTTCAGCAAAGTTGCCAATTTTCTACTTTTCTGTATGAGCAGGTATTTTTCACCAAGTTTTTTTCCAGAATGTTTCAAAATCTCATATTTTTCCAGCAAACACTTTCGTCTTGAAATGGAGAGAAAAATTTGTTATTTCTGTCGCAAACATCAAGAGGTGATTAGTTTCAAAGATAGTGCAAATCAGCATCGCACAAGGTATGTGCATTCGATATGATGAGCAAAACTACTATCCAATGTTTCCTATATATTTTCTTTCATTTACAAATCTCTTTATTATACATACATATATCTTATATCTGGTTTAGATCGTTACAACTCAATGTGATCGCTGATTCAACAAACAATAATGTTTCGGAATAATAAATTTGCGTAGTGTTTTTTTCTTTTTCAATCTTTCAAAAATAATTTAGTCAAAAAAAAAAGAAAAAGAAAAAATAGCAAATCGACTTTACGGTTTTTTCTGTTCTCGTGTTTTGTGTGTACTTTTTTTTTGAATATTTTTTCATTTTATTTTGCAAAAACATATCTATTTTGAGATCTCTTATTTTTGATTGCGTTGTGAATAAAGATTCTGATAAAATTTCCAAAAAGTGTTCCAAAAGCCTATCAGATTTTCAGGATATTTTTTTAGAGACCTTCGGCAAAAAAAGTTTATATTTGATATCTGATAAATTCAGATTCTCGGAGATGAAGTTTTGAGGCTCTGAAGCAGTGTACCTTTATAAAATTAACGAAATCCGAGTTCCCAAAAAAAACTTTGATGTTTTTTGAAAAATTGGAATGTTGGGTTTTCTTATTTTTTAGTAGAAAAATAATAACCGAAAAAAAAAACATTGCGAGCCAAAAAAATCAAAAGAGAAACAAAGAAAGGGATATTTTTGAGAGATTATCGATTTTTCCCCCCAACCTTTTCTCTTTATTTATTTATTTATCTTCGAAAAATGGATCTAGACAATATTCACCACACACATTGCTCTTATTGTATAAACTCGTCGTGTGAAAATGAAATCTGTATTATTGAAAAATGTCAATTTTGTCATATTCGGTTGCATCATTGTAAAATCGAAGAACATGTTGCAGAGATTTGTCGGAAGGTAACATTTTTTTCTTCTTGACAAAAATCTAAACTGCATATTTTTCCAGGTAACCGTAAAATGTTTGAACAATCAATTTGGTTGTGATAAATTGCTATGTCGAGATAAAATGTCATGTCATTTAGAAATATGCCCAGCAAGTATTGTTGTTTGTACAAGGTATAATTACAGGGTGCGCGCGAAATATGTGTGCATGCGAAAATTTCACATACAGTTTTAGTAATATTGGCACACGTAGTAAATTTGAGTATGGATTGTTCAAAACAAGTCACAAGTATCCGAGAAACACCATTTACAAGAATTCAAGTCAATCTCTTCACACAGCGAAAAAAAATTATTTTTTTGTACACAAAAAATTCGTTGCGGAAATTCAAAAAAAAAATAGGCGGAGTTTTCCACGTGCAACCCCTGGCAGCGTCTTTCTGCAATATTATTGCATGTGCGCACGGTTTTTGTGTGTTCTCCCTTTCTGTTTTTTCTTTTTTTCCTTTGTGTGTGCAAACACTTTCTGTTTTGCGCACCGTACCACACGGAAACAGAAAAAATAATTTTTTTTCGCTGTGCTTCACTTAAAATAGAATCCGGTTTGTATGAAGTCAGAAGAGAATTTGTGAAAATGAGAAAATAAGAACGCGACTCTTCCTATTTTTCGGATAATGATTTTGACCAATTAGAACTCGAGTTTCGTAAAAGTTATTTAAATATGATTTTGTAGGATGTCTTTAGACATCATTGGCTTACTTTATTTAAATTCATAGAGTTCATTATATCGTTTTAAGAACGAGCAGGCCTACAACAAAATTCCTCTCGAGGAATCGGCGAAATCTGAATTCAATCTGAGAAACATGCTCTAGAGCACTTAAAAGTCAATAATTCATCGTGATTATGACTGACTTATGATAATATGTTCATATTACTGCAGTTTGATAGAAATATTAGTTATACAAACATTACTTTCGACAATAATTGATTTTTGTCTCTTTTTGGGAAATTTTTTTGAAAACTTCGCTTTTGTAGGTTGCACTAAACACCATTTTCAGAAAGTTTTGTGGAACCAGATATGGATTTCTGTTATGAACACTATTAGGGAAGGTAAAATAAAGGTTTTTTGCTGATCACTTCAATTAATAGTCAAAATTAAGACTTTGAAACAGTCTTGTGAACTTGAAAATAGCCGCGTTCATACCACACTCATTCGAAAACGATACCCCAAAGGAAATTATGTGACTTGGTCTAGGTATACAAAATCGGCTTCGGATTTTGTATTGTCATTAGTTTGGCTAATTTGAGACCAAATCTCAGCGTGATCAGACACGTACTGGCTTTATTATGACCAAAAGTTCATGCACACATATTTCGCGCGCACCCTGTAATTATGACATTTTATTAGTAAGATAACATAATCGAGAACTTTTTAGAGATAGAAGTCGTCGATGTTGTATTCAATCTTCCAAATTGGAATTGAAAAAATTGGGAAAACAATATAAGCTTAATGAGTTTCACGAAAACATGGATTTCGATATAAAATTAGCTACTCAAGATCAGAATAGCATTATCAAAAGTTACCACTCGAGTAGAAAAATGCGGGTAAAACAAAGAGATCCGCTGAATCCAGCACATCCATTGATTCCATTGCGGGAAGATGTGAGTTTTTTCATGGAAGTTTGAATACCGATGCATTTTTTAGCTTTTCGATTGCTCAGTGATAGGTCGTGAAGATGAAGACAGCAGTGAAGATGAAAAAAGAGAGAGGGTTGGTTTTTTTTTCAAAAAAAAAATAAGGAAAAAACACTTCCCTCAACGATAATTTTTGTCAGCGCGAAAGAATAAAAAAATCACGTATGATGTTTGCGAATTGTTACATGTGTCAAATCGATCCATCCGTCCAACATTTACACACACTCGGAAATGGTTCTGAACTTGAAAGACATCGAAAACGTCGAATCACAGTGCAAAGTACAGATCCTTTTCATCAAATGCACAAATTGCACGTAAGTTTTTGTTTCATTTTTCACTCTAATTAGATTTAAATCAAAAAATGTTGTTAATTAGATGGATTCCCCACAAAATAATTGTTGTGTTTTGAATAAACAAGCAACGTTCTTTTCAAAAACAACATCATTCGAAATAAAATATTTTTGAGGTCTCGATAGCAGTTGAAAATATTCCGGAATCAACAATCAAAGGAGAAAATGTCAGAGAAATCAAAAAAGGAGGAACTATTTATACAATCAAGTTAGTATCTCATTTTTTCGATAGCAAATCAAATATATTGTTCTAGGTGCTTGGAATCGGTGAAACGAAAAGAGTACGGTCAACACGCACTTTCACAACACACTGAGACTGTAGATCAGGTAGATCAACTCATTTTGAGATGTCCTAATTGGTATAAAGGTTGTGAATTTCATTCAAGTCGGATCAAACCGAAACACGGCAAAATATTGTGAGTATTTTTTATAATTTTGTAGTGCAACAAGTTTGATTTCAATTTCAGATTGCAAGTGGAAAATTCTTTAATAACCCATCAAGTTGAAAATGCTCATCTACCATTTGTTGCGAAAACATCTGAATTGAGGTTAGATAGTCTGCCACTGTGGGTTTATGAAGAATTGAGTGATTATTTACCAAGCACATCATTGTTGAATCTATCGATGGTTAGCAAGTTAGTGATATTTGGAGGAAAATAATGATACGAATTGATTTAGAAATCTTCGACAAAACATGTTTGTTGGTTTGAAAAACAGAGCATACGTTGAAGGTAGTTGGCACAAATCAGAAAAGAATGGCAATTGGAGTTATGGAAGTTTTGTGAGTTTTTTTGGTTTGATTTTGAAGTTGACTTTCAAATTTTATTTTGGTAAAAATTTGTAAAACTGGAAAGTTTTCCAGTTTTACAAATCCTTTTTTCACGTCAAAATTCATGATAAAAGTCTGAAAATAATATTATTTCATATGTTGATATATGTATGTATCTCCCCCTAATATTCAAAGTTATTTTTTTCAGAAATGGAAATTCTGTAAATCCGAGCCATCTATCCCAATGGAATCCAATATTCCATCCGATCTCTCTCAACACATCTCAACCTGCGAATTCTACGAACAAATTGAGCATACAGAACAAATGGTGCCAATTTTCCCTCGTGAACTTGAAACCCGAATTTGGCACGGTTTTTGTGATTTTCTGTCCACTCAAGCCATCAGAGATGCTGTATTCGAATTTGAGTAAAAATAAATCATTTGTTGTATAGAAAATTTATTTATTTATTGCCGGAAAAATAGGAAAATTGACTTCATTTACGTACAAATAGGGAGAAAAAATAATTGTTGTGTGAGAAAAAAACAGAAAAATAGAGGGAGTGAGAGATGGACATCGGCTCTAGTTACCTAAATGTCGGGTCAGTTATTGGCTCAATTGTAATTTGTGTTGGCGCCAAATGAGTTGTTGAATCTGAGAAAAGGATTTTATAAGAAAATGGATATGGGAAAACAGGAAAAGAACCTTTCGATGAATTCTGCAGACATTCCAATACATCTCACTTGAAAGTGGTTGTGTGCAATCTTTTTGGTCAATCTGGAACAAAATCAAATAGTTCTGGAAAGAACACAACTTGAACAAAAATAATTCTATTCAAATGAACTTCTTCCCTATTAGAAAAATAATTGTTTACCCATGTGGACGTTTGATACTATCAATGCGGCTGAATTCATGAACAAGTGCATCCATATTATTCATCGAATCCCTGTGCGGCGAAGCCTCGCTATACGGAAACACAAGCAAGTGCGGATTCTCGCGTTCCATCGACAATCTTAATTGCTCATTCCTCCATTTCTCACCGTGTGCAAGCCATTGCTCTTCGGCCGAGTTTCGCGATGTTCTGAGAAATGTATGCACATTTTATGTATTTTTAATAATGAGAAAATATTCTCCGAAATTTAGAGAACAAACCTTGGAGTGGATTTTGCCCTTGGGATCTCGAGCTCATCACTATCTGAGTCCAGAACACTTTGACAAGCTGGAGCGGTATGAATAACAGAAGTTCTGACAATTCCTTCGCCCAAATCATTCATCACATTTCGATGATAAGAAGCTTCCATAGAGTATTGAATAGCTTGAATCAAAAATGGGATACCTCGAATATTTTTCATCACTTGTTCAGTTGTATCACGCGTGATTAATTCTTCCGGTATTTGTTCGCGATGTTTTGTGAATTTTTTCGATTTCTGAAAGGCGTTTTTATTATGTCCCATGCACTTCGTATGTCAGGAAAAACAAGAAATAAAAAAAGAGTGCATTAATAATTAATTGTTCTATATTTTTCCATGCCTTACCGCTGATTGTATACACCATCCAACAGCTGAAAGAATCATTCCAACAAGTCCCAAAATAGTTAAACTTCCGGAAAGAATCAGAAGATCATTTCGATAAATTCCAACTCCCAATCCTTGGAAAAATAGAATTGAATTACTTGAAAAATGCATGAAAAACTTACCAATTGAGAAAATTAGCATGTTGACAATTGCAACGAAAACAAAAAATACTCGAAGAAGTCGTCTCATGTCTTAACTGGAATATGTTTTTTTTAGAAATGAGAACAGGAATCAAGAAGATTCGAATAAAGAAACACAAGAAATGAAAAAAAAAACTCAAAGTACATCTGACAAAAACAGAAAACTTTACGCTCTATCAATTTTTTTGAAAAAAAAAAGCGAGAGACAATAAAATGTGGAATTAATTGAAAATTCTAAAGATTAACAAGATCTCAAATAAATATTTATGTATATTATATGTGTTGCTTGAACGAACATGAAAAGATGCCGAAATATCTAAATGTTTTAGGCAAGAAATAAATTGGGGCGGAGTTTTGTGGTCGAGAAGCATAAGATGGAAGAGTAAAACGAGACAAAGTGAATATATGGAGAGTAAGAAAAAAAACGAAAAAGATTTTTTTCGAGTTTTTTAGTTTCTTTTATTATTAATAATAATAATGAGGCATTTTTGTTCTAATTCGGAAAAAAACCCCATTTTTTTACCATGAAGAAAAAAATGGAAAAAATGACGCGAGATATCTGAAAAATAAAAAAAAAGAATCAAAGTTGATCTTTAATTAAAATCTAGCGTTAAAAATAGCAAAACACAGATTAAAAATAACCTATTTATAGTAAAACTATAATTAGCATATATATATATTTCTATGAAAAAATTGGAAAATTGAGATGATTTCTGGAAAATGACCCTTCTCAAGAACTCATTAGTTGCATTTTTCTTCCTATTAGCAGAAGAAGCAGAAATACATAAATGTTTGTTTTCACAAACGTCAAAAGCATTTTTCTTCAGCCAATACGAGTTTAATTATAGAAAATTCAGGAAAAAACGTGAATTTTAGATATGGGAAAAACTATTCGATCTTTGATATTTCTTAAAAGAACAATAAAATATTCCAGACGTGTTCGTTGTTGAATACCAAAAAAGTTTTCAGCTCTCGGAAATGCATAGAAGTACGAGTTTAAGATAAAAAATGAGAGAGATCGAAAGTTGAAACAAAAAATAAGGTTGGAATCATTTGGAAGAGTGAATAAAGAAGGGAGTGAGGGAGGGAGAAAATGGACTTTTATATAAAAAAAAGAAGAATGAAAAAGGTTTCAAGAAAATTGAGGTCAAAAAGCAAATAAAATGGGTTACTCATTGCAAAGCAGATCTCTGAAACTTTGAGAGATTTTTTTCTGGAAACAAAGGTCTGTTTGGAATTCACGATCAGATTTTGAAGGAGAAGAACCAGGAAGTTTGGTGGGAAATATGAATTTGAAATTGTTTTTATCGGAAAGTTCGAATATGAAAGCATATTTTACAAATTTTTAGTTAGTTTTGAAAAAGAAAAGGACGGCCAACATTTCCGGATTGTAAAAACCCTATTTCAAAAATAGATCACAAGTTTATTTTCTGCTCTGCTCTACGTTTTGGGCTTTGAATACATCCAAGTATTGAAATTTTTTCGATTTCATAGTAGTTTCACATGTGATTTAGTATATAAGTTTTGAAAAATCATATGTTGATCTCTGTTGCGAACAAGACATATTTTTTGACGTCGTCAAATCACAAGACCTACATACGAGTGTTCCAACAAACCCAATTATACCCTAATATTATCAAATAAGAAACATACATAGCTTGCGGCAAAAATGACGAAATACATCTACACTATAAAAAAACATAGTAAGCAAAAAAAATAAGAAAAAGGAGAAAAAAGACATCAGATGTCTTCATATTCATCTTGACATACCGGATACCCATAATTGTGTGTTGTTTTTGTTGTGTCTTTTTGCCATCGTCTGTGTTGTGTGTCTTCGCATAAAAGTATCAACAAAAATTAACTGGGACGGATGGGTGGATGAAAAATTATGGAGCAAAAAACCCCAAGGAGTGGAGCAAAAAAGGTTAAAAAATTTCTCGATTACTCGATGTGCTGATGACAAAAAGTCGGGTTAAATGAAATGAGAAAAAAGTTTGTGATGGAAATGATGAGAAAAGAGATGAAGAGCAGCAAAAAAGCGACGAGTTGCGCTTCTTCTGCAAATATACTCACCAAAGCCACCAATTCTTTCAGGAGGACGAAATTTGATAGGATTCTTCACAAACCATCAAATTGCTCACGCTTTTTCTTTTTTTTTTATTTTATGGTGAATGATTTTAGATTTGTGAAAGAAAATCCAAAATTAGTGAAAAAAATAATGAAATACTCGATGATGTGATTTTTTGGTTTACATATAATAATGTACATTTTAATTGTATATACACAAACATGTGGTATAATTAATTTAGAAAAGGAATTTGAAAACAAAAAGTTCGAGAGCTCGTGATTTTTCAGAAAAAAACGAGGACATGAGTTATTTTTCAAGGGGTCTGCACTGTAATTCACAAAGGGATAATTGGCATTTAAAATTAGAAAAATACGCTGGAAGTGGATTTTCATTGACGTAGAGTCTAGCCAAGTTCGATTATCAAAATGAAGGAACTACAAACTCAGAGAAGGAAGTTCAATATAACACCAGGGATTCACATCTAAAATTTTCAGAGTCAAAACTTCGAAACGCCAAAACTTAAAATCATTTGAATTTTTTAACTGCAAATAACTACAATACTCATTTTTTTATGTGTTTTAATTATAAGTTTCAAAATTAGATATCAGAAGCTACACTGGAAATTGAAGTTTCTCATAACTCACTTCAAAAATTATCACCCCAAATCTTAATAATCAGAATTACCAAGAAAAAAGTTATTTTCAGTTTTTCTGCGAAAACAAAATATGTTTTCAATACCAAAATTTATATTTTTCAAAGAAAAATCAAAATGTATTTGATTGCCGTCATAGCTGTCTGTTTTCTAGAAAATTGTACTTTAAACTAGAAAATTTCTTCACTCAAAAAACTCTATTTCTAATATTCTTCTTTTTTGCAGACAAATATTTGACAGCCAAAAAAGTTGCAAGATATATTTTTTTTTTTCATTTTTCTGACTAAAAAGAATGTTGCGAACTTTCAAAGACAAGTTCAGGGTTTCACAAAAAATGATGGAGGAAATAATTTTTAAATACATATGGAAAATGGGTATAGTGAGTGAATAAAAAACTAAACTAATTAAATTTTCACGTTGGTCAAAGAAGATAGAAACAACTTGGTTTTATAGCTTTTGGGTTGGGGGGAAATTTGAAAAAAACTTCAAAAATAACTTCCGTTTTTCGGTTGGTGTAAAAATGATCAAAATACATGGGAAAATTTTAGAACAAAATTCAAAAACAACAAGAGGAATGTAAATGAATAACTCTTTTGTTTTCTACAAGAAACTACATTTTGAATTCTAGTTATTCACATGAAATACAAGAAAAGCAACCAAAAAATGGTTTTGTATGAAAATAAATATCGTTCAGTCGAAAAAGTTATATTCAAGGTGACCAATAAAATATAGAAGGAGATTTGTAAGTGAAAAATCTTTATCATGATAATTTTTGAACTTTAGACTCATATCAATAAAAATATTCCGCGAGAAAAATATGGTCTTCAGTAAAAAAATTCAAAAAGTTCGAAATCTGGAAGTATAGGTACCAGAAGAAGCTTGTAAAAAAGTTTTCTTCCAGGAAAAAAATTAGCAAATTAAAAAAATATTAGTTTTTGAATGATTTTTCAGCATCAGAAAATTATAAAAATTATAAAAATTCAAACTCATTCTTAAAATAAATTAATCAAAAGAAATAATTTATTTGGATCTTACAGAACCAGATTTTTGAGCCGAAAAATCATTTCGATCATTTTAACATTATGACAACAAAAAAGAATTGAGCGCGACAAAAAACAGAGAAAAATTCCAATTAATTTTAAACAAGAGAGCTGAAAAAAACACAACAACAACAACAAACGAAAATTTGCAAACATCCCATTTTTGTGTATGTAAATTGACGCCTGCCTGCCTTGGCCAGGCCCCCCAACAAAGGCTGTAAATATATTCACTCACTCCCTCACTCGTCGTACATACATTTCTAATGAAACATGAGATTTTTCTGATAATTGGATGTGTGTCTGTTTTTTTTTCTTACTTTTTATTCTTATTTACATATTTTTCACGTTTCATATTCATGTGAGAAATAATAATAATAATAATAATTATAATGAAGAATTAATAAAAAAAACATTAATAAGAATAATCAAAAAATTGTCTTGTGCTCTATGTCAAAAAATGAATACAATTTTCACATAGCAACCGTTGTAGTACTACTCATTTTGATATATATTTTTGTGTTTCATTTTTTCATTTGGAAAATATGATGGAAGATTTTGAACTTTACTCCAAAATGTTACAATCTAAAAAAATCTAGCAGATTTTCAGAACATTTTTTCTGAAAAAGCTTATCAGAATGTGAGAATTTGCAAAACAAAACTGGTTATTTCAAAAATTTGTTTCATTCTGAGTGTACACGAGTTGATATAAAATGAAAAACACCTAGAAAAATAGTATAAGCATGACAATTTTCAGAATTAAAACTGAATAATTCAGAACTTACCTGAAAATTTTAGACATCCCATATCTTATGCAGAATTTCGCAAGAAAATAAAATATTCATACTTCCCAATTATCACTATTTCGTAATCATCTCCAATTTTCTGTTCAAAACTCAAAACTCATCAGACTGTTTTAAAAAGATACTTTTATTCCAAAAAAAACAACAAAGGAAAGTGTCCTAATAATAAGAATAACTGCAACAAAACCTTATTATGAGAGGAAGTAGTAGAAATTAAACAATTACATATAAAGGTAGGTAAAAACGGAATGTAAGGCTTTTGTATGGACCATTTCGTACCACAAAAAGGCACATTTTGAGAATGAAACACATAAGAAAATATACAAAAACAGAGAAATAAGATGAAGTGAAAAAAGATAACCGCAGTTTTAAAGTGAAATAGAAAATGAATGAAGAAAAGGTGAATAGTAAAAGCATTTGGTAAATATGAGATACTGTGTAGAATAATGAAGGTGAATCTATTGTTTCTTATGGCTTCTTCTTTTGGAAGTATGGAATGAGGAAGAGCATAACTCCAGATATCTGCAAAAATTTATTTGAATTTATCACTAAAAATTTTGAAAAAAAACTTACAAATAGATTGATACCGCAGAAGATGAAAGAAAGATCATAGGTTCCACTGTAATCAGCAAAATATCCAGAGATTGGTGGTCCGAAAACAGTTCCGATTCCTTGACATAAAAGCAAGAGTCCAAAAGCGTTTGTAAGTTTATCAAGGCCAAGAAGATCGACAAGAATGACAGAAGTAAGGCAAACGTATGAAGCAATCGAGAAACCGAATGAAGCCGAATAGATTGTCAATTGAATGAAGGTTTGGAATTTGTAAGTGAAGACGGTGAGAATTCCGCAAATCTGAAAAAATGAAGGTTAGGGGTGGGATCAGATAAAAAATGCAAGCACTGAAAGATTTATAGGATTTCTTTTGAAAGTGATATAAAATCGTCAACTTACAGCCAAAGAGATATTATACATCCACAAACGATTTCTGGCAGTATCTTTTCCGAGTCCGAATGGAAGTGGGAGTTGATGATCAGCAATGACTCCGAAAACAACACGTCCAAGTGTGTTTGCCACTCCAAAAGCTCCCAATACACTAGATCCTTGTTTTTTCTCCAATCCGATTTGAGATGCGTGGAGTGGAAGGAAATAGAGAGGAGAGTTGAAGCCGACAGATGTCAAAAGATTGGAAATAGCAAAGATCAAAAAGGTTGGATCGAGAAGAAGGTCCAATGAAAGCATGTTGTTAATAGTTCTGAAATTCACAAATTAATTTTTTTCAAGCAAAAATAAATGACTTACTTCCACATATTCTTTCCTTCAGTATTTGTTGATTCACTAACATCCAAAGCTTGACTATCTTCTTGGCTTCCCTCTCTAACATCATCGAGTTTGGCGACTGAAACGGCAGCAACACTTCCAACAGTTCCGTGGCGATTGTGCAACGAGCCAGTCGATCGATATTTGTGTGGATCTTCTCGGAATTCAGCAACGTTGTGAATAGATCCGGTGTAGAAAACATCCTTTCTGTTCAAATATCCACTATCTCTTTCTCCAACAGTTCCAGCGCGTGATCGAGATTGAGATTCTAAATTGACTGACAAATGCGATGATGCAGATCGAATTTTTCCAGCCTCGTTAATTCCCGAACTCTGTGATTGTGCTTTTGGTGTATATTTTGGTGGAGCCAAAAGTTCAGCACGTTCTCCAGTTTCTTCATTCTCTTTTTTCTCAACAAGTTCAGTTTCTTTCACTTCTTCTACTTCTTCTCCATCTTCACCAATGAGAACAAATTCTAATGGAGCAAATGTTGCACCACAAATTGCGCAGAGCACCAAAACAAGCAGGAATGCGAGGAAAACACTGCGCCAGCCGAATTCTCTGATGAGGTATGTGTTGATTGGTGAGAAGAGAACGGTTCCAACTCCAGCTCCAGCCACTGCGATTCCAGTTGCCAATGAACGTTTGCTAAAATTGAAAAATATAAGGTGAATTCATAAAATTTAGAGAAATCGATAGATACTTACTGTTCAAAATACATTGTGACAATAACGATAGCTGGACAATACATCAAACCGAATCCCATGCCCATAATCACACCAACACTGATCACAATGTGCCACATTTGTGTTGCAAAATATGCAGCAAGACATCCGACAAACGAAATACCAGATCCAACAATAGTTGTTGTTCTACAACCATATTTGTTACAAATCGCTGAGGCAAGTGGTCCAGATCCCAAAGTCAAACCGGTCAATAATGAGATGATCAATGAAGACATTGTATTTGATGAGTGAAATTCCTGGAAAAAAAAAATAAATAAACAAATTGTTTGTTGACCCTTTGAGATATATAATGTTCAATGATGTGCACGTGAACAACAAATGATATATCCTGTATGTTTTTTAAACAGCTGCTATCATATGAGAATACTCTTTTGTCTGAACTTTTCTCGTTGAAAATTGATTTATTATTTTGTTCCTGCGTTTGCTGCCCTCTGCTTTTTTTTCCGTTTGCGTTGGCAAGATAGCTTGAAAGTACACTAACTAAGCAAATGCCCTTTTGATGTGATTTTTGATTTTTCCCGCGAAAAAATATATGGTATAATCATACAGGAAGACGGGGGGTTTTCCCGGTGCTATCATATTTCATAGCACTCGAAAACAACACATAATATACTAATATTTACCAAGAAACCACTTGACAACGGTCAATTGAGAACGAGTCTTATTTTTTTTTTTGAAATGTGGAAATTTTTCGAGAAATTATAGAAACTAAAGATTGAACTAAAAAAAGTGCAATAGAAGTAATTATTGGGGAACCGGTTAGAAAATTGGAATTGGGGCTACAAAATTTCGGAGTTTTTTTTTGGAAAAAAATTTTAAATTAAATTTTAAAAATTCAAAATTCATCTGATTCTCGTTATTTTCTAACACTTCTAAATTACAAACCAACCTTGATCAATTCCTCAACAAGAACTCCGAATGAATACACAAAACCATCAGCAAAAACGTGAACAAAGAACGATCCGATAACAACAATCCATCCCCAACCGCCATCGGGCGCAACTGGCACTAGTTTTCCGCCACCCGAAGAGACCGGTGCTCCAGTCATTGTCTAGTTGAGATTTCTGCAAAAAAATCATTTTTCATTAGATATATTTCTCGAAAAACAAAAACGCAAAGTAAAATGACGACATGATCTGCGCGCAAAGAAAATCGAAGACGAGAGAGAAAAATAATTAATCATTTACACACCATCTTCAGATACCATACCGCGAATAGTTTTTGTTATTCTTATGAAAAATAAAATGGGTTGGAAGACGAGAAAAATTGTGAGATGGTATCGTTAAGGAATTTTGTTAGACCCAAAATGATGGATTACCACGGGGTTAAGATCAAATGTTTATTTTATTTTATTTCGTTTCATAGAAATTCTTTGGTAAAAATGGCTTTGAATGTTGATACAATTGGCTACAAAAAGCTGGACAAATTTTGACAAGAAAAAATGAAACGGTTTGAATAGAATAGAATAGACAAATGAATGGTGTGAATGAAAAGAAAAGCCAAAAAAAAGAGGCGTGACAAGTGGGCGGAGCTAGAAAGGTTTTGACCGACGAACGGCTGGGATACGGGAGAAAAGGGCATCTTGAGGGCAGTATGAACAATTTTCTGCCTCAAAAAGCTTGTCTAAATGAAACGGAAATTTGGAGGGAATTTAAATTAGCCTAATTAAATGAGCACTAATTAACTGAAGTTTGCCAATTTTTTATACATAGTGATGACAGAGAAAAAAAAATTGAAGAAGCCCAAAAAGCTTGCACTTGAACAGAGAGAATCTAATTTTCGGGTTCAACATTGGTTTTGGACGAAAAAATTCTACTTCCCGTTTTTTAGATGGACGTGCAAGATAAAAAATGTTTTCTAGAGAAAAAACATTTTCTTGGCTCCGTTTGGAAATAAAGGAATGAAAAGTTTTTCAGATATAAATAGAGAAAACTAAAAATCTCGAAATGAAATAATTTTTCAGATGAAAACATTTCAGAGCATTTTATGAACCTTTATATTGGAATGAAGTAATTTTTTCGAAAAACGTTCAACATAAACTGAATTCTGATGATGACGTTTTTCAGTCCCGCAAAATAAACATGTTCAGACCAAAAAATAATATAAACTAACTGATATCAATTTTTGGTGATAATAAATCAATCACTAGTTCATAATAAGTGAAACGTTGATAATTTTCGGATCAAACATTATTTTTCCAATAAAATTTTTTTCATGGAAAAAATAAAAGTGGTTGGTTTCAGGAGTCATCGATTGATGAAATAAAATACGAACAGAGAAATCTCACGAGATCAGATTGTAGTTCTCGAGGACAATTGGTATCTGACATGACACACACACAAAACTTCATGAGATGAAAAAGAGATGAATGAAAAAAAAGATTTTGTGTGCTCTCTGGGTTATAAATGCTCCCCACACATTCAGGAAATTGGTATTGATTTCAATGAATATAATAAATTAAACAATCAAAAAACTCGGTGCAAAAAAATGAATTTTATCAGTTAATTTTGCTGATAAAACAATGTCAAAAATCATTATCTATTTTTTTCTCGAAAAAAGTTCCAACAAGAAAAAAAAAGAATATTAATAATTAGAATGCGCAGAATTATTATTATTATTATGATTTTTTGTTGTGGTTAGAGAAAGAGGTAGCAGAATGGAGGAAAAGAAGAAGTGTATAACAGCTGACCGAAATGACTGACCACCCGGTCATCCACCCACAATGCATAACAAATTATATTTTCTTCATCATTTTTTTTGTTCTGAAGAGAGATATCTCAAGTGTTTATGTTTATTAACAAAAATTCAGGTTCAAAATCTAATCGTCTTATTTCTCATTTTTTTATGCCTTACAATTAGAATTAGACTTTTTAATAAAAAAAAAGATAATTAAAAAATGTTACAAAAAAATGGTTATTTGCTCATTAATTGGGTGCTTGACATTTACCATACCATAACTAAACATAACATTTGCAAAAAAACCAAAAAAAAAGCCAAGCACACAAAAAAAGAAACAATTTTTGGACAATGACAGAAGGAAAACGGAAAACGAACAATTTCCCCCCTTTTGTTGCCATAGAGCGCATTTGCATTGTTGAGAAACCTGAGCCTTTCTGGCTGAAGTGAAAAACAATTTTTACTTTAAGCTTGTGGGAAAATATCTGACAGGTGATAATTTGATTTGGCAAAGAAATGGAATACGTAAGAAATGTAGTGAGGGGGGTTTGAATTGGAACAATCATAAAAACTGTCTTTTTTGCTTGACGTTTTAGTTATCAGGAAAAAAGGCCCACCTATCAAATAGAAAAAAGAATATACGAAAAAATGGGCTTTTGATTTTTTTTTAGGTTCGGGGTTGTCAAGTGATGAGTTTTGGATGAATTTTTGAACAAAGTAGCCTGAGAAATTTTCAAAATTCCACGTTTTTTTGAAAAAAGGATGTTCTGTAAAGGACTTGAAAGCGTAATGTTAGAGAAAACAAAACTAATAAGAAACCTCATAAATTCTTAAAAATCACTAGTTTTCCCAAGAAAACATATATTCTTCTGAATTATGAGAATAGATAGGTTCACAACAGTAAAGCAAGGATTAGTAAAAAAAACAACAACTCATAGGCTTCAGACTTTGTGCAAAAACAAATTCAAGAGCATAAAAATTGCCAAGTGACCCGAGAGCATTTCTTCTCTTCTTCTCATATTTTTGATCAAAACTTGACCATTGCAAACTTATATACAGGGTGACCCAAAAAAAAAAAATGAAACACATTTTTTTTTAATTTTCCTTGAGAGCAGGATTGAAAAATCAGTTTAAAAATTGCGGAATAGGTTCTATTGAGCAAAGTTTGTTTCAGTTTTTCGGGTCACCCTGTATTTTAGCAAGTTCTGATACTTATTAGAAAAACTAAAAACTCAAGAGCATGAAAATTAGCAAGTGAACCAAGAAAAATTTGTTCAGTGTATAGCGCTTTGCAGTTAAAAAAAATTATTACAAAAACCAAAAATTGGCAGAGTTCCAGCAATTGGCTGTCAGCCAAATTTTGCATCTCGCACAAGCTAAACACTTTTGGCTAAGGTCTTCAAAACTTGGGGGCTTGTCTGATTCAAAAAAAATGAACTCCTCGTCCAGACTTATCAGCAATCCCCGCCCTTTGCAAAAACATAAACCCCTAAATATACACTATTCAAACAAAATCAAACCCTTTTCTTTTCTTTTTTCCTAACCAAAAGGTATATGCACTTTGACAAAACAAAGGAAAAACTTCAAAGCGGCGTGTAAAAAAGTGCAAAATGAGATCATCGCGTGGCTGTCTAGAGTATAGAATAAACGAAAAATTTGAATAAAAAGAAAAAGGTTGAATGGCATTTCGATGTGCTGGCGAAAAAAACATAACATTTTTAGGGAAAATGAAAAATATATACATTTTTTTCAAACATCATTTGTGTATATGACATGCTTGTGCTGTGTTATTCAGGCAGGACAGGCAGGACAAAGAGTAATTTTGCAGATGGCATTTTTCCAGGAGGGAACAGACGCAAAAAATAGACAACATAAAATAAAACATCTGTCAAATTTAGACTACTTTTTATTAGAACCAAAAATTCAGACATTCATAAGTCCTGTTTACGCCTATGTATAGGGAGGAGGTTAATAAATTCCAAAATAAAACAAAAAAATTAATTATATCTTTTTTGTTTATTTATTTTGCTGTTTATTGGGTTTTCCTTTGTGTTTTGCAAACAAAATTTTATATAGATAGATTTCATCAGAAATTACACTTTTTCAAAAGGGCTCAAAAATATTTCTGAAAAGATCTTTCAGTTTTGCCGGTATTGTAATATCGGATATAGAAACGATTGTCTTGCATCAGATTTCTTTTTTTTTTTACTGAAAGATTTTCGGAAAAAATGAACAATGCTGAAGAAAAAAATGGGGGAAACAAAAAACTTATATGAAATATGTTTAACTAATTGTTGAGAATACTATGCGTTCACGAATGTGATGCAATCTCACGATACTAGCTTATTCTTTCCTTCCGTCTCTCCTTTTTTCCGTTGTGCAAAGAATATGTGTAGTGGTTGGCTTCTTGTCACACCTACGTATTTTATTCGCCAAAAAAGATTGACATTTATGTTTATGTACAAAGATAAACATTTTATGTTCGTTCTACAAGACCAAAAAAGTTAAGCAACATGGGTAAAGAACATGAAATTAATCTTCAACACAAATCAATGATCATTTATAGGAGAAGCAATAGAAGCATTTGAAGTGGTATCAAGAGCACGGAAAAATGTTGGTTTGAATGATCGAGAATGTATGTTGTCGGGCAATCGCAGTCTTGTTCGAGATTTGAGAACTGAAAAATGGGGAATGAGGACCTAATCACAAATGTAAGAAAACTGAAAGGGTGCCTTTTTATGAGATCATTAAACTTGAAGTTTGAAAACAAAACACTCTTCATCGTACTTTGAAGAACAGAATCAAAGATTTTGCTGATTCATGGTGCATTATTTTCAATTGTAATCAATTTTTGTTTCAAGAACACAGGAAATTACATCTCCCAATTTTCCCAACTCGATTTCCCACGGATAATTTGATTCTTTGTACCCAACAATTAATTACAAAAAAAAATGCTTGGAACCATTTTTTTATCTTTCTTATTTTTCCCCATAGATCAAAGTGGTTTTCAGAAGAAAAAAAAACGATAAGAAAAAGTGCATAAGATAACAAAAACCACCCTACCGTTATATTGTTGCACATGCTCTTATCACAGATGTAAAACTTTTGTGTGAACGATGCATACTGGTATAATCCGACCTAAAACCAAATGTAAATAATACATGTAAAAGGAGAATGTTGCGTTTTTTTTTTGAATTTTGGTGTGATCAAAAAAGATAAGGTAGAGAGAAACCAACTTCTAATTTTAATCCTTCAGAGAAGAATTGTGTTACACAACCATATTGCAAATCGGTCGCGAAACAATATTGCCCTTCACATGTGTCATTGGGGTTCTGAAATAAAATGTTTGAGGCAGAAGTGAAATTATCAAAATTCATGGAGTTCAAGAAAAAAATTTCAGGTTCTATTCACCCTTGCATATCTGTACTGAAAGGCATCGACTCCAACATAACATTTAACTTTTTTCACGTGTTTTTCTTTGTAAGTTGAATTTCGATCCTGGAAGTTATTGAACTTTTGTTAAGGTTGATAATTTATATTTTTTTTTAGAATTTTAGAACAAACAAACATCAGTATATGAGCAAACTTGTCCAGAATGCCCATTATTAGTATAGCAAGAATTCACAGGTAAAATGAGATTGTTCCAAGTGAAGCTGAAAAAATCTTATTTTTTAGGTGTTTTTTCGTGACCAAATTTTCAAAATATCTTCTCTTACAATTGATTAAAGTTATCAAGCACTTCATATGCATATTGACAATCTTGACTTTCATCTCCTCTCGAATACTAAATATTCTCCATTTTTTATGTTGAGTTCAATTTTAAATAATCTTACCAAGTATTTTCTACAAAATGAGGCGTTTGGACACTCATATACAAAATTAATTGCCGACCATGGATATTGAGTATATGAAGTACATGTGAAAAATGTTGGCTCTGGAGCAGTTATCAAATTGAAATTGCTTTCTTGATTGCAGTTATCAGTATCGCTAAATACTTGCTTCAAATTTGTTTAAAAAAAAAGTCACTCACTTGCAGAGACAGAGAATATCACCTTTTTGGTTTTTTGTGCATCCAGTATTGTATTTTATCGGGGATAGCATGCAATCCTGAATTATGCAGATTTATTCTGGAGGTATCGCTAGACACCAAGAATTTTGAATACCTGATAGATCACATTTTTGCCAGCCAAACCGGGATAAGTATATGCGTACATTAGAAGCATACAAAAATCACCAGTGCAGTTTGTGCATCTGAAAATTTTTGTTGTGATTCATGACAGTAGGATTTTGACATTTTGAACATGAATAACACTTGTATCTGTTTGATGTGAGGAAAATAAACTTTCGGGTTTGCTCAGAATCTCAAAAAAATTGTGATAGTGAAAATGAAGGTTCTGATAGTTGAAACGGGAATTCCATAGATTTTCGTAGTTTCAGAATATGAAAATTTAAAAAGTTCTGTTTTTTTTCAAATTCTCAATGTGTTCAAACTGATTTCGAATCTTTAGAAAAAAAATGAATTGTTTTTATTCAAGAAACCATTCCCACAAAAAAGCTCACTCTTCTCCAGCTGTAAGTCTTGTGTCACATTTGATACATTCAATCAACGCAAGAGTTCCATTGGTGAAAAAATAAACAAGTAAAATAAAAGAAACGTGGAAAAGCATATGAAATATATGCGTTAATGTTCGTTATTTTTTATAGTTATGTTATATACTAAATCACCTGTCAATGTTTCTATAGTAACTTCAAAAGGAGAAAAAACGAATTCATACAGAATTCGGCGGATTGGATTTTTGATTTACTGACTAGGGGCTGTTAGCCCCCAGTCAGTAAAGCATATAGCAGTCTTCTCATTTATTTCAGTTTCACTTTTTTCTGTGATTATTGTCACTTTTCTGTGGAAAATTCTGTGGAAACTGGAAGAGCTTACAGATTTACAAATTTTTGAACGAAAAAAAAGTTGATCAAAAAATATCATTTTCTTTAGATAATACTCAATAGATGCTCTCGAAATGAATTCCAATCATCGTTGGATGAAAAAAATCGGTCCGAGTTTTTTCAAAAAAATCGGCCCGAGTTTTTTCAAAAAAATCGGTCCGAGTTTTTTCAAAAAAATTTTTCAAAAAAAAATCAGCCCGAGTTTTTTCAAAAAAAAAAAAAAATCGGTCCGAGTTTTTTTCAAAAAAAAATCGGCCCGAGTTTTTTCAAAAAAATCGGTCCGAGTTTTTTCAAAAAAAATCGGCCCGAGTTTTTTCAAAAAAATCGGTCCGAGTTTTTTCAAAAAAAATCGGCCCGAGTTTTTTCAAAAAAATCGGTCCGAGTTTTTTCAAAAAAATCGGTCCGAGTTTTTTCAAAAAAAATCGGTCCGAGTTTTTTCAAAAAAAATCGGCCCGAGTTTTTTCAAAAAAATCGGTCCGACTTTTTTCAAAAAAAAAAATCGGCCCGAGTTTTTTCAAAAAAAATTTTCAAAAAAAAATCGGCCCGAGTTTTTTCAAAAAAATCGGTCCGAGTTTTTTCAAAAAAAATCGGCCCGAGTTTTTTCAAAAAAATCGGTCCGAGTTTTTTCAAAAAAATCGGTCCGAGTTTTTTCAAAAAAAAATCGGCCCGAGTTTTTTCAAAAAAATCGGTCCGAGTTTTTTCAAAAAAATCGGCCCGCGTTTTTTCAAAAAAATCGGTCCGAGTTTTTTCAAAAAAATCGGTCCGAGTTTTTTCAAAAAAATCGGTCCGAGTTTTTTCAAAAAAAATCGGCCCGAGTTTTTTCAAAAAAATCGGTCCGAGTTTTTTCAAAAAAAAAACGGCCCGAGTTTTTTCAAAAAAATCGGTCCGAGTTTTTTCAAAAAAAATCGGCCCGAGTTTTTTCAAAAAATTTTTCAAAAAAAAATCGGTCCGAGTTTTTTCAAAAAAATCGGCCCGAGTTTTTTCAAAAAAATCGGTCCGAGTTTTTTCAAAAAAATCGGCCCGAGTTTTTTCAAAAAAATCGGTCCGAGTTTTTTCAAAAAAATCGGCCCGAGTTTTTTCAAAAAAATCGGTCCGAGTTTTTTCAAAAAAAAATCGGCCCGAGTTTTTTCAAAAAAATCGGTCCGAGTTTTTTCAAAAAAAAATCGGCCCGAGTTTTTTCAAAAAAATCGGCCCGAGTTTTTTCAAAAAAATCGGTCCGAGTTTTTTCAAAAAAATCGGTCCGAGTTTTTTCAAAAAAATCGGCCCGAGTTTTTTCAAAAAAATCGGTCCGAGTTTTTCAAAAAATCGGCCCGAGTTTTTTCAAAAAAATCGGTCCGAGTTTTTTCAAAAAAAAATCGGCCCGAGTTTTTTCAAAAAAATCGGTCCGAGTTTTTTCAAAAAAAAAATCGGCCCGAGTTTTTTCAAAAAAATCGGTCCGAGTTTTTTCAAAAAAAAAATCGGCCCGAGTTTTTTCAAAAAAATCGGTCCGAGTTTTTTCAAAAAATTTTTCAAAAAAAAATCAGTCCGAGTTTTTTCAAAAAAAAAAATCGGCCCGCGAATTCATTGAAAATTTTAAAATTTTTGATCAAAAAATGACTCGTGGCTAAATCAGGAAGGCTTCCTAATTATGTGGATCAAATCAACGATCAATTTTTCAAAAATAAAATTTATTTAATATTTTTTGTATCAAATGTACTCGATAGGGGCTGTTAGCCCCCAAGCGGAACAATAGTTGATCAAAAAATAGCATTTTCTTTAGAACAATTCTTTTTTCTGAAAAAGGTAGACTATTTTTCTCACGTCAAAATTTTTCATCGAGCATTTCTTAGCAAATTGATGGTAATTTCTTGTGTCAGAAATGGTCAACGTGTTTTTTGTTCAGAAGGTCCATGATCGGATCCTTTTGGACGTTCGCGGTTGTATGATTTGGAAAAAAATCGGCAAAAATGGGAAAATGTCGGGGGGACCCCATTGAAAAATGCTGCTTCCATCGAGACACCACCCAATCGGGATTTTATTAAAAAGGTAGACATTTTTTGAATGTATCGGATAGAGAAAGCAGTATACAATTTCACAAAATTTTGACACACATATTCAAAGGTTATATTCAAAGGTGATATTCAAATCCATATTTTGATATGTCGAAAAATATTCTGCTTGTCAAATTTTTCATACGAAATACTACTACTGCATTGAAAATCAATTTCACATTATCCAAAACCTTTCTTTCAGATTCCCATTTTTCAAAAGTACCATGACAACAAAAATAACATCAACAAAAACTAGAACAAGTCATTCGTTGAGCGAAACAACCTTGGGCTGCCTGTCCATCTACCAAAATTGTTTATTCTCTGTTTTTTTCTGCCCACCGAAGGTTGTTTCGAAAACTTTTATGTTTTTCTTTTTTTCACTGTTTTTTTCGGTTATTTCTATTTATAAAGGGCATTGTATTTTCTAAAACCGATTCGGTTGTTTTTGTGAGAAATATCACATCTGTTCTATTCATAGTTCTTTCTTTTTTGAGGGGAAATTCATTTGAAAAATTTTTCGTTTTATTTCACAAATAGAATAATATGGAAAATTACACACAATAATTATTTCAACTGTTTTTTCTTCTTCTTCAAAAAATCCATTCTTGATTTCTATTTTTCGATCAAACATGTTCCATCGATAAAATCATCGAAAATCTATTTGACAATATTGGTAAAATTTTGAAAAAAAAATAGAATTGCAATTGTCCTACCTGTAACCTGTCTCTCTCTTGATCGAATCACTTTCCCTTTTCTTGTCTCTTTTTCATTTTTATTGACAATTTTTTTTCGAAAAACATTTTTTTTCATTATTGGATTTTTGAAGGTGAAGAATGCCGAAACAAGAGTTTGAAGTTCTTGATTACTGCGGGCCATTGGTCGTCGGATTTTTGTTCTGTATTGCACTTTTTGTTATTTCATTCTTCATTATCAACTTCTTCTGCATCACCAAGTATGATGATATAACCAAATTCGAAGTGGTGAGTTTGGGAACATAAACATTTTTTTTAATAAATTGATATGGGATTTGATTTTGTTTTGTGGATTTTTGTTGAAATCCATTGTTTCAACTGAAAATTGAATTTCACAGTTTCTATTGTTTTTGCTGTGTGATGAATGTTATCATCTAAAAATGTGCATTACTGAACGTCTGATGTGAGAAATGCTTCAATAATGAAAATTTCAGAACTTTTTATAAAATTGAATATTTTGATAAAAATAATTTCTAAAAATTGCAATGATGTTGGATAGCTTTAGAAAAAAAAAAGAAAATTTCAATGATTATTTTTAACATTCAAAATAGTTCTGCGAAATTACAGTATTTTCTGAACAATAAAAATCCATAGACTTTTTTTGAATAGTTGTTTTTCAGTTTGGTGGAAAACACAACATTCGTCTTGGACCACACTCATTGGTTGTTGTCCGTAAAGGAGGATTCATTTCCACTGAAGAACAATCTGAAAATGAATAATTTTTCAACTTTCCCTCCACTTTTGTGCTTCGTTTTCTCTCTCCTTATCTAAAAATAAATGTTTTCAGATTTCAAATAAATACACTTTATATTTCATCGTTTCTGTTCAATTTAAAACTAGTTAAAATTCTTACACTGGTATACAAAAGTCACAATAATATCATCAAATGAGAAAAAAATACTTTCAAGAAAAATTAGATGTTGCTTTTGACGGTGCGAACAGTGGCGTCAATGGCTTTGGCGACATATTCGACGTTTTTGGTGTTGAGTCCGCAAATGTTGATGCGACCATCAGACAACAAGAAGACTTGGTGTTCAGCGATGAGATGATCGACTTGGGCGGCTGCAAAATTATTTTATTTTCACATATTTTGGGGTTTTTACGTGAAACATTTTGAACAATAAAAATTCATTTTTGATTATTTTCTGAAAATATTTCAATAAATCAAACACCTTTCTTGAAAATATAAAATATTCTAAACCATTTTTTTTAATCTCAAAATTCAACTCACCAGTCAAACCAGTATAACTGAACATTCCAATTTGTTGAGTAATATGCTCCCAAGTTCCCGGTGTTTGCAATTGCTCCAAATGTGTGCGAAGTGCAGCTCTCATTTGCTTGATTCTGCTCGACATTGCTTGAATAGACTCATTCCATTGTTGATGAAGAGCTGGAGTGGTGAGAACTTTGTGGACGATTCGAGCTCCATGTGCTGGTGGATTTGACCAGTTAGCACGGATAACAAGTGACATTTGAGATTGGAAACCAGCAGAGACATTTTTGTTGTTGACGACGACTGTGAGATTTCCAACACGTTCGTCTGAAGTATTTTGTGTTCAGTTTTGAATGCTCTATGATTGGGGAGAAAACTCACTGTAAAGTCCGAAATTCTTGGCGAAAGATTGTGAAACAACCATCTCAAGACCTTGATCAACAAAATATCTGATGGCCCAAGCATCTGCTGCTGGATCTCCTGAAGCGAATCCTTGATAAGCGATATCGAAGAAAGTGAAGAGATTGCGACGTTTGATAACTTCAGCAATACGTTTCCATTGTTCTTGTGTTGGGTCCATTCCAGTTGGATTGTGAGCACATCCGTGGAGGATGATAACTGAACGGTCAGCAGCGTTTTCCAAATCAGTGATCAATTGCTCGATGTGAACTCTTTTGTTTTGATAGTCCCAGTAGGTGTAATCATGGAGACCGGTGAATCCAGCGTTTTTGAAGACAAGTTTGTGGTTTCCCCTGGAAATATTCGAAATTATAAATAACAAATTCAACAATTTTCAATTTCCAAATACTCACCAAGTTGGATTGCTGACATAGACATCTTTGAATCCAGCAACTCTGGCCAAAAATTCGGCTCCAGCACGAAGAGCACCAGTTCCAGACAAACATTGAATTCCAAAAGCCTGAAAATTCCGTTTAGAAGTCACCGCCTTTCACAAAAAACGCGTCAAATTCAAAAGGCTGACGTGTTTTTGTTAGCGCACATTGTGTTTTTCTGATTTGTATTTTACGAAATTTTTGAAAATATGTTTCTCTTACTCACTCTGTCTTCCTTGATAGCTACTGAATCTTCACCAAGAACAAGAGCAGTGGCAGCCTTGCGGAAACCTTCGTGTCCCAAAACTGGCAAATATTCATGATTCAATGTGGTGTCATTGGCGATTTCGACTTCAGTGTTATGAACAACTGGCAAAACCCATGGTTTTCCTTCCTCAGTTCGGTAAGCTGAAAATGAATTGTTTTCAGCTTTGCAATGTTTTTGAAAACTTACCTCCAATAGTCAAGTTGACCTTGTTGTCTTTCTTTTCATTCAAATACAATTGATTTTTGTGGAACACCTCGATTGGTGGAGCAACTGGAATTCCATCAAAGAACGACATTTTTGGCTGAAAAGTGGAAATTGAGAAATATGAGACATAAAATAATCGGCGCGATAGAATAAAAAGCAAAGTTTTCTTCTTCGAAAAAATGGTGTGATGAACAGTGTGAACAAAAATCAATATTTAACAACATATATGAGAAAAAAAACTCACAAGAAAAAAAAAACATGGACGGGGCAGAAAAATAGAGAAAAAGAAAAAGAAGGAGCAGAGAAAAATGCTCGTTTTTTTTGTGTTTCGACCAACAAATGTGTGGAGCAACGTGACTTCTCAAGTAAATAGAATAGGAACTTTTTAACCGAGAAAATGATGAAGAGATTGGTTTTTAGACTTTTGTGGGATTGATAGAAGAAATAGAAACATACAGGAAACACGAGATTTTTATCTGTGCATTGCAATGAAACAGCAAAAAATATGATAGAAAACAACGTGCGAATGATAAAAACACACTAGACGACAATAGAACACAAACAAAACCAAACACAAAAAAAAGACGTCAGAAAAATTAACAGTTTGGCGGTCTTCCTGTAGATTTGCGGTGTTTGCACACTTTTTTTCTCACACACATATGCAAAAATATTTTTTTTCATGATATAAAAAAAATAATAAAACTGTTGATAATTGGAAGGATAATTGGGAAAAATGTTTATTTTGTGAATGAAAAATCTAAATCAGATTTGTTTTTTAGCGAATGGTTTTTCAATGTTTTTGTATGGAAAATCGATGAAAATAACCGGTTTGTGTCCTTGGGACTCGATAATTTTGGTCAATCTAAATTTCCATCTCACTAAAAATCAAACAGCCAACTTTTCAAATGTATTTTTGAAATTTTTGGAAGGGGTTGCATTATACATTTTCATATGAATTTCTAAATTGGGATGTGTTAATAAACATGTGAAAAATTATAAAATCTCTGAATGTTTCGTTCTGGGTTTGATTATACTTTCATTTTTTCAAAATAAAAATAGTAAATTTGAATTGATTATAAAATTTTGATTAAAAAATGAAAGCGAAACAATGTAAACATGCACATGCACTGATAATGTACTGAAAATTGTTTTTTTTTTTCAAAATTGGCTCTAATTTTGAATATTTTTCGACAGCGGAAAACCAAGAATTTTTCTGATTTTTTCAAAACCAAATAATAAGTGAATCAGTTCTGGGAAATCAAAAAATATATAATCTGTGAGTCATGAAGATGTCTAGACAGGAGTTTTTTGGGTGAACTTTTGGTCGAGATGAGTGTGCCTTGTATTTTTTCAAATATACCCTAATTTCGGGGACCTAAAAAACACAATTTTGTTCAAAAACCAAGATTCACAGAAACCGAAAACTTCTGTGAAACCTGGATTTCAGATATCCTTCAATGTTCAAAAATGAAACACAGTTGTTCCAATGGCTTATCTATTGCTCAAATTGATTAGGTTTTATGAAATTACAGGAATTTTCCAAAAGAAAACACTTAAAAAATTGGGAGTGAAATCAGAAAGTTCTATTTAGACAGAGCTTTGTTTTATTCAAAATACTGAATCATCACAAATTTAAAAAAAGCACTTATATTTTCAGAGAAAATTCGTTGAAAATGCTCATTAGTTCAAAAATACCCCTTGACAAAGAATAAAATTTCTTCAGTGAATTGTTTTTCAGCCATTAGTCCCCGATTTCTTGGTGACTTTATGTTATATGAAATCTATAGAGTTCAACAATCATGCACATTGCCTATGCAACATTGTCTTTCAAACTTCAATTTACAACATTCAAAAGCATTTGGAAAGTTTCCAAGTTTTCATTGTGCATCATTTGTTTATTGAATTGTGAATGAATGAAAATGATACTTTTTTGTTACCCAATAGTCTATACAAACACCTGGCCTAATTATTCCAAACAAGTGTTGATTTTTACAAACTGACAGACATAACTCACAATGATGTGCAAAATTAGCAGATATTCGATGCGCAATCTGACATATGTATGTATGTATTCATTACAGTTTGATGTGTGAAGTTTTTTTTGTTTACAACAGATTTTTGTTTTTTGATTGACTTGACCTCATAGAGCAATTTCTGTGCTTTTTCTCTATAAACAATTTGTCAAAATTTTCAAATATATTACTTTTGTTCGAAATTCAAATTTTCTCATGGCTTTCCGACTAAATTCCGTATAACAATGGATTGACTCACGGGTTTTTTTGCCGAAAACAGAAAATCGGCGGCGTCTTTGAAATGTCGGTTTGTTTTGTCTGCAGATAAAAAGGTAGTTGGTCAAAAGCGTATTCTTTTTGCTTCTGGAATATTTACTTGTTAACTGCATTATTATGGTGAATTTTTCGTTTGAAGAATGAGGCATAGAAAATCGCTCCGTGCTCTGTTCGAACTCAAAATGTATTCTAATTTTCCGATTTTCCAAACATTCTCTTTCCCAATATTATTTTTCTCACCTAAAATGACACATCTCATATTCTTTCCCGGTTGTGCAAAATTAAAGGAGGAAAAATGAACATAACAAAATTGTCCCGCCCATTTGTCACCATAAAGTTATTTCTGAGCTTGTATGATTTTTGTTTGTATGTTTCTTTTTTCTCAACATTTCAATAATAATTGAGATTACTGTAGGTGGTTCTAGACTAATTTGATATTTTGTAGGTAAGCACACCTTACCCTTTCAGCTTTTGGTTATAAAATTTATTGTGCTCTCTGTGGGAGGTTTTTATCTGGAAGCTCATTAGAATATCAGAAAATTTTCAGCTTTTCCTAGTTGAATATTTTTAGCATAATAATTTTTGAATTTGTTAAGTAAACCTTCATTGGAAGTTTCAGAAAAAAATTTTTCTCTTTGTCTGTTTCTGATTATAGAGTTCACATTTATTCACTACGTTTTTCAGATTCACATGTCTGATTGTGTTCGTGAAGCAGGGGACAGGTTTATTTCGATCACCCCAGCTCGTCGCAAAAAGATCCATGCTTCGGAGCAGGCTTTGAAGAAAAGTGAGTTTTGTTTTTATTCCATCTTTCACAGATACTTTTTTTCAGAAGTATTGAATAGCTTCAAAACGAAAAAAATTCGCAACATCCCAGTTAGTAAGTTGCATGAAAAATTTTCAAAAAAAAAACACTGTTTCACAATTATTTTTCAGGTGCTGCTGAAAGAGCTCACAGAAATCGCATCAAAAAAGAAGCTCAAGCGGTTGCCAAAAATGAACAAAAACCAAAAAAGAGAAACCAATGCGCAAAAATGCAGACTGGAGGTTCGACTTTCAATTCTTGTGAATAAATCAATAATTTCTAATATTTCAGGAAAGACTCTGTCTCGGGCTCAACTGGCGTCCAGAAAAAAACAATCTGAGAAAAAGAAAGAACAGGCAGCAAAAGAAGCTGAAAAACTGACTCGAAAATCTGAGAAAGCAAAGGAAAGAGAAGCTAAAAGACTGGAAAAAATTGCGAGAGAAGAAGCCGAGAGACTTGCAAGAATTGCAAAGTTTGCTGATGCTCCAAGGCATGCAATGATCAGGAGATCACAAAGTAAGTTGGATTTTTGTTGATAAATTATAATAATTGAAAAATAATTTTTTTTTCTAGAAGTCTGACAACATTTCCGGTTTGTGCCAATTCAATTAATTCCGGTAGATTCTCAATTTTTATTGTTTTTGTGTCTTGTTTAACTAACATCTTATTTGATTCTGTTGTTTTTTGTTAATGAATCATTTTTTTACATTTATGTTTTGAAAACAAGCCGTTTCTGAGAATTTCAATAGTTTTACGTAGTTCTAAATCTGAGAAAAAATTTTAAAGAAAAATAAACTAATTTTAAGTTCTCACTTATTTTTTTTCCTTGAAAGTTTTTCTAACAGAAAAGATAATAACACATTTTTAAAGATATTAATTTATTTGCATGCCAACATTAAAAACTTATTTTAATAAAAATTGAAAAAATCGATAAATATACGGCGATTATTTTTGGCAGAAGATTAAAAAAACGTGGCAGTGGCGAGGAGGTGTTTTACTTGGAATCTTAAATTTTCACAAGTTTGAAAAAAATCATAAGATTAAAAAAAATTTCAACTAACCCTTTTTGCGCAAGCTCATTCGATGTGATCCTCCGTATCTCGCGATTCCTTTAATTTTTCGTTTCTCTTGCGCTTCGAGTTTTTTCGCCGCATTTTTCGCCTTCTTCTGCTCCTTTGCAAGCCTTGCCGCCTTTTCCGCCAATGTCTCATCGCTAGCGCTGGCGCTCATGCGCATGGTTTGTTTAGTACGGCCCATTTTTTTCTGAAAAAAGGTATATGTATTTATATGAAAAAAATATAAATAATATACGAAGAACGTTCGAGAGAGGGAAAAAACACACCTGTTGGCAATATAATATACAAATGAATATATTTGAACTCTGTCTACTTCGCACCTCTTTTCTGATCTAAAACTCTTCCTCTCTCTCTCTCTCTCTCTCTCTACACACATACTTGAATATCATATACTAATTGGAGGCGGAGAGAATGCGGAAGTTAATTAGGATGTACGTTTATATTGATCTGCCATGAGCTCCACAATTATATACATCTAGATTTTATAATAAGGGAGGTTTAAGTGGATAAAAACAAATAACCAACCAAGAAAAACATGAAAGGAATTGGATTGTGTATTGATTTTTTCAAAAATATGCACACAAAAAATTGGAGAGAATCAGGCCAAGAATAAAATACTTAAGAGACGTTTTTTGCAAAAAGACAAATAGGGTCGGACAACAAAAAAGGGTGTAATTTTAGAATCGGCTCAAATTTTTTTATTGATACATGGATGGATGGTGAACATTTTCCACCATATTTTTTTTCATAAAATCGATGCACCAATTTGGTGGGGGGTGATGAATGCGAAAAAGGGCATTTTTTCAAAAAATCAGAACTCAGCTCAAACTTCACTATTTTTGATGATCAAAAAAGGATTCTGCAGCTCTTGAGACGCTCTTTACTCCTGAATTTACTAGAATTGTCGAAATCCAAAAATAAATTTTCAAAATTGATGGAAAATTTTTGACGCTAATTTTCCCCCTTAAACGCCATTTCCGCAATTTCTAACTCGATCCATTCGATCCGCCTTGCAATTTTACGTCGGATTAGTCGAAAAAAACGGAAAAAAGGGGGCCTCAAAAAGTTTGATTCCACTTTCTAATTTCCATTCTGACGCGCGCAACACACATGTGTGTATTTTGTGTGCGCGTGCTCCCACATATGTGTGTTGTGTGTTAGAAGCTTGAAATATACAAGGGTACTGTAGTGTGTGTAATTTTTTTTGTATTTTATTTGTAGATTTAGCATCTAGGGAGGTAAGAAAAACCCCGAAAGATTTTTACATGCAAAAATGTTTTTCCTGGGGGTAGACCTTTTTTGAGATTTTTTTGGTTCTGAATTTTGAAAAATTGTAACTTTACTTATAGTGGACGAAAAAAACGAACATAAAAGCTAAACAAAGCTTACATTTCGCTCTATTAACTCAGCTCATGGACAGTTCTATGGACTGGAAAAATTATTGTAACAAAAATGGCGTTTAAGGGGGGAAAATCAGCGTCAAAATTTTTCCATCAATTTTGAAAATTTACAATTTTCCAAGCGTAACTCCTTGCCAGATTTTTCCTTTTCAAACTTGCTCTTTAGGCGTGGCTTCTTGTCAGAGCTGCTCACTAGGAGCAGTACCTAGAGATATTGGATCTTTTTTGAAGGCGCAACGACTTGACATAAAAACTAATCAAGAGGCCGTAAAGTTCTTTGAAAAATTCAAAAAAATTCTTTCCGTGACTTATCAACCCAAAATTTGATTTCTGGGATGAATTAGTGTCCCATTTTCCCATATTTTTCAAAAACAAACATTTTCTGAAAACTTTATTTTTCCGATTTTTTGAAAATTTTGTGGGTGAGGCTATACTTTTGTGGAGCAGTGTGTTTCCGTATTGTTTTGAAAATATTGAAATCGATAGATTTCCGGGTTCCCCGAAGTTCTGAACATCGATTGTATGCTTTTCTCTTAGTGTGTGTGTTTTCTGCAGGCTGCAATTTTAAGTACTTAAAGTTAAAAACGTAAAAAAAGTTCACTGGATCTATTCCTCACATCATGAAAAATATTATCTAAAAAATAAGTTTTGGGAAAAAATTTCAGGGAATCGAAAATGAAGTTTACGCGCTCTCTATCAGCACCAGAAGAGCTGCTATGTCTAGCAACGTTGCGTGAAGAACTTTCACTTGGTACGGCCTCTTGATTAGTTTTTATGTCAAGTCGTTGCGCCTTCAAAAAAGATCCAATATCTCTAGGTACTGCTCCTAGTGAGCAGCTCTGACAAGAAGCCACGCCTAAAGAGCAAGTTTGAAAAGGAAAAATCTGGCAAGGAGTTACGCTTGGAAAATTGTAAATTTTCAAAATTGATGGAAAAATTTTGACGCTGATTTTCCCCCCTTAAACGCCATTTTTGTTACAATAATTTTTCCAGTCCATAGAACTGTCCATGAGCTGAGTTAATAGAGCGAAATGTAAGCTTTGTTTAGCTTTTATGTTCGTTTTTTTCGTCCACTATAAGTAAAGTTACAATTTTTCAAAATTCAGAACCAAAAAAATCTCAAAAAAGGTCTACCCCCAGGAAAAACATTTTTGCATGTAAAAATCTTTCGGGGTTTTTCTTACCTCCCTAGATGCTAAATCTACAAATAAAATACAAAAAAAATTACACACACTACAGTACCCTTGTATATTTCAAGCTTCTAACACACAACACACATATGTGGGAGCACGCGCACACAAAATACACACATGTGTGTTGCGCGCGTCAGAATGGAAATTAGAAAGTGGAATCAAACTTTTTTGAGGCCCCCTTTTTTCCGTTTTTTTCGACTAATCCGACGTAAAATTGCAAGGCGGATCGAATGGATCGAGTTAGAAATTGCGGAAATGGCGTTTAAGGGGGGAAAATTAGCGTCAAAAATTTTCCATCAATTTTGAAAATTTATTTTTGGATTTCGACAATTCTAGTAAATTCAGGAGTAAAGAGCGTCTCAAGAGCTACAGAATCCTTTTTTGATCATCAAAAATAGTGAAGTTTGAGCTGAGTTCTGATTTTTTGAAAAAATGCCCTTTTTCGCATTCATCACCCCCCACCAAATTGGTGCATCGATTTTATGAAAAAAATATGGTGGAAAATGTTCACCATCCATCCATGTATCAATAAAAAAAATTTGAGCCGATTCTAAAATTACACCCTTTTTTGTTGTCCGAGCTCCTTCATTAAAATTCACCTTTTTGCAAAAAACGTCTCTTAATCATAGAAAAAAATAAAAAAAAACAGGAAAAATAAGAGAAATAAAATTTTTTGGCGTGGGTCCAGTTCACCATTGTTCTTTCACTATTTTTCGCTTGAGGGTTAGAGAAATAGAGTGTTGTCATGGGAAAATTGTTTTTTGTTTTGTTAAAAGGAAATCGGAAAGTATGAGATGGTATAAAAACACATTTGAAAATATTCAATTTTATATTCTGAAAATGTGATTGAAAAAAAATTCCAAACATGTGATTGAAAAATGTGAAGCTAACTACGCAACCTCAAATTAAAAATCTTAACAGAGCGTCTGACATTGCTGAAATTTGCTTGAACTGAAACTTCATAGCAAAAAAAGACAATCCAACAGTTTTTATTCAGGAAGTTGACGTTTGAAATGTAGAAAATAAAACAGTATTTTCAGAAACACTTTCTTCCAAATTTCACCATGGAAACAAAGTTCACATTTGCGTTGCTACGCAGAATCACAAAATTTTGGCTTGAAAAATCTGTTTTTACAAAATATCTTGAAAATGAGGAAAGTAAGCAGAAAGATCGTTCCTGAAAAATTGATCCGATTTTAATATTATTCTTATTCAGATTTTCCCATAGCAAACTTCCACCTTTGAAATGTAGTGAGATACAGATTTTGTTGTGGAAATAGTTCTGATTAGAGCACCTTTTCATTTCTATTTTTGCATCCCGGAAAAAATTGCTAATATTTTTCAAATGTTCCATGAAATTTGTAAGATTGAAAAGGTTTAATTTTGCGTTGAAGAGTTTTTTGAAGTTTTCCCAGAGTCTTTCGGCGCAAGCAAAAGAAAGACAGAAATTGCAAAAAGGAAAACTTGCGTCATGTTTTGCGGCGTCTTCTGAAAAACCTTGTGACTCTGTGTGAAAGTAAAATTACTTTCAAAAAAGTTGTATTACCTTTAGGGGATTATGTCAGATCTACAAAAGAAATTCCAGTTGATGTTTTGTATTTTATAATTCTTCCAGTAATGTCATAATAATTACCGCCTCTCAATTAAAAACCGGCAGACGAGCACAATTATTTTTATCTATCTCATAATCAAATAATACCATAATTACTTTTACAAATGATTCCGTTGTTTCAAATTCTCCGACTTCCCGGAATCGAAAATAATTTGAGGAAAAAAGGTGAGTGATGGACAAAACAGGACTGAGTAATTGGCAAAAGAAGCGGCGGAATATTAAAAAAGAAAGAGAAAATGAAAAAGACAGCGAGCAATCAAAGAATATGGAACATCCGAAATAAAGTCAAGAAGTGAAGACAAGTAAGCAAACTGTGACTAGGAAATCAAGAGTCAAGCTGATGACTATCGATTGCCGAATAATATAATGCTCAGATTTTCTATTTCACTTTTGATATCAATGAAAATTAATCTGATCTTACTTGTAACTTTTTATAGAGTCTCAATTGAAAAACTTCAAAAATTCAACAATTCCATTTGAAACATTGAAACGTACATACTGGAAAATAAAAAAAATAAGCCAAAAAGTATTCAAAAATTTGAAACTTTTCTACCCTTCTCCTCTTCTCTCTCATTAGCATCCAGAACGCTCACAGGGACCGGAGAAAACACGCTCTATTGCGATTTTTTTTAGAGAAAAGCATTTTCTTGGTTCAACTGTTTTTATGAATGCAAAGGAATGAGATGAAATGGAAAAAAACGATTGGGAGACAAAAATGATCAAATGAGTGTTTTTCTGGAAAAAAAAAGTTTTTGGGTTGGATGGGTTTGTTTATATCAAGGCTCGATATAGAGATACATATGATAATCAGGATATAAGGTTAGGTTATTTTTTCTGTTAGGGTAAATTTTCATTTTTGAATATAATTATTGTGTTTTGTAGTGTCTCTACTGTCAAATTTTTGATAAATTGAAAATATCTTTTCTGTAATTTATAGTCAGAACAATCTCGTATGATATTTTTGAAATTTGCAAGTTCAAAGTGAATTGTTTTCAACAATTTTACTGGCTTCTTCTAGGTTCAGAAAATCTCTCTTATCAAACACTTTCCAAATTTTTCAAATATGTTTTTTAGTCTCACAATCATCAGAATGACTATGAATTTTTATGATTTCAAACAATTGATGATTCACGAGAAAAAACATTTCTCGACCGAGTTTCTGAACAATTCCATGCACAGCAGCTGGGAGGTTTAAGAACGGTTGATTAACGGTTTATAAACCAACTTTAATGAAATTTAATCAACGAAGTACCAATATTTGATCCACGGTTGATCCCCGTTGATTAACCGTGGATTAAATCATGAAAATTTTCAAAATTTTTGAAAACACTTAACACCCAAAAAAGTAGCCGGGAACCTATTTTCATCGATTTGGGTAATTTTCAAAATTTAAAAATTGGTTAATCCGCGGTTCATTAACGGTGGGTTAAGCGTTGGTACTCCGTTGATTAAAAGCAGTTTTTATCAACCGTTAATCAACCGTTTTTATACTTCCCAGCTGCAGTGATGAAATAATTTTTCAAAAACAACTTTTTTCATTTTGTGGTCGATCCCATTTTCTGAAACTTTCATTTTATTTTCAATATCTCTAGTTTCCAAAGATTCCGTCTATTTTAATCCCTCAAATTGTTTTTCAATAAAAAGAAATCTAATAAAATCTTTGTTCTTTCTTTCTGCTTCAGTTTCAATAATATTCCACAATTTTGAGAAATGTTTGTTTGAAAAAATGCTCATAGGCAAATATTTGATCATTTTTGGTTTGGTTTGTTTTTTTTTCGAACTGCATACATTCTCTCTAAAAATTTTCTAGAATATTTTCAAGAAATGAATTCTAATCATAGGTTGTGTTTTCTTGAAAAACAAGATTTTTTCCTCGTGATAAAAGTGCATGCCGGCTGGAAATATGAAAGTAGAAAAAGAAACTTTTTTGTTGAAAAACGGCATGTTGAGAGGGACAAAAATTAGCATAAATATTATTTATGTAGATTCAAACATCTGAAAAATCAAGAGACTCTTCTTTTTCTCTGTCCAATAATATTATTTATTTTGTTTCATCACGACAGTTGATCCGATTATTGTCAGTCAATGTTTAACAGTTGGAGTTAGAAAAACGTTACTTTTTCAATGTGGAGTTCTGTGTGAAATTTGATATTTCTTCTCTTTCCATTTTTTTCACATTTTGTTCTATTTTATTCTTTTTCATAGTTATTATCTCCTTATTGTCTGGATTCGGATTATCTTATTTTGTCGAAAATAGAAATTTGTTTTGTTTATTATAAAAAAAACACAATTTTTCTGAGAGAAACAAAGTCAAAGTCACATTTTTCTCTGTTCTCATCAAATTTTCTCACGTGAGAAAAAAGTTGGAATAAAATATCACCTTTTGCCTAGTTACACTCATTTTCTTTTATTTCAGGAAATGTTTTCACATCAGGACAAAAAGGATGAAGATGGTGCAGATGGTATGAAATCGAAAAGTCGAAGTCAGCCAAGCGGGCTGAATCGGGTCAAAAATTTATCAAGGAAATTATCTGCAAAATCCAGGTTTGTTCATTCATTTTTGCCTCATATAATTATTATTAACATTAAGTCATTTTTCTTGCAAAAATGAAAAAATACACACAAAAATATTTTCGCAAAACACTTGTTATCATCTCTGAATGTTTCTTGATTTCTTATCTTGTTTATTGAAAAAAATTATATTTTTCTGATCAATTGATTCGATTTTAATTGATTGATCACGTGTCTTGAAGGTTTTTGGGTATAAACAAATATTGAACTTTTTGAACTAGCGCGCGACTTTTTTGTTTTTGTTTAGGGTGATTTTGTGAAAATTGAAAATAGTTTCTAGAAGTTAAAATAATTTTAGAATCCTCCCGCATATAATTCTGACTTCTAATCATAAAATTTAGTGAAAATCAACTACTAGTGTTAATGTTTACAAGTTTCTACATATAAACAATGTTTAGAGTTTTGGATTTCCGTAGTTTACGAGGTGTTTGTTTTCCCACCATAACTCTTTATTTGTAAGAACGGTTACGATTGTGTTTTCCGTTTTCTTCAAACTGTAAACAATCATTGTGAAAGTTTCTCACAGTTCTCTTCTGTTTTTCCAAAACATTCCAGATGTTTTATCCAAAAATTTGTTATCCGTAAACATTTTACCCTATCTTTTGTATTTTTATGGGTTTTCTGAACAGCTGTTTGTCCATCTGTAAAAATATTTATGGTCAAATTTTTCCCACGGTTTCCCGTATAAAAATAGAAGAAGTGTTTATTTTTTTCAAAATCCGAGTTTTTCAAGAAACCATTTTTTCCAGTCACAATCTTGAATTTTTTTTCGTTTTCGTACTTTAAGCTATTTTTACATTTTATCAGAAAACGTTTGCTACCGTAGTAAAATTGTATGAGCAATATGTACTTGAAAACAAAATCTATACGATTTTCTTATTCTCTTTTTCGAATATATTTCATTCGAGTCGCTCTTTTTTCTAATTCTACAACTATAATGCCACATCTTCCCAGTTGGATGAAACGGTAGGGTTTTTCAAAATTTATGAGAATTTCATTGGAAACAAGAATATTGCGTCTGAAATAGATTTTTTCACTTAAAAATGTGTCACTTGACATGTTATTCCGATATTAAATTTTCACCTGGCACGAGATGTAGTGTTATCTGAAATATTTCATATAGATTGCACTTTTTTTGAAACATCTGATGTAATTTTGTTGATTCTGAATTTAAACGTATCCCTCAAAATTTTCAACCTTAAAAATTGGAAATTCAGTGTTGACAATGCAAGACTATCTGTTGTTTTTAATCAAGTTTTTCAAATTGATAGATCAATCTGAAATTCATGATCAGTCAAGTTTCGAGGCCAAACAAATACCAGAAAAATATGACGTCGTATTAAAATAATTAAATAAGCAAAGGGGTTTTGAAAAACTAAAATTATGTTAAAATTTTTTGACGGATTTTGCATCATCTAGAATCATATGGAGAAACTCGGTGATTTTTAGAGATGAATAAAGATAGTTATGACGTGGAACTTTTTCTCATTGTCAATTCAGATGACGTAATCAAATTTTCACAATTATTGTTTGGTTAGAGTTAGAGAACCTAGACATTCTGACAATTCTTATCTGATGATTGAAAGTAGCTTCTGACAATTATCTGTGGATCAACTTTTTGCCCAGGAGCTAAATTTCGCTGAAAATTCTTGCATTTTTCGATAGTCATAGCTTCGTAATCAATGCACCTGGCACTACTAGATAACTCTATTTTTTCGGAAATAATTTTTCTCCTTTCGTTTTTTTTAATTCTCACAACTTCTAGCATTGATTTGATTTGGATGCTGCAAAGTTTTTTACAGAACACTTATGGTAATAAAAAAATGTTTAACGTAAAAAAAATTATCAATATTCACACAATGTGAATATGGGGCTGTTTCAGTTCCCGAATGTTCTTGCATAATCCTAATTATTCCCAAAAGATGACCCCCTTTCCGTGTGCAGTTGTGCGTCATTTAATGTGTATTATGTGCGCTTTAAAAATTTTTCTATTTTTCACGTTCTCAGTGGCTCTCTTCTGAGTTATTTTATTTTTTCCTTTCTTCTTTCTGGTGTTAAAAACCAATGTAATTTTTTCTCTGTGATGTTTATTGGCATCTTATGTCTCACTGTCTTCCGCAAGAAAATCATAAATGTTCCGCTGTATCTGTTCTCACAGTTTATTTTTACCCGAATGAAAATCAGTTGAACTTCAAACTCTCTACGTTTCATCCACCATTTTTTTCAAAATAAAATATAGAAAAGAAAAAATAAAGAGTGATAAAGGAAAAAATACCTAAAAGATCCATGAAAATTAAAGAGACGCATAGAAAAAAAGACGAATCGACAGCGAACGAACGACGAAAGAGCGCGCGAAAACAAGAGAGTGCAGCATTAAAAAGAGGAAAAAAACCGAAGCCAGCTTGATGGAGTCAGTCACATGTATATCAAAAACACCACACAACCTTTTTTTCGAGTTTTTTTCATTTTTTAAATGGTTAGAATTTTCTAATTAAATTTAATTATCTTTATCTTAAAATTTTCTGAAAAACTATGATATCATAATGTTTTTGTTACATGCATGTGATAAGAACGTTTAATTGAAAACATTATTTTTCTTTTCGTGTTCAAAATAGAATTAGCAAACATAAAAGTACATTTCCAAGATAAAAAATCGCGCGCGAAATAAAATCGAAAATCAAACTATTAGTAAATCAATACACACCATGTGCAAACAATATATACATTTTTTACACCACATACATATATCTCTGACCATCTCGCATCTCTACTTATTTTTCCTCTCTTCATACTATTATTTCTTCACTTTTTGTTGTTATCGTTTCTATTTTTTCTTAATCGCTCTTCTATGAAAAATTAATGTCTCAATCAATATTAATTATTTATAATTTTTAATAGATTTTTTTTTCTGAAAACGTATAAAAATCGAACCTCCATTCCACATCTCTTAGAATTTGAAAAAAACGTGTTTAGTTATCAAAAGTATTGATTTATGGTCGAACAACTAAAGGTCATTCAATCTTTTCTTTTCGCATCGTAGATATAATGTATAGCCGGCGCGAAAAAGCAAACAACATTGCTTTTGGCGCGAAAAACTCTAATAAATTAACTTTTTTTCTTCCAGAAAAGAGAGAAAAGAGCGAGTTGAGCCAGTTGAAAAGATGTCTTCCCCTGGTGGCGACGCGCCGAAAATTGAGCAAAAAGGACAAATCAAAATTGGCCATTATATTTTGAAAGAGACACTTGGTGTTGGAACTTTTGGAAAAGTTAAAGGTTGGTTTTTATATTCTCCGAATGTTATTATCATAAATGTTTAACTAATGATTTTTTTTGCAGTTGGAATTCATGAGGCTACAGAATACAAGGTTGCTGTAAAGATCTTGAATCGTCAAAAAATCAAATCACTTGATGTTGTTGGAAAGATTCGCAGAGAAATTCAAAATTTGTCGCTTTTCCGTCATCCACACATTATCAGACTGTGAGTTTTTTTTTTTGATTTTTTGAAAATAAAATTTGGTAAAGTGGCTCTAATTTTGCAAAATAGGGCTAATTGATTTTTTTTGCAGTTATCAAGTGATCAGTACTCCGTCAGATATTTTCATGATCATGGAACATGTGTCAGGTGGTGAATTGTTCGACTATATTGTGAAACACGGTCGTCTGAAGACCACAGAAGCTCGTCGATTTTTCCAACAAATTATTTCGGGTGTTGATTATTGTCATCGTCACATGGTTGTTCATCGCGATTTGAAACCAGAAAATCTATTGCTCGATGATCAAAACAATGTGAAAATTGCCGACTTTGGTCTTTCGAATATTATGACGGATGGTGATTTTTTGCGCACCAGTTGCGGTTCGCCAAATTATGCGGCGCCAGAAGTGATCAGCGGAAAATTGTATGCGGGTCCTGAAGTTGATGTTTGGTCGTGTGGTGTGATTTTATACGCTCTTCTTTGTGGAACACTTCCATTTGATGACGAACATGTTCCATCGCTTTTCAGAAAAATTAAATGTGAGTTTTTTTCAGGAAACATTTTGCGGCTTTGGCTGTGGGAAAATTTTTTTTGTATGAAAAATATGTCATCGTTTTCTACCAAAACTAAATTTTGAGAATATAGATCTTGGATTTTTTTAAATTCTAGATCTTTGGAAATGATCTGAAAATATGCCAAAAATGGTTTTTTTTGAAATAAAACATTCTAGAACTGGATATTTGACAATAAAAAAATCTCTAATCTCAAATCATCGAAATCAAAAAAATATTGCAGCTGGAATCTTCCCGATGCCTGATTTCTTGGAGCGACCAATCGTCAATCTTCTTCTTCATATGCTTTGTGTCGATCCAATGAAAAGAGCAACCATCAAGGATGTTATGTAAGTATTTTTTTTGGAAAAAAATGAGAACGGGTTCAGAAGTTCACCAGAATCTAGAACTTTATTGAAATTTGAACTTATCTTTCCCAAAAACAAAAATAATTCTTTCAGTGCTCATGAATGGTTCCAAAAAGATCTCCCGAATTATTTGTTCCCACCAATCAATGAAAGTGAAGCTTCAATTGTTGACATTGAAGCTGTTCGTGAAGTCACCGAACGTTATCATGTTGCTGAAGAAGAAGTGACAAGTGCACTTCTTGGTGATGATCCACATCATCATTTATCAATTGCTTACAATCTAATTGTTGATAATAAACGTATCGCTGATGAAACTGCCAAATTATCGATTGAAGAATTTTATCAAGTAACACCGAATAAAAATCAACCGGCAAATGTTATCCGCCATCCGGAGAGAATTGCTGCATCAGTCAGCAATAAAATTACACCAACACTTGATAATACGGAACAAACTGGAAATTCACGTAGCAAACGTGCAAAATGGCATCTTGGAATTCGATCACAAAGTCGTCCAGAAGATATTATGTTTGAAGTTTTTCGCGCGATGAAACAATTGGATATGGAATGGAAGGTGTTGAATCCATATCATGTTATTGTTCGACGACGTCCAGATGCACCAGCTTCAGATCCAGTAAGTGTTGAACCTGATGAATAATCTCATTGCCTTTCTGCACCTAAATCTTCAAAAATCTCCCACAATCTCAAATAATTTCCACTGTTTCAGCCAAAAATGTCACTTCAACTCTACCAAGTCGACCAGCGCAGTTATTTATTGGACTTTAAAAGTCTTGTTGATGAAGATGGAGCTCGTAAGTTTTTGATCTCCGCCTCGAGAAAAAATGAATCAATAATAATTTTTCAGCAGCTTCGGCTTCCTCCTCTCGTCACGCATCAATGTCAATGCCACAAAAACCGCCGGGAATTCGCGGAAGTCGTGCATCAAGTATGCCACAAGCAATGAGTATGGAGGTAAATTTGTGTGCTCCGGATCCAGAATCAATCAACGCAATCAATTTTCAGTGTGACTTGAGTCCACCCCCATCGCCAGGAGGCACAAAATTGTCGCAAACTATGCAATTTTTCGAAATTTGTGCTGCACTTATCGGAACTTTGGCTCGTTGATTTTTGTATTTTTCCCCCACAGTTTTCTTACCCGTTTTCTTCCCCCAAAAAAGTTGAAATTTGACAAAAAGTTACAATCATTCCTCTTACAATTTCTTACGTATGTTAAACGGTTCTTTTTCTGACTCGAACACTTTTTTGAATAGCAAAAAAATGTTTATTTTTGTATCAATCTGTACTATGTTTGTTTATTTTCGAAAATTATATAATCAAGTTAATTTCGATTCTTTATTTTTATTTTTATCTTTTGTTTTTATTTTCCCACCAAACCAAGATTTCTTCCGTTGTTTGACCGATTCTGTGTAGTTTACTTAATCAATTGCGATTAATTGTACCATAGAATGTTTTTCATTAAAATGCTGTAATAAAATTGTAAATGTTTCAAAAATTGTTGTTTTTGTCAGAAAAACAGATAACTTTGTGTGAAGCAAATTTTGTTTTTGTAATATTCAGGATTTTGAAATACAGTAGTCGAAAAGTCAACATATGAAATGATATCAATTTCAGAGTGAAATAATGAATTTTTTGTTTTTTTTTTGTGTCAATGTCCCCACTTTGACTTCATAATTGTTCATTTCATTTTCAATTACTAAACATTTATTCATTCAAAAATTTGTGTTGAGCACCAGTTAGGCATTAAAGCAGAAATTCAAGTAGAAAACAAACTACCCGGCTAAAGAAAAGTAGTTTCTCTACCAATTTATGCAAAATAATAATAATAAAATAAATAATCAAAGACCAAAATAGTATTTATAATTTTTCGACAATATTTTGTTTAGACAATATCTGAAACAGTTGTGACAAGTTTTCCATTGACAAATGTTGTTTTGAATTGTTCTGGCACCGGGAATTCGTTCTAAAATAAGTTTTTTGTTTTTTTTAGAGAGAAAAATCAAAAGGTCAAGAAAAAATGCCTACGTAGTCTCCTTCGTCTGTTGTTTGTACCAGAATGTTCATCTCACTCGATTTCGACGTGATAATCTCGCATCCTTGAGCAACTTTTGAGAGATAGACTTGACATCCATCAGTTTTTTGGATAGAAAGAGTGGGCAGCTCACCGAGTGTCTAAAAATTGTGATCTTTAATTGTATATATTTTGTTTAAACTGATAATTTTGATAATGATCGTAATCGAATTATCATCAAAAAATATCGAAAAATATAAATAAATACCTGAATTTGAACACTTTGACAATTGATAGTTTCACATTGAGCGACCAGCGCGTCAAAAACAATCGATGTCTTTTTACAACCATCCAAAGTGATAGAGTTGGCTTTTCCGTTGACTTTGATCACACTATTTTCACAGCGGAACACATAGATTGTTTGTTTTTTGTCAGCGACATCGATGACAATGTTGTTGTCGTTGACAAAATATTCCTGAAAAAAATGGATGATATGAAACATTTTTCAAGTTTGATAACTAAAAAATCAGAATATTTGAAAAGAATTGAATTCTGAATATTTTGTTTTTATGAAAAAAAAATCCGCCTTTTATTTTCTCTATGAAACAAGTATTCTAAAACTTACCACATTCCATTGTTTTCCATCTTGAAGTTCTTTTCTCGCTGGTTTTCTAACTGGTTGAGCTGGTTTTGCTGGTGAAGCGGCAGCCTTTGAAGCAGTCGCCGGTGCAGCAGCATTTCCACGAAGTCCTGGATTTTTATGTGTTTGCATATCTGAGGTAACTTTCTTCAATCCCGAAGTAATAGCTTCTCCTTTATTCAAAGCAGCAAACAAAGCATCGCGATTGGATTTGTCAGTGTTAGATGGTGCTGGCGGCAAATTGGCAAACAAATCAGATGGAATTGGTGGTGGAGGTGGTGGAGGTGGACCTCCAGGACCTTTTGGTGCAGGTGGGGCAGCAGCAGATCCTGAAGATGTTGGTGGAGCACTTCCTGGTGAGCTATTCCAGATAAGACCAGTTGTATGAACTTGTCTCACAAACTTTTGCATTTCTTCGAAAATACTTTTCCAAGCATTAATCCATTCAACTTGTTTTGGATCACTTTCTTTGAACTCTTTCATGATTCGATTTCCGAAGAACATCGATGCCTCGATATAATCTTTGATTACTGGAGCTGGTGTTTTTGACATAACCCATCCAAGAGCACCCATTGTTTCGGCAATTGCACTCAAGTGATTGAATTGTGGAGTGTTTCTTTTCGAATCTTTGAAATCAGTAATCTCTTGCATACTTTCTCCAATTTTTCCAATCATTTTATTGACTTCGTCGTCTGATGGTTTGGCATTTCCAGCGGCGAACCATAAGAAGTTACGGAATTGATCGAATGTCTTGAGAACTTTGGCTTTCTGAAAATATGTAAGTTAGTGTTGAAATAACTGGGTTAAAGTTTATATGAAGTTTTCGGAAAGGCTTTCATGAATTTGCTATAACTTGAAAATTTCCCTTGAAAAAAAACATACAGCTGTGATAACATCGCCTCCAATTTTATCCGAAACTTGCGACCAAGATTCAATAAGATCACCGATCGCCGAATCATATGCTTGAACATCTGGAGGAATCTTGCTGCCGGCGGATGCTGAAAATAAAAAACATATTTATCATATGTTGTTTTTCTTTTTTTTTTTTTTTTTTGAAAAAAACCTTTGTCTTGATCAATGAAAACAACTTTTTTTGAGGATGAACGATGGATGGATGGATTTTTGATCAGAATTCCTTGAAGGTTATCACGATAATAATCAGATTTAGATGAAGGGGTAGAATCTCGAAGATATTTTGGGAGCGCTTTTCTAGCCAACTCCTCAATATCCAAATCACTATCTTCATTATCATAATTTGAAACGGGAGATAATTCTTGTCTAGAATATCGTTGATCAGGTTTTCGAGTATGCCCGTGATTATGGCCATGTCCAAGATGTGGTTTGGTATAAGGAATTGGATCAATTGGCATATTTACATTGATATTTGGCTCAATGACAGCCACTGGAGGTTGTGAAGAATCTCGACGATTTCTAGCATCATAATCATCAGTGTGACTATTATAAGTGTGTCGATTACTTGTGAATCCATTTATAACTGTTGGACCATTTCGATTATAGACTTTAGATTCAACTGGGCTAAAAATCCGATCATCAATTTCTTTAGGTTCCCTATGATGGTTATGATGAACATCGACGATTGTTTCACGATTTGGTGATGTTAATCTAGCATAATCTCGTAGTGGTGATTGAATCCGAGCACGTTGCATTGGATAGGTATTGGTGTTTTGTTGATAATTCGAAATTGGATTAGAATGTTGATGTGAGTATAATGATTCTTGATTAGGAGTTGAATGAATATGAAGCACACGATTATGGCTCAATGGAATTGGGTCACTCGGATATATGGCAGAGTTTCGGTTATTATGACGTTCATTATAAATTTGCGAATTGTTTGGTACATTTTGATAAGGATGGTTGACAGGTTCACGATCAAACACTGGATTCGACAAAGTCTGTGGGCCAAGTTGATGTTGATGTGCTCGAGGCTGCATGTGATCATCTCGATGATAACTTCGGAAATTTGTTGGCTCCTGACTATGAATTGTAACCGATGTTGGCTCCCGATACGATGGATCTAATCGGAATCTTTCGAAGCTTGAATTATTTGCCGGAACTGGTTGATTATTGCGGATAATATATTCTTCGCGGAAAGATTTTGGTGGTGGTGGGTCTGTCATCCAACTCGGTTCAATAACCCGATTTCGGAAAAACCCATCCATTCGATGATTGTTGTTTGAAACATTGTGAGAGGCATAATTAGAAGTTGGGTTGTAGTCAAATCCTGTTTCTGATTGAGTTTTAGCTAATCTTCTTGGTTGATTCTGCCCATGATCTTGCCCATACCAACTAGCTGACATATCTTGCCTTGGGGTAGAATTTGAGTAAGATACCTCTTTTTGTCGTTGAAGATTTCGCAAAAAATCATTCTCTCGCTGTTCATAACTTGTTGGAGGTCTTGGCACATTATCATAGCATCTTGGATAATCAGGAACAGGACTTTGTACATTACTTCCGCTATATGCCATATTACTAGAACTATTCAAATTGCAATATTCACTAGAAGTTGAAAAGGGCGATAATTCTCTAGGCGATAAATAATTGTCGAATAATGTCGAAGAACTTTCAGTTCGAAATGGCCGACGAGAGAAGTCCTCTTGCCAAGTATTATTATTGTTTTTGTTCGTGTGGTCAGGCGATTGCAGACCAGCACAAGTTGTTTGAGAAAAAGACGACCAACTGCTTGATGGTCGAAGTCGTCGCGATGTTGTTAATGACAAATCGGTATTACTTTCGTGAATCGGACGATAACCGCGTGGATATTTGTTGTACGGTCGAGGAGCCGAATAATAAAGTGAATCCATTTAATATGATGATAATAATAATAATGAAAAAAAGAAATAGAGGAAAAAATATTGTAGAATTTCGAAGAGTGAGATGAAGACTAGCAGACGAAAAAAAAAGAGGGATGAGATTTTCACGAATGAACAACTGTTGATGAACAGAAAAAAAAGAGAACATGGGGTTGCCGAAGACAATTTTTCCTTTTCGTTTAAACTTTTTTGTGGGGGAAGTTGATAAAAATTTACCTGAAGCTCCAGAATTCGATCCTAATGCCACTGGTTTTGGAGCCAATGCTGGTTTTTGAGCGCAAATTGCTTCAAGACGAGCGGTCACGTTTTCGAGACGTTTGACAATTTCTTCTTGGGATGACATGATTTCCTGAAAACATTATTTTAGAACTTTTCAAGAAATTCAAGAGTTTACCAATTTACAACAAGTGTTTCCCATGTTAAATGAAATAATACATATATAACTAAAAGAAACTGACTAACTTAAAAAGGAAGAGAAAAATATCAAATTACATATTTATTAATTGGTAAAAGAAGGAACATTTTGAAAAGAAACAATAATGATTCATGTTCTAAAACGAAATATTTTTGTTTCAATCATAATCATCACAAAAAACAGAAACAATGACCGAAAATAGCAGCAATTTTTGAATGAATGTGTTCTTTTTTTATGAACGAACAAACCAAATTCGATAGAGCGCGCTTGCACTCTCACACAACTAGTCCCTGCAACCAAAAAAAGGGGAAGGGGGCAATCGATAAAATAATTTTTTTTCGAAAAATAGTGGAGTGCTAAAAGAGAAGGTTTATCAGTTAAATGTTAGTTTTTTCTCTCAATAAATGGTGACACTTGAAAATTTAGTTTGAATAAAGTAAATGTTGGAAATGTGAAACAATTTTTCTAGTACAAATTCTGAAAAATGTTTTTTCGCACAACAATTACTATTTTCATTTTGATTCAAGATTTTCAGGAAATACCTGATTGATAGTTAGTAGAATCAATATTTCAAAAATTCCTAAAATTAAGTTTCTGAAATTCATCTTTCCCGGCTTAATTTTTAGACAAATTGTTGAATTCCCTCTCTAATTTTTGATATTTCATTTCCGAAAATAAAACTCTCCAACTAAACCCAAAGTGTTCCTTCAAAGATCCGAGAAAATTCCTTGAATAAACAATAAATGAGTGCGAAACAGTTTCAACAAAAAAAAACAACAAAGAAAAAGGAAATGTTTGCCAGATCCTCTCGAAACACCTTTCAAAAAAACAACAAGGACAATACTTACAAAAAAGAAAATAATTGCTCTCATTTTGAGAAAAACTGGCCTTGTTTCTTAGGTCATTGAGAAATGGAAAAGAAAAAAAGACAGTTTTAAATTTATATATTCTTTTTCTGTCAGCTGATGAGTCATATGTGTATCTTTGGGAAAAAAATAGTAAATGATAAGAAATAAAATGTCAATTTGTTTGAGGGAAGAAAATAAGAGGATTTCAAAAAGATTTTCTGCTTTCTCTATGTTTTTTTTCTGTTACTTACATTTTAAGAATCAAAAACCTTCTTTTTTCATCATGACATCTAAAAAAATGAAGAAGATAATAACAAAAAAGTTAACGGATATCAGAACAACAAAAAAAAAAGAGAAAAGCAAAAAGTGAGCAATAATATTTGTGGAGGTGGTGTGGAACGGAACGCAAAATCAATCAATAAGAGCTCTCTAGATCTGTTTGTGTGTGTGTTTTTTTGTCTGCGTCTATTTGAAATGACCAGTTGACGCAGGGGCCAACCACGAGTCTTTAATGAGATAGAGAGATAACTCAACTCAACATCTGTTAGATACATAACATCTGTTTTTTTTTGAAGGAGGCGGAGGAGGAGGAAAATAAAAGAGAGATTGAGAAATTGAAATTTGAAATGAAAAAAACAACTGGTTTGAAAAAGTTGAAACAATACAATGGGGTAATTGTTCTTCGAACTTTCTTGAAATAAAATATTGTTTTTTGGAAAAAAAAACCAACTGTTTCGAAATATTTTTTGGAAAGTACTAGAAGCGAATTCGTTTGGCGAATTGTGTTGCGAAATCTTCTTATTCATAGAAACCGTTGCAGCAGCCAGACTTCCCCAAGATTAAGTAAAACAAAAATTTTCTATGAACTTGAAACATAACGGGCAACGCTTTTCTATGTTGATTGAAAGCCTCAAGTTAATTTTGTCCAAAATTGAGATAAAAGAATCTCTGAAGCCTGACAAACCCAATAATGTTTCATTAAAAAGCAAAAAACGGCTTCTCGTCATTTTTTCAGAAAGAAATAAACAAAATTGCGAAACAATTTTCTTTCGTCAAAGTTTGCTCATTTTCATTTTCACTCGAACATGACTAATCTATGAATGTATGATTTTGTGTCGCCCGAAATTTTTTTTTTCAAATTGAACAAAAAACAACAAAACAAAATTAATAATAAATTAAATCGTCCTTCTTCATTCAGCTAAAAAAAACATACAACCAAATAAATTTATTTCATATAAAATACCAGTGTTTGAAGAAATATTAGGTATTGCAAATATATGTAAAATATAATCAATTAGTGGATTTTTTAAATGATAAGAATTTAGTTAACTTTTTGTTTTGAATTTTTTCAAAAAATGTTTAGCAACTTCGACGGGATATGGAAAAACTATAGTGTTATTTCTGGCAGCCGAGATTTTTGTCAATGTTTGCAAATATCTCAATTGAATGGTCATTTTGTTTTCACAAATTGTATTTGCAGCTGCTTGCAAGTTTAAGCTAGCCTCTTTCTCTCCTTGAGCTGCTATAATTGCAGCTCGAGCATTTCTCACAGCTTCAGCTTCAGCTGCCATACTTCGCATAAGTTGATGTGGAAGTCGGATATCTTTGATCTCGACTCGTTCCACTTTTACACCCCAAGGATCTGTTCCTTCATCAAGAACTTTTTCAGAGATCTGAAAAAATGAATGAGTTTTTTTTCTGGAAATCTGGAAAAAATTCTTACACTAGCAATCGCATCTCTTTCACTGAGCATTTCACTCAACGTTTTTGTACCGAGAACATTTCGCAAAGTAGTTTGCGCTAATAGACGGGTACTGAATTGGGCATCATTGACATTTGTCACAGAAATGACCTGAAAAAATATTTTGAAAACTGGAGTTTGAATTCTGCGTGTTTTCAACTCTTGTTGACAAAAATCAATGGAAAAAAGTTTCTATTAATTTTTTTAAAATAAAAATGTCACCAAGAATATTAATTGAAAACTGCAAGAGTCTTCTATTCAAAACCAAAAAATCAACGTACCGGATTTGAAACTCTGAAATAAATAACCGCCTCCACAGAAACTGTCACTGAATCACGACTCAAAATTTCTTGCGGTGGAACATCGAATGATAAAACTCGAAGATCCACAATCTTCATTGTATCGATGCATGGCAAAACAAAAAATAGACCAGGTCCTTTGGTTCCGCCTCGAATTAATCGACCAAGTCGGAATATAACGGCACGCTGGTATTCTCTTGAAAAAACACGAATATTTATTTGATGCGAGATGGAAAGGGAATAACTTACTTGACGACTTTAACACAGAAAAACAAACACCAGGGAAATGAGAGAATAATTAGGAGAAGTGAAAAAATAAGCATCATGTGGGAGATCAACGGAGGAGGCTCCTAAAATGATTTTGAAAGGTGGATTATTGAAGTATATGGAATTCGAAATTTTGATATGATTTTTCGTTTTTTCCAAAAAGTGTAACAAGAAAATAACTAAACCTCACAAAAAATCAGAAAACCATTTTTCCCCCAAAACTCACCCGCTCCTCGTGGAGAAGATGCCTCGTCCGAATTAACCAACTCTGAGATCTCGCGCGCATTGGGATTTTCTCAATGGCATCCTAAAAAAAAATTATATTTAATTTTGGAAAACCTTGGAATCAAACACTTTGCTCTAACTCAGGCTAAAAACTTTGGCGCGCTTCTCAAATGACTGGAAGACAAACTAAAATAAAACTGAAATGTGAATTGAAATGAAATGAAATGAATGAATGAATGAATGAATGAATAAAATAATGAAACGGAGAAGAATAATTAGACGCGTATGCCTGGAAATTTCTATATTGTTTTTGCTCATCGCGCCGCGCGCCTCAACGACAATTTTGTGTCGCCTTTCACACCCCCTCATTTTTTTTAATTTCTCATTTTTTTCACACCAACCAAGCAAGCAATCATACTAATGATTGCCAATATTATTTTTCCTGTTTCTATATTTTTCCTGGCAGAAAAAAAATAAAATGTATTTATAGATAAATAAAATACTATGAAGATGAAAAAAAAATACTACGTCTTTGGTTATCGTAAACTCGATCAAATAATGGAAATTGGATCCGAAATTGAGAAGAAAATGAAATAAAATGAAAAAGGTGGGAAATTTTTGGAAACAGAGAATTCCGCAAAATGTACTTTTTCTATGGGAAAATCATGATTTATTTAGTTATTCAGATTTCTCCTCTCCCAAGACAAAAAAATGTAATTTTTTCCTCGTTGTGTTGAAAAAAGGAACTTTGATCGTTGAGAAAATGTTGCGGGGCTCAAAAATGTCTATTTTCTGAACGAAAAAAGTGCGAGGGAGTTGCTTAGTGAGTGACCGGAATTAGTATGACCCGGAAGACGTTTAGAGAGAATTAATTTGTTTTGAGTTGAGAAAATGTTGAGAAATGGCTATTTTGATCATGCTGAATGGGAGAAGAATGGTTGAAACATTTTTGGAAATCTGGAAATCGTTGAATATTTTTCAGCAGAGAACTGATTTTGGCGAAGTTATTTGATGTGATCAATATAATAAAAATGCAACCCAAACCTCCCACTCAAAATTTAATCAAATCAGGAAGTTGGATATATTTAACCACTCTCACAAAAGACCAATGCAAAAAAACCCACAGTAATCTATAATTCAGCTGCAATATAATTTCCTATTCCACCTGTTCAGCGCGTACGCCGCCAAATAAAGAACAAAAAATAAATGGTGGAATAAAAAAAGGAGAAAAGAACTCTGCAACTCTAAAAATTGATGGAAAACGGATGTGTTTACTCATGTTCATTATATTTTCCTTGAGTTTTTATTCTAGGATAAATCTGGAGAAACTGAGGCTGAATTTGTGGAACTGACTTGAGATGGATTTTGAAAAATCAAATAAAAAAATGAATATGATATTTGAATAATATAATCAAGATTTGAAATTGAAAAACATCTCAAAATCAATAATTTCAAAGAAAAAACATTAGGAAATTAAAGGTCTATACTACGTTTTTTTTCTAAATTCACAAAACAATACCCGTTTATGAGGCGGAACTTCTCCTCGATCCAAACCTAAACTTCTAGCGTCTGGAGCAAACAAAAAGTTGGGATTAATTGAGGCAGCCGGTGTTTGAACTTCATCTTTGACTGAAGCTGTACTACTTCGCCTTGAATCACCATCATTGCTATATCCGGTCTCTTCAGATTGTAATGTGTGTATTCGACGCATTATTCGTTGACGACGTTCGGTTGCACTCATTTTGTGCATTTTATTGAGTTGTGATGATGAAATTGTTGACGGTGAATTTGGGTTGACGTTTAACGACCCTTTTTTGTAATTCCAAATATGTGGATAACTAGAAGTTCATATAGTATCAGAAATAAACAAGAGAGAGAAAGAAAAAGCAAAACAAGAATCAGAAACAGTAAATTTTTTGAAATAATAGTTTGTTTGCCTTAAAACTATGAGGCATCTCTACTCTTCATATCATTTGAGATATTTCTGAAGGTTTAGTCTTTGTTTCAAATTGAAAATTCAATAATTTTTAATTAATATAGATAATTAAAATAACACTTTTTACTAAATAAAAAACCATAATTTTCCAATTCATGATTATTCAAAAAATTCTGAACAGAATTCAAGTGATTTTTTTTGTTTTGCAAAAATCACTAATTTTTGAAAAAAAAAATTTAAAAAAAAAACACAAAATCTAATTTTTCAGAACTTGAGTTTTCAAAAATGATTCATTATGAAAAGTGCATATTCATTGAATTGAAAAGTTATGAAAACAAATTCCAATTTTTCAAATTCTCACGGCTATACAAAAAAATTGGATGTTCAAAAAATTCTAAATTTTGATCAAAACAAAGAGATAAAAAAAATTCGAGAAATTAGTATACGAAAAATGGAACCAACAAGAATATCCAACATTTTTGAAGATTTTCACTAATTCAATCAGCCAAAAAATTTTACTTTTCACTTCAAAAGAAAAATGTTGACCACCGATTATAAAATTGTTTTTTTGTTGAGAATTTTCAAAAAGCAAAATTGTTTGTTTGTACATAAATAAACAAAAAAATGAAACTTTTTTTTAAAAACTAATGTAAGAAAAAATATTTTTTTTGACAAGAAGAATAGCTGCTCACAAGTGTTGTTATATGTTGTTTGGCACAGATTCTGTCATGTTTTTTGTCAGTGTAATATTAACATTAATGTTGAAAAATTTTAGGGAGAACAAAATTAACTAATAATGAAAAATGCTGGTTTTTGAACGGGATTATCCAAAAAATTGGCTTTGAGGATAAAGTTCGTGGGAACATTTTTTTTCATAAAATCATAGAACTAGAATTTTTGAAATCAGGAAGGGGAAATTTTCATAGAAAATTATATCACACAGTAAAATATTTACAAGAAACTAATCGACCATATGGACTTTGAAAAATAAAAATAGAATTTTTTTTTAATTGGACGTTGAAGACTGGTCGGAGTTAAAAACTTCACAAAAATCAACTCAATATGGGCCAATTTTGATTTTTCTAAAATTTTCACTAGAATGCAAAAAATATTTTTTTAAATAGAAAAAATTCAAAATTTCAAATTTGAAACGAAATTTGTTGAAAACAACAATTGCTCTGTTGTTCACAAAATGTATTATATGTGAGGTGAGTGAAAAATAAGATGATGATGATGATACACGAATAAATCATTTGGTGCAAAAAGAAGAAGAAGAAGCTCATTACGTCCAAATGTCGGTAAAATACGAAAAAAAGAAAAAAAAAGTATGTAGATAGGTAGACGAAAAATTGAGAAAATGTTATTTATTTCGAAAGGAGAGTAAAATTGGATATTCATTTGATATGTATTTTTATGGTTTTTGCACTTGTCGTTTTATCATGCAATTTTTTGTTACCAGGTATTTTTGGGGGGTTTTGAATGTGAAAATATGTTACTTTGATACTTGACTTATAAACTTGGTTTTCCAGTTAGTTAGTCTCTGAAAATCTAGAAGATAATTTTAGAAATATCAAAAATGTATCATTTTTTGATCCCTTTGAACTATTCAAAGAATTTCTTTGTGTGAAAGTACAGTTATAAATATATTTTGATCAGTTTATTTGGGACTCGGGGAATATTTATTACATTCATTTCACATAAATATGATTTTTGATGCGAAATATCAAAAGATCAAAATTACAAAAAAAACAATGAAAAACACTAGAAAACGCGCAGTCTGGGTTAAACCACCCTCTAATAGAGCCGCATTGAAAATTTGCCATTTTGAAATATTTATGAATAAAATACTCACCTCCAAATTGATTCCTGAACTTGCATGCGCCATTCCACGTTTTCGAACGCTTCGATGCCTGCAAAAATAACAATTTTACGCTGCTTTTTTTTTCAAAATTCGGCGGTTTTCTCAAATTTACATTTCATGAACTGATTATCACATATTTTTATGAATCATATGAACATAGATGAATATAGATAGAGAATGAAGTTTTTTGGAAAGAGAAAACAAAAAAGATCAAAATCACTGTCAGGAATCGCGTGCAAAACAGCAATTTTTCATTTTGAAATCGGTTTTTTTGTGCGAACAAAAAACTGATGAGATTCTTTTTTATCTACACAGATTTTCAAAAAAAAATATTCTAGACATTTTCTTGAGAAAAAATGAATATGCATAATATTTGAAAATGCACTTGGATTTAAATGTTTACGAAAATATTCTATCCGCATGGAAAATGTACATATTTGATTTGAGAATGATCAATAGAACATCAGTGATTTGGTTTTGACCTGGAGTATTCAAGAATTGTGAAATATGTTCGAGTTCGGCAGGGAGAGTTTGTAGAATATTCAGGGACTTGAAGAAAAACAGAACAATTTTTTGCAAAATTTTGAAACCGTAAAAAAAATTATTAAGATATGGTTTTCAGTTTTCCAACCTAGTACTTCAAACAAAACATTTTTGTGAGAGAACAATCATGGAATTTCAGAAATAAGTGAAATTTGAACTTCGAAGTGCATTTTTTCCAATTACATAAAAAAAAGTTAAATTGCAATTAATCAGAAATTTAACCTTTTTCTCAAGCCACACAATCAAAAACATAAGATCTTCCATCATAAAAAATGCTCTACCATACCTTCGAAAAGACTTCCGAACAGATCGGAAAAAGGAAGATGGTGAAGGTGTTGCCGCCAACATTTTTCCTAATTTTCAAAGATCCCTTCAGAATTTAATAAAATACTAGAATGTTATTTTCAGTATCAACAAAACTGATAGAATAAATAGAATCCTCAAAGAAAACGGCGTAGTAGAATAATAGCGTGTGTGTTTCTTCGTCGCCGAAAAAATAAAGAGCTCCGTCTATTGTTGGAACATTTCCGTCCTCCGATGATGATGAGCCAAAATTTCTAACTCTAATTGTTTTGTCCGCGTCCGATTTTTGTCCTCCCTCTTTTTTTTTTCAACTTATGTATGTATTGTCGTGTTTTGATGAGATGAGTAGCGAATAATATTAATAAAGAAAAAATTGAGAGAAAAAATGAGTAAAAATAAAATATCTGCGGGTAACTGAATAAGTCTCGGCGATTTATGGAAATTAGTTTTTCTCTATATTTTTCCGAATAAATGGATTAGTATGCGTGTAGTTTCGATTGCACTTTCCGTTTTCCGAGTTGATTAGATTTTATTATCAGAATATAGGTAATATATTATTATTTTTTTAGTAATCATGAATACATATGTCAACAAATAAGCCTAGGCTTGACGAAAAAAGAAATAGCAGTGGTTTCAGGTGTGAAAATAAATAACAAAACAGACAGGAAAGGCGGAGTCAAAATACTCACGCTCTTACTCATTAGTGCTCATCAGCAAAGATTTGGCTTTTGTTTTTCTTTGGTAATGCGGAAAAGGTTTTGTGTTGTTCCTTTGTTCGTCGTTGAGATGTCCGAAGTTGCAGAAGCCAGTAGAAAATTTCGGGCCAAATTTTGACGGGAAGAAATTTTTGTCACGAGATGTTTGTTTTTTTTTTCCTTTTCGGCTCATTTCAAATTTATGGATGATTCCGGATTCCGGATTTCGAGAATTTGTAAATGATGCAAGTTTTTTCTCATGAGTTACATGTACAAATATATATAGATTGGTAGACAAAAAAAGAAATTTCCTGTTTTCAGTCACTGACCTCAAGCGGAACTCAGGTTAATACAACTTTTTGGGCAAGATACAAACAATAATTATTATTGTTATGAACAATATGGGTTTTGTTGAGATAGAAAAAAGTTGATTGAAAGTTTTTTGTTAGGTTAGGGAAATACATATTAATATTCAATGCATGAGGACAACAGGTTTTTTGGAGTTATTTTGAACACCCTTTTCGAGGTTTGAACTCAAGGTTTTTAAGAAACTTGAACAAAATAAACGGTTTTTCTGAAAAAAAAAATGTTGAAGTTCTAGAAAAAACTGGACTCTCAAGAATCTTGATGCTTTTTCTAACTTTTTGTGGGGGGAAAATCGAATTAGAAAATTTATCTTTTTTTCTAAAAAAGCTGATGTTCTCTGATTTTCAAGTGGTAGAAAGTTTATCGACCAAATTTCTTTTGATCGATTATCTTTCGAATATCACTATTTGTAATTTCATCAGTTCCATTCACTTTTTTCAAAAAGTTCAACAAAGTCGCCCTACAATTTTTAAAAGACACTTATCTTCCAAACAAATCCTATTTCCCATCGTTTTTACAGACACCCAAAAAACACAATGTTTTTCGTAGCTCAAAAACTAATATGAACACTCCCATGGTTCTTAACTCAAAACTTGCACTTTTTCAAGACGATTTTCTCAAAATCTATAATTTATGAAAAAAAGAAACAAGCCGCAAAACAAGCAAAAAATATAAAAACTTTTTTCTCACGGATCTCAAAATTTCACTTCAGATTTATGTAGATCCAGATCTGGATTCATGAAAACTAAAAAAAATTTGAAGCTAAAATTTGGATGGGATAAAAAAGGTCAAAACGTATAGACTAAATGAATGAAAGAGTTAAAAATTAATGTGAGAAAGAAATAAATCTTTTTTCTCAAAGATTGCGAAAAAAAAGTAACCAACATTTGGCAACAAAAACATAAAGATTGATTACCTTCGATCTTTTCCAAAATTTTTTAGCATTATTTCTTCTTCAATTATTTCAGTTCAATCACTCACAAGTTGGATTCTCTTATGAGAAAACAAATAATTTTAACATGTTTTTCCTTCCGTTTCCTCACATTTTTTACAATCTTTGTTGCTTGTCAAAAATTCTGAATGACATGAAACAAATCATAGAGAAGTGATGAGATATTTGAGATGTGGCATATACCACATAATATGTGTTTTCATCATTTTTCCTAGTTCATTCGGGGATTTTTCACAAGTTGTTCAAGTAGACTTTTATGAGAAGTATGCAGATGTTTTTAAGTGAGAAAAACATATGTTTTTACAAAGGTTGCGGTGATATTAACTTTTTTTGAATTGACAGCAACTTTTTGACCAAAAGTTATTGAAAAAAAGTTGAAGGGGAAGTTGATTAAAACATTGGATTGATATAATTTGCATAAATTTTCAAAATTAAAATTAAAAATTTGAGAGAAATATTACAAAAACAAAAATGAAATATAATTCTTCAATTTCATACAATTCTTGCGCTAGAAAATAATCCACAGAATGTGTTTTCAGATTTTTTTCAAATCCCTGATTCTCGTTGATTGTTGTTTTTTTGTGAAATCAATCCAATATCTCAAAACTCATTATTTCCTGAGAATTCCAAAAAAAAGTCACAACTTTCTATACAGAACAAATCAGAAATCAATTACAAAACATCTAGCATATTTTAAATTTACCTGCAAGTCAAAATCTAGAACAGAAATTATTACCAAAACACAAATCAAAGAATCAAAACTCACAACGACCAATGTCTTCTCAAAGGTTGCTGAACATACATTCTTGAGTATTTTCGAACATTACTAGTAAATCCCAACAAATCGTCAAACATATTTTAGTTAGAATAGTATTTTTCAAGGTGTGACCAAAAAATGACCAAGAATAATTATGAACTCGAACCAATTTTTTTCAGGACCCAAGAAAAACAAGAATGAATTGTTGTAATAACAATGGAACAAAAAATCAGAAAAAAAAACAAAGAAATATAAATATGTTTGCTCGTGGGAACATAGATATTTGAGATTCTTTCAAATTTTTTTGCAATTCAAAATTATTATTATTATTTTTCAGAAAAAAAATAGTAAAAAAAAAGCTACCACCCTGGTTGCACGGTGAAAGAACTCAACTCATTGTCTAAAATCGTATGCTCAAATGAACTTACTTTTGCGGTTGGTTATTGCTTTCAATAGACAAATTTTGACTATATTTCCGCATCATTTGACCTCTCCTTTTGTTTTCCATATTCATCTCCATATCCTGAAAAATGTTTCATTTTCAAAATCAGAAAAAAAAAAGAAATCAAGAATCCAAGAAAAATGTTTCCTTCCTCAAAAAATCTTGATACACTTGAATGAATTTCGAAAAAGTATAATTTGAAAAAAGTATATTTTTATTTGTGTATTTTGTTGGTGTTGGAATATGTCAAGTCAGAATTTTGATAGTCCTGAAACTTCGATTGTTTCGGGATTGAATAATGATAATATTTTTCTGCAAGTTAATGGAGTTGTGAGTTTTTATTCATATTTAAAAGTATCAAGATATTCGAAAAACTGTTCCACGACCTCAAAACTAGCTCATATTTGTTCTAGGAAGAACAAGAAGACAAGAAGAAAGATGAAAACAGTGGGGTAACATTCGAAAGTATTGTTGAAAGTGCAGATGATGATCATATGGATAGTGATCATCAACTTCAACTGATCTTGGATTGTATTCTACCACCTAGGTAATTTTTTATTTGAAAAATTAAAGTCACTTCAGAAAATTTATATATTTTTTTTTTTAGAGTTTATAAAGAGAATGGCAAATTATGGAAGCAACAAGCCTCTTTACACCCAGCAACACGGCTTGACATGGTAAGAAAAATGAAAAGACATTTTCATTTTATTTCATATGTTTATTTTTTTCAAAAAAAAATGAGCTAATGTATACATTTTTTCGACATTAGTAGAAAAAAACAAGATAAAAAAGTTTTTTCAGGTCAATTTGGAAGAGAAATTGGAAATTGAGTTGAAGGAAAGAGGAGCAAAACCATTTGGGATTTGTCCAATTCGACGCGATTTATATAATCAGTTTTTTGGTGATTACAACATATGAAAAACCGGTTTGAAAAAAAAGTTGGGATAAAACTATGCATTTTTAATGTTCAAGTTTCAAGCGATAATTAAAAATTGAACTTTTTGTTAAAACTTAAAGTGCAGTCTTTTGGAAATTGGAAAAAAATGTTTATTTAACGTTTTTAACTTATCTGAAAATGATGACATGTTTTTTGAACTCAAAATAATCCAAAATCTGTTCTTACCAATTTAAAGTTCAATTTTGCAGATGAATTAATCAGACAAGTTAGCGTATCTTGTGCTGAAAGAGGTTTACTCTTGGTTCGAGTTCGTGATGAAGTCAGAATGACATTGATGGCGTATCAAACGTTGTTGGAATCAGCAATTGCCTATGGTAATTTTTTCATTTTGTGACGAAAATTATGATTTTTACTTTTTAGGAGTTCGGAAGGCTCTTTATATTGAAAATGAGCAATCTAGAGCTGCAACAGAATGGAAACTTCAAAAAGAGAAAAATAAAGAACTTATTTTGAAGGTAAGATTTTTGAACCCACATAAAATAAACAAGATATATTTTCAGATAGCTCAACTCGAAAAAAAGATGGCAACAGATAAGATAGTGAGTGAAGAAGAATTGGAAATAGTGGAGCAACGAATGAAAGACACAAACGAAAGATTAGTTGAAGCCAATCGAATTTTGAAGGTAATAAATATTCGCTGGGTGTCAGCTAGTTGAGATAAAATGAAAATGATGGCACAAAAAAAATGAACACACAACAATTATTCTTTTCTTTTTTTTTACACTTGGTTGTTTTCAGAATCAACTACAATCTATTTTACAAATGGATGATATGTCTCATGTGAAAATTGGAGATGCAGTGAATCAATGAATTTTTATTTGCATATTTGAAATATTGAAAATTATTTTCCATTTACATATTTGTCAATATCGTCTTGAAGAGTTTGAATAAAAGCAATTGAACCGCATTTGAAACTTGTTGTCTCGTAATGTTCTTCTCTCCAAGTTTCAATTTCGTTCCACAGGCTATTCTGAAAAAAATTATAATTGTTTTCAAAAATTCTAGAAATCCTGATATTATCAGGCTGATAATTTCAAAAAAACACTTTCGGATTTTTTTTCGAAATGTTTATTTTATCAATCGAAAAAGCCCCGGTTTAGCATCCCAGATTTGTACCTTAATAATTGCTTTCAACGATCCAAACCATACTCGATCCATATCCGGAAGCAAAAACTGATAAACAGCCTGAAAATGTCTAGTTCCAGTTTTTTTCAATTCACAAAAAAACCCTCTCTTTAAATTTTGACATCACTCAAAAACATAATTACCATTTCATTTATTCTATGGCCGATAGGAGTGTTGCTGTTCAACCCAAAATGAATAGCACGTGCAAAATATTTTCGAGTCTGAAACAAATATTATTCTGTCATTGAAACATCACTGATAAAAAGAAATGAAACAAAACAAACAAATTCCGATTGTGTATAAACTTGTTCCATCAAACTGTAGGCAATGCAATGCAAATTGGTTTCAGTCAGTTGATAATAATTTGGCCAAATTTCTTCGCGATCACAACCAAATGATTTGAAAGCGTAGAAAAGCACATTTTCAAAATTTTCAATTTGCTCTTCCAATGGATAATCGTCCGCTTCGTCCATTATTTTTATTATAAACTGGAACAAGATGTTTAGTGTAAATAGGAACATCTTCTGGTTGTAGACTGTATGTATTTAAAACTTGAAAAAAAACCTGATTCTTTGAATATTCCGGTGATGCTCTATCAAGCGCTTCCATTTCTTCCAACTCATCAACTTCTTTCGAATTTTCAGAAAGATGAATCGCTTTTTGAACCAAAAAATGAGTAATTGTGTGATCATTGATAATCTCGTCAATTTGACTTTCCTCTGAAAAGTTAATTAATTTAGTAATTCAAATTCTACCATGAGAAAAACAACCAGATCCACTTCCATATGCCGAAACCAGAACAATTAGATGAATAAATACAAAAATTTTGAGAGTCTTCATTTTTTTGAAGCTGCAAAACTTTTGAGTGAGTCAGGAATTAGGGATAGGAATGAGAAAAATGTTTATACAGAATGTCCGAGAACAAAGTTCGAAAAGCCATATGTTGCGAACTGGCACCAACACATTTTTTTCGAAGATTATAGTTTGTATCGAATTACAGCAATCGAAGATCGATTGTCACGTGACAAGCTGAAATGTTTTGAAAAAAGATTCTGGAAAATGAAGGAACGACAAGTTAAAAAAACTAAGAACATTTTTTGGATGAAAAATGTTGGAGCATAAAATAAAACTGTTGTGAATAGAGTTTTATAAAAGCATTGTTGTGCATGATAAAATTAACATTCAAAACTTTTCAAATTAATGAAATGAAATTGAATTTGTATCTGATTTTTCACTATTTTTGTTCAACTTTCAGATAATGGCTATATTCTGTATATATTTATTTTTTCTAATTGTCATGAGCATAGTTCATCTGATAACGATTTTAAATGGTGGTCAATTTTAAAAATAGAAATATTTCTGGTCACTAACCAATGAGCACAAAAAATGACAGCTTTGGAATTAGGTGCGGAAAATATATGAGAGGAACAACCCAATGTAAGGAAAATTTAATGTATTCTCTCAAAAAATCACGTGGTAAATCAAATGATTTGATAATTTTAATTACTTGTTATAAACCTGGTTTGATTTTTAGAAAAAAGTGATTTTGTAGCCATCAAGCTTTAAAAGCAATTTTTTTAAACATATTCCAATTGTTCTTCACTGACTCACATCAAAATTTATTCACTAATGGTTTTTTTTTGCAAAAAAAAATAGGAAACACTTTGTCTCAATATTTATTTTCAATTCTTAATTTTTGTTCAAAAACTGTACAATATCAAAATTTCTCATTTATTTTATCTCTTCATTGAGTGGGTTCCATTCAATATCAGACCATCTTAGAAAATCAAACAAAAAACGAATAAACGCCCAGAAAAAGTTTCATTCTTTTGACACTTCGTGAAAAAGCATAAAACCTCAAGCGCTCTATGACATAAACAGTGTCTAACATCTCCCTGATAAGAAAGTGCAATCTACAGCAATTCATTGAACACAGATTGTTAATTATTATTATTTTTCTAACATATTTTTGTTATTTCATTTTGAAACTATGGGTTCTTCAGACACTGAAAATATATACAGTTTGGAAGGTTGTAGAACACAGGTAAGATAATGAACTATTTGTAATTAAAAAATTTATTAATTTTAAGGTTGGAGGTCACACTCCTTTCATTCACCTGGATGATGAGCATTTACTGAAACCTTGCTCATTGAGAGAAATTCAGTTTTATGAGAGAATGCCAATTGCATTAAAACCCATAGTTCCCATAGTGTGTGCGGTATTCAAGGTAACCCATTTTTCGTTTTTTTGTTCTCAATAATGTTTTTTTCTAGAACAAAACTCCTCAATTGACAGCTCTTCGCTGTTTGAATTGCTCGAAAACTGCCGATAAATTCCATGAAATTATCAAAAAGATACCACCATCAGTGATAAATTCACCAATTTTAAAGGAAAAACAATTGAGCCAGTGAGAGTTCTCATTGATTCATTCTTTTCAAAAACTTGTATATTTCAGACATTTTCTGGTTGTTGATGATTTAACAAAAGGGATGAGTTCAATGAGAATTATTGATTTAAAATTGGGAAAACGATTTTATGCAATTGATGCAAGTGAGGAAAAAATCAAAAGGAAGATCAGAAAAATTCAAAATACAACATCGCTTATTTGTGGAATACGATTATCAGGTAATAGTGATAGAGTGGGGAGACTTAATGAAAAAAAAATTATGTCTTATAGGAGTACTGTATCGGGAGACAAAACGAGACTGGAAAATTGGGAAAAATGAAGGTAATAGATTGAAGATGAGATTTCTTGAAAATTGTTTTGTATAACTTTCCACTGGTACAAATTCCATCATTTTTTCCAGGTCGTGCAATGAAAATGGAGCAGCTCGAGACCACTCTCCAACTCTTTTTCAACGTCCCTCTTGAAGTACGAGAAATCCTCTCAAGTAAAATCGAGGAAATGATCCGAATCATTCGAAAACTCAACGGCCTTCGTTTATTTGGCGCTTCCCTTCTTGTGACAATCGATGTTGAGCAACTAGTTTGTCGTGTGAAACTCATTGATTTTGCAAATGCCGCATTCACAAATCAGCCTGAATTTTGTGGCCCAGATATTGAAGCTATCCTGGGTCTCAATTATATATTACAAATCTTGAATAATACACACGCATAATACATAAATTTATTTCAAAGCAAAAGAAGAACCAATACTTTTAATTTCAAAAGTATTTCAAAAAAAGGAAATTTCATACCCTCCCCAGGCCTAGAATGGCAAGAAAATAATCGATAATAATGAAAAATAATAATAATTAGAATTAGACGCTAAACATTTAACGCATACTGTGTTGATGATGAATTTTTTCTCCAGAATGCGATGATTCTTGTTCAAAAGTGGCCGCATTGTTCAATAAAATGTCACGAAGTTCCTAAAGATTATACATTTTTTTTTTTGAAAATTCAACAAATTACTCACCTTATCGTTCAAGTCACCAGTGTGTTGTTTAGCCCAATGTTTTTTGGGTGGTTGAATATTGCGAAGATGTTCACCAGGTTGAACAACCATGAAATTGATAACATCGGAAAGTGAAATGACACCCTCGATACCGCCATTTTCATTGACCGCGCAAAGACGATGCACATTATGGTCAACCAAAACATTGACAGCTTTCCAGAAGCTTTCGGTGTCTCGAACCGAAACGACACGTTCGTCACTCTAAAATCATACATTATTGTTTTTCAAACCGGAATCTGTAGACTTTTCAGTTACCTTCATTGGACCTGCTTGATTTTTGAACGCCAACGCTTCCTTAACAGTAATATCTAAACGATTTTCAAGAGCAATTCCAACAGCATCAAATCTTGAATACATATCAACAACTTTGAAAGTTTCTCTCTCAACGACTGGCAAACCAGAAACACCCTTGTTCAAGAGAATGTCGAGACAATCAACGAGCTGAGTGTCTGGAAAGACGACACGGATTCCACTCCATGTTCCGATTCCTAGTTCCTTGGGGGTTTTGTGCAAATAATCCAATGGTGCCAAGTGTTTGCCCTAAAAAGTTATTGATTGGGGCGTGAAAAAATGATTGAATTTCGAAATTGTTGTGATCCCCTACAGAAAATCGAAACAGTTTTTGTTTAGCATATTAGCCCTCATTGTTATGACCTCTTTTCAAAAAATTGGCCTAATCTGTAAGATTGGTATGTCTAAAGATCAAAGTGTCACAAGAATTTTTGTATTTTATGAAAAAAAATTCGAAAAATGAGACTCCATTCTCCAAATAAACCTAATTCTAAAGTATTGTACTTTTTAGTACAAAGTAAGGTCAAAGTCAGAAAAATGTTTCACTTGAACTTCTAACCCGAACAATTCTTCCTTGTTATTTTTTAATTTCAATTCAATTTTGACGTAGATACACATAGAGCACTACAATCGGATTAGAGCCGTGTTTTAAGCTCTGAAATCGGATTAAAATCTTCCTCTCACTCGAATAAAATTAGAAAATATACTAAAACTCACAAAAAGCCACAAGAATTTCAAAATTCTTTTATGAGTAAGAATGAAAAGCGCCGAGCCATCCTCTGGATCAATAACTGGAATACGATGAACACGATGTTCGGCCAAAATGCAAGCGGCGTCCAAAAGACTTTGGCTCGAATCGATTGATATCAATGGTCGCAAATTGCCTTCCTTCTTCAAAATTTCACGATATTGACGGATTGTCATGTTTCCGATTTCTTCGTTGGCAATTTGTGATAAATCCAAGCCTGACATCTTTTTCTCAATTTCCATTTCATCGCCGCTTTTTTGCTTGTTCGTTTTTTCACTGCAAAAATGTTCTGATGAAGATTTAGGTTTTGATGATGAAATACTTACCGATAAATTTTGAGCATGACTTTGATAAAATCAGTTACACTGAGAATTCCATCTAAAAGACCACCTTCTTCTGGATCAGACAGAAGAACATGTCGAGTGCTTTGAGCAAGAAGACCATTGAAAGCTTTGTGCATCAATAATTCCTGATCAAAAACCACCATTTTTGAGCTGGATGGCATTGCTTCGTAACATTGATTGATCCATAAAAGTCGAGCGAATGATCCTTTATCTTCAGACTGCAAAAGAATTCCCTCGGTTGAAAAACCTTTGGCGTGGGTAGGTAAACTTACATTTTTCGGAAGAAATTCGTCAGATTCATTCAATGTTGTAGATTTGGAAGATGCCAAATGATGATCCTTAGACATGTTTTTGCTTCTGCAAAAATAAACGATTTTTATTAGACTTTTAAACTTTTGCAAAAAAAAAAAGAAAAGATCGTTGATTCTTCTACGTAGCAGACGAAAAAAAAGAAGAAGAGAAAGGAAAAGATGAAAAATGTGAGAATTCTGCGAAACTCACACAAATAAAATATGTACAAATAAAATCGATAAAAATGATAAGAAAATGGTAGCAGCCCGTTCTATGCAAAAGTTAATTCATACGTGATGATTCGCATGAAAATATTAACATAAAAAGATACGGTATAGAAAAATACGTTGCATCCAATACAATAAAAATTATTTTATTGTTAATGTAATTTCCCATGGTATACGGTATTTTATTATACTATTCTATTTATTTTTTTGGTTAAAAAAGTAAAGTAACGCAACTCCTATTTCTCTCTAGGGATTAGGCCCCTGTTTGCTATGAAAAAACAAACAATTTTTGGCAAATATTGAAAAAAAGATGATTTTTATGAACTAATTGAAAAGGAAAATGTGACTGAAAAGGGAAAATTGAGAAAAATCTGGCTGTTCAAGGTCGTGGAAATGAAGAAGTAAAAAAGATCAAACGTCAGAATGGGTTTGTCTAACTGAGTGACTGACTAAAAAATAAATATGAATATGCATGATTGATAATCGGGTTAGTTTTTTGGAGAATTTGGAGGAAAATGTGATCGATGAAACCGTTTTGAAATGGAGCACAATTGGTACAAAGTCTGGTGAAATGTTGATTGAAAATCATAAAGATAAATTATGACAGACAACAAATGTTGTTCTCCATTCAGATTCTCTGATACTTGCGAATAAGAAATAACTAGTTTTGCTAATTAGTAAGTTTCGCAAATTTTGCTACCAGACCTGCGACTAAAGAAGTCAGTGATGTACATTGACTAGCGCAAATCTGCGAAAACCATCACAAAAGAGATCTCAGACTTGATTGTTGCGAAACTGTGTCAGAGTTCGGCGGATTTGACAACTATTCTCCCCATCTCTAAAACCTCAAAATATGGTCTGGTTTGGAGCAAAAACAACACGAAAATGTGCTCTTTTTTACCGATAATAAAAAATATGAAGAGGTCAGCGACCTTTTTGCCAATACATAATGTAAACAAAAGGTTCAGAGCAAAAACATACAAGGAAGACCAAAAATGTGTTTTTAATCTTCAATTAATTTTTTGATCGTAAAGTCAAGGTTAAAAAGACACATGTAAGTAGACAATCTTCAGTTTTATATAGAACAAAAATGTGTTATTGTTTTAACGGAGAAAATAAAACAAAAGTTTTTGTTTCTCTTTTTTTCTTTAAAGCGAAAAATAATAGAAAAAAGCTTCTATACACACATAAAATTGATTGAAAAAGTAAAAATCCGAAATTCTGAGAACTAATAAGAAACAAGCAAATATCAACACACCAAATTGAATAACAAAAGTGCACGAGAGAGAAGAAAAAAGAAAAGAGTATATGTAAATGAGAGGTAGCAGGCATATGTTTCTCACAGGGACGCGCAAACAATACTCCGCCCGTAAGCCTGTTGTTTAGCAGCGTTGGCATTTACTATTTTAAATTTTTTTGTTGCTGTTGGTTTTTTTTTGGGTTGATAACGTTAAATTTCGTTAAAAACGATAATTTTCAGAAAAAAATGAAGGGCGATGAACCTGCTACTTATCCAGTTGATGCAATTCATTATGAGTTTCCAGTAAGAGATGTAAGTTTGGTTTTTTTGTTTAGAAAGTAAAATAAAATTTTTTTTTCAGTTTACTGAACAAGAAGTTTATGATGATCCGGTGGTTTACGAAGATTCAAATGTTTATTATGAAGATGAAATAGTTACCGGGCAGGAGTTGGATTATGTTGATGGTGAGATAATTTGAGAGAGATTCACAATCAGAAAAAACAAGAATCCTCAAAAATATATATTTTATACGTTATATTTCTAGAAAAATCTATGACACAAATCAGAGGTCAAAATCTATGAAAATTTATGAATTGTTTTCAAATAAAAATTTTTTATACATAGAAAAACGGAGAGGAGTTTGATGATGACAAATCCTGTGATTGTTTCGTAACTCCAAATAAAATCAACCATTTTTGTTTATTTCCAGAACCCTTTGATGAAATGAACACCGATGTGCGATTGTTGATGTATCCACAACAAAGAAAATTGAAAGCGTTCCGTCAGATGAGAGCTCTCAATAACAAAACTGGCCGTTTGCCGATTTATCGAATGACTGAACAACAAATGCTGAAAGTTCCAAATATGAATTTTGACATTTCGAAGACATTGGTCGATCAAATAAACTACCCAAACTATGAAGTTCAACGAAACTATTTTCGTGACGTTGAGCCAGAAGAGCCACCAGCAGTTCAAATGCCTGTTGAGGAAACCGTGAGTTTTTTTTTTGAAAACTTGTAATTCAAAAAATGAATCATGCTTCATCAAACTATTTTTTTCCAGTCAACCCATCTTACTCCACTTCCTGACAAATATTTTGTCCGTCGTGGAACTGGAGATGCAGCAAGTGTTGGCCTTCACGCATTAGCCGTACTCTGCGATAAATGTCTGATTTGCTTCCGCACAAAAACCGCCTATTCAAAACATCACGAATTGCACAAAGTCACCGATGATCCGGAAAAATTATTGTGAGTAGAAACTAATTTTTCTTGCAAAATATAATTTTTTTATAGACCGCGCACTCAAATTGCATGCCCAATGATGGAATGCGATGTTCGAGCCGATTGTTTGGCCACATTAATTGAACACGTGAAAATTTGTCATGAGCGACCTGATATGTGTTTCGAATCGATTGAGTTCACTGATCTTGATCAATTTAAGGTAACTTCAAAAGAAAAAGGAGACAATTCGGAAAATAAATATATTTTCAGAGATGGAAAGGTGAAATGGAACGTTTGACAATGTCCAGATACACAAGAAGTTCAGGAAAACACAATGTTTTCAGTAAATCGACGTGAGTTCTTTTTCCTTATCGTTTTCGCGGAAAGTAATTAGATTTTTCTAGATATTTCCATTGTCATTATTCTGGTTCTACACCAGGTACCAAGCCCAATCAGCAACGAAATCGAGCAAGTAAAAAAATGGGTAAAAGTTGCACCGCATTTTTCCACATCAAAGAAAAGGAAGATGGGTTAGTAATTCTTATAAAATGAAAATTGATTGATAATCAATAAATTCAATATTTTCAGCAAAGTTTTGTTACGCGGATGTGTGAAACATGTGGGACACGAGCCAAATGTTCGAACAATGCCGCTCTCGGATATTATCAAAAAGGAAATCGCTACGTATTTGCTCGAAGGTCTGAATGAACACGAAATTGTTGATTTGCTTAGAGGTTTGTTGTATTTCAAGAGACGATTTTGAACATTTTATGAAAAATATTTTTTCAGAAGGAAGTCAGCAAGATGATCGTCGACACTATATTCAAGCGTATGAAGTTCGGAATGTGCATAACAAATTGGTTAAGCATCAATATAATATGGCAGCTGAGGTGAGTATTTTAAGAAAATATGTATATTGGATGAGGGTTGATTTTGTATACAATGTTCTGTTAGCTAATTCTCTCAAATATTTTTTCAAACGTCTATTTTCAGGAGCCGGATCAAGATTATTTGTCGCAAGAAGAAATGGTAGAGTATGAAGCACGTCGACGTGCAGCAGCAAATCGCGCTTCACCAACAGCTACACCCAAACAACCATCACCAATACCACCACAAAAACAACCATTGAAAGATGCAAAAGAAGAAACAGTTATGGAAATTACAGAAGAAGCATATGCGGTGAGCTTTTTCATGTGTTTTTTGTCAAACTCAAATAATTTATAGATTGCTCCACCGTACGCTGCTGTCGAAGAAGTTGCATCCGCTGATTATGTTGATGAAGATGAAGATGCAATTCCACTTGAACCGGATACTGAATTGACGAAGGAGATTAGAAAACGGACATTCGCGGAAATGCGCGAATCATCACCGATTTCTTCAGCTCAGGCAGCTCAGGCTACAGTTGATGTCACTACTTCCAAAGCTCTCGATCCTAACGCGTTTACTAAAAGAGTGAGTTGTCTGAAATTTTCACTGACAGTTAAAGCATAAAAAATAAATTTTGTTTCCAGAAATATGATCCAATCACTGGACTTCCTGTTAAAAGAGGACCAAAAACGAAAGCGCATCGCAAACTGCTTGAAGAATATCATAAAGAACAAGCTAAACACCAAGAAGCCCTGAAGGATCTGAAGACAAGATCCTCAAAAAAGAAGTAACTTAAATCCATTGATATCATTCATTCACAAATTTTAATGTACATATATTTTATTATAATAATTGTTCCAAAAGCCGATTCTTCTGTACCTTTCCACTTGCTGATTTTGGCAAATTCTTAAGAAAACTAATACCACCACGAAGCTGTTTTATAGCTGATAGTTTTTCTGAAACCATTTTTTTTTTGTTATTTTTGATTATTATTAATGTTATTATAAAACCACTTTCTAACCTCTCAACACATGCTCTAATTGTTTGATGAATAAGAGTTCTTCTGATCCCTCTTCGAGAACTATGAATGCTTTTGGAAGTTGACCGGATAGTTCATCTTCAATTCCAACAACCGCAACTTCAACGACTTTAGAAAGCGAGAGAATTACGTTTTCCTGAAATATATTGATGATTGTCACATTAGAAAAAATGTTTGCACAATGTTCAACTCACAATTTCGGTTGGTGAAACTTGGAACCCATTAACCTTTATCATATCCTTCTTTCTATCCACGATGTTGAAAAATCCATTATCAGATATTTCAACAATATCCCCACTTTTCATCCAACCATCAGCGTCAATATTCGGCGATCCATTCTTATAAGTTTTCATAATAGCATCAGATCGTAAAAATAATTCTCCATCAAATCCACTGAGCTTTGCTTCGAAGCCTGGAAGCAACTTGCCACAACTCCCAAGATGCTCAAAATTATCATTCAATGGCGTGAGATTGCTTAAAACCACTATTTCAGTCATTCCGTAACCTTGGAGAAAGTTTGTGACTTGCGGGAACATGCTCAAAAGTCGTCGACACCTTTCCTTTGAAAGTCCGGACGATCCACAAAGTATTGTTCTAATAGAAAATGAACATTTTTTGAGAATATTTTAAAAGTTACCTTAAACTACGACATCTTCCCCCAATGAATCCAATCTTTAAAAAAACATTTGCAATCACCGGAACAATATTAATCGTATCAATCTGGAATTATTTAATTTCCGTACATTTTTCTAGATGAAAGGTTGAAAAAAACCTCATATTTTTCGATCATATCCATCATTTTCATAGGATGAAACTCATTCATGATGTAAATTGTGCATCCTTCAAGCAAACATAATAAAAGAGCCCAAAATCCAGAAGCATGATAAAATGGTAAAAACGCCAAGGTTTTCTTGTTACTCTCTTTTAAAAGATCATCGAATACTGCTCTAAAATTTGCAAATTAGTCTCAAGTTAGTTTAAAAAAAACCTACTGTTTCAAAGAATAAGTGCTAGCAAGAAAATTTCGATGTGTTAGAAAGCAACATTTTGGCGAGCCAGTTGTGCCACTGGAAAATGGAGCAAGAAGAACATCATCGATTGTGATGATTTCAGAATTGTTTCCAGATTCGTTTTTGGATGGATTTACAGAGAAGTTGTTGTCAAATTCTTGGAGAACATAAATTGGAATTCCAACATCAGATAGTCTATCAGATGTTTTTTGATCAGTGTATAACATTTTAGCACCGCTTTCTTGGATGAAATATTGAATCTCGGCTGGAAATTTGGAATATAGTGGTTTTTTTTAAATTCAAGCTCTATAAAATCTCCGTTTTTCTCACTTTCTGTTGATTCACTTGATATTCCAGACATTACAACTCCAAGTTTTGCCGCCGCAAGAAACAAAAGTGGAAACCAAATCGAATTTGGCAAGCAAACCAAAATCACATCGCCTGAAATTCCATCCCTATGACTATTTTTTCAAAAAATCACTTTACCTTTCTCAAGATCAATAGTATTTTCCAAACTCTCAGCAAGTTTTGGAATCTCATTAAAATAGACGATTTTCTCTCCATCAACAAGAGCTATCCGATTTTCAAATTTGTTGATATTTTCCAGAATCAGATTGTGGAATAAAACAGAAGGATAGTAGTCCGACATTTTCACAATTTTCATTCAAAATACCAATAAAATTTGCAACCATACAATACAGTACCCCTTTGATTACCATCCATTATTTTTTATATTTACATTTGCTCTTTTTCTTCATTTCAAAACGCGAAAAAAATTAGCTTAAATTATTGAATTTGGAACTGGTATATGATGAGTAACAATAAATAATGCTTTGAACTTTGCCTCTTTTTTTTCTTTCAAAAAGATCACATCATAAAACGAGAAAAGCCAAAAGTTTACCCTTTCCGCAACTTATTTGCGGTAAATGTAAATATAGCCGCATTTCACGCAGTTCTTATTGACGATTTTTCCTAATTTGTCCTAATAATGATGATGAGGAGAGGTGGAACGGGAAAATGAGCAAAATGGAAACAGTAAATGAGGAAGAAGGAAGTGAACAAAATAAATATGGATAAGGTTACAATTAGTGAATTATTCGGACGACTTTTTGTTTTGTTGGTGTTAGAAAAGAATCTATAGTGCATAATTAACCCTGAACCAAAAAAAATCGATTGTTTTTGAAACAATTTTATCACACCATCAATTGCAGAATCTCAAATTTTTACACGTTTGGATAACATTTTAAAATTAAAAATTTCACGCTCCCTTCCACTGCCCTCCTTCATCACTCAAAGTTCGATAACAAAATTGTAAACCTCTGAAAATAGTAACTATTCAACATCGTTCTAGGCTCCTCACAAACACACACAAACACCATTATTTATTTTTGCATCTATTTTCAGCGTGTTCCTTTTTTCCTCACGCATTGAATATGTTTTATTGGTCGAACATAACACTTGTATTTTGTTAACTTACCTTACCTTACTTACTTTTAGCATGTCTCACTCAAAAACTCATTTTTCATGCTACTCGTCATTTTATGTACACAGTAGACATATTCCAGTTTTGATTTCATTTTATATTAATTTGTCTTCTTCTCACCTCTAGCTTTTGTTGATTTTGTTACTACTATTAAAACGGTTACTTTTCAAATTTCACGAGCTCATTTATTTATTTATTTTTTGTTTTTCCCTTGATGTTTGTGTTGAAAAAAACGGAACAAGAATTAAAACAAATGCAACTATTTCAAATAACAAATAAATACATTGAACTTCCGCTGGTCAGTCTTTGTAGTAATTAGTCTTTTTGAACAACAAGTTGATGATCTTTTGAGAAATAATACTTACTGTTTCATTTTTTCTTTGCACTGATTAATCATATGCTCTAGGAATGTGTGTGTGTGTGTACATTGATACTTTTGAATGGGGAAGTGTTCGTTGAGCGACTAATTATTTTGTTTGCATTTTATCTATGATATGTCTTTGATCAGTTTTTAGTATTTTCAATTTTCGGAAGATATTTGTGTCAGTTTTTTAGACATTCAGAATGAATTTCATTTTATTGAAGCATACTTTTGAATTGTTTTTTTTTTGAAAATTTTTTGTAAAAAAAATATGAAACAGTTAACTTTTTTTTTTAGAAATTTACATTCCTAACTTTGAACTCCTGATCTGTTTTAGAATAACAAACTACAAGCGAAACCTTCTAAAAGAAAACAAAGAAATTTTTAAACTTTTGAAACTCATTCCAAATTTTGGAAAACTGTTGTTTCTTAACTCCACGATTTCGAAAATTTCGAAAAAAAATTCGAATGATTACTCATTCCAGACATTTATAAATAACTCGAAACATGCACAAAACCCGCGAAATTAACAGATCGAAACCAGTTGTAAAGAGTTCAATGTCACTTCGAAAAAAATAGATACATGATATTTGTGCATACAGAAGGGAAACACACAAAAAAAGTGCGCGAGATATATATTCACACATGCTTTTTCCTCCAATAACGAGTAAAAGAATGTGAGCACAAATAACCGGCTTTTTCTGATACTTTTTTCTTTTTTTCTCTTTTTCTCAATCTTTTCGAGGTCGCAGCACAACACCGTTGAACTCTTTGAGAAGAAATTGAGAGAAGACAAATGTTACCAGTTTCAATGCTTGATACTTTATGATATTTTTTTTGTTCGTTTACTTTTATAATCAACCATTTTTTCTTGTTTTTTCTTATAGACTGGAAGAAAATGTTGATGGTTGATGAACAGTTGAAAATTGGGGCGACACAGTTTAGTCCGACTGAGAAACGTGAGTTCAAGAATAATTTTCTAAAAAAATATTTTTGGCCAAAATCCAACTCAAACATCAGCCCCACCAAAAGAAAAATACTCCCGAACAACTTGTTTCTTGTTAAAATGCACTATGTATTTTGTTCAAACAAAATCCGAAACAAAAAAAATCATTCTAGGCATTGTTTCTCTTTCGGAAGATATGGAAAAAATCAGCGATTCGGATAGTATTCCATCACCAACTCAAACTGACACTTTTGTTGTCGCCTGGATACATGAACCGCGTGCCACGTAAGAATCTCACATTCAGATTTTGATCTCTCACATTGTCAATAAAAATTGAATTTTGCAGAAATTTTTTCATCCGACTTGTCACAAGTTTGTACGCATTAATTTTGACAATTGTATCTCTAGTTGTTGAAGTGTCACCAACATGGCGAACTGATATGTGGATAGCTGAAACGGTATTTTATTTACTAATGTATGGAACAGGAATATTATTCTTCATCTATTGTTATATTTTCATAATTTACCCGACACCCTATAATTATTTGATATCATATTTACGAAAACGAAAATTGATCAAAAACCCTGAACGATGGATTATTTTAAGTAGCCCGCATAATGGAGAAGGCGCTGGAACATTGTATTTACGATTAGGCGCACTATGTGAGTTCTTATTCATTAAAAAAATTTTTTTTAGAGTTTTTATAAACTTTTTTGTAGTTTTTGGAAGCGTTGGAATCGTGTTATTTGGGCTTGAACTATTTTTATGCATCGAAACTGCGAATTGTAAAAAGACCACAATTGCCAAAATGATAGTCGCGATAATTTTCACGTTTATTCAAATGCACTTCATTTTTTGCAACTCGAAGATAACCGTGAATAGTTCGCAGAAAGTTGTTGCTTGGGGAATGATGCATTTGGTGGCTGTTAATTTATGGACCTGGTTTCGATTCGTTTTGGCTAAACAAGTTTGAATAATTTTAAAACATTTGTTTCAATTGAAATGATGTGAGAAAATTCAAAGCATGAAAATATTTTTTTAGGAAGCAAAGGCATTGAAAAAGGCGCATCTCAAGCAAGCGTTTCGCAAATATTATTCTTCAGGATCGTCGTCAGAAGAGGTTTGTGGAAAACATGAAGTTTGTTTTGGAATTTATGTTAGAAGATACATAACCGTTTTTTGAAACATGTAAATACCTTTAGATTTTTCCAGATTCACGATATCATATCAGCAGTTCTCAATTCAACAGTATGTAGAATTTTTCCAACTTTTCTCGTTTCTATTATCGTTATTTTCCATTCACTGAATTTGTAGATCATTCAACAAAGTGGCGAAGATATCACATCAACATCTACTACAACCACCACAATATCACCCGCTGTAAATCGATTGTTTGCTTTGGATCAATTTGGTGATGTGGCAACATTTTTAACAACTTGCATTGTAGAATATTCTTTGATCGGAGCTGCTATTATGTTCATTCTTTGGAAATCGATTGGTTCACAATCTGCACATCATCATTCAACTTCTACAAAACGAAAAGTTCGAATGAGGATTGATTGCAGGTAAAATTCTCACATTCAGTTGATATTTTTTTTTGTCAAATTAAAATCATAATTTCTAGCTCTTCATCGACTGGTCTATTCGCCGGAATCATTTTCCTTATCGGGTCATTGGTATCTATGGGAATGTATACCATTTTCGAGAGTTTGAGAAATAGCGCGGGTGCTCAATTAGTTTTCGGGATCGTTGATTTATGTTTATTTTCAATTGCCTTAGGAGCATGTGTTTTAGGACTCTGGAGGTATTTTGAAAAAAAAGTTCAAAAAAAAATTGTTTTTTTTTGTAGAATGCGTTCACTTCAATACCGATTACATGCACACGGTGAAGTAATTGATGAGATTCTGTTGATTATTGGGTTGATTGGAGAAGTTGTGTACTGTGCAGTTGGTAAGTTTTGTTATGTTATGAATTTTCTATTTTGAAACTCTTCAAATACAAAAAGATTTCAAAAAACTATTCCAGGCATTGATGTTTTCATCGCTTGCCGAAGATCAGCCGACTTGAGTGTGAATGCGCTTCCTCCTTTTGTTTTTGTGATTCGTATGATTCAAGTAGTATTCCAAGCCGCTTTTATCTTAACAACATCCCGCCTTCGATGTCTTTCAAAATATTCCATGAAGCACAAACCTGGCAAGCAAATCATCACTTTTCTCTTGGTCTCAAATGTCACATTATTTGTGTTTCACACTTTTGAAGGTATGAAATCAAGCTTCGGATTTTCCAACAAAGCTGCAGCACAATATAACTATCTGATTTATGCCGTAGCGCCTCTGCTGGTATTTTACAGGTGAGTTTCAGATTTTTATCTTATTTTCTTTCAATAAGTGCGTTGTAGATTTCATAGTTCCGCGTGTCTTGCTGAAATCTGGAAACACACATATAGCATCAAATCAGTTGACCTTGAAAATAACCTCGATTTATCTGACAGCAATTTGACTGCAATTACACCGGTTTCTGATAAATATACATAAATATATCTTGTTATTCTTTGAATATTTTTCTAGGAGCCATGTCCATACCTGTGATCTTACCATATCATTTAGTTTTATCTTTCATTTATGCGGGAACCAATTATTATTTTTTTAATTGATAAATATTTTATTCACAAACACAAATGATAATTATTATATATATAAATGTATATGTATTAAAAGAGTATCAAAAACAGTACATAAAAAAGATAAAAATATTAATAAGTTAATTAGTTTTTCGCACAAATTTCCATTTATTTTTATGATCATCGAAGATCACAATATTTCCATCAGATTCGTATTCGATTCTGAAACACAAAATTTTTTTATTTCGAAAGTACTAAAATAAAAAAAATAAAAATTACCTGTGTGGTGGATTTTTGATCGACTTCGAAAAATCGATACATCTAACACATGTCAATGTGATAGTTTCAAATATACGGATATATAAATCAGTGCAAGTGTTAGCGAGCATTGGAATTCCCTCGCCAGGTTTGATTTGTGACAAAGCGCCATCAATAAAACCATAATCATAAGTTTGTTTCATCATTAATCGACCATTAATCTGAAAATTAGAAAACATATTATTTTTTTCAGAAAAAAAAATATTCTTCACCGAAAATTTGCAAATCATCGAACGTTTGATATCTTCTAAATATGTTGATTTGTCAGCAACGAATAATTCTCCTGAATGTTTCAAAACACCAAAAATTTCAAGACGTTCGGCATCGATTTCAGTACATCTGATTAAACGCTTTCTGAAAAACATTGGTTATTTTGTTGATTGGAAGTGAGTTTGAGAAATATACTCACTCATAAAGATCCCAAACAGAAATATACTGTTTAGCCAACATCGGATTGCTAACAGTAAAAACACCATTAAAACTTTGGCACACGTCCAAATCTCTAAATGTTCCATAGGTTGCATGAATTGCTCCATCATATACAACACCCAATGTCTGAAAATCAAAAATTCATAAAATATTAAGAATTCGAAACTTACAAATTCTCCAAAAAAGTTTTTCTGTAAAATTTTATAAAAATCAATAACACCATTCACACCCATTGATGCAATATATTGACTGTCGGAATAATGTTGGACGGTTTGAATCTGGAACATATCAAAATTTTATTGTTTTTTCTAACACTATTCATTTTACCTTTCCAGACATTCGCTTGGTTATTGATTGTTTCAACTTGACATCGCTAATAGTAATAGTATAATCATCAAATGTGACGGTGATGTTTTTGAAATCATTTCTAGTTGGGAAAAATGTAGAGCTGTGCAATACTTTGTCACTTGTGCTTCGCTCACTGAACATATTTTTTATCTTGTTCACTTTGACTTCTTCAGCTACGTCAATTTCTTTCAGTTCTAGCGGATGGTGATAAATTTGATTGCCGATTCTGAAAAATTTGAAATTGTTTTACTAATATCCATGGTTGAATTAGAAAATTGTACAACTTCAACTCACCCTAATCCTTTAATACCACCTATGATAAATTCATCATCGGAAGATTGTTCAATATGCCTTGCAACATGTGGTTTTGTGAATAGTTGAATTGGAGCCTGTCCAATATTTCTGACATTTGCTTTGTGAGCCGCATAGAGAATTGAATCTGTATGATCTGGAGGAATACTTTCCGGATAAACAGCTGGGTGATAAATGTTGAGAGCTTGGCGAGCAGCTAATCCAGTTTGCTTATATCCGAAAATCAAGTCGATCCATTCATTTAATCTTTTTTGAACTTGTTGAGATTCTGAAATTTAAGATTTTCTTCTAGACTAATTCTGAAACAATTAGTCAGAAAAGTGATACTTACCCAAAGCATGACGTTGAGCAATAATAAACAAATCAGCTTTGAATCGTCTCATATTCTGTTCATCACCCAAAAATTCATTATCCGATATTGTTGCAAAACACCATTTTGGTAACACCACATCATTCACAACTTCACCATTCTGACAAGTTCCGAAATTCATATTATTGACATTTAGAAAAACTTCAGGAGTTGTGAACATTTCTGGAACAAGTTCTTTATAATCGGTTGCTGATCCACCAGCAGCCAATCGGAATGTCGAACTGAAATCGTGGAATATTCTATCAGGAACATCGAATGATCCATCTTGGAAATCAATTGCAATTTTAGCGTGAGGAAGTAGACGAACTAGATAATATGACACTGTTGCAAGATTTGAATAAAGTGATGCATAATGATATGGTGCAGAGTGTGTATCATTACTCATTGATTCAGCTAGCATATCATAACAATTTCGATATCTTTCTTCCATTGACTCCCTTTGAACTGCAATTGGTTTCGCCAAATTACGATAACTCTCTGAATCATTCAAATCAATCTCATCCGTGTCCAAATTTGATATAATATGTGGCATTATTGGATATTGCATGAAATCATGATATGTTCTTCCAGCATATGCATTCAATATCATAAGATACTCGAAATTTGTGATTTTTCCATTCTCCCAATCTTTTGAATATTGCAAAATATCTGATGGTTCGGCAATTTTACATTTTGATCGATCAGTTATTAATGTAATTGCGAGTCTTCTGTCCTCCGGAAGTCTAATCGCGAAAAACCATGTTGAATGATTATCCATGAACAATTCAAATGCTAAATTCTTCAATTCAAATCTTCTATAATGAAGTGTCAATATTGTAGTGAACGAAATCTCAATATGCATATTCTTCTGAGATTCGTTATTTGGGAGGAAATATAAATTAACATCTGTGAGAACCAAAACGCCATCATAATATGAGCCATTAAGAACGAGAGTTGAATCACATGTGAATAAACTGCTTTCCTTAACAGATCGATTAGCATGAATCATTTGAATTGAATCCTAAAAAAATAAAGATAAGGATATAGATTTTAAAGATTTTTCTTACCCATAATGTTGCTAACGGCCTATTTCGATCGATAGGAACTGAATGGAATTTTTCCGGTAAAACATTTGTGGTATCATCAAATCTGATTCTTTCACCTCTTGGACCTTGAACAGCTGATACTTTCATTGGTGGATACTCATTAATTGTTTTCGGTCTTCTGCCAATGTGCCCCAGGACGTCCTAAAATTATTAATTTGTCTTTGAATATTGTTCATATTTCGAAGCACCTACCTTATACTTCACAAACTCGGTTTTTGCCATAGCTTCACCCTTGAAATGTCGACTCAATCTTGTATATCCAATTTTTCTCGCATCACCTTGCATCATCACGGCATGTTGTGTGAGCTCATTCACTGTCAATTTGTATTCTTCAGATTGTTGTTGAAGTTTCCAAATAAGACAAGGATGAAGAAGTTCTCGAATAGCTACTTTTCGGTCTTCATTGCAACATTGAGCAACCATATCATATTCGGAGGATAACAGTTGAATAGTATCAGCGTCGAGGGTCTCAGCATTCTTGGCTGAAAATTTAAAGGTAATTTCAAGGTATGCTTTAACAATCAATAACTTACCATATTCGTAATACTGAAAATCGAACATTTTCAAAAACTGCAAACACATTTCCAAAAACACATCATCCGAATGTCTTGAAAACACATCTTCCAATAATCCAGTCTGTATACAAGCTTCGAAATTCACATTCATACTCAAGATTGATTTTATTTTGCTGATTGGTGTTGATTGCATCAACTTATTCAGAATTTTCATTTTTCGAACATCAACATGGTAGAATAATTGGTTTTCTGTTCTTCCCATTTTTCTTGGATAGTCGAATAAAACTGAAGCAATGAATCCAGCAAAATGCATTCGTGCGTCCGGTTGAATTGATAAAAACCACGGAGTTGTTGTTATCAATGAATCATCTAAAGCAATTCGAGCCAAAGTATGGAAATATACGTGATGAAGAGAAACATCTTCATCAGAGCAGAAACCTGGCGGTCTACAAATTGTATAAAACATGTTGCAGATTGTGAAAACTCGCTTGACTCGAGTTGTCATTTCAAATGGTGATAATGGTTGAAGTGTTTTCTTTGGATATGGGCATTTGAGATTTGGTGAGAAGCCTTGGAACTTTTGACGCAACTTGTCTTTGAACTTGACCAAACCATCAGTCCATTTATGAGTTGATTCATGAATGTAAACATAGTCGAGATCTTCTGGCGTGTTTGGACCATTTGTACCTGAAATTTTCAATTTTTTTGTGAAAATATGTTTTTTAATGTAGATATGAAATATAAATGGCAAGTGGCGTTGGTTAGAGATATTGTGTGAAAAGTAGAGGGAGAAAAAAAAGAAGGTAGGGTAAACAACAGGCAAGTGTAGTGTCGTAGTTAATTAATTAATTTTATTTTGTTTTTTTTAAACTTTCTAGAAAATATTATCTACACGCCGAACAATTTTGTAATATTTATGTTACTAGAAAACATTTACCACATGGTGTATTTGAAGCACTCGCACTTCGATGATTTTGAGAATCCACATCCGCTGTTCCCAAAAGTGATTGCAACAACTCGAAGAGCAAAGTACAAAGTACATGATAAATGTTTTCTTGCACAACTTTGTTTGGATTCTCATTTCCATCTGATTTTTCTTGCACATGCGACAAAATTATGAGTTTTACCAATTTCTCCGAACATTGATAATATTTTTGAGAACTTGTGGTAATTGAAATATTCACAAGTTTTTTGGCAAATGACATCCACGATGTTTTCTTCATATGAACTGTATCCTTTGTGTTCTCCAAAGTTGGATAAATGCACAGTTGATACATCACATTTACCATAACTTCTTCAATTTTCCTGTCAATCAGAGCAAGAGCAAGTTGAGAATTGTTTTCATAAATTATGGACAACGCTGCACATGTGTGAATAAACATTTCACCAGCATCATCAACGTGAAGAGATTCCTCAAACGCAACAAGAATTGCATCCAAAACATGGCAAGAAATTAGATTTGGTTCAAATCTCATAACATGCGCCGAGTCCAATCTGAAAATTTCAGATTAGTTGTTTTCAAATTAAAGTTTCAGATTTACCCCGCTGAAATATCGACTTCTTCTTGGAATAAGATCGAAAACAAACTATTCGAAACCGACAAATCGAGAGGGCGACCTCGCAATTGAGCAGCAAGAATTTTGAATTGTTCCGATTTACAGATCAAAAATTGATCTTCCAATGATGTGCAGTAGTTCTGAAAAAAAAAACATTGAAAATATTTGACAGGGTAAAAAGTCTTACCATCAATGCAGCAAATAATTTCATAATTCTTGAAATAATCCAATTGTCATTTTGCTTGGTCAGGAAAACAATAAGAAGTTCTTCGCATAACGAATCATTTCCAATTCTCTCATCATCTGGAGACAACATCACAAGTTCGATTAAAATATCATAGATTTCTTTTTGGAGAAGAACATCCCAAGATCGTTTGATGAAGTGTTGGCTGTTCTAAAAAAATTTATTTGAATACATAATTTGTGTCACTATTTCAAATATTTGGAAACTTGTAGCTTATATAATTTTTTCAAATGATAATCTCAAGCATAGAACACGCATGGTATTAATTTAAAAATAGGTATTTCACAATCACATCATACTTTTCAAAATGTATTAATTATAATCCACTTCCTTCCCACTTGAAAATCTGGGTTCAAAGAACGATAAAATAAAATATATAGTTTCGTGTGGCCAGAGTTCAAGGAAGACTTACAGTTTCTTGGAAGAATCAAATTAATTTTCGAACTGGATTAAGAAAAACTGAAAAGGTTAGCTAATTGTTTGAATATGATCTGTTAGTTTCTGATCTTTTTAGTGTTTCATTGGATTTTGAGTCATAGCTAAAGTTTTCAATGCAATTTTGTTTTTGAAAATATCAATTTTTCATGGTTTTGATTTAAATTATGATAGTTCACAAAATAACTTAAAACAAACACTTGACATGTGCATTGAAACTGTTAACCTTATCTCAAAAAAGATCAGAAGAATCCCGATCCCTGAAAATATGCTCAACACTGAAAATAATTTTACTAATCCACCGGTTTATAGTATGGACATAGTAAATATAAAAATAGCTATTTACATCATCGCTTTTATTAATGAAATGAATGAATTTAATCCCTTTTATTATAGAATCTGAGTTCATCAAGTTCATGTTAATTCTATTTTTATCATATCTTTTGTACTGAAAAAACCATACCGAAATCTTTTCAAAAATTGGAATGAAATCTGATTGGACAGATGGTGCTGGGCTAGGAACTCTATCATCTTCTTCTGCAATTTCCATCAATTCATCTTCTCTTCCATCAATGTGCTCATTTTCTGAGAAAACTTCAGAACCAGAATCATCTTCATCAGAATCATCATCCGAATCATCTTGCACATATTTTTCCATATTTTCAGTCACAATAATTTTCGGCTTTTCAGAACTTGATGGCAATTTGATATCTGACAGAATTCGAAGTTCGTGATCTATCGCATCTTCGTTGAACCATTGATGATGTGTAACTTGATCATTTTCAACATACATATCTGATGCAGGTTTCAGCAACAACAGGCAATTCCAAAGTTCATGAGCACATTCGATTTTTGATTGTCCGGATAAAGATTTGACGATTATACCGCAAAACTTGCCAACTTCACAAGCCAATTCATCTCCGCGAACTCCCCAGTCTGGTTTTTGTTCAAAAATCGTTGTCAAAGTCTGAAAAGTATTTTTGATTTTGAATTAATTTCAAAATTCATCTATACCTTCATAATATGTTTGACTAGCGGATGCAAATTGTTGATGTTATATGAATTGTAAGTTGATACACTGCTTGCCAAACATTTGATAAGTTTTGTGAATAACAATGGTCGATAGACCCATAAATCCCAATCCTTAACCAAATTTTCGAGAATTTCAACATCTTTAACATATGATTTTGTGAGTCTAAGCAAAAGCATTTCAAAATTCTCCATTTTCAGATTGTTGCGCTTGAAAGGTTCAGAATCTTCTTGTTTCATGTTCATTGGGATTTCGAAACAGTGTAGGATCAATATCTATAAGAACAAGAATTGTGAAGTTTTAGAAACACTTATTTTTACCTCCAAAGTTTCATCGTTGAAAATAGTGAGATCAGATTTGAAAAGGAATGCGAGCACTGATTTTGCAGGTGAGATTGGCCATCTTTCAGAATCAACATGAGGTTTTGACATAAGAGTCAAAATCAATCGAATGAGATAATTTTGAATTGAGACATCGCAGCAGTCTATCAATGCCTGGAAAACCAATTTTATTGATTTTTTTCAACTTCCTAAAATTCCTTACCCTTCCATACAACAACAAAAGTGCTGGAATACCACCAGCTGCAACGAATTGTTGATGGAAATTCATTCGTTGAACTCTCTCATGACAAAATTTGTCAATCACATGAGATTCAAGTGTTTGGACGTCTTGGAGAATATTTTCATCGAAAATGTTTATCAATTTCTCATCATTATTTGCAATTCTCAAACGATTGAAACGAAGAATCGGAATATTTTGAATATTTGCACTACCAATATTTTGTCGAGATTGTGGACCCATCGCCATTATTGCAGCAACGTGTTGATAATTCAAAACTCCATTTCGAATAATAACTGGTGTATGGAAAATATCAGTCAAGTCCCAACGAATTATTGTATTTTTGACGCTTCGGAAAAGCTTTTTGTTGGGAAGATTGTTCTCATCAAATTCGAGTTTTTCACAATGTTCATCAATAGATAACTGAAATATTAAGTGGCTATAGCTTCATCCACATAATATATTCAAAACTAAACTCTAGTTGCGTGCAAAACTCACCGTAATCACTAATACACCATCCATTGATGCTTTCAAACTAATTGTGAGAAGATGCCATTTAAAAGGATTAATGAAGCAATGTTGAATGGTTTTGGACACAAGAGAACTTTGACTGAAAATCAAACAATTTTCTAACAAAATCACGTATAAAAACTCACTTTTGAGCAAAGCTGATTGAAAAAGATTTGCGATCAGAGTTGAAAGTAACCCGGAATGTGCAACCAAGAAGAAATACAAATGTGTTGCAATTTGGGGGTTTTGGTAAATTGAACCAGGTTGAAATTGATACACCTTCTATTAGATTTGCACCGTGTTCACTGGAAAATGATTATTTGAATTTTGAAGTAACGTTGTTTTGAGACTGAAACGAATAAAAAAGAGTTCTACTTTCTGTTTTCTATTAGCTTTTCAGCCGTTTCGAAAAAAATCCCTCTGTAAAACCAAAACTAGAAAGTTTTTGATTTGACATTCTCAATGATGATTAATATCATTTTCTTGAAGAGGTCAGTTTCCATCATCGCTGCTAATCTAATCTTCCAGAATTACAAATGGCAACAAGAGATTAATTATCATTATCAATTCTCTTTTTAATCCCCAATAATGATTTTGTATTTGTTATACACTCACTGAATAACAAAAATAATGTTAAAAACTCACATAACATTTGGCTCTCTCAGCGAATCCCTAAAATAAGTCGGAACTTGATAATATGATGCACAATGGCTGAGGACATCAAGAAATCTTCGTTTTGCCAATGAATTTGCTGGCGCATTGTTGTACTTGAAAATGAGGAATGGAATGATTTGACCAGGTTCACAGAGATTTTTGAGATCATTGGTTATCCAATTGAAATCGCCATTTGTGTCAGCGAGATAATCAATTATGCTTTTATCAAACACAGAAAGCTGAAAAATTATTAGTTTACTGTGAGAAGTAAAAAATCCAATATTAATTTCCTTACCGATAAGAAAATTTGACTACTTTGAAACATAAGTTTTTTGAGATCGTTGGCCTGAGGCAATGAAAATATTGAAGAATCCAGATTGTAATTCATCACCACATTATGAACTGCGTGGAAAATCTCGTCGCAAACTTTGATTTTTTGATCGTTTTCAAATTTCGAATTTTTCACTTGAACTACTCTGAAAAACAAATGATTTGGTGAATTCAAAAAGTTCCAGAGACTTGAGTTATGAAATTAGGTTATGACGTGACAATGCTTATATTCAGAAATCTAAAAACAAAATCCTCAGATTTTTAAGTTCAGAATTTTTTAAAGAAAAATGTAATAAAATACTTTTCGTTCGAAAAACCGAAATGAAATTTTAAAAAATTCTGAATCCTGAATGCTTATGTTAGTTTACATTTCAAAATGAATATCAAGTTTCAATTCTGAAGCTCCATGATCTCAAAACACAGAATAACCTAGAAAAAAGCTTATCACAATATATTTTTTACAAAATGAAAAAAAAAATCTTTGGAAATAATTCAGAACAAAAAAATGCGGATTAAATCCGTGCCAACAAAAAAGCGCACTACTATAAAATGACAAGCCATAGAAAAAAAAAGTGGGCGGAGTCAGAGGCAAAAAAAAATTACGTGCACTTCTGATATTGGTATATCAACATTTGAAATAAACTAACCTTTCAATAACTGTCATCAGGCAGTGGATTACTGTATTTCTAGCAGGTGTAAGAATAACAGTTTGAACAATTTCTAGCAATGCTTTTTCGAAGGTTTTTGCACTATCCTCTTCGAAAGAGTTTTTGGCGAGTGGTAGAATGAGGTGGACATTGAGAAGATGATATGGAACACACAATGCTTTGGCCTCAAATAAATCCTTTTCAACTTGCGCTTTGATAGAGCAATACATGTTGATGAAATTTCTGCTTTGTGATACCATCATAAAATAATCAGGTGGAAATATGTTTTCATTCGACTCATTCTTATTAATAGCAGCTGATTCCATTTCACTAACAAAAAAGTCAAATATGATTCGACAATAATATCGAATGTGTTGAAGTTTACGAATTCGTGGATGTTGGGTAGCAAAAATATCATATGCCATTAGCATGACGAGGCGGGAAATGTCAAGTTTCAAATTTGCATCCTCGTGTTTTTGAGAGAATTGGAAACAATAGCTGATAAATTCTGCCACTTTTTCGTTGTATTCTGAGCTTGCCAGAACAATACGGTATTCCTCGATTAATCGTAAAATTGGAAGAAACTCATTTGGTTTGATTAGAAGCAATATTTTACTTATTTGCTTGAGCAGGAAAACGATATATTTGGCAAATCTCATTTGGGAGCCTGAAAAAAATTCATGATTTGGATTATGTAAGTATTATTTTTAATGTTCAAGAAAATTTTTTGATTTCATTTTTTGATGGGTTTTGAACCGAGAAAAATTCTCAACAATTTGGTATTTAATATAAAAAATTTGACATTTACCAAGTTTCACTAAGCACTTTTTTGTTTGCTGAAAAACAAGCAAGGTTTCTAAGAATATGTTGTAAAATCTGAACGTTTTGTTATTGAATTTTTCTCACAAATAATTTTTCAAAAGGTTAAATTGTTTTCATAATTATCAGAATTTCAAATTAAACTCACATGATTCTTTCAAAAGGTTTTTCAGAGCCGTGAACATGAAATCGAAGAACACTTTGTTAGAAATTTCAAAATTTGGTTTGTCCTTGCAAGTTACAATCAGATTGTGATAACATTTTCCAAGCTGTCTGATTAATATGGACCATAATTGAAAATTGACTCGCAATTCATGATGGCAATTTGAAAGTTTATCAACTCTGAAAAAATTCCGTTGAGAAATGTAAAAAAAATATTCGAGCTTACATTCTTGAAGATAGTTTGATCATATCTGCACTTGTATCAATAATATCATGATTCAATGTGCTGAACATAAAATCACAATCTCCAGCGTGATGTCCAAGAATTTCCACAAGCTCTTGAATTGTCACGTTTTTTGTGATATAGCATAATTCCGCAACAGATATAACTTTCTGGAATCCAGGTTGTGATGTCAACAGAAATTTGGTGAGAATTGTATTTTGTAGTTGTCTAAAATGCACTACAAGGAACATGAACATTGTTCGATAGAAAATCGGTTTTGGAATTTCAATACAAGTTTGCAACACGTTGGCCAATCTGATTATATCATTACTCATTGTTGGAAGATTGAACCAATAAAAGTTTTCGAAGTTGAAAAAGTTTTGCACAAAATCTGGTTCGACTTCATAACAGTTAGTTGAGATGATGTAGAAGTATTCAAATAACAAAGCTTGCAACAAATTGAGACAAGTTTCGTAGTGAGAATATATTGTTGAATCGGTCATTACGTTTTCATCAACCTAAAAAATGATTTGAGAATTTTTAAAGAGAATAATAATTATAATAACACTGATATCGTGATAAACCTCGATAAACTTTTTTTTTTGGGAAAAAGGCAAACGTTTTTTCTAATTGTGAAAAAATGACATCACTCATAAAAAAGTAATTCCCATAACATTTTGAACAAAAATGTTTTAAAATTAGGTTTCAAAATTAGGTTCAAGGTAGGCCCTCAAACTTTACCTGCGAAAAAATGATGACGACTAAAGTATGAAGAGCCCACATTTGATTCATAACATCAACACATTCTTCCGAATATTGATTGCGCCATCTAATTATTTTGAAAACTTCCAAAGACAATTCAGCAAATAAGATAACCAAGTTCGAATATTGCAATTGCCGATGTTCTTCGCATTTTTCAGAAATTGGGAGGAATCCCAAAATCTCAGCGATATATTTCACAAACTCATTGACTGATAAAATATGCGAAAGTTTGCAGAATAATTTGACAATCAAGATAACTTTATCACGTTTTGACCATTTTTGAAGAATTGTACTTGCACCATCCAATTCAATTTCAAGTTCGCTGATTTCACGCTCCACTGATTCGCTCGAACTCACTGTAAAAATCAACTCTTTGTAGTTGAATTTATTAAATTTGAAAAAAAAACTCACTGAAATTCAATCGATGTTTCACAGCAAGTTCCAACATTTGACGTTGTCTTTGAACATTTACTTGCTCCTAAAAAATGGTTTTTTAGTTGAGAGATATTGGTTGGAAATATAATAAAAAAAAAACAAAAGAAATCCCAATTTACGTCAATCAAAGCTGACATATGTAAATTGAAATTGGAAATCTTCTCTCGCCCACGGAAAAGGCTAAAATTGACGTATGACGTGACAATATGAAAATGAGAACAATGCTAAAATTATGTATTTTTTGTTTTTCCTATTTTTTCACAAGAAACAATATACTTGTTGAATTCCTACATGTACCAAGGTAGATTAAACAAATCTAGAATTCTTTCCCCATATTTTCCAAACTCACATCTGAACTGCTTGTATCAATGGCTCTGCTAATTTTCCGAACAGCTTTTCTCTTTCCCTTTTTACGTTTCACAGGTTTTGCCGCAATTATCTCTTCTTTCTGTTGAACTCTCATTTTTCTAATATCTTCCACACAATCTTCTTTCGCCTCATTTCGACAATTTAGCACAATCCGACTCTCATAAAACGGTGTATCCAAGCTTATTTTCAACCAATCAATAAGTTTTGCAATGAGTTCACGTTTCCGATCGATTGAAATATCAATATGCTCATTGAATCGTTCAAAGAGCACATATGTATAATTCATCGCCACTGGTTCGAATCGATTCCAATCTGGGGTTTCCATTTTGGTCTTCAGAATCTCCAACAAATTGCTGAAAAAAATAAAATGTTTTTCTGACAAACTCATAAATAGTTTCACAAAAACTTACGTAGTCAACGCTTCGCATTGTTTCAGTTGGGGATCACGAGCACTCATCATTTTTGAAGTTGAAAAATCTGAAATTCTATGGATATTGTTTGGAAGGATTTGAATTTCTCATTAGAAAAAAAAGAAGAATTGATGAAGACATGAATAAATTGGGTGGTCTTGTATGAAGACAATTTTGGTTTTTGAAATAAAAAAAATGGAATATAAGGCGGAAAAAAACAAGAATCATTCAGACAGAACAAAATCTGAAAAAAAAACACAAGAGCAAAATTTTATTTCATATACATATATTTTTCGGAGACGGAGGATTATCCCATTTTCTAGTTAGGTGAATTGAAATTGGATTTTGAATTAGACTTTGAATGTTTTTTTGTGTAGACAAGGAAGTAGGACTCAAAAAACCAGGTGACACTTTTTTTTGAAAAGTTTTTTAAAGAAAGAGAGGGGACCTTGAGGTAGATTTTCTTATGTGTATGTTCCTAATTTTTTCTCACTTTTTGTTTTAACGTTTTCAAAAATTGGAAAAAATGCAGAACAATATTTTGTAATTAGAAAAAAACATTAAAAAACATAATTTTCATATGCAGAAAAACGTCGAAAAAACAGAATGTACTGTTTATTATTTTTGAGTGGAGAGAACGCGAAATTGAGAGAGAGAGTGCAGACAGACAAATTGACTATTCGCACAAAAATACAAAAAACTAATTTTTCTCTCTGTACTCTCTCAATTTCACATTTTCTCTACTCAAAAATGTATATTTTGTTTTTTTCGACGTTTTTGTGCATAGGATAAATATTTTTCTTAATGTTTTTTTATAACAAAATATCATTATGAAATCTTTCATTTTGTTACAAGTGACAAAACAAATATTGCATCCGTTTAATTTTTTCCTTGAATTAGTATGAGAAATAGTCAGAAATCGTAACTTTACTCAAAAAAGCGAAGAACTAAAACCAAGAAATTTTTTATGAAGTATATTAATATTTTTTTGGTAACTCCAAAATGCAATATTTTGAATTTGCGAGAGGCTTTTTAATCCTATGAAATTATTCTCTTAATTAATCTTTCTGAGAAATTTTGAATACACGCTGGAAAACGCCTCTACAAATGTTCTATTAATAATTTTTCTTCAAATGGTTTTCTTGAAAAATTAGATATTTTGGATTGGAAGTTTGAAATTTTCAAACTATTGTTCAAAAAGCTTACAGAAATAATCCTTTCTCTTTCAAATGAACATAAGTTATTTTTCTGCTCAAAATCCACCTTTAAATGTTTAATCTCAATTTTTTCGGCCAAAAATTCATCTTCGAAATTTCCGTATTTTTGAAATATCCGGCATTTTCATTCAAAATTTGCATATCTCGAAATTTCTGCACGTGTCAAAAAAAAACAAACAATTTTGTGCTAAATGGCATAGGCCGAATTGCGCGACTTTTTTGACACTTCCGCAACTTTTTCGTGTTTGTTTTCATGGTTTACGAGAAAAAACACATATAACAACCATATAATAATGAGCCGGTTAAACACAAAGAATAATAATAATAATAACAAAAATATTATGGGCGTATGTATTTGCTAAACCGGAGTCCATGATATAATATAAATACGTGAAAAATCATTATTTTCCACGTTGTAAAAACTGAAAGCGAAGTGCAAAAATGCCTAGATTACTTGTGTTCTCAATTTTCCTTGTCTCATTTTTCGGTGAGTTCTTTCCCCCAAATTAATTTCCATAAAAGTTCTAATTTTCAGACACAGTCTATGGGGAGATGTCTATGCAAATGGTGGCATTTAAAGCAACTAGAACACCATGTTGTATTGATACTTTGATGCCAGCTGTTTGTAAATCTTTGTATAATCGAGATCACGAAAAGTTTACACGGCAATGTAGAAGTAATCCAGATTTCTCATTTGTTCAATGCTGTCATAGTTGTCATTTTAATGCTGATCTTTTCACAGCTTCTAGTAAGTTCAGCAATCAATGTCTGAAATCGGACCAATTTTCAGATGCTTTACAAACTTTAAAATTAATTTCAGCAATCCCAGTACCTGCTGATTTATATCAACACGATGTGGAAGAAATGTTGTTACGTCCAAACCCATCAAACTGTTTTGATAGACACGGAATCAACTTTTGTGAAGCGTTTGTCACAAAATCTGGTCTTTGGGGAAGAAGATCGCTAAGTTGTCAACATTCAGCATTCGCATTCAGAGTTTGCAGAAAAACTTGTGGATTTTGCTCAGCGTATGTTTTTCTTTTCTTTTTTTCAATTGTATGACAACTTTCCATTCGAAAACCTTAATTTCAGCCCCAACAAAACTGCTACAGTTCGATATGATTCAACGCTGGCAAGAACTCCAAAATCGTGTGAGCGATTGTTTTAATATTTGTGTCTTGCTCTTCTCTCTAATTTATTTTATTTATTTTTGTTCATTGGAAATGAAACTACCTCCTTATTTTTGTGTATATTTGCCGAGCATGTGAATGTTGACCTGAGCATCAGAGGTCATGTTTGGGTCGGAAGTCAAAGTTTGAAACTATTGGAGAAAGAATATTGAAATCCTGACTTTTGAATTATCTTGTTTTGAAAAATCAGAAAAAAACAGAATATGCAAATGAAAAACACTTTAGTAGCCAAATCACTTCTGAATTTCAAAAAATAACGAGTAAGAAATTCCGAGTACAAACAATTTTGATGCGCTGAAACAGTGATATTTATCGAAAAATCTGTCGAATTCAAGAAATTCCATAACTCAAAGATTGGAAAACTATATCCTCATAGCCTCAAAAATCCAACAGCTAGAGAAAACGAGGAACATAACTTCGGAAAAGTCGAAAAATCTTGGTTATTTAATTTTTAAAATCAAAATTGAGATTCTAAACTATGTGAAAACTACGAAACTCACAAAAACAATCAGTCAACGTTCCTAACACCCTAACATATGTATTTCCCAAGCAATCAACTCAATCTCAATGACCAATTCATGTCACGGTCTACATATTATCAAATTCCAAAAATAGCTGGCTTCAAACAGTTTTCGTTGTTTTTTGTCTCCTTCTATTTGTCTCAAGTACCTTTGAAGGTGTCAAGAATTGTCGCGAGAAAACTATTTGGCGGCGAGTTTGCACTTCTATTTGACTTCTTGTTGTGGTCATGTAATACAACAACAAACATTTGTTTTGTGTTCTTCTCAAACATTGACGCAATATATCTCGTTTCAGGCAGACCATAACAGTTTTTGACAGCACTACACACATTGGCGCATTCATTTTCATTTCAATGAATATTTTCAAATGAGCTTATTGTTGTCATTTTTCTTATATACAATACTAACCAATTTTTCTTTTGTTAAAGCGATTGGTGAGTTCTGTTTTCTCAAGCGTTTTTTCTTGACTAGTTTCCAGGCGGTACACCTAACTTCAATTTCAATCAACCTGTTGATATTAGTGATCGAACGCCTTGTTGTGTAGATCGACTAACAACTTTGACATGTGGAAGAATGAAATTGAATAATATTTCGCGGTTTAAAAAACGATGCAATTCAGATCCTGATTTTGCAATGATTCAATGTTGTGCTACATGTTTTGATAAACGCTTCCCAGATAGTGCTTTGAAATATAATCTACTTGTTCGGAGGCAGTTAGAAGATCCTATGAAATCTACGTGTACGGATCGAAGAGGCGGAAAATGGTGTAAGAAAATGGCCCAAAGGTTAGTAGAGGAATTAATTTTGGATTTTCGCAACTATGGCAAAATTATATTTCTGCGTGATGATTTTTTCGAAAAATAATGTGTGGTAATTTTTACCCATTTAGCAATTTATAAAGTTTCAATTTCTAATTTTCTTCCTATAAAAACGTCTCGAGAATAATTTTTTATTCATGATAGTTCTGAAACTCGAGAAATAGGAAACTCAGAAATGAAAGTGGAATTTTTTTTTGGTCATTTTTTGTGAAATTAAAGTACAGAAAATCCGCGATTAATTTGATCAAAAAATCTATTTTTCATTTTTTTTTCAAAAAAATCTGATTGTCACCAGTTTCAGTTTCACCGAGGATTCTGCTCTGAACAGTGTTGGTGGATGTGGCGCATTTTCTTCCGCATTTCGAGAATGTCGAAATACTTGCGGCTACTGTAGTGCTACTATGCAATTGACTGTGGTGAAATATGATTATCGATTAGCGACTAGTCCGAAAAGATGTGATATTAAAACCTATTTTGCAAGAACTGATGATGAGTTGAGGAAAAAATACGCAGTAAATAAAGGTGAGAACTTTTCGAAAATAGTTTAGAGAACATTCTGAGAAAAATAACAATGAAAAACATCTGATTTCAGTTTCAGAGAAGAAGTTAGCGATCAATACAATTTTTGAAAATAAATTCAAGAGGTAAAAGGCGGCTTCAAATCAACCAAAACCTACATTTTCAGAGTTCGACCCATTGGCAAAACTAACTTGGAAACGACCGAAAAACAACGATTATTTCGTGGTAGAGGACCACAATTATGATGATTTTTTGTGACTAGAATAAACATTTCAAAATAAATTGATAAAATATGTACATGTGTATATCAAAATAAAAAAATTATAAAAATATTGATTGAGAGTAGAAAGGGAAAAGACAATAGAAGTAGCAGGCATACAACTAAAAATGATAAAATTATCGGATGGTAGACAAAAAAGTACTTTGTGTATGTTTGTGTTTTGTGTTGCTCTTGGCTTTGATTTGATCTCTTATCAATTGTTGTTTTTCTGCTATTCTTTTGTTTGTTGGATTTGATCAAAGAATATGATCTCTTATCAATCAAAAAATTGACAGATTTCAGAGACATTGGGAGAATGGGAAACTAATTTGATTTGGGAAAGTACTTCAGAAATTGTAAGAATATTATGGTGATTTTGATTGACGGAAACTGATTCAAAGAAATTTTTCGAACTGAAAAATTCAATAGACTAATTCAAGAAAATCAAAACAAATCAACGTTGACTACACTCATTTTGTGAAACAGAAAATTCTCAAATCATATTTGTTTTTTTAAAAGATCACAACTCAATGACATTTCGAGAAAATTCTCTTGTGTAATTACAGGTTTACACTTTGAATTTTTCAATGCTTTCACAAAACGTGATATCAGATTGTTGGCTTTGATAACTATAATTAACGGAAAAGAGTACGGTAGTTCACTAATGGAATTTGTTGACATCTTGGAGAATAAACTTTGTACTTTTTGCTAGGTTGTTTTGCAGATGACACGTGGGCGAGGAAAACAATCCGAAGACAGGATACGACTTCTGACATAAAAACGATCCATCAAAATATGGAAAAACGCTTGATTGAAATGATGAGCAAAAAAAACCAAAACCAAAACAAAACAAAAAAAAAACAGTATAAAAATAAACTGCCTTCTGATTTTTTCACTCAAAAATCAATTCAACTGGCGGAATTTTGAGATTTTTGAATGATTCATAATAATTTTCTCATTATTTTTTTTTACAATTTTTCCACAATCTGACAGTTTAGCCATTTTTTTTTGTTTTCGAATCAAAAATGTGATGACTCATATTTTATTCCTCTTTGGAAAATGTTATGAATGGTTTTCAGATTTCGTCAAACCCTTTAAAAAAATTCTAGATTCTACTGATTCATCCCAAAAGTCAGAAATAGAACAACCGATTTGAGGAACTCCTCATACTCATATTCAGATTTATTTGCTATCTGATAATTAGCTAGCCTATTCTCTAAAAGTCTTCAAATATTCAGGATCAAGTTACCTATTCAGGATCGTGAATAATCGTATAGTAGCTGAAAAAATTTTAAGAAAAGTGGAATAAAATGAATTCTCCGCCGCTCGCAGCCCTTTTAAACAAAAATTGTACTAGTAATGGCATTTTCTTATGAAAAAAACTATGCGCTAATTACTATACGAAATACAAATTTGCCCACGGATTTTCTGCAAATGCGAAAAGTTCAAAGAACCACCTTTTTTTGCATGAAACTGATAAATCGATAATTTTTCGGTCATTTATCCTGTTTTTTATTATCTTCCTTTATTGTATCAACCAAATAGCCAACCTGTCCATTATTACGTGGATTTTCGATTATTTTTTTTTGACTTGATATTTTTTTGTTATTGTTGTTGTAAAAACAAATGTATTGCATAATATTGTGATTTCCCAAAAAATCAATATATATCCTTGTTTTATTCATAAAAAACAAAGAGGGGAGAGTATAAATGTTATCATTCATTCACAACCTCTGTTATCGTTTTGTTTTGTCCAACTTTTTTTATTTTGTTGATAATGGTCATTCATTCATTTGTATATAGTTTTTCGCTGTAAAATTTTTCAAATTACGAATTCATTGTTGTTTTTTCCAGATATATAAATATATAAAAATGAAAATCGGATTCATTGGAGCTGGAAAAATGGCACAGGCTTTGGCCAGAGGATTGGTGAATTCCGGAAGAATCACAGCTGAAAATATCATCGCAAGTTCGCCGAAAAGAGATGTCAAATTTCTGGATGAATGCAAGGCTTTGGGCTTGAACACAACTCATGAGAATGCGGAAGTTGTGCAGAAAAGTGATGTGATTTTTTTGGCTGTTAAACCGGTTCATGTTAGCAAGGTAAGAGAACATCTGGAGTGAAATTTAATGAGTTTTTTTTGGGAAAACATGTGTTTTTTCTAGGTGACTTCGGAAATTGCTCCAGCTCTTAGCAGAGAACAACTCGTTGTATCGATTGCTCTTGGAATCACTATTAGAAATATTGAATCGGTATGTTTTTTTTTTAAATTTGTATGAAAAAGTAGGTTTACCTTGCATTTTTTATCAAATTTTCAGCAGAAAGTTCCATTGACAGTTCATTTTTTCCAGCTTCTCCCAACGAAATCTCGTGTTGTTAGAGTTATGCCAAACACTCCTTCAGTTGTTCGAGCTGGAGCATCTGCTTTTGCCATGGGTTCAGCGTGTCGAGATGGAGATTCAGAACTTGTCAAGGAATTATTGAGCACTGTTGGATTTTCAGTTGAGGTTCCCGAAATTCTCATTGATCCGGTCACCGGTTTGTCTGGATCTGGACCAAGCTATGTGAGTTTTTTTTTCATGATTTTTATATAGATTTGTGAATTCGTATTTTCAAAATAACAAAAAGTATCCTTGTACTATGCTATTCAATTGCCTAATCCGCATAGATAACCTTCTAATCCTCTCCATTAGATTTAATTAAAATATTCATCAACAAATTTTAATTTCCGATATTTTCTTTTCAATTGTGCTCATTTCCAATTGAAAATATTATTTCTAAAGAAAAATAAAAATCCAAAAACGTACATCGTTCATAATCCGATATCCCGCCCTTTTCAAGTATAAAGTTGTGACGCATGAAAATCCTACTCACTACATTTTCTGAATTTTTTACAATCTTACGTATTCGACGAATTGAATAACATTTGTTTTCGAGGGTATGTTTGAACAAAATCAAGCGGGGATTTGTTAAACCATTTATGTGATAGGCGCAATTTTCAAAACTTCTGTAGATAGATATTTATTTCAAAAATACAAATATCATCAGAAGTCAATAAATTTGTCGTTTAGCCGCCTTGGATTGTTGGTGATACGGAAATTTGCTGTAAAACGCATAAAATATTTTTATTTTCAAGAATAGTAATCTCACCTTGTTTCACGATGAATGTGTCTCCTTTTTTTGTCGTGTGTGTAGTTCTGGCTTATTTTTGGAAGTTGATGCACGTCCGCTATGACTTCGCCTTGCTCTTCGAAGTGGCTGATAAAATCTTGACTGAATAGTGAATTTATTTCCGCTTTGACTATCAGCAGTTTGTCCTCGACACGTACATTTTTTACATCAGCTCTGATTATCTTGCTATGGTTGTAAGCAATACTTATTTCTGGATTACAATTCCATTCTGTTATTCGCGCTGGACCAGTTGCTGCACCAATTCCAAACTCAATAAACGTCTGTAATCCATCTTTGACGTCTGCGATCCAGCATTTATCAATTTTAGTTGAATATCTTCGACTTTCTATCTGAAAGAAGTCAATTTTTTTCAGAGTATTGGGTTCGAATGAAACGCGTCTTTTGTTTTCCATACTACACGTTGAACTTTCTACATGTTCATAGTGCGATCGAAACGACCGAATAACTTCTTCCGAAGCATGTTCAGCATGTAAAATAGCCGAAGAAAATGTTATTGTTGATACCAAACGAGGAGTTTGTGAAATTACAAGCAGTTTTTCTGCACCTTCTTTGAGACTTGACAAATATCTTTCTGATTGAAGCCATGGTGTATTGATTGTAGCTTCCAGAACTGATTCAATTTTAGTTCCTTTTGGTGCTTTCACTGGTTTCAAGTCCATGATATTTTTTATTCTATTTCCGATACAATGGAATTTTCCTCCTCCTGAAGTTGTATATCGGAATGGGCTAACGAGAACTTTAGTCCTTATATTGTTCGGAAATCGAATAAATTGGCTCACTTCCCAGAATGCTTTTGATGCCGGTGTTGTCATAGTTTCAAATGTGAAGTTACCAAAATCAGATGGTTCGACTTTATTAAGACGCTGAAGTTTTGTAACGATGATAATATCTCCTAATAGAAATGTTTGGTGGTTAACTTTGCCTGAGTTCAGTTGATCATGTGCGATCCTATTGAACCTGACTATTTTCAAATCTGCTCGATCATGAGCAGCGGTTTCTATAAAAACCGGAGTGAGTGCCAATGTATTTCCCAAATGGCCAACAACCATATATAGAGCAAATGGCTCTGTTGGTAAATCGGTTGAGGTATTTTTTGATGATGCTTCCAGTTCTGCAGTGTTGTTGGTTCTCTCATCGTTGATCCATGTCAATGAAGCTGCTCGAAAATTTTCAATTTGAACCAAAGTCACACTATTAAGAACTTGGATTTCAGCCGGGACTTCTGTATCATCCAGTTTTGAGTTTTCGTAATAAGATGCCCATGGATGTTCCTTATTTGATACAGTTTCTTGAACTTCAATTTTCACTTCAAATTTGTTTTCCATTTTCAAGACATCTGGATCTGATTTGATTGTTTTTTCAGCTGGTTCCATTTCTGCAAAATATGTTTCATTTGTTGAAATAACAGTGGATTGAAAAATAAAAAAGGACTTTTTCGATTGAATATTTTTCACAAAATCTAAAAAAAAACTAAATGAGAAACTCGACCTTGAGAATTCTCTTTGAAAATAGTTATGAATGGGGTTTTCAAGAAGTATACTAATTGGAACTATATACTAATTGGAAACTGCTTTTTAAGAGGTGCGTATGTCCGGAGCCCGTTTTCAACTCCCACTGCATGAAAAGTCTTGGTTATAAAATGAAAAGATTCCAAAATTTGGCAGCATGGTGGGGAGCTTTACCTAGTTCAAAAAATGAAAAAGAAAGAAATGTCAGTTTTGGGTAAAATGTTATGGCGCAGCAACTGGGTGACTAAGTTTGAGTCAACATGTGTGAACGATGACAAGACATCTTCGTTGAATGTTTGGAAAGTTCAACATTTAAACAAAAATGTTTGGTTTCTTGTGAAGTTCATCAAAAATTCAAATAGTTTCTAGAATTTTTGATCTCACACCACAAATTTTGGTTAAAAACTCACTTTTTCACGAACAAATCTTTTTGAGATGATTCTAGATCCAAAAATGATAAAAGGAAAATTAAAACTTTTATGAGGTTTTCAAAATATTGCGTGGGCTCGCTGTGATACTGTAAGAGTGTAAAAATGCTAGAGATTGTACATTTTTATGACACGCAGAACCTTTCATAACCATTATTAAAATTACACAAAATATATTGTTTTTTAGCACGTGCCACACAAAAATCATTACAGTTCGAACGACGAAATGTGAATCCCTGAAAACGCTTGAGCCATTTTTCCAAAAATATTATTTTCCACTTCACAAAAAATACCCAAATCTTAAACTATAAAAATCAATTTTCAGATGTTCTCGGTGATCGAAGGATTGGCTGATGGTGGTGTGAAAGTTGGACTTCCAAGAGATCTCGCTATCAAACTTGCAGCTCACACACTTTATGGAGCAGCAAAAATGGTTTTGGAGACAGGTGAATTTCAGAAAAAATGAAAATGAATCATAATATTTTTATTCAGGAATCCACCCAGCACAATTAAAAGATGATGTTCAAAGTCCAGGAGGTTCTTCAATCTACGGAGTTCATAAATTGGAAACTGGTGGTTTGAAAGGAATTCTGATAGATGCGGTTGAAGCAGCTACCAATAGATCAAAAGCCACCGGAGACAAAGCACTTCCAAGAGATTTCCGAAATACTGAAATGTAAACATTTATTTTTTGAACCCTTTGTTATTTTCCTCCCTGAAATTATGTAACTATTGCTTGCACCCTTTTCCCAATTCAGTTTCATTTTTTTTTATTTTTCAAAAAACCCACACCTGAAAATCTGCTCAAAACCAATAAATTATTGTTTTTTTAGAGTTAGAAATTGTTTATTGTTGTTTGTTTTTTCTTGATTTGTTTTTATTTCAGAGATCGACGGGTGGAAGCAGAGACAAAAAAGGAGAAAACAACACAGTAGTAGGAATAGTAGTTGATTTGAAACATTGTATGAATAAATTTTTTGTGGGTATAAGAAATGGAAGAACATTTTTTTCAGAAAAAGTGAATTTTTCAGAGGCTTTGTGTTATATAAAATTCACTTCGTATTTTTTTCAAACTTTAGCAATTTGCTAATTTTTGGTGAATAAACCATCTGACAGTTCAGATTTGAATTCGGATTTTGATTTTTATGAAAAAAAAAAGTTTTTTTTCTTCAAATCATATCAATATGTTCACAATACACTGAAATCTCTAACCTAAATTTGAGTATGCCCACTGCAAATCTAGAAAACAAAATTTTGAGTGAAAAAAAATATATTTGTGTAGTGTCTCCACGGTGATGTGCTCGTTTGCCGCTCATTTTTCTCACTCTCTCCATAGTTGGTTGCCGAAAAAAATTCCATGCATTCGAAAGAATAAAAAAAAACTTGCTGCTTCTCATTTTTTATTTCTATTTCTTTTTATTTTTTTGTTTGTTTGTGTTACTGCTTGTTTCCGCTGTTTTTCTCGAAATTCTGCGGTTCAAGAAGTTGTTTATTGAACCGAAGAATAATCATGGTAAGTGCTTTTCTATTCTTGTCTGGAAGTTTTGTGGATTTCAAACAAATGTCCCGTTTTGAGAATAATTTCACACCCGGTCCACCAAGAGCAAGACAACCTGCACCAACAGTTTTCTGCTATATTTGTGGACGGCAATTCGGTTCTAAAAGTATTGGTAAGCACTAAAATTTCAAATATTTAATTAAAAACTTCTGTTTCAGGAATTCACGAACCTCAATGTCTCAAAAAATGGCATGCTGAAAATGAGAAACTTCCCAAATCAAAACGACGTGCAGAACCCGTCAAACCAGACGCTGTTATTGCTCATGGTAAGTTTGTTATTTTGAATTGTTTATAATTGATCCTTGTTTTTTTTTTCAGATGGCAAAGTTGATGTTGAAGCGACCAATGAAGTTTTATGGAAGAATTCTCAAGGATTGATGGTGGAGTGTGAACATTGTGGAAGAAAGTTCAAGGTAGTATTTTTCTTGAAAAAAAGTTGATGAGAATGATTGTTTTTTAGGAAGATCGTCTTGAAGTTCATCAACGAAGTTGTACTTCAGACAATCCGGCAAAACGTGTAGGACGTGATCGTTCAAAAAGTCAGAAACGCTAATTTTGAAATGTTTTTTTGGTTTGAAGAAGTAGATAAATTTTTTTGTGCCAAATATTCAGAATGATTTTCATGGCTGAATTTTTTTTAGAAATATTTTTTTTAGAAAAACGTCTTTCCGATTTGATTTATTCCTCGGAACTTTCTCGAAAAAATTTCCCCACCATTTCACCAATTAACATTATAATTTTTCACTCATTCAACTATATTTCCGTTCTCTGTGACGTCAAATCCTACTCTGATCAACGCCGAGTTCTTACATTATTTTTTCTGAAACCTGGCTCACTTCCTGTCAAAACCAACAAAAAAATCATGTTGCTAGGAAACCTAATTTTTGATCATCAGAAAATCATTATTTTTAAATCGTTTCATTTTTTGAGCACAAAAAATTAATACAACATTTCAGGATCCGCTTGTTTTACACTTGAAGATGAATCTGAAAAAAATGAATTTTTTTCACAAATTTTCAATTTTTTTTTGAAAAAAAATCATACTTTCAATTTCAGTCATTGTATACTGAATTTTATGAATTTCTTGAGAATCGTAAATTGCGTTTTTTGATATGCGTTCAACTATGAAAAATCCGATTGCAGCAATGATTGAAGTTATCACAAGAATCAGAAGATGCCATTGAAGTTGGAGAATTGGTGAGTAGAAAAATGCAGCACACGAGAGAGCGGACTAAAAATTGTTATTTCATGTTTACGACATCAAATTACCGAAAAATTACCTGGTAGAACTTGAATAAAGCGAAAGCTTGCGCACTTTTATCAGGATAAGAATCAACAAGATATGAATATAGTTGAGTATTCCAACAAGCATCTCCGAAACCCAGAAGAGCACCTGTTATTAGGACAATCGCAACACTGAAAAATATAATTTCGGATGATAATTTGAAAAAGTATTTTATTAATTTTGACACTCACTTTGGTTCAATTAGTGCAGAATCGTTGGTTTTTTTCAATGATGCATCGGCTGGAAAATTGATATAACATAAGACGAAAACAATAAGGTGAACAATTGTGCCAAGTAGAACTATTGAATCACGTCCAATCTTTCTCATGCGGTCTCCCATCAAACCGAAACAGAATCCAGCTGAAAAAAGATTACAATTTTTTAGTATTTTTTTTCAATATTGCAGAATAAAAATCTCTTGAGTAATTCAATATTTCAGTCACCTGCAGTTTGCCCGAATCCAGTACAAATAGAGTTCAAGGCAAGCAACGCATTTGTATTAGTCCCAAGTTTCTTTGTAAAAGAAATACAAGTTGGATAAATTCCAGTCCAAAAAGATTGCTCAATTCCCGTATAAGCAAAAACAAACGCCAAAATGAACATTCTTTTGGTGAACATTAATTCGAAAGTTGATGCCATAAGTTTCACATAACTCGTTTTATCCTTAATTTCTGGATAAGCTGGTTGTCGTAATAATGCAAATATTAAAGCTGCGAGAAGAGATAAAATGAAGAATACCGAGTATAAAATATTTATCTGAAAAAAAAGCTCAATGTTGAAAAATTAAAAGAGAAAAACTCACAGTTTCAGTGGGAATATGATCAGCTGACCCGGTTGTAGTGAAAACAATGAATAAAAACAAGCCACCGGCTAAAAGTGAGCTTTCAGACATTCCCCAAAGCATTGCACTATTTCTACTTGCTGTTTCCTTTGTACAATTTTGTGATAAATATGATCCTTGACCCGTCCAAATAACTGGAAAATATTCATTTTGATAATGTCTTATTTAAATTTTATAACAAATCACTTACTAGCAGCACCAAATCCTAACACAGCACTTGAGATATATAAATATGTTTCATTCAAAAATAAGAATCCGACTTGAAAAATTGCATAGCACAATGCGCCGAAAAACATTGCCCATTTTGGTGATAAAATATCAACGATTGGTGCGGCCACAAAATTTCCTAGCGTGAAGACTGCATAAATTATGGCTAGACTCAAATATCCCGCATGTTTGTCGATTTTTCCATTATTTGATGCACTGTCAATTACGGCTTCTTCGATGAAACCTGGAATGATAAAAAATTGAAGTATTTTAGTGGGTGGACAAGTTTTCAGAACTCGCCATTTCTTAAATTTAAAAATTCATTTGATTTTTATTGCCGATTGGATAATTCACGAGATAAAAACGGTTTTTTACGTTGATAAAATTTCATTAAAATTTAAAAAATAAAATTGAAAAGATTATAAAAATGATTTTTAAAACGACGCCTATCAAATATGAGAATGAACCGCGAAATTCTAAAAAAATAATAATGTAGCAATGCAGAGAGAGAGAGAGAGAGAGAGAGAGAAAGAAAGAGAGATAAACAGTTCTTATACTATATTGAATAAGGGGGAAGATATATTTAGTTTGAGCTAGCTAGATGAATGTTTTTGGTTTTGTAGTTTGGTGTTGAGAAAATTTTCAATGTTTTTCTGCTGACATTGAGATTTATTGTTGGAATGGATTGGAAATAATTTCGATAATTTGGAAAATGCACGGAGCTACTTTTATATGAAATCTTTTTCATTTTCTTGAAAAAATTAAAAAAAAAACATTTCTATTTCTATTGGAAACTGGATCAACAAAATAAAGTTCCTACAATTATATTTGGAAAAGCTTTCCACATTTGATTTCCTTCATTTTTTATTTTGATATGTTGGAGAACACTGTTATCAGATTCTCAAATAATCGATTCTCATTATCAAATTATTTAATGTTGCAAAATTCGAAACCCGAAACTCATAAAACTTGTACTCAAAAAACCTCCCGTTATCATATTGACCAACCACGTTTTCACTCACCTTGTGAATTGAACGCAAAAAAATTGGTCAAAAATCCGAAACCCAATTGTATCACATTCAAAGTCGGAACATCTGGTAAACCCATTCCTGCAAAAAATTTTGAAAAAAATTTGAGAAGAACAAAAAATTGTTAAAAATAAAAACCCAGAAAAATATTAGAAGAATGCCATAAATCGGCGCATAATTCATCGGATTTTCCACCGAAATTGAGATGTTCTACACAGATAAAATATATTTATTTCATTTTGTCTATGAAATGAAACATACAGAAAATAAGAGAGGTGGATATTAAGAAAAATGTGACTTGTTTTTGATTTCAAATGATTGATATTTCCTCAAATATTGGAAAATATTATTGTTTTTTTTAACAGAAAAAAACGAAATGAACAGACTTGTATTTAATCGAGCATGATATTAGACCAGACCGGAACTGAACATTTTTTGAATCGGGGTTTCGAAAAAATTACCGGAAGTTTTGGAAAAACGTAAAAACAAAACAAAAAATCATAAAAGTGTTCTTTTCCCCAAAAAATATTCCCATATAAAACCAGCGTTAACAACCTATTAAAAAAATAACTAATTTACATATTTTTGGTTGTATGAATTGTCCACCAAAATATCATACTAAAACAAATTCACTTTTTCACAAAAAAAATGAAATGCTCTTTTTTCTTTTGATAAGACTTTGACTTGATCAAATACATATATAAATATATACATTTATATTTATATTTGGAAATTAAATGAGCATAGCAAATGTATCAAATTCTTTGAATCAACAAAAATGTTTTATGTATCATCATAAAAATACAAAGAAAACAATAGGAAAAGTTGACTAGAAATTATGTAAAGGTGAGAGGACTTGGTTGTTTTTTGGGGTTTAGAGTTATGACAATTTGAAAAAATGGGAAGAAAAAAAATTATTTTCTTCCGGAGAGATCAACTTCCATGGTTCTGGCAATTAATCGATCAGTTACTTGAAGTTGCTGAAATTTGAAAGATTATTAATTAAAAATAAAATATTTAATTAATTTACCATTTTTAGCGGTGGGAAACAATGAGTTATCATTTCTTCCATTTTTTTCATATCTTCTGAAGATAATGGACCAGCTAAGGAGGAATCGAATTTTGTTGATTTTGCCTTATGAACTGTGGTAACGTGAGATTGGATCTGAAAAAAATGCGAATTAAAAATCCAAAAAACCGTAGTTCTTAGTTTTTTATTTCAAAAACTAACCCTTTCCTGTGTGGTCCGATAATGTTTACATATCCGACATTGAAAAGCTGCCATTTTCAAATGAGTTTTCTGTACATGATTCAACGCTAAAGAACCGTGTGATCCTTTTGGTATTACTTCATCACATTTTTTACAATGCATAGTGATCGGTATAATTCCACAATCTGCTGAAGGTGAGGGTCGAATAACAGGGCGGCTTGTTATTTTTTTCACAAAACTTTTCTTCACACTATTGCGTGAGATGTTTTGTTGTTGAAGATGTTTCACACGATTCTCTTCCTCAATTGTATTGCTCATGTTAGAAGTTGTGGCTTCCTGAGGGCATTGGGCAATGATTCGAGGAGGTAGACCTGAAAATTTGACTTATTGTTTTTTTTTTCAGAAAAAAAAACTTTCAAAGAATTTTTTCGAAAAACCTCTGAAAATTGTGAAAAATTGAATTTAGAATTTTGCCGGAAAACTTATTCTGGTTTTTCATTCAATTTGAAATTTGGAGCTTGCTAATCGAGTTCCAAATTAAATTCAAGCTATACCAGTTTTTGAATCAGTTTTGCACAAATATCTTGCTACTCTTAAAGTTTCATCAATTTTACGGTTTTGAAAAAAAGTTGGTCCCTCATTCATACCCATTGGAATCATTTGTGGAATTGGTGCTTGCACAATAGATGGGCTCGGCAAAACAGTCAGATCAACAAATTCATGAGCAGCCTGCAAAAATATTTATGTATAAAATGAGACGTCATTTTGTGTGCAATCTAAATGAGCTCAGCTCACCAAAAGCGCCATTAATCGTTGAACATTGTTTCGAGAATTCAACCCGATTCGCATGCAAATAAAATGATCGAAGACAAGTGGAGCCGGTCGTTCAATTTCAGCCCGAATGCTGGAAAAAATTAAGAATTTTTAATCCCTTTTTCACTGTTACTCATTAGTTTATCCCTCTAAATGTATGCATATTCCAAAAAACCGAAATAAAAAATCAGATAATGAGCAGAATGATTCATAGTCAATCCCCAAGGAATCTTTTCTCTCTTTTTTTTAACGAAATTAAATTATTGCTCCCTTCTTTCATATTTTTCCAATTCTCAATTTAACATAAAATTGAATAAAATAAAATAGAAAACCAGATTTTATTCAGAAATATAAATAAACGAACCGAGCTCTATCTATCTCTCTTCCCCCCTTCTTTTTTTTGCGGTATACCAGACTAGACGCGCGCGACACAAATAGATTTTTTGGTGCAAAATGTGAAGACCGGATTTTTTAGCGGCCTTTTTTCTTATGTATGTGTATGTGTGTGTGTGATGAGACAAAAAGTGGCGGGAATTTTTGAGAGAGATGATTAGGACGGATCTTTGGAAAAAGAATGAATTTAATATCGATTTTATTGAAAAATATATTTTTAGATATCCAGAAATGAACAATGCTCATTAACCTCATCTAAAAACTACTACTGAAACAAAAAATCAGAAAATCGAAAATTGTTGAATTCAAATTCTAAATCAAGAGTGTCCCACTTTGGAAATTTCTGAATGAAGTCAAGATCGAATTTAAAAATAACAATTTAAAATTTAAAAATTGCGCTATCTAAATTTTTATTAAATTTCAAGTTAAATTAAAGGATTCTGATGCATCTATTCATTTGCAAAAAAGCACGAAAAAAATGTATTTTTTTACAATATTTTTCTATCCACCAAAATCACAAATTGTCGCGAAATACATGCAATCGTGACGAGACCCACACTCATTTTAAGGCAACGAGTGTGAAAAATGCATGCTTTCGAAAATTTCATTTCTTGTTTTTTTCTCGCATATTTTTCTCCTTGAAATGTGTGTGGGTCTCGTCACGATTGACATTTATTTCGTGCATTTTGGTGAATAGAAAAAAATTGTAAAAAAATACATTTTTTCGGTTTTTTTCGCAAATGAATAGACGCATGACAAATCATGAATATAATGAAAATGAATATATAAAGCAATTGGTTTACAAAAACGTCAGTTTTTTTTTGAGTTTCAACCAATAAAGATACAAATCTAAGTTTTCACAGTTTCCAACTTTCTAAAAACTCACTTCTCTTGTATAATTTGGACATTCGTTCGATGTTGAACTGGCGGAGATGTCGATTCTTCCCTGAACTCTTGCTTAATTCTTCTTGCAACCATCAATGCATCTTCATCTTCTTCTTGTTGTTTCCTCCATTCTTCTTGCTCTTCATATTCCAAATCAATTACTTCTTCTTTAACTTGCTTCATATCTCTGAATTTTCAAATTATTAATTTATTCAATCTGTAAAAAATTCAGAAAGAAAGAAAAATACGATAAATCACACCAGACAAAAAACAGAAATGTTTCAACTTTAAAATTTACAAAAAAATTGTAACCCAACCTGTATTTACTTGAAATTGGGGTGGTTGAGAAATAAAGTAAAAACCAGTTTCCGTAATTGATTTTTTCAACCTTTTTTTTGTTTGTCAATGAACGGATAAGAGAATTGAAAAATGAACTATTTTAAGAGACAAAAATTGTCTGTATTTACATTGAAAGTGTTTGATATAATACTTATAAAGTTCAACAATTTAACATGCTCAAAAATCTGAAAAAGCACAAATTCATAATGAGTATGAAATTTTCGGAGAAAAATAAAAAATAAACAACAAATGAAACGGCCGAAAAATCTAGTTGTATAGAGAAGAGTATTTGAAGAGACCCCGACAAGAAATTTGAGGGGAGAAAAAGAAGGAGATGGAGGTATACAAGGGGGCCTTGTCAATCCGAAACCGGTTGTCGATTCGCTCGTTTTTTCTCAATAACCGGCCTGAATACACATATACACAGAAAAAGAGACAGACGAAAACTAAAAGAAGAAGACTGGACACCGAAGCCCTTTAGTTTTTCGAAAAAAAAATTGGTGAACAACAACAAAACTCGTCTTACTAAAACATCCGAGTGTGTCGAATTCTGGTTTTTCGTTTTATTTTATACAAAACAACTTTTCATCTTGTTTTTTCCTAGATGTGAAATGAGAATATACATATTAATATTCTCAACGAATCAGTAAACAGGTTTAGATTTGGTTTGAACTAGATACCGAAATCACATAAAAATGTTCAATTTACTTGGGGAAATAATTAGGATTTCAAACGGGTTGTGAACTGTTTTCTTTGGAATGTTGTGACAACAAAAAGAGAACATCGTGGAATTCGAAAAAGAAGATCTTCTGGACTGAACAATGAATTATATTTCACAGGAAAATAAGGAACCATAAATTAAAAATATAGCAAAAAATGCGAGAATATATAGTCCAAAGCTCGCCTCGTATTCGAAATACAGAACAGAGAAACAGTGTGTATATTCGAGAGACGCAGACACAAAACAGAGAACTAGTGTGTATATTCGAGAGACACAGACAGCTAGACTTTGGACGATATATTTTCGCATTTTTTGTTATATTTTTTTTACTTTGGAGACCGCATAAAAAATTGTCAATGTTAACTTCAAATTCACAATTTTCCGTATTCTGTGATTTTGGAAAAATGTTTTCATAACATCAAGAACATTTTTAATATGCTTGGATAAATTTTACATCGTTTTCTTTGTGAAATGCGAGAGCAGATCACAAATTTATTAGTGAACCTTTAACTGTTACAGAATATTTCATAGTTTTAGTGCAATGCAAAGAGCACAGGTTTCAATTGATGGCAGATATTGAGTTTGAAATGAGTTTTTACAATAGTTCGCAATATATTATTTTCTCGGATGGATTGTGAGCAATGCACAGTTCTACAAATATTATGAGGTATTTTGGCTAGAACATATTATATGTTTTTGGTCAACAGTAACTCTTCATAGAATATTTATTTGAATTTGCCTTTGTGATCCTTCAACAATTTTTAATTTTATAAAAAAAAATTTTAAAAACTTTTTTTCATGTAAGTTTTATTGTTTTTTTGTATTCAAAATATTTTAATTTCTTGCAATAATCAACAGAAACTCCAAATTTTTTCGATTTTTTCGTTTGCAAGGCAAACCCCTTTCTCAAAAATAACCTTCCTAGCCAGGTCCTTGGTCTTTTTCTCGTATTTTCAAGAAATCTCAGATCTTTTTGTTTTTTTTTTCATGAATGTTTTCTTTTCATGTTTGCAGGTGCACGAGTTTTTGTTGTTGTTGGAGAATTTCAAGGTTTTGAGAAAAAATCTAAAAATATGTTGTTTGAGAAAAAAAATAATACATAAATCCCTCATTTCTGAATTCTAATAATCAACCAACCAAATATATAAATAAATATATATATGTACTCAAAAATTATATACAGCTACAAATTGCATAAAAAATGCATCTGACATCTGTACATAGATTACACCGAGTTATACAATATGGGGCAGATGGAGCGGACAGGGCAACGGTCAAAACTAGATTCCCTTCTTTTCAATAATTTATGTATTTATACATACAAATAATGTTGCCGCAAGACAAAAAAAAGTGCCGATCGTATGATGTCAAATGACCTTTTCACCAGATCTCATCACAACATTCATCTTTGTGCCGAATTTTTTCCATACATTAGTTTAGTTCTTTTACAAATGAAGGTTTGTTTTGAAGGATGATGTGATTGGAAAGTTTTTGGAAAAATTTTACAAGAAGGAATTTGAAAATACAAGCCTAGTTTTGGTAACTAGTTTCAGTTATCCCATGGAAAATGTCTTCACAAAAATACCCCAAAAAAGCTCCCGTTTTGGTGACATATGCCAAAAATGTTTTCGCAATATATCTGGTTATTATTTTACATCAGCATGATGAAATATAGATTGAAACACATTTTTTTCGAAAAAGCTATGGAGCTTCGTGAAATACATATCTTTATAATTGATCTACCCTTAATTTTTCCTAGAAATTACCAATTACCCTCATTTTTCCCTCGTTAAGCTAGCTTTACTATTCATATAGCATATATGTACATATATTTTTATTACATCACCGATTTCTTTTCGCCGTATATACACATTTTATATCCCCAATTACACATTTTCGAGAAAATACAATCGAGTCTTATGATTCAAGATACAAATTTGTGTTTTACGTAAGATAACACTTTATCAGGAAAAAGACCCTTATACGAAAGTTGTCACCTTTGAACACATAAATAATCGGGTTTTGTTCGGGGCTCAAATTTTTTAATCATTCGATTTTCCTGGGTCGATTGTCTAAAGAAGAGGGTTTTTTGATGATAAACACTTTTTTTCCAGAACAGTTCAACTGATAAAAAATGGCCCACGCATAAAAATTTACAATCTTCTTTCTTTTTTTTTCTCGTTAATATATATTTGCAAAAAAATGCAATAAGCATAGCATATTTTTCCCCTCAAGTGAGTATGCAATTCGTTTGCACTGGAAAAAAACGTACTTTTTTTGGAAATCGAATTAAGAGCTTTTTAGTAAAACGATCAAAGGTTTTTCTAAAAAGAGGGAGAGACAGAAAAGAATATGGCAATTAGTCGGAGTGATCTTTGTTAACAATTTATGCTTCGTTAGAGATTGTTTGATATGGATGTTATGACTAACTAGTACATTATTCAGAAAAATACACTTTTAGACAAAGATCAGTTTGAGCGCTGGAAAATTGAAAATAGAAGAAAAAGAGGTTTGAACATTCATTTCAGGAAATTGTGTGAAAGTGTATCGGAATTTAATAATATTGAACAAAATTGATGATTTTTAATTTATCTGGATTTCGTTAAAACCTAGCCTAAATAGAAATCACAAATTGAACTTCTAATAGCGAAAATGTTTTAATTTTTTTTTAATAAAAAACTTTTCGGATCGAATTCATTCAATATTGAGTAAATTTAACAGCATCGGACCAATCCCTCATTCTACCAGAGTTCTCTTCCAGATTTCTCGAAAAAATGCAAAGTTATCTGCATCAAAAACCACCACATCTACACATACATATATAGTTTCCGTTTCCCTTTTTTATAAATCCAATTCTTCAAAAAAAAAACGGAAAAAAGTCGTAAATACTCATAAGTACACATTTTCGTATTGCACTGCTTTAGCCAAATTAAAAGATTTAATCAACCAAAACGCATTTTCACATAAAAAATTACTCGTTTCTTTATTTTCTTCATGTTGCGACTCTCCAAGAAAAAGTCGAAGTAGGATGGGAATAATCGGATTAAGCCCTTGACCGATAAAAAAACAAAGATCAAAAGAAATGTGTTATTTATTTATTTATTTATGAATTATAAGCAATTTCCCAGAAAAAGAAGGAAACCTTTAATTATTGTTGCGTAATAATTATTATTTCTATAATCTCATGTTAGAAGAGCCAATTATTTTTTCTTCATCTTACAAAATTATTTATAGAATTTTATGTATGAATCATAAAGCTTGTTGCAAATATGATTGGAATTTTTGCACTCGTGGGAAAATAATGCGAAAAAAAATTCATGCATAAATTACAGGTGTGAATTTTATATGTTTTTTGCTACTAAAAGTTTGGAACATATTTTGAAGAGAAAATGGAAAACATTTTGGAAATTTACATGAGAAAATTGGTTTTTTGGTACTCCAACTGCCATATTTCTGGGTTGGTAAAAAAACTTGGAACTTTGAATTTGAATTCTGACAAAAATGACAGACATTACAAAATAAATATTTAACAAAACGTTTTTTGAAATTCCCATTTGTTTTTTTAATATCCCACTTGTCAAAACCAAAATAATTCTTGACCCCTGTAAAATTCTATTCGGGCTCTTTTTTTTCAAAAACGAAGCTAATTTTCATAATTCTTATATGAAGCTAATGATTGCTTAGCTGTTGTCACCCCTAATTTTCTCAGAATTCTACTTTTTTGATAGGCATCAAAAATTGTTTCATATTTTTATCAAAAAAAGTGCAAACCTAAAAGTATAACTTGTCTGTCAATCTTGAAGTCTCTAGAGTTTTGCGCAGAAAAAAAAAACCCGGAAATGCAAGATCAACTTTATTTCTGATTTGGCGAATTCCAAGAACTGCTCATAATTATTGAGTTCCTTGTTTATACATTTTTCCAAAAAAGTAATGAGGATTAAAAAAGAGCAATTTCTGTACTTATGCTGATTGACATGTGTCATTCTGGAAAATTTTTCAATTTGCAAAAAAAATTTCAATTTTTTTTCGAAAACAAAACACAGAAATGAAACAAACTGTAGCTGTAGTCTTTGATTGACAGATTAATGCATTTTTGTTTACTTCAAAATAATTTTATATGTATAGTTATATTTTTCTGACGCGTGTTGCTGATTTTGACAAGACAATAAATCGAAAAAAAGTGTGCAATTATCTAACTAAAAAGAAAATTGTGTGTTTTTCGATGCTCCAACATTTTTCTCATCAATCTCAGACACGCACAAAGTTTTCTGCTCTTTTTTTCTATTTTCAAATATATTTCGAGCCCAAAGGATATGCACTTTGGAAGAAAGGAAATTGAAAATAAAAATTCTTCTGCTCACATTTAACTATATCCAGATGTCAAAAAAGAAACGATTTTCACATCGCAAAATAACTATTTATTTCTGGCAAAAAAAGAGGAACAAAAACAATTTAGAGACCAAATGAATTACCGTTGTGGTTTTTTTTAGCTTAAAAATAAATTGGAAGGTGCTCAAAAAATGTAGCTTTGTACTTAACGAAATTATACTAGAATTTTAATTTTTATCAATAACCAATGTGGTTGAATTTTTTTGCACGTTTTCCTGATTTTTCAATTTTTTTGGGGGGTTATAAAATTTTAACAATATATAAATAAATATGAATTGATTTTTCAAATATTAGGTGTTCTAATCTATAGACTTGAGTATATTACAATTGAACAAAACAAAAAATGAAAATACAATTATACAGTGATTCCATGTCGTTTCAAGAATTTGGTAATGAAATTCTCTTTTGGCGCAACTGAGATTGGTGATTGATACAAAGCCGATAATTTATCGCCAATTTCATCAGACAATGGAGCTGGCAAGAATTCGCCATCTTCTTTGCATTCAACAGCAAACATGAGTGGAGTCGATAAATCACATTCTCCATCTTCATCATCAGTAACTGTGCATTCTTCTGCAGCATCAATTAAATAAGTCCATGGAGCAAGTGGCTCAAAAACTGGGTAGTAATCATAGTGTTTGTCGCGACGACGCTTGATTTTTCTCTCTGGTGGCTCAGCGTTGATTTCTACTCGTGGTGGACGCCCTTCAATTGTCTCTTCGACTCTAAAAAAAATAAATCAGACTTGCTCCAGTAGATAAAGAAAATGAAACTCACTCTAACTGAAATTTCTGAACATTTCGAATCAAACTCATAATATGCATATCTCTTTGCATATTCACATCAACTCTTCTTTTAACCAAATGTCTCCTCTGTCGCCGTCTTCTTTGTGATGGTTGTACTGGAATAATCTTCTGGGTCTTGATCTTGTCCACAGATATTTGCAAGAATCCCCAACTCTTTCTATATCCTGGCATTCCTTCCAACTCTCCAGCAAGTTTTGGTTCTTCTTCTGGCATTTTTGTGTGAGGATATATTATTGTACTGAAAGATTATACAATTTTTTTCGAAAGTAAGAATATATATTTCAACAAAAAAAGTCAGCGTCGACCGCACAAGTCCAACTGACAGATCGAGTGCCGTCGAAACGAGAGGCGGGGCACCGAATAAATAGGCGAAAAGGGGTGGGACTTCAGCGAGACAACTAGAGTTTTATGGCCGGCCTGGTTAGTGAAACAGAGTGGGTTAGTGGCAAAAAGAAATATTGCATCAGAATGAGGAAGGTACGGTAGGTGCAATTTTTAGGGCGAGAGGAGGAAGATTTTCTGTTTTTTTTTATGACAAAAACAAGAAAGTGCATTGACCTTTCATATCGGTGAACTGTATCTGAAAAAATTGATTTTAATCTTGTTTCATGTTGTCCCTCCCTTTAAACAGTTTTTCTCCTCGACCGTGTTGTATTTCATAACCGTAAAAATTATTTTCGAAAAAAGAAAAAAAGCTTTTGAATGAATGCACGTACAAGATTTTTATGAGAGTGTTTATCAATTGTTGGAAATAATCTCTGTTTGTTTGCCGAGCAAAACTAAACTAGACACTATGGAGCTTATGATGTTCCTGGAAAATGTTTTTTGGTTTTTTTTCGAATGGGTTCTAAACATGTGTTTTTATCGCGCAAAAACAGGGGCTCACTATGAAAGGGTTGGTCCTCCGCCAAGGAATCTTTTTTGTGTGTGTGTTTGCACACAACTTTGAAAATAACACGGTGACGCCTTTTTGCAGACGATTTTTTCACCAGGAAAGCACCAACCCTTTAAGTGAGGATTTTTATAGAATTCTGGAAATATTTTATTTCATTTGTAGATATATAGGGCCACATTGAAAATGACCCCTTTTTGCTACGCCCAAAGAAAATACTATTATAGTGTCATATAATGCTGTAGTGTTTCGAGAAAACCTCAATGAGCTTATTGTTCTGCTCATTTCTTGAAGCTTCCAAAGTTCTAAATTTACCCTGAAAATAAATTGTATCGAATTAGCACAAATTGTTTTGTTGTTGCTGAGGAAAAAAATGAGAAGAAAAGAGAAAAAACTCATAAAATGGGCCACCACGGCGGCTTTTTCTTTTCATCTAACAGGGTCTGTTAATTAAGTTCAACAATACATAAATCTTCGTTTGTCCAAATCAATGTTTATCACCATTGACAGATACTATTATCAAATTGAATGAATGAATGTTCATTTTAGATTTATCTATTGATTGTTGTGTCCAAAAAAAAACGTTTTTTTTTTGAGAATGCCAAAAAACGAAAAAGCTGAAAAAATGCTATTCTCTTTTTTCTTCTTCCTTTTTCTTTCCCAAAAAAAAGAAAAAAGAGCTTGATCTTTTTTTAAAGATGTGTGTGTGTGTGTGTGTGTGTGTGCAACAATCTGATTTTTTTCGTTGTTTTTGTTGGGCGAAAAATGTTGCGAGCAAAAAAAAAAGACGAGTGGTGGAGAGGAGATTAGAACTAAAATATTGCTCGTGAGGGGATTCATCAGACACCATTTGTCTAAAATAATACTTTTTAACATTGAGTTAAAAGGGGAAAGTTAGAAAAAAATATATATATTTCAAGGAATTGAAGAACTTTTTTGAAATTTTTGAAAGACATGGTGTAAAAAAATGTCGTACATGTGTGTATTTTCACTTTCTGTGATGGTAATTTGTGGAGTGTAAAAAGGTCGCCCGTGTTTTTTTTCTTTTTCTCTATCTTCATCCATTCAAAAAAAAACATGTATGTATGTATTCACATAAAAACGAGCAAGGTCAGTTTATAATTGCGTACACACCAATTATGAAAATAAAATACATAAAATATCGATTTTTTCTGTTCGTACAACAAATATTTACTCATTCATTGTGAATTCATAGAACTATCAACAATTTTGTTTTATCTATGATCAAAGTTTTCACACTCATACTTTTTTGGACATCAAAAAAACTTTTCGAAAAAAAAGTCATCGAAGGAATGAGAAAAACAGATGGCAGCTGTCTCTGACTTAAGGGATCTTTAGAAAATTTCAATTTATATACTTTTGTGTGCCTAGACAAGATGGATAATTTTCACCTAGCAAAAATTTGTTTTTCTCATTATAAGTATTATATTATATATATATGCACACGAAAATGTTGTAGACATCGAAGGAAGCATTTGTTTGCATAGATTTTTCGAGCACCTGATCAAAAATCGCCTTGCCTTGTGAAATCAAAAGATCGAAAAGTGATGTTGTTCCAGAACTGTTTCTAGTTTGTTCATAACAATTATTTTATTTTTTTGTTATTTGTTACATTTCTCGCCTTCCTTTAAAGGAAAAAAGTGTCGAGAACAAAAAATACAATAAAAATGTTAAAAGATCAGCATTTTTCTCTCTTCATATATCACTTTCACCCATTTTCATGTCAATTTGAGAACTTACTTGTAAAAAAGATGAAAAAAAGACAAAAACGATTTTTTTCCGTCGCGCCACGACTGTCTACAGTATAACATGGTCGTAAAAACATTGTTCGACTCATAAAATTTTGTTTATTATGGTATATCTTTGAAAACATCAAACATCAGATTATGCAGATTTTTCAATTGCGAGGGAAAGGAAACCGATTTGTTTTGTTCTGTATTTTTTGTTAATTGAGAAGGAGGAAAGGTAGATCAAACAATTTTACACAGAATTTTTCATTTTTGTAGTAATACGTGTGTTATGAACTTTTCCAAGCAAGCAGTTGTTTTTCGAAAAAAAAACGTGCTTTTTCTTCGTCGAAGAAAAATTGTAGTTTTTGTTCTTTACTTCATAATAAGTGCATTTTTGGTTGACACGCAATTTTCTGAGTAATAATAATTGTTGTGCAATTTTGAAAGAGCAAAAATATCGATTTTCTAGGAGAAAAACATGTTTTGTTCTCGTTCTGAATATCCATATTTACACAGTAATATGAGAAAAATGAACAAAAAACAATTTTTTCGGTCTCTTCCCAATGTTTATTATTATTATTTTTTGAATGAAGAAGGTAGGGATTATTATTCTTATGATTTTCGAAAATATTTATATTTATTGTAAAAAGATGAGAAAGGAAGAGAGAGACAGAGAGAAAATCAGTGAAGCAAAGCAAGAAATTTCATTTTCTCACTCGTTTTTGCCAATTTTGGCGCGGTTGGATAGCAACTTTCTTCTTCTTCTTCTTTCTTCTTCTCGTGTTTCATTCATTCACAGAAAAAAAAAGAAAAAAAACTTTTTTCCAAAAAGGAAAAAATTTCGAGAACAAGAAAAATCAAGGGGTCATTATTGTTACACATGTTTTTTCCAGTTGCACTTTTGCGATAACATTCGAAATCTATAGATATCTGAGCAGATATTATTACGACAAATCGAAGATAGGATGAGATGGGATGAGATGAGCAATAATAAATTGAGCCGAGAGATATCTTGGCGATAAATGCGATGCACTTTTTCAAATCAAATGGAAATTTGGTTTCGAAATCGCTTTGACAGACACAAAGATCAATTTGGTTTAATTGTAGGGGGATGAACAAAACTTTGGGAAAAAAGTTTGAAAAGATTGGGGGATTTATTCTGCAGTTCAGGTTTTTGCTTCGATCATTGTTCAAAAGAACAGGGATTTGAAAAATAAATATTGCAAAATTGGAGTATTGTAATGAAAAAAAAAACTATTGTACTAAAAATTGAACTCTGCAAACAATTAATTTGATCTCATAGAATTTTGAGGGATTTTTTTCAATATTTTGAAATAAATTTTCCAGAATTGGTTTGAAATTAACTACATACAATTCATATTATTATAGGAAGATCTGGAAAGTTCTTTTCCGACCCATAAAAAATCTCAGAAATTTCACGATCGTTTTTCAAAATGAAATTGTATAGAATTTGAAAAACAACATGTTTTTCTCAGATTTCTTCGTGACACGAAAATTGTACACAATTTTCCAATCAACCCCTTTTCCCAAAACGAAACCATATCATTTTCATTTTTTCTTCCTCCCCTTTCCAGGTGCTCTTTGAGCCGTTGTTTCGTTTCCTGACTAAGCTCAGACATTTTTAATTAACTGGACTGGAAAAAAGCATCTTTCCATTCCAATTCGATTTTCATTTGTGCAACATTGCAAAAGGAAAAAAAGACCATGAGGAATTTGTGTACCCTCGTAATAAATAAAAAATAATTCCAAAGGTTTCATAAATATTTTATGATGGACACGGCGGCGAGAGGGGTTGATGATAAAAATCCTCTTTAATTGTTTGTTCATATGTTGTACCGATCATTGAACATTAAGTTTGTGTTGAGCGCATCGATGAGAGCGAATAAATAAAAAATTGTGAGGCAGCTCTAAAAAAATCATATAGATTTGGTCACATTCTGAACAAATATATATATTCATTAAAAATTCAAATAATTTCCATTTTTGTCGAAAAAAACGAGACACCGGGTGGTCTTGTGAGGAGAGAACGAAATAAAATCATGAGGGTCATCAATCAAAATTTTTTTGACTTTGATGTCGATCTGTTAACTTTTGTCACTTCTAATACATGTTTTGGAAGTGATGGAAATGCGATGAAAATGAACGGAAACATTTTTTTGATTGATAATAATCGAAATTTTGCCTTTTTTGGATTACCGGTTACAATTCTTTCGCCTTTTGTTGTCAAGATTGTATGATGAGATATTTTTTTTTGAAATATTTTTTCCAAATTTTTTTTTACAAAAAAGGGACGAAGGTTTTTGTCAAACAAAAAAGCAGGAAAAAGATCAAAAGATGTATCAAGTTTCACTTGTTCGATTTTCCCCTCTTGAAAAATTGAGGGGTTTTTATTTTAGAATGTATGTAATTGAGGGTCATTTTGAGGTATTCACATGATTTTCACATTTTTTGGGAGAAGAAAAGAAAAAGACATTATTAGATTGACGCGGTTTGATGTGAAAACGAAACAGCATGTGGTTGAGAAAAAAAAATCTTTTTTTTCTTGCAAC